GTCGTCTTATATGGTCTTAAATTGACAACAATCGAAGGATCCATGGTTTGCGAGCAACCGACCTTCGACACGAGCATCCTTGGTCGTCCACTCGGCGGCCTTGATCGGATCGATAGGTTTACTCGTCCGTGCCATCAACAATCCCTCATAATTCTTTCCTTTGAACATAAATCGAAACTAAAATTCCCGTGCAAAATAATTCTTGTCCGAAAATCGATGCAAGCTACTTTTGATTTTTCCATGAATACAATGTCAAAGAAAAGGTATCAAAAAAAAATGTCTCACAATCGATGAACCAAGAACTCGAAGCAACCAGAAAAAATTCACAAAGAATTCAAGAAACAAGAAACCCCTAAGGGCTCGATACCATAACAAATCAAGAATAACAAAACAAGATTTATGTGGAAAAAATCTCTCCCTTTCCTCCGAGCTTTTCTTCCCTTTATATAGAAATTTGTACAAGATATTGTATCCCTTAATTACAGCAATCAACTCCCCAATTATGTCCTCATATCACACCAAATCCTATTCTAGGAAAGTATATATTTACTTACATTGATCACATCTTGACAGCTTTACTTGACAAAATTTTGTGATGACTATTGCTACACGACTTTGCTCTGTGTGCTGCTAAACCTGTTTAGGGCTTGCTATGAACAAGGCTATCACATCATTGATCTTGGATGTGAAGTTTTAGGCCCATTTAATTCCTCAAGAACTTCATCTTTCTTTTCTTAGGAATTAAGGAGGAAATTATATGATATATCGCTCTAAATATGATACTCCCGATGACAATAAAATGAAAAGAGAAAAAGAAGCTAGATGGTATGAATAGACAAGAGAAGCTCACGTGTTGAAGCATTGATGTTTGATGTTATGGGGGTATCCCATCACAAGAAACCAGGCCAACCATACAAGACAAGATACTCCACTCCTTGACAAAATATCCCAACGAGAAGTCCTTGATTGGCATAACAATGAAAGGGCTTAGAAAATTGAAGAAAGCCCATGTCGTGCTCTAAGATATGGACTACATTTTGTAGCAAATATAGGGAAAAATAAAAATTGAACGAATTTTATACGAACAAATACGATGGTAGAAATCATTTAATATTATATAAATTTTGAATAATTTATTTTATCTGTCTATCTCTACAAATATAGGAAAAAAAATTTAACAATCATTATGACATGGAAACGTGGATTGGATAGCGAGGGGGTGGGGGGCCAAAACTCCTCAACCACTGCATCAAGTGAATGGCTTAATGGTTTGGTTGAGCAGTCAGTAGCTTTCTCTTGACATTCTGGGATCACTCTATTTTGTCATCAAGTAGTTTTTCCATTTTCTAAATATTAATACTTACCCTATTTTCATACAAACCTTAGGAAATATATATAATTTTAGTTCTTTTAGATCATTATATACATATTTTCATATTTTTCTAATCATACTTAAGGGTTTGGCTAAGCAAAATGTCAGATTAAAAAATACATCGAATTTTATTCCATGAAGAAAAATACATCCAAATTAGAAAAATCTTTAATTAAACTTATCAAATATTTGAATGAAAAAAATAATTTACATTTTATATGAAATAAAAAGATAAATTCAAGAAGATTGGCTTGATCAGCGAAAGAAACTCTAGCCGATTAAATAATTGGTCTTGGTTTCGAATTTTTGTATATATAGAAAACTCTTTTCATAGCTGGGTTCGTCTTGTATGTCCGATCGAATAATAAAAAATTAGTTTGAATCTTTCAATCTAAGATACTTTGAAGATGAAAAAAAAAGATTTAATTTGTCATCTTAAAGTAAAGATTAAGATATTAATTATAAAAGTTGTTTGCTTACACTCCTAATACCTATTGGAAATGGAAATTAATTCTCTAATAGAACATCAGTAATTCCACCCAGTTCTGATCGAGTAGGAAGCTAAGAATAATTATACAATTTTTTATTAAGCAATTTTATTTTTCAAAACCATCAGTGTTACTCAAAGTTTTATACAACAATGCTTAACCAAATCGTAAAACGAACAGTGTAATTTTTTGTGATAGCTTGCGATTTTCTTTTCAGGCTTATTAATGATTTTTTATCAAGTGATTGTTACACTCAAAGCCTAAAAAAAAAGATCTTTTTTAAAAAATTCATGCACATCATACGCTCAAAATATTAATAATAAATAAATACTCAACCAAATTCTGAAAATTGAAGACATCACTAAGAAAATAGTTTTATTGGCACCCAAATAAAGTTTTCATTGAAATGCATTAAAAAAAAAAAAAAAAAAAGCTGGAATCGGAATTCGGCCATGTCCGGAGAATCTGTCACTAATGCCGTTCCAAAACACAGTTATTCTCACAAAAAATTCATAAACATATAAGTTAGACTATCTCATCATCAAAATTAAGAAATATGTGGTTTTGAAGTTTTAAATTGAAAAGGTAAAAAATTGAATTTTTGAAGTGGGCGGCTGCATATGGTTGGGATCCAGCAACATTTCTAGATTTCGGCACAAATAACAATTAATTAAAATAAAATGAAAACATAAGATAAAAAATTGTTAAGAATTTTGCACCTTTTTTTTCCCCTCAAAATAACAGTTTTTCAACACAAATAACAATTTTTAAAAATATATTAATGTTGTATTAAACTTTTTTTTAATTGTTCAATAATAAGAGGTATCTTCGTATCGTTTTATGCATCAATCAAAATTTAATCACCGAATTTTAGGCTCGAGAAAAAAAAGTGTCTGGTCTGGACAGTCTTAGACACGCGTATATGTCTTAACTATAGTTTGGGCTGGAATGATTGAGGTTAAAAATGACAACCTCTCCCTACCTACTATTAAATAAGGATATTCCAAGATTAAGATATTTGAAGAAACTGCTTTTTGTGTTGCAAAACTATTGATTGAATAAAAAAAAAACTAAAAAATAGGTCACTGGGTAACCATTTTCTAACTACTTTATTTACTTTAAAAAAAAATCTCATTTTTTCATATTTATCTTATACATACATAAAATATGTCATATATCTTATTCTACCATTTTTATCAAATTATTATTAAAAAAAATTGGATTAAAATTAATAACAATATACCTTATAATTTGTATTCAACATAGGAAGTGAATATTTTATATTTTAATGACAGTGAATGAATTTAAAAATATATATCTTTTATTTATTTTCCTATTGTTTAAGAAGGCAATCCATAGACACCAAATTTTTTTTAAATAATAAAGTCTTTGACATTCGAGGAGAAAAAATTAATAGGAAAAAATACCGACATATAATTTATTAAGTAACTTTAATGTTCAACTATATAAAATAATTATTTATTTTAGTCATTAATTTATACATATTGATACAAATTATTGAAACTATGTAAGGTAAATAAAAAATTATGTTGATTAAATATTTTTTAATATTAATTTTGTGTAACTATTAAATGAGATATATGACATCTTTTAAGTATGTATAAGATAGATATGAGAAAAAATAACTATTAAAAAAAATTGAATATATAAGATAAAAAAAATTGCTGTCTTCTATTAACTATATAGGAAATCGATATAATTTAAAGTGAATGAATTTTAAAAAATTAATATCTTTTATTTATTTTCTTGTTTTTTAAGAAGGGAATCCATAGACACTATATTTTTTTTTTCAAAATAATAAAGTATCTAACGTTCGAGGAGGAAAGACTAGCAGGAAAAAAAAAAAATTCTTAACTAATATATAGCTTATTAAGTAACTTTAACGTTCAACTATATAAAATAATTATTTATTTAGCCATTAATTTATATCCATTGATCCAAATTATGTGAGACTATATAAGATAAATTGATTTTTTTTAAAAAAATATTTTTAATATTAATTTGGTTAAAATATTAAATGAGACATATGATATCTTTTATGTACGTATAAGACAGACACAAGAAAAAAATGAGAAAAATTATTAAAAAGAAAATGAAAAATAAGATAAAAATTGTTAAGAATTTTGCAGTTATTAATTATTATTATTAAGTTTTTCAGAACAGTATGTAAGACTGGAGGATCTGAAAATTCAGGAACTAAACTGCATCTCCTTGTTTCACCCAGAATTTGCAAATTATGCTGAAATCTGGATTTTTTGCCGAATTTCGGCAAATATAACAGGCCACCACCAAAAATTCATATCTTTTCGGTTTTTTTCCCAAAAATAAAAAATAAATTACACATCCTCACACTTCTCAGAACCTCTTGAATCCAAATCAAACCTCAAAAATCAGTTCTAAACAACCATTTTAGATTAAAATTAATTTTATAAGATACAAATTTAAAATCTTCAAATTCACATATCTCCTAATTTTGACAAATTTATTTTGCCAAGGAATCGCCCCAACATAATGCAACCTCATCTCTGAAATCCTTTAACAACAAGATGTCGCCAAATATCCAAGCCTACCCAATTTGGGGTTCAAGAGAGAAGCCTTTCAAGCTTTTGACCATATTCATTCAATTTCGCAACAGGGAATAAGTGCATTTGTTACATTAGAGCACTGATTTCTGAGGAGGTTCTACACAACTAGAAGTTTGAAATCATGAACAAGAAGCCTATGCCAAACAGCAAAAATTCAATTTTTCATTCCATAAGTCAATTTGGCACTTACAAAAGATTCAACTGAAATGAAACTCATTATAAAAAATCCACAGCCAATTAATTAAAGCAGGCAGTCATAACACATGCATGCATAGTTTTAAATAACTCCCGTTATGTTATATAACGGTTTCGGAGCATCCCGTTACCGTTATTTTAGTATTATAGTAAGCTGCAATCTGCGATGATGACCGCGATCATTTTTTCACCTGTCCGTTATTTAAAACTATGCATGCATGAGACAACTTCTAAAGTACAACAAAATCCAATTCTGTAAAAAACCTACTGTCCATTTCACAATCTGGATCTAGGAAGAAATCCTGTGGTGACTTGAATCAAGAGAAGTACTGGACAAAATTACATTGGGACAGCTCGTGCCTTGTACATACAAATGTATGCCATATGCCAATCACCTAAAGATCAAAAGATAGAATTCATTAGAAAAAGAATAATAAAAAACAGTTTTTTCTTTATGAATAAATGGCAATTGTTGAATGGAAAGTGCAAAGATAAATAAGCAAGCAATTGTTAACTCAGGTTAGCTTACCTCCTCCAGAGAGCTTAGTTATATCTTCCTCCCGTTGTGGAATAGGATTATCATCATCATACTCGATCCATTTCCCTGGGATGAGCATTGAGAATTCATTAGTTGAATAACTAGAGTCAATCCAAATACCATTGTGACAAAACACTGAACAAACTCGTCAGAGAACTTACCACTTTCTTGCTTGGCCCACGCAACATAATGCCCTGAATCAGCACTCCTACCCTTATGGGTGAGCACAGCAACCAAATCATATATTCCAGTTAAATGCGTTTTTTTGTCTGAAGGACCACCTGGGCATAAAGCGAGAAAATTAAACCAGAAACGACAACTTTGGGAGAGGAGAATAGCAAATTAAAAAATCAGTCATTAATACCTTCATTTAATGAAATACAATCAGTTTCTTCTATATTTAAGATCTCCAAAAAAATGCAGCATTAGTGGAATTAACTTCGAAAAATTGAATAAAATTAAGGCCGCAATATCCTCTTGTATGCAAAATAAGAAATCTCTGGGCCCAAAGTCTTTCATAAAAAAGCACACCCAGACACAACAGTCGCACACATTATCAATACAAACTGTAACAACAGTTCCCTGGAAGTCAAACACAAAATCTACAAGAGACCCTCGATAACAAAAAAGATATATGAATCACAAGCAAGAGAAATTTAAAAGTTTTACCTTCTCCGGAGGTAGCCTTTGATGATTCTCCACTCTCATTTGATGGTCCCTGAACAGAAAACAAAAAAGGTAAGATATACCGAAGCATATTCATCTGGCTTATCCATTTGGATTTCCATCCACAGCTCAACCATCTACTCACCTCCGCATCAGTCATCTTGACATCTTTGTCTTTTGAACCAGAGCTCTTCTCCTTGGCTTTCAAACCAGCCTTTTTACCCTCCTCGTCTCTTAAAATCTGAGTTATGAGATGTTAAGAACAATCATAACCATCAGCAAACCTTATGCAACCTTAGATACTAAACTCCACCAAAACAAAAGGTACCTGGCGAGGTGCTTCTAATTCTTTGCGAAGATCATCTGAGCAGAAATCATAGACATCTAGTACCAATGGGTAATCCACTTTCTAAGAAAGACAGAATTATTTTAAAAAGGTTATTATCGTAATAAACATTAAAAAGGATGACTTTTACTAATTTTTTTGGCCAAGTAGAGCTTCAATCCCTTAAATTAAACAAGTCTTTTTACAACCACTTAAACAGAATTTTGAAGTCACTTCTCATGTGTAACAGAATGAAGAAAAGAAACCCCTATTACCCGTAAAATCTTGGCCTTCTGATTTGATTCCCTCTTCCAGAAAAAACGAACAAACTGAACAGTTAGGTACCTTGAATCAAATATGTGCTGTCAGAAATTTCATTGTTGCAAGAGGAAAATTTTACAACTGAAAATCTAGAGAAATGGCAGTGCCTCACATTCCGAGTGCAATGAATACGAGACACTAAAATCAGTAAATTATCATACATGAGGTTTTTATGGACTTGAATCGATTTGATGATTGAGTGATTGATGTTAGAATCATGAATGATAATTAATGGAGCATATGACATGCCAACTTATGATAAATGACACGAGGCTTAGTGTCTGCATTCATTGCACTTGAAATGTGACGCATTGCCAGTAATACTCCCGACCTACTTAGGTCCTACGTCGGGGGTGTTACATAAAATCAGTAAATGAACATCTCAAATCTTCACAAAGTCAAGTAATGAGTTGGAATGTGCACATATTACCCAGATCCTGCGAGTGAGATTCAATGATTGTATATTGCAAAGTAATAAAAAGGGAAATGACAATGTAGAAAAGGCCAGAATGGCAGGTTCTTACCTTGGCAAGGCATTGATACGAGACTCTTTCAGGTAAACTGCACTACGACCCAAGGAAGGAGAAGCCTTCTCCAAATCAGACTTCAGACCCTATAACCAGAAAGATTAAAGAGATCAAAACTTTCCCGTAATAACATTGGAGTAAATATGTGTGTGCATATACATGGATGCGTGCAGACACACACACACAAACAGGACACAAATATTATTTATACATTGCGGAGGAGAAAGTGACAGGCAGTGAATCTAGTTATGCCACATACAAAAACAGATCGGATAGTGAAATTATCTCAGAAGAGAAAGCAGGTTTTATGAAAAGAACCAGGGTAATCAGCTATATTAGCTGCATTCACACATTAGTTACTAACTTGGGAATCGTTAGGCACTATTGATAAAAAGCATTTTCATTTGTTTGTACTTAAAATATCCAAGTAATAGTCCATTGTAAGAATTGTTAAGACATTAATTATAAGAATTCTACCATTTATTTCGATTAAATACAAAGATCTCAATTCTCAAGAGTATAGTATTTCCACATGGTTGAATCATCTGCTAAAATCCAGTTACTTAAAAAACTTTCAGGTGATAAGCCAGCCATGTTGATAAAAAAAAGTTCCTCAGCAATAAGGCTGCAACTGCAAATGCAAGCACAAACAATGGTTATGAAGGTTTTTTTAATTATTTTTTTCTTTTTCCTACCATGATGTTGAGGCTGATCTGGTGCATCACCATTCAGAATGGTGCAGAAGGAACCATATAGCCAACCCCAACTAGTTTGGGATTGAGGTTGCTTGTTGTTGCATTATATTGCCACAGTGGGAGACTAAAACTAAAATGTGATAAATCATCTACAGAAGAAAAAAGCTTAGGCAGGGACCAGAACACTGGCATGCAGAAATTATGCAAGAAAGCACTGAAAAAGCAAGGGCCTGAATTTGAGAAGCACTGTTGTTATTTATCAATAAGCAAAACCTTCTATAGTCACTATCCTCCAACACATGGACAATTAACACTTGATGTTATAGCAGTTCCTAAGCAAAGTAATTCTATACTTGGTAAAGACAAGCAGCAGGGATGAAGCCAGAAATTTTACTTGGGTTACAGGATCAAGATATCAATAATTTAAAATTTACACGCACCAATGCTTATGTTTTTGCTGCTCATTTCATAAGACTATAGATGAGTATTCTTCTTCCAAAGACGAGACTAGTTTATCTTAGAAAGAATATTTTTGAAGAATAGTATTATTCCATTATAAGTTTTCATGCCAATATGAGCAAACGCAATTGGCTGCTACAGTTAATTCACTTTAAATAGGATGACATATTGTCTTTAACTCAGATAGACGGATAGTCTTTCAATTGTTCAATCTCCTTTTTCTTTTTCAGGGTACATATGATCAGGGGCTAAATCAGTTTCTTGAAGTTTTGGGGGAGGCCATGGCGACTGGTGGCTCTGCACTTGCATTTGGGTCTGTGCAATTGAGAGGCAGAGAAGTGGAATCCAATTCTTTGTGCAAAAGCTTCCAAAAGAGACAAGATTATCGAGAGCAAGTTAAGTGCAAGCACAAACCAAACTTTTCCAAAGGAATACATAAAGCATCCATTCAACAAACCAAAATCAAGTAAAAGGAAAAGAACGAAATCCTGATAACAGAATAATTAGTAAATCTTACATGCTTCAGTCCTTCATGCAAATGGTTCACCTCTTGTGATATGTGGCATTTAAGTGAGTAAACTGATTCTGTCTCGGAGCTTTCTTCACCACTTTCTTGGCAATGTACCCTAGCAACCCAATATTACATACAGAAAATTTGTCAAAGATGGTAGTCCTTAGCAAAATAGAAACACTCATAATCCTTTAAAAAACATCAATGAAAATCCAACAGTAAAAGGAAACTTAGAAATTTTAACACTAATTCTTTGCTTCATGTAACCTTAGCTACAATCCAACTGCTATGGAAACAAAGTTGAAGATATCCACCTGCTTACAAGTTCAATGCCGAAAAGTGCCTTGATTGTATCTGGATTTTCACTGCAAGTCAGAAGATCAAGTCAATAAGTTAACTGTCAGCGAAAGCATTCTGAATAAGCAACAATATCTAAACCAACAAGTTCTACAAAGGACATCCTACTTGAACAAAAATTATCTCCAATGACCAAACTGGAAAAGGGTAAAAGTGTTGAGGACATCAATTATATGGCAAAGCATGCTTCTATGGTCTATCAAGCTGAATTCAACTAAGATATGTGCATGGACAATGTTCCGGATTCATAAAAACACAAACCAAAACTACCTGAGACTCGGTGATCTAAGTGACTGTGAAAGGGTGTATAAAAGCTGTGTCCAACATTCTTCAGCATCCTGTTATATTTCAAAATTTGATCAATATCACAACAAATTATAATAATAGAACTGCAATGTTAGGCATATTGATATTTGGAAAACCTGCTGCATGTAGACTCCATTATGCAGCTGGCCAAATTGCGGATACTTTTTGCGCAATACCTGCAAAAGTATAAGGGAAGAGTAAAATGTGGAATGCTTTTTCCCCTAGTTTCCAAACAATCAACAAGCAATACAGCAACTAAAAGTATTCAAGGTATGCCAAAATTCAAATATAGGCTTATCTTGGTAAACATCAATTGGCAGACTGCAAAACTGAAAACCTATTGATGGCAATAACGTGTAAGAGTTTGCAAAAGAGTTTGCAATATTACAGGAAAACGATTTTGTATACCATTAGGAACTAAACCTAATTATGCCAATAATGTGTAAAAGTATGTAACTGAATTCACCAAAGAGGAAGTGTTTTGCATGACATTAATCATGGAATGGGCAACATGAAAGTCCTAATCAACAAGATCAATGTTAACATCCATAAAATCAGTGTTCTCTGCTGCAACACACTAGTTTTCTGGAATGCATTTCTTCAACTCAAATCAGTAAGACTTCACATATGTGACAACTTGTTACATAAGAATATATTTGAAAAAGGTGCATCCAACATTCATCAGTAGGACTTCATCCTATTTATCTGTGATATTACTAAACACTTCTCAGATAGAACAGACGTCAAGAAATGCTGCAAATAATGCAGGAGCAGAAAACAAACCATCCAGAACTGCATAGGTGCCACAGGCTTGACACTTTTATCGAGCTCATTAAATAGTTCTCGAGTCGCGGCTGTCAGCATATGAGATGTTTGATCCAAATCACTGCTTTTTTGAGATGGATAGCTGACCAAATTTCACATTGATAACAATATTTCAGCGATACAAAAGCATGCATATTGATCTGCAACTTGAAAACTAGTTTCTGAGACATTCACAACATAAGAGAACTCACTTGACTAAAGCAGACTTCAACTCTGGAACAGAATGCAGGCATTGAACTGTTGAGTTCATGTAGCAAGTGTTCCCTAGATTAAAGAGGCCAGCAGTGTGACCCTGTCAGCAGAAACGAATTTAGAAAGGTACTAGCATTAAAGTGACACAAGAATATTAAGTGAGAAAAGATCATTAAAATAAAAACAACAATGTTTCACAATAAACTTTGAGTTCATGCAACAGAAAGTGTTACTTTTAAAATGCATAACCTCAAAGATATAAGGTCACATAGCAGAAACAAGCACGACAATAAAGCATCCATGAGAAATATCTGGTGGCATTAAAGAGAGGAAAACACACACATGCACATGCACACGCACACGCACACACACTAGATATCCCTCACGGAGGATTGATGAAAATATATATAAATAGCATTTACAATGAAAAATCTAGAAAAGGCTGATTATTGAATATTTAATCACTGGTAATTGCATAATCAAGTGTTTCACTTTTCCATTCCAACTGAATGTCAATCAAAGGTTTGCCAAGGATGCATCAACAAGGGTCATGGTAAGTTTTATGCTCTATCCATTGGAGAGAGCAAGGGACAGGTATCAGCACTGCCTGCACCACTATATCTCTTTCTAAACATGCAATGATGGAACATAGAGCATTATACTCCCTATGTTATGCACATGTTAATAATAGCTAATAAAAAAAAAAAAGCCAACTCATCTATTTTTTATTAACAACAATGTACTTTAGTGAAAAGTAGTCAGAGAAACAATGTTGGATATAGTTTTTATTGCGGGACAAAACAGAAAAGGAAGAGAATTACTTCTTTGACTTTTGGATGATATACAGATATGCTAGGACTTACCAAACAAGAAATGACACTTTTTATGGGACTGACGGATTATAACTTTCCACTAGTAATTAAGAACTTAAGTTTATAGCATTGCCATGTTGATGTCTGAGCTTAGTTCAACTTCAAACCATGTCAGAAAGCTTGGAAACAGATCCAGAGTAGAAATTTGATGGCTTGACAATACAAGAAAGAATAAAATGGACCTTGCAAACATGGAGGCAAAGATAGTGAAAATGGACATGTTAATCACAATAAGAGTCCTAGACTTCCTAGAAGGATTATCTGTATGCATGAGCCATTGATCAATGAATTTACAAGCATGTTCCAAATAAAATAGAAGCCCTATTCTGGTCCACTTCTCCCTCCTCTTTTTCTTTTCTTTTTGTTGATATTATTTCAAAGGAGCTGGAAGCTCTTCTCTGCATTGCCTTTCTCTCCACTTTCACTTTTCCCTCGTCTTTGGTAAACAACACTGCAACTTGCACACTTTCATAGTACGCAAAAGTGTAGCATATGATTAGTACAAAACCACACAGATAAATACTGGCTTGGAAATGGAGATGAAACATGATTTGCTTCTTGATAACACAAATAGGCCAAGCCTAGCCAAAGGTGTAGCATATGATTAGTACAAAACCAAACTGATAAATACTGGCTTGGAAATGGAGATGAAGCATGATTTGCTTCTTGATAACAGAAGTAGGCCAAGCCTAACCAAAGGTGCATATGGTTCAGCTCCATTTGCTTTGCTTGGACCATGACAAAGCATGGCTTGATAGTCATTTATCAGTCGAGGCTCACCTTGTGCAGCAATTATCTGATGGCTTGAAATTATCACAACTCTCAAAGAAAGAAACACTGATATGTTTATATTAAGTTTAAGGATGAGTAGGCCTAGTAGAAAATCTTAGAATTAGCAAGCACGTCATGTCCAATAAATAGTTGCTATTAAACAGAGTTTTAAAAGGAAAAGCAGACAGATCCATGTCATTTCAGTGCATCCTACAATCTAGGAGCTTGTTTGATACCATAGAATACAAGGGCAGAACACAGGAAAAAGTAGCAACAATTGAAGAAAATAATGGATATCTATGCTTAATTAGTTTGTGCAATATCTCTATAATCAACCACTTTTATGAAAGGCTCATATTCAATTCAGAACCTAATCATTTAGAAGCTGTTTCATCAATCTCCCTTAAGTTTGTCAAAACAATAAATAAAAGAAAGAAAGATGCATTAAGAGGTGAAAGCTAATAAATTCCATTTGTCAGCAGTGTATAAATTCTGATATGTCAATTTCTACATCAATTAGCAGGTTGAATTGTTAAGTGGCACGCCACGAATTCACAAATCATATGGAGAAGAAAAGGGTTGAAAAAAATACCACCGCAACCACTTGTTCTTCTTCTGGAAGATCTTCCATAAAAACAGGGCCTTTCTCCGGGGCTTTCACAATCTCATCTGCAGTCCCCATCATCATCAATTTTTGACCCTAGAAAAAAGTTTAAGAATGTACACCATTATTTAAAATCATGTTACACAAAAATAAGATTTGTTTAGCTGCAAAATAATCATAAAGACCATTACCTCCTTCACTCCTAACGTTACCCAATCGGCATCATCCTGCATTGTCAATCAATGAAGTTAGAGAAGGGAAACGGTCAAGTATATTATAGGCAACAAATTCCTAGTAACACCTACAAGGTCACTATTAAAATATCATGAAAAAATAGACCACAGCCAGTAATGAATTAAAATATTCTGGTATTTGGAAAAAAACATCTAATTACCTTCAACAAGCCACCCTTAACCATGATCTTCTGTCTCTCAGGGGGCACTCCAGTCAAATCATACAACTGGCATTTGAAAACATAAGGGGGCTGGCTTGTGTCAATTTCCACTTTTGGAAACACCTCCTTTTGCCATTTTACACTCACTGAGCCAATTCATTAGAATTGTTACAAAAAAAATAATAATAAAATAATTGAATGATTGAGCTAATGATAGGTGAAAGGTACAGGTATCGATTTACCACTGAACTTGAGACATTCTACAAATGAACAAATGAATTAGAAAAACAAAAAAAAAAAAAATGGAAAACAGAATACACGTTGCCATCATAAGCCATCGTCTAAGGTCCACCGCAAAAAAAATGAACTTGTCCTAAGTGTGATAACATTCAAAACCTAGACACACGAGTGGTTTCTCCACAAAACCAATTTAACCGAGTCTCAATCTCAAGCTACTTGCAGTTCGCTAAGCAGGTCCTTTTCTTGCATTCTATTTTGTTTAAAAAGCCATACTTTCTATAAGGTACTAGTTGCAACCTCAATTTTTCGGTCTACCTCCCCGTTTTACTTATCCTGCTACCAGATTTCTATCACCTTTCCACAACAACCACTAATCACTTAGTAGAAATGTAACCCAGAAAAACAGTAACTTGTTGGAAAGAGTTTCACGATTCTCGTAACTTGCCAAAAAGAAAACATTACTTGATTGCTTTAATCTATTTATAACTATAGCCATAAGCTATACTTTCTTTCTTTCTACCAGAAAATCATCAGACAAATAAACCCATGATTAAAACACAATAGCAAAACGACCCAGTTAATAAATTACGCTATATGTTACAAATCGTTGATTAACAAAACCCAAGAATCAGCGATGACCCAGTTCATGAAAATTCAAAAATAAAACCCCAAAAAAAATAATAATCAAGCTTCATAATAATGGGTTTTTTTTGAGAATATGGAGAAAGTACCTGTCAACATGATTGATGGGGTTCTGGTAGATGTTTGATCTTTTAAAAAAAAAATTCTTCTCTTTTATTTCTTGTTTGCTTGAGCAGAAGGAAAACTCTCAGGTTCGCGGATTTTAAGGGGTTTTCATTTCTTGGATTTACTTGTTTTGATTGTTTAGATTTCGGGTCTGGATTCAAATCCGGGTTTGGTTTCGATCCATAGCCACCACGGGTCAACATGATTGATGGGGTTCTGGTAGATGTTCGATCTTTTAAAAAACAATTCTTCTCTTTTATTTCTTGTTTGCTTGAGCAGAAGGAATACTCTCAGGTTCGCGGATTTTAAGGGGTTTTCATTTCTTGGATTTACTTGTTTTGATTTTAAACAAGGAGATTTCGGGTCTGGATTCAAATCCGGTTTGGTTTCGATCCACAGCCACCACGGGTCGAAATAAATCAGGTTTACTATAGTTTTGTTATTTCACATTTTTGTTTTTGTAATTTCTGGGGCTAAAAATCACTATTGGTGCATTTTATTTTTCATATTTGGTTAAATCGACTCCTTTACAATTTTTTTTTCCTTAAATCCCCTACAGTTAATTAAAGATTGATTCTAAAGAATTTAAACCTTTCATAGCAAATTTATATTGAATTGACTAATTATTGTTAATTAACTCAAGTAAAAGATGATGACTCAAAGTCAACTAATTATTGATCCAGTTATAAACGAGCTAGTTTTCAAATAATTTTTTACTAATGTATGGGGTTTGGATTTTGAAACGCTATTTGTTGAGAAGAGTTAAATATTAATTTTTCTGTTTCGAACGAATTAATCATATCTTTAATATGTGATGAGGATACTCGCTTAAAAAAAGATGATGATTCATGTTGCATGTACAAACATGATGAAAAAGCAAACAATGAACAAAGAATCATTTTAAATCAATTGATATCAATTATAAATGATTTTTTTATAATCAAAGTCGAGTGCCAATTAAACATATTAGAATAAAATAAAACAGACAATTCATGAAATAAAAAATCATTTCTTCTATCAATAAGTTATTGGCGTAGTGATAAATGAGTTCTTTCTTTATGTAAATTTTCTTTTAATATGCATAGTTCGAATCCTAGAGTTTCATTTATTTGATAAAGTTAAATCTTATTGCTTCTATCATATCGGAACTAGCCATATCTCATGGGAGAAAAAAATCTTTGGTTTGTCTTACAATATTATAATATTATTTTACCATTAAAATAAAATAATTTTTTTACATTTTTTTGTTATGAAAATATTATGTTTATTGGAATTTATTTTCATGTTTATTGTTTGTTTTTAATCATATGCATGCATGTGGCATCATCCGTCACCTTTTTTTGAGTCCGTTAATGAAATCCGGTCAACTTAATACAAGTTTATAGCTATAGCGACAGATGGTTTAAAATAATCTTGAATTTACGGTGCTTTTAGCAAAAGTAACATAGACGATTCGATTTGACCAAACATAAACACAAAAAGCGAGAGAAATCAATAATGATTTTTTGCCTAATTTTTATTGTCGTTTTTTAAAAGAAGATAAAGGAAAAAAAACATTAATTTTATTCATAATATATAGTTTTTAAATTTTATCTTAAACAAATTAATTTTTCAATTTCGTCAAAAATACATCCATTGTAACCTTCATATCCACCGCCATTTACATTGAAGGCAATTTTCAATCCTCCATATTAGCTTCCATTGGAGCTGGACCTCTAACAAAAGTTCATGTAGTTTTCTTTACGACCAATTTTCATTAAGTAAAATAATAAAATATTTTATTTTAATATTTTATTGGATAAATAGTTCATTTGTTTTTATAAAATAGCATGATTTTTCAATATATTATTATATTTTTAATTGCATCTACTATATTCTTAAATAATATTTAAATTTTTAATCGATCATTTTAATCAATTTTTTAGACTATTGTCAAATTTTTTAACCTAAATGCTCGCGATTGAAATGCAAAAAAAAAAAGAAAAAAACTTGGATTTTTTTTAAGTTTTGTTTTTTCTCATTTGAGTAGGTGCATTTTGATCAAAAAATTTTTGCCCATGATTAAAAAAACAATCGAAAAGATAAACTAAAAACTTAAATTGTACGAGTAAAATTGTCATTTCTAGCTTTCAACTCCGGATCCAAATAAGTGTGGATTTTTATTCACTCCTCCCTCCATCTTCATAAACACAAAAGGTATATATACACTCATCTCTCGTTCATAAAAATGGAGGAAAACTTCTATGAAAATGGATATAATTATTATTGCTACTCTTGAGTAGTCTTTTTTATATTTATTAAGGCTCGTTACTTTCCTCTTTTTTCCCACGTAAAACAGGGGGAAAAGGTTAGATATCGGCTTTCTCCATACTTGGCATCGTTGCTGTCCTTGTATCTTAATCCATCCAAATCTTTTTTTGTGAACTTGCATGATAGCATGCATCAAGTTGCAAATGTCCGGCTTGAAAAAGTAGAATTGGAGCACCAAATGTAATTCGGTCTATTTTAAGTTTCTCCTCGATCATTTTCATCATCATAAGTATAAAAATTTGAAACATGTGATATGTTAGATTTGAATAAAACCAAGAGACATGATTAATTAAGAAAACATGAATAAATTGTGCAGCGTAGAAATACAGACCAATAAACTACTTTAGGGTTCTCTAATTTATTAACGAAAGAATACTTATCAATGGCAGTTTATACACGAGTTTTTTAAATTCTAAAATTTGAGAGAAAACGTGAGAGATATAAATAGTGAAATAATCATGTGTATAAAGAGGGTTTTTTTTTTTCTCTCTTTAACTCGCAAGAGATTTGTCATCTTTCTTGATTTTTTGGTTCAAATATTGGGCCAACACCTATAAGAATTTATTGAATTTCTTTCAATGTGCAAAATCGATATAAGAGATGCATTTTTAACTTGATATTTATTGATGAGCAAACTGATCCAAAAAGATAAAAAAACTTTTTTTCCACCGATAAATATTTAATGTATGCGGTTGCTTTCGTTGTCTATGCCCAAGCTTAAAAGATTCATCATTCACATTAAACCACTTTGAGATTCTCTATTTTATTCTATGACTTCACTCTCTCGTACAATATTCTTCTTTTTTCTTGAAATTTCAATAATATAGCTATGATACAAATATATCTTTATAATATTTATATTGAGCAATTATAAATCAATCCTTCTAATTTTAAGAAGTGAATTAATTAGCCTTTTAAAAAAAAATATTTAGTTCTTATAGTTTTAATTTTTTTTTTTTTTGCTCTTTTTTTATTTTTTATTTTAAAAGATAGAACGGAAAAAAAAATGAAAGAATTGATGATAAAAAAAAAGATGATATTTTTATTAAATAAAGTAAAATTAAAATAAACATGGAGACTTATTAATTCAATTTTAAAAAATAAATGAGCTAATTTATGATTTATTCCGTTTAGCAATTATGATCAAATATATTCAATGATGTTTTTCTTCTCGTACGTGACAACTTTTTTACACGGGCTATAGTGATGAATCATTTAGCGACTCAACAAGGACTTAAATAAAGCATGCTTGGTTGCTAAATATGTGTTTGAAAATCTTTTTATACCTTCAATTGATTTTTTATTCACATTGTTTGTATCAAATAATTGTTTGGTTACGACATATTTCCATTCCTCGTAGGTTTATTTTGAGATAAAACATAGCAAAAAAATTGTTTACTTGTGAAACCAAATAAATATCAAAGATGCATCACTCGGATAATTAGAACATTGAATTCAAATGCTCCATTTGATAGTCATTGAAAGATAAAAACACCATCAAGTTTTTTTATTTTTTGGATGGATGATAAATAGAAGACTCGTGATATGATAAATAAGATATTTATTGTCGAGAGCTTGAGTATGTATTATAAGAAGCATATAAACACCCCTAGCCTAGGACCTCATATGCTAAGAATATTATCACCGTTAACAACATTCGAAGTGCAATGAATGTAGGTTAATAAGGCACTATGATCTTATCGTAACTTATTTAGAGAGGTTTATGCGGTGGGTGTCTAGTAATAATGCTTAGGTCATATTTCTTTATTAAAAAATAGGGATTGCAATTTGCCTCGCCCAGCCACGCGAGCGGGACGGAATGGGGATGGGATTTGCTCGCCCGCCTCGTTTGCCCCATTTCTTTTTTTTCATTAAAATTATAATTATACCCCATATAAAATCTATAATTAGTGACTTTTAGGGTTTATTTTCTATATAAATTATCATTTTTTTGCTATAATTTAAAATTTGATAGTAAAATTTGATAAAATGAGATGAAAATAAAAAATAATAATTATTGCCTCGTTTCAAGCGGGGATGGTACGAGAAATTTTGCCTCGTTTTGGGCACGGGGCGGGGAGGGGAAAATTTTTTAGGGGTGGAGCGGGGACGGGGATCCTCGTTTGGGGCACGGGGCGAGGATGGGAAAAATTTTTAGGGGCACCATCCCCGTCCCCGCCTCGCCCCATTGCCATCCCTATTAAAAAGTTGCTATAAATTTTTTTCGAGTTTCCTTAAATTGTTTACCTTTATTCATTCACCTTGTTAGGTAGTCATTAATGTAATTATCTTACTAAATTATTTGTTACTATTTATTTATAATAATTACACAACCATTACTGCTCGCATCATTTCGTTATTACTAGTTTGATTACACACCTCATCCGTTTACATAAAAAGACTAATTTTATGCCAATTACTACAAAATTGGTTTATTTGCTTTCGCACAATTATCGAGTCATATCGCTTACTTGTTTCATAGCCTTGACTGTTGTATAGGATAGGCCAGCTACATCAAGTACATATAGAATTATAACTCATAATATAATTAAAAATATCATATAGTGGGTCTACTCGAAAATCGAACCCCCATCCAAGATACACACGTCGGGTGCCTTTTTCGATGATCGGTTTCGTAGAAGAGTAGGTCATAGTGGTTTACTTATCTACACCACAAAAAACTAGATAAGCGATAACTCGGTAAGCTAATGGATGCATGCAATACATGTTCATGTACATGCAAGTATGCAATATTGCTTTATGTAAAGTAGGTCTCCTTTTTCCTCATGTCATAAAACATAAAACAATCTGAATTTTTTTTTTTCGTATGTGGACATGTCTTGTTTAGGTGCTTCAAGGTTTCCATAATATATGTCGGGCGAACCGGACCGGTTCACGAACGCACCCTACCGAGCCTCTAAAAGTGTAAGTCCGCACTTGCCCGACCCCGAACCATTACCATCAACTATATGGAAAACCCATGAAGTCATTTCCTCAAAATCTCAAAGTCATGAAAATCTTTTCCTTTAAAATCATTCGATTGTTATCGGATAACCATGACATAACATATATTTTCATGACTTAAAACATTATTCATTAGCTAAGTATGCGTATGCGATTATAATGAACTAGCATGCTCGTATAAATTCATGAATGCCTACTTTGAATGGTTATGTAACCAAGTCATAAGAATTGATATAAAATTGGACGAGCATAGCAACACTATCAACATCAATCCAATATAAACCAACACGACCATCATTAGCACGTCAATCATCATAACCCAATTCTCATCGTCAATCACATTCAAGCATAACCATTATTCATAACCTAATGCATTCATATAACATTTGAAATAACATAATCATAACATAAAGAAAGATTAACATTTTTGTTCCATTTCTTTGTTCATTAAAATTACCTTTCACTTTACTTTCTAAATTCTTTTCCCTAGGTTCTTACTTATCTTTCCATATTTGATATTTACCAAATTAAGTATCATTTCATGTTATAACCTAACTAGGTATTATTTCATTGATTTAGGAGGTTCAATTTTTGTTTGGGCCTTAATGGGCCTAAGGCCCAGTTTTTCTTTAAATTTTTATGAGCCTTTTTCATTCTAAACCATCATTTTATTGTGTTTTGAGTTTGAATCGTCAAATTTTTTCCTCTTACCACCAATGGAAGTGATCTAGCCCGAGTAGGTTGTTTTGATTTTGGGCAAAACAAAGAGTCAATTACTATTATCCATAGATAATTAGCCATAACTATCCTTCAATAGTATTACGTTTATGTTGTTTTGACCTAAGAGGTAGTTCAATGTCAACCAAAAAGTAGGCGTGTTCGACACTCTGGTTTAGCTCGAGGAGTGGTGAATTTAGTTTTGATTGATGCAAATGTAGTTTGCAAATATCTTATTATTTATAAATATAAAAAAACAATAATTTATTTATGTTGAAATTATACTTAATTGTTTGTAAATATCATAACTATAGAGCAATTAACTAAGTCACAAAAAAAGATATATATATTTTTTTTAAAGGTGTATTGAGTAAATTTATTTAACATTTAGTAATCACTTACTTGCAACGACGTGAAGAGTATTTATTTTTATATTTAAGGTAATGAAATACATTTTTAGTGCTAATTTCTCAACATTATTGATTAATACAATTACAATATAATTAACAATTTTTGAAAGATAAGATGAATTAGTATAAGAAATAAAAATATTTAATATTTTGTAACTTGAAGGTATTATAATTATAATGCCTCCAAGTAAATAAATATAAAAATTGCCTACGTGCGTGCGACTAATCTGTAATTGTATATAAAAGTATCAACTAGTTAAAAACTTTGATTGGCTATTGCATCATTAATGTAATACAAACACCAAAACACATATCCCAATACTAATATTAATATGTAAATCCAACGTGACCTTTACGTAATAATAACGACCAACATTAATGAAATTATTCAACTTTTTTTAGTTAGGTTATGATGCTATTTTCTTTTTATACACTTCATATATCTTAAATTATATAAAATAATTTTTTAAATCATTCATAACCTATACAATACTGTAATGACACTTTATTTTGGCTACTAAAAATTCTAAAAAACTATAAAACTCTGAAAATTCTTGAAAACAAGCCAATAAAAATCAATAAATTAAAATGCAAAAATAATATAATTTAGATTATTAATTTGATTTTCTTTTTATTTTATATGATATTTCTTATTATCGTTATGTTTCTTCCAACTCCACGAGATAAAAGATATCGCTATCCGACGCTTAAAAAAAACTTATAAACGCTATAATACCAATACTAATGTTGTCAAACTAAATGCTAATATGGCTTCAAATAAATTTCTCATTCAAACCATACATTTTATCTATTCATGTAATATATATATTATTTCACAGGTTTATTTGAATAAAAAACTCTTTGACAAAAGAATTTAAAAATACAAGAATAATGATAGTAATTGCGGTTTTTTTCCTGAAAATTTCACAATAAAATACAAACATTAGCGTCTATGAATATAATGCTTTTCAAGTTTTATTTTCTCTTAAAATTTGCAAGAGTTTTCAACCATGATGATGATAATAATAATAATTATTATCATCATTATCACCTGGGTACATGACTATTGACTAGTAAGTAAAGTAATAACGAGAGAGGAAAAAGGGGAAACATAATTCCAATTTGATTCTCCTGCACGGGGCTGCGTCTCTCTCGCTTTCTCTCCGGCAAATTGAAACCCCTTTCCCGGCTCCAAAAGAAAAAACCACTCCACCCTCTCTCTCTACCTTAACAGATATATTCATTTAATTTTAATGCAATTCAAACGCATAATATAACATTTACTCCGGAATCATCACTAACAACCTCCTCTAGTTAATAAATAATGTACGGAGGCTCTTCCAAGCTAGGAGGCCGAGGCGGCGGCCGTGGAGGCGGTGGTGGCTCCGGTCCTAGGCGCTCTTCCTTACCACCTCCTCCGCCTCCTCACCGCTCCACAACTGCCTCCCGCCTCTCCCTCGGTTCCTCCAATAGCAACCCTCGCAACAACCGGCCCGGTCCAATCAATGCCAAGTCGTCGTCGTCGTCGTCAACCTCTGGTGTTGAAGAGAGTTTCTCTTTGATTCCGGGGAATAACCCACTTGCTTTTGCTATGATTATAAGGTTGGCCCCTGACTTGGTGGATGAGATCAGAAGAGTTGAAGGTCAGGGTGGCACTGCTAGGATTAAGTTTGATTCCATGGCTAACAATCCTAACGAGAATGTGAGTGAGTTCATCGAAATTTCTTTTCTTCTGTTTTTGGGGTTTTCTTTTTTCTATTCTAAATTCTTGGGTTTCTTTTATTTTTGGCTTTGGACAATTCTACGTGTTTAATTTTATTTTGTTTGCTACTATTGTTTGTTTTGTTGGTAAATTTATGATTTTTAGGTAAGAACTTTTCTGTCTACTGATTTGTGAGTGTGTTTTCTAAATGGAAACAATGCTCTCCCCATTTACCACCTCAATGTGATACATTTTGGAGTATCATTCCGCCTCTGCTTGTATTTGATAAGTTCTTTCCACGCTTACCTCTGACTCTTAGGGTAGACAAATTAAGCTGGTCATCCTTGTTGTTGTTAACTTTTTACCAGTAGCAACATCATTATCGTTATTTACCAGGTGTATTTAGTTTAGATTAAGGCAAAAAAAAATAATAATAATAAAATAAAAAATTCTGGAGGTTTGGATTTGCGTAATAACAATTGACAACCAGTTTGTGAACAAGGGTTTTGTTTGCAATACTATTTCAGACAAAGTCACGTTGCATAGGTTACTATTATTGCAATAGTGAATCTACTAACGAAAAAAGGAACTTGCACATAATTTTGTACGGGATTAACTTAATTGTACATTTTTGATGCTCCTTGTATTGGATTTGTTCCAATCAAAACCGATTCTTAATATCTTTGGTGGCCAATCGTTTCTCAAGCATCTAACTTTAGCTTTATTGTGTTAATATCATTGCATCAGGTTATTGATGTGGGTGGTAAGGAATTCAGATTTACATGGTCGAGAGAATTTGGTGACCTCTGTGACATATATGAAGAACGACAGGGTGGTGTAGATGGAAATGGTTTGCTTGTTGAATCTGGGTGCGCCTGGCGCAAGGTGAATGTCCAACGAATCTTGGATGAGTCAACTACGAACCATGTTAAGAAGCTTTCTGAGGAAGCTGAGCGGAAACTTAAATCACGCAAGTATGTCATATGATGTTGTCAGGGGCTTGTTTTATGCCAACTTTATTTCTTGGAATTATTTAATTTGCGATGTGCCTAGGTTTCTTGAACATGTTTTTCCTTAATCATTGTTTGTTTGAATATCTCTTTGGATTTTATTGCTTGGTATTTTTAGTACTATTCACTCGAATGTTTTGATATAATAAGCAAATAGATTTGTACTTGCAGATTGACTCTTGTTGATATTGCTAGAAATGTTGATCTTGCATCATGTTCCTTTGCTATTATCTGCAATAAATCCAACTGATCGTTTTTTGCTATATTAGGCATTTCATGCAAGATCCTTTAGCAAGTTCTTCCACTGGATGCTTTATTTCATAGTTTGTATACTTGATTCCATAATGTATACTGTGGCGTTTCAATAGAAGTTTCAGCTTAGTTGTTTTTAGGCGTCAATTAAGTAGCTTGTGTTATCCTGACCAATTAGGCTTTATTATATATTAATGTGGATGGTCTTTTTAATCTCTGTAGTCCGACTTTCATATGAAAAGGAAACAATGGATCAGCAAGCCCTCGATTCAGTTTCTTTGCAAGATCTTTCTTTGTAGAGACTTGCATTCTTGCTGATTGTTGTCCATAGTGATCCTTGATTACTTTTGATTGACAGTTATTCAATGTTTTTGAGCAGAAGGCATAGCATTGAAAGTGATACCTCTTTGATATGTTTGCTACCACCCATAATCTAGTTTAACTAATATTTTAATTTTAATTTTTTTCCTGATGATAGAGCTATCGTGTTAGACCACGGTAACCCAGCCGCGAAGAGTCAAATAAAGCAATTGGTTGCTGTTGAGTGTAAGTTGATTTAGATCCCGATCCTTTTACTTTCTGCCATGTCTGTGTTTTTTTCTTCTTTCACTTGACTTTACCTTAGAGAAGAGAATTCAACAAACCATTTAGGTATGTCCCTGAAATGTTTAGGATGATGTGTATCCCATTGTCCATTGAGGGCATATTCCTATGATTTTTTTTTCTTATGGAAATATGTCCTGTCAAACAAATGGAGCTTTAGTTGTTTTGTTCAATATCTGACATGTTTTTCTTGTTTCCAGCTAATCCATGGAGGAACTTTAAGCAAAAGAAAGAACCTCCAATTAAAAAGCGGAAAGTTGAGCCTCACCAAGGTATACTCATGGACTTCCATGTAATTAAAAAATGTATTTTATTCTATATGGTCTCTGCACAGAAGTGTAAGAAACTTAAAACCCCTGTACGATGGCATTTTTCTTTCTTACTGTTGCTCTTCTGCTCATTTTCTATTTCAATTTTTATTGGAATTTGCTTAAACTATGCAACAATTGCAGTTGGAAGCCTCCCTAAATCCACCTTCAAATCTGCACTGCCTTCGACTGCAAGCACGAAGGGTAGGCACTCCTCTTCACCTCTATCATCCCCACTTGGGCAATCTGGTGCTCCAGCTTCTCCATTTGGAACTGGAAGCATCCCGAAGCGTCATGGCACAGAAGACTACATTCCAACCCACGTGAAAAGTAAAGAGAATGCTGCTAGCTCAGAGAATGAAATCCCAACCAAGGCTTCTAGTGCTTTATGGGAGACACCTGGTCGCAAAGGGAACTTGGGGGCCAAACCAATGGATTTGCAGAGTATGTTGGTTAATTTACTTATTCAGAATCCTAATGGGATGAGCTTGAAGGTATGAGGCAGATGCTTCTATCTGAAATACTTATTACTGAATATTTGGTTCTACATTTGCTACTTGCTGCTTCTTCAGTTTGTTCCAAGCTTGCTTTGTGCTTAGATGCGTTTCTGTGACTGGCTTTTTACTGGTTTCTCTGGTCCTTGTTAACTCCCTCTCTTGTGTTTTGTAGGCCTTGGAAAAAGCTGCTGGGGATACAATTCCAAACTCTGCCAAGAAGATTGAGCCCATTATAAAAAGGGTAAGCAGTTTAAACCTTGATGTTAGTGGTTTTAGAATAGCATATGATCTTATGTCTTCCATTCATTCTTGAGCCTCAGATAGCTAATTTTCAAGCTCCGGGAAGATATATCTTGAAACCAGGAATGGAGTCAGAAAAATTCAAGAAACCTTCACCTGGAAGTGGAAGGTATATGCTAATTCATGTGATAGAAGTCTGCTTTAATTTGGTTGCTTCTTTGACCACATTGTTACAACAACCTGTTTTGTTCTTCTTTCAATTGCTACTAGATCTTAACAATTTTTCCCAGAAGAGTGAAATGAAATTAGGATTTTTGGCAGAATTACTTGGGCACCGTTTGGCATAGTGTTTCTGTTTCTTTTTAAGGTGGTTTTCGATGGTTTTGACATATGCCTTTTCAGATGACAAGCACCTTTGAAAAGCACTTTCAACCGCATTATCAGATGCACAATTTCCAATTATTGACACATAATTAATTGGCTGAGAAATAATATCCTGCTTTGATCTCCTTTCATTGTTACTTGGCTGAGAAATTGATCTTGCAAGGGCATAGAATCCCTTTATGCCAAATCTCTCAATATATGTTGATTTTTTAGAATGCTTTTTCTTTTTTGTGCTTGTCTTAAGCCAATAGGTTATGGACCTTTTTAATTATTAATCTTGCTCTAAACATTTGGGAATTTATGTGTCATTCTTGGAAATTTCTTTTCCATGCTTTAATATTTTTTGTGATCTCTGTATTTTGTTGGTTAAACTTTCTCGTGGAGTAATTGAAATTGAAATGAATCTATAGGATGCCATTGGGTTGGTGGTGCTGCTACCTTCTTATAACTGTGGGCTCTAGTCATGATGTTGCCCTATTCTGCTGTAGTTAATGGTCCCCTTGTGAAAACTAATGAAAATTGAATAAAAACATTCTGTATGAACACTCTTTGAAGTTCATTGTCTTGTGTCTATTTGTGTGTGTATATGCAGCACATGGTTATTACATTTGTTTCTTTACTTCCAGTTCTCCTGAAGACAACCGTCAGCAAGCACATGCTCCTGAAGATGATCGTGATCAGAGACGTGATCCAGAACCAAAATTTTCTGAGAAAACTCCTGCTGTTGCCTTGAAGGAACCGCTTCAGTCAAACTCTAGACTTGGAGAAGAATCGAACGCATCAGAAAAAGTTGACATTGATCAGTCTTCTCCTGATTTGTTTGGTGAGAAGAAGGTTTCTGAAAACAGTGAAGGGCAGGTAGGCAGCTCTAGCGATAGCGGAAGTGACAGTGACAGTGAGAGTGACAGCAGTGATAGCGGCAGTGACAGTGGAAGCCGCAGTAGAAGCAGGAGCAAAAGTAGAAGTCCGGTAGGAAGTGGAACTGGGAGTAGCAGTGACAGTGAAAGTGATGCGTCTTCCAACAGCAAGGAGGGTTCTGATGAGGATGTTGATATCATGACAAGTGATGATGACAAAGAACCCCAAAATAAGTTACGTGCCTCTGAACCAGGATCAATAGCATCATCCAATCCTTGGAGGTCTGTGCCGAATGGGACTGATGAGAAGCTAGATGGTGATGTATCTGATGCAATTGACATTGATGGCCATGGCTCTGCTGCAGTTGACATTGAGGGCCGTGGCTCTGCTGCAGTTGACATCGAGGGCAATGAATCTGCTGCTATTGACATCGATACAGACTTGGCTGGTGATGAAAAGGACAATGAAATAGCTGCAAATGATAGTTTGGTTTCCAGCAAAGAAGGTGAAAAACCTGTGGAAGGAGCAAAATCCATTTTTCCCAATCATCATATAATTGAAGAGCGCGAAACGTTCATAGGAAACTTATTCGATGACGACGACAATGTGGTAAGGGACAGCTCTAGGCATGAGCAGTCTGACAGCTCGGAGAGAACATTGAAAAGTAAATCCAAAAGGGGCCTGGATGCAAAGCATTTTGATGGTAAATCTGACCGTGTCAAAAGATTGAAAGCTGAAAGCTTGTCTCAAGTGCCCATTTCTAGGGGTAGGGATGCCCAGTTCTCGGAGAGTCCTCATGACAAACACAATGAAGACATGTACAAGGGTCCTGGCTTTCAAGTGATGGATAGAGCTGATAAACAAGCAAATGATTTTGGCTCAGAAAAGCAATATAATCAGGCATTTTCTGGAAAATCTAATTTAGATTTTCAACAATCAGGTCGGAGGTCTTCTGATCAAAGTGCAAGGTTGAAAGCTCCTGAAGCAGCAAGCAGATCCAAACATGCTGAGGGCTCAGGACATGGTCGTAAGTTCCCAGAAAAGGGTTCTCATGTGCATGAAACTTTTCCCATTCAAAGAGAAAAGGCTTATAGAGATGCTCAAAATGAGGATAATTTTTCGAAGGAGAAAAAAGTGCCAAGAAATTCCAAGGAAGGCAGTGCAGGAGGTAGACATTCAGCGCCCTTTGATTCCCATTACAGGAAACAAGGGGAAGCATTTGGAAAACCAAAGGATGCTGGACAGGTTTCAAACTCACATGTTGGGTTTTCACCGAAGGACACCATCAGAGTTGACATGGAAAAGTACCCGGTTGTTAGTGGAAGAGGCCTCGAGAGAGAGCTTTCAGACTTGGAGTTAGGAGAACTCCGTGAGCCATTGCCTGAGGAAACACCAGTTAAAAAGCGGTTTGAAAGGAAAGGTTCTTTTAAGCAGTTGGAGAACAAATCAAGCACTTCAGATAACCATAATGCAGAATTGAACAAGGGTAAACCTGTGGGAAAGGTAACATTGGACTCGGTAAAGTGCTCACCGAATCCAAGTGTCGGGGTTAAGAGGTCCCCAGAACGTCGTGTTGATGATTTAACAAGACTTCACCATAAAGTCGTGCAGTCTCAGCCACAACATCTTTCAAGAGTAGATAATCTTGATGTTGGATCCGAGTTCGGTAAGTTGGCTGATACAAGTAGCAGATTGAGACAGAATGAAACTGGTGCAAAGCTAGGAAATAGTATGGAAGGCTATGGAGAAAGCAACAAGAAAGCCCCTCTCAGTGCACAGAAGCTGCATGAATCTAAACGTGGACCGCTTCCCCACTCGATAAAAGAAAGTAAAACTCAATCGTCTAATTCAATGACAGACTTGATAAATGGACGGAAAGATACAATTAAGACAGAGGGTAACAACAACATTTTCAAGAAGAGGGAATCTTCTTCTGAGGAAGACAGCTCTTCATATTCCAAGTATGAAAAGGATGTACCAGAGCTCAGAGGACCAATTAAGGATTTTTCTCAGTGAGTAATCATAGTTGTTTGGGATTGAGGCTTTGTTATTGTATAGCTTGCATTGTTCCTTTCATCGACAGATTAAAATTACTCTATTCTGTGACATGAAATTTAAATCATGTGCTCTCTGTTATTATACAGGTACCAAGAATATGTGCAGGAATATCGTGATAAATATGATAGTTACTACTCCTTGAACAAGATCCTGGACAGCTACAGGTATCATAAAATTCTTCTTGTTTCTTTTTTTTTAATAAGAAAATATTTCTTTTGCAGTTTGCTAGGTTTGAACTGGTGCTATTTGGGTTTGTTTTCTAATTATATTTGTACGCTTAATGTTGTATGCAGGAATGAGTTCCATAAACTGGGAAAAGACCTTGAATCTGCAAAAGGCAGGGATATGGATAGATATCATAACATCTTGGTGCAGTTGAAGGATTCTTATAGGCAATGTGGAAAGGTGTGCTTTAAAAGTCTTTTTGTGATACCTTTTCTTTGGCATTTTGCATTTACTCTCGCAAAAGTAGGAGTTAGACGATGGCTGGACCTGCATATGCTTTATGGAAAGGAAAAGGTAACACCAACACAAATAATGGAATGGAAGTTAAACACTTGATGATTCCAGGTGGTTTTTTGGCTGAAATTGTAGAAAGCAGTTTGCAAATATGCAAGGACAAGGTAGAAATGGTTGGGTGAAGATTGTTATCAGTGGGGTAGGAATTAGGATTCCGTTGCTAAGTAAGACACCGGTTCCTGGAACTTGCATCCATTTAGACACTTGAAGTTGGCAGTGGTTAGGAAAAAACATGTGACCAATTAATTGTTTCATACATCGATTCGTCCGAAGTTGTAGAATCCATTATGTGAGGTCAGCATTTCCTTGTGCACATACTTTTCCTTGTCTCTACTGTGTTAGTTTCTCACTTAGTATTTAAAGAGCATAGGCATAGGGCATCTCCCTTTAATAAGTGCTTCTGTGAATATATCAGATAACAAAGTGAATTAGGTAGAGTCGTTATGTTCCATTTTCATCCATCTGCTTGATTAGAATGTTGGCACCCACAATTTGCAACTATATCAGTTGTATCTAATCATAAAGAAGATGGTGAAATGCCTTGAATGGTAAAAGTAGCTGTTTCTTATTTTGAGGAAGGTGAGATAACTGGGTGACAAAGATAAGGAGGGTAGTTCGATGACCGATTTGATGAGTTCAAGTGTGGGAGTTCGAAGTAACTACAGAATGTTTCTCATTTTGAGGATGGTGAGATGAATGAGTTGTGACTGTAACAGCCAGAAAACTAGACTTAACTAAGAAGTGAGAAGATCTGTTGCTATGCTATTGGTAGGATCATTAACTAATAAGATCACCAATTAATGAATACAGGCATTTTGAAATAACTGCACCATGTGGTTCCCTGGAAGCAATTTTGGTTGAGATGTCACTGGACAGCAAGTAGAAGATTATTATGACATTTATTTATTTTGATGCATGCTCCTTGCGTACCATGCCCAGTCCATTAGGTTTGTGCTAGAGTTTGAGGTCTTGATTTTTCTATTTTCAATAACAGAGGGAAGGATATTTGTTAGTTTGGTAGCTGCATATGTGCCGAGTACATTGAGTTTTGTTGTTATCCTTTGAACTTAACCACTAGGAAGCGGAGACTGGTAAATTTTTTTCTTTTTTTGAGGAGGAAACTAAGCACATCTACATAGCTTTGCTTTTAGATTCCTTTTCCTTTTTAGACACTTCTGACCTGTGATGATATGGCTTGCAGAAACACAAACGGCTGAAAAAGATATTCATAGTACTCCATAAAGAACTAGAGGTGATTCATCAAACTTGCATTCGACCTTGATATTTATATATTTATTTATTGTGCTTTATGGAATGAGACATCTTCTCTCAATGCAGCACCTTAAGCAGAGGATTAAAGACTTTGTGCACTCGTATACACAAGATTGAACTTTAATTCAGTGCTTTGATGCAAGTTTTACAATCTTTCGTCCACGATCCCAACTTGTGCTATTCCCTTGACAATGTACAGAGAGATGTAACGAAAAAAAGGAAGGATGTCCGAGAGTGAAATATATTCTTTTTGTAGAAAAGTAGAATATTTTTGTTAGGTATCCTAAACTTTGGTCTGAACGCATGTGTGCTAGGGTCCCTCCATGCATGCATGGGTGTAAAAGGTACAATTTTCCTACCAGGTGTGCATTAGTCGCTGCTTATTTGTACACCCATTTTTCTAAAAAATAAAAAATAAAAAATAAAAATTTGTGTAGAACTGTTACATCCATGTGCGAGTTGTCCTATTTGATGCATAATTTTCTTCATTGTTCATTTCTTCATAGGTGGGAGAGGGAAGGGACACCGGTTATAAAATTTTCAAACTTGCATTACTTGATAGCTTAATTTGGGATGGTTTTTCACCTTGACTCTTTAGAACTTTGCTTATCAGAGTTGGAAAAAAGAAACTGTTGCCTTTCTTTTCCATGCAGGCCGAGTTCATTCCTTTCTCCAGCCTTTAGAGGGCTAAAATGCACCGATTTTCTTAATATTTGATTTCAATACATGAACTATGGGGTTTTTAGATTGGAATGTTTTTTGTTGCGTTCCGATTAGAACTAGTGGTGAGACTACCTTTGGTGATAATGGGATTCAAATTTGGCATGGATTAATTCGTGGTTAAGAAATCTATCATTTGGCAGTCTCGTAATCCTTCCTCTGTTCATATATTCTCATTCCCCTTTTCTAAAAGCCTTGAATGTTAAACTTCCAAGCAAAGATTTCCATCATTGTGAAAACGACGACTTCTGAAATTTCACCTGATGTATTTCCATACATTTTCTCTCTCATGCCAATTAGGATTGGTATCCTCTCTCCTCTCAAACATCCCCAGTCGGAATAGCCCTTTTGTAACAAAGAAATAAAAACAATTTTGTAATTCTATTAGTGTTTGTATCCTTCCTCCTCCTAAGAGATATCTTGTAACTCAATTGGTATTAGGATTCTTTCTCCTCTCAAGAGGTCTCTAGTTCGAAACTCTCTTTTATAAAATAATAATAATAGTAAAATAGATAAATAAAAATAATCTAGTAACAAACAAAAAATTAAAATAATAACAACAATAATAAAATTAAATAAAAATTTTCTTGTAACTCTATCAGTCAATGATTTACGTTTCGTATCTCTTCTTTGAAACAAATAATAAATATAAATGAATAAAAATAATCTAATGTATCCCTTTTCAAAGAAGTAAATGAATGTATCTAAGGATTATTTATTTACTGCTGTCAACATCTACAGAGTTAAGATGCACACAAACTATATGTATATAACACAGATGGATGTCCTCGGCCTGTGCATGGATCCTCCTCAAATTCAAGGCTGTAAGCTTAACGAGTCAAGCGTGTTGGAAAAATCTTGCCTGGCCCATAAGAAAGTAATGGCAAATGAGAAATAGTCTTTGCATTTCGAATTTTCCAGCTTGTGGATCAACTGCTTCAACCCTTTTTATCAATCGAAGCATCCAAGACTGGACTCTTCTACGTACATGCATATGTGCAAAGAAGACCGGCATCTTTGCTTTACCGTTTTATAGGCTGGTGCCTGGTCGCATCCTTCGTCTTGTTAAACCCGGAGCGACAGTGATATGACTTCCTTAATTTCTTCCCTCTCCCATGTCTATATATAGTGATCATGACATTCACGTAGTTAAGCACAATACTAAATACACTCGTTGCCTGAAATATTTACATGGCAATTAGGAAGGCAGATTAATTTAGGGTTTTAGAGGTCCGAGATGGCAATGTGTTCGATCTGGTGTAACATTTGGTTTTGCCGTGGTGGTATTGTTGCGTGGTTGGTGACATCCTAAGTGAGTGCCCTCTTCTTTCATTTCAGTATGATCTGCCTCTTCCTTTTCTTTTCTTTTTCTTCTTTGTACGATCAAATCAAGTAGGCAACTAGGCATAAATTATCATCATCTTTGTTTACTTTGTTTCTTTTTTCTTCCAGCTTTTGATTTCGCCACCAACGAAATACGATGTTCTCCGAGTTGCAAAGGGATCTTTCGATGCATGCTCATCTTCAAACTCAAATGGAGACACAATTACTACTGGTCCTGTTAACCCTTGACTCTGCTGGTGAACACTATCATATCTGTACGGTTGGCCGGCATTGTCAGGTTGGACAGAAGCTAGCTATCACTGTCTCATCAGGCACATCAGAGGCTTCACCACCCTCAACATCTCCTAGACAATCTCCACCGACGGCTCCTACAACCAGTCCTTCACCTTCTTCAAATAGCACACCGGCTGATTATGCTCCAACACCGGCATCAAGCCCCAAAAACTCAATAACTCCTGGGCCATCGGCCTCACCACCCTCAACGACGCCTAGACCAACTCCTTCAACCAGTCCCTCACCTTCTTCGAATAGTGCAACTGCTGATTGTGCTCTAACACCAGCATCGAGCCCCGCAGAGACTCAATAAGTACTCCAGGGCCATCGTTTCCAGCCATCGCTCCTCCACCTGGTTCATCATCTTCTACTGTAGTGGCAAGTTTCTGGGTGTCCATGTTGGCTGCTGTCATTGGTTGGTTTTTTAAGATTCTGCAAACGGAATATATATATATATATGTGTGTATGTATATATATATATATATATATATTAATTCTTATTTGATGGAAATTCATTAATGTTTTGCTTTACAAATAGATTTGTTTATAGTGGATGGGATGTATTCAATATTTTGATTACGACTAAATTAATATAGTTAATTAGCCTATTGATATTTATATGATCGTCAATTTTTGGATAATTCAACTATATTATATAACTTTTTTGGGCTTTATTAAAAATGCTTTTACGTGCTTTTGATTTTAAAACATATCATCAGATATATTTTACTTTGAAAGAAAACTATTTTACTTTAAACTAAAAAAAAATTATGATAGGGTTCACTGTTCTTTTAAGTAAAAATACATTTAAAAAAAAGCATTTTATACAATTAATTCCATCAATTATATATTTGAATTATTTTATAGAAAAAAAATGTTTTTTTTTCCTACTCCATTTAATTTGACTGTCAGATTAATAGTTTAAATTTTGATAGATAATTAAAATCCAACCTTAAAAAAATTATTTTTTGGTATTTTGAATTAAAATATTTTAGCAGCTCAATCAAAGCAGAGAGGAAATGTTAGGCTAACAAAAAATCTTTTGGAGATTGGAAAATGTTTTATATTTTTTAATAATAAAAGCTTAATAAAGTGTGAAAATAGAAAATAAGCTAAATCCAATCTCATCTAATTGAGAAGAAGATCAACATTTTTGGAATTCTTATAGAAAATAATCGCTATTAATCAAGGTATTCCACCCCGCCCCCGCCCGCCCCTCTCTCTTTTTTGTGAAAATCAAACATTCATATAATTTATCGTGCTTTTATATTATAATTTATCGTGTTTTTATCTAATATTTATGATATTTATTTTTATCCTATAATCACACTAATTTTATTCAAAATGAAAATCACAACATAGATTTTTATTTTTAACTTAAAACATCGTTTACCTACATTACAATAATAATAAAAAAGCTCTTTTCTCTGTCTATCTTTTTATATTTTGAAAGAAAAATATCAAGCTTTCTTATAACAAAATGATATGAATAATATTGTTTTATTTTTTCTTAACCATATTTATTATTAAATTATAAAAATTTCTTAAAGATTATTAATTTAGAAATTCTTATCTTAAATATATATTTTCAACTTTGTATTTTCTAACTATTAATTATGAAATATTGAACGATAATTCAATTTTATATTCCAAATTTTTATATTTAGAAATTCTAGTCATTTATGCTGCTGTCAATGGGTTCTGTGATCGAATGCCACTAGACAGAATTCGAATCAAGCGAAAAGCAAAGGCATTCGTTGGCACAATTGAAGATTATTTTATATGCCTTAAAAAAATATGCTAATTTGATCACAAACTATCAAACCTTAAATAAAAGTTATTTAATATTTTAAATATCCAATAAATATTTATTAAAAAACTTTAAAAAAATCTATTAAAATTATTAAAAAAAATATTAAATTTATTGTTAAATAATACACCCAAGAAGCCCGTGACAAAAAAAATAAAATAAGAATAATCACCAATATTTAATTCACAAGTTCACCGAATTTATAAAAATAAAGAGAATATATATATACCTAGATTCAAAAATATTTTTTTAATTTTCTATCTTTTTTTTTTTCTTTATTACTAGTATAAAATAAATATCGGCAATGGTATTGATAGTTATTTATTAAGTAGCATAAAATTTATCCAATTTTGTTTTATAGAAAATCAAATTTCTAAATTTAAAATGAAGTAAACTCTTTTGTATAAAATCTCCTCGCAAGAAGTAACGTATTTGGCTCTTGTCGTACAAAGCAAATAAATTTGGGTTATCAGTTTTTATTGAAAAAGAAATACCAAAACAGAAAAGGGAAAAGGTGGTTTTTTTTTCCCAAGAAGCAGCCTCTGTTTTTCTTTTATTAGCTATATTCTGTCTTAAACAGAGAGACTGATCAACAAGAGCCTCTGAGAGGGACTCTTTTCTTGTTTTCGATTACAATAAGCAGCTCGATCTCACTGTCTTAGCATTCACTGACCACTGCTGTGACTGTGACCCAAAAAAAGCTGCAATTATTAGAACCCAAAAGAGGGAGAACCAAACTCCTTGTACATTGCAACTTTGCACAGCCATTCCATTTATCCTCCAGGTACTTCATTTTTACTTTATTTTCTATTTAGGCTTCTGGGTTTTGTTCAAAATCTACAATTAATATCTGGGTTTGGTATAAAATTCAACTTCACGGGTTTATAAGTTCTGGCCATGTTGAATTTGGCCTTAAAACTTGTGTGTTTGAGTAGTTTTGATAGTTTATTGGTTGATTGATCGAGGGTAATTCTTATATTTCGGTTTTTGAGGGTGTTTATTGGGACCTTTTTGTTGGTTTCTAGCAGTAGTTAGCGGTGGATAAGTAAACAGGATTAAAAGGTTGCTACACTTGCTTAAATTTTGGGATGTTTGAATTGTGATGTGTTTTGTCTTTTAAAAAACAAGAATTGGTTGAATTTTTTTAGTAAGCCAAGTTCAATTTTTGTGTGTGGTTTCTCTTTTTGTATCCTTAAATTGGGAAGTAATTGAATATACGGTAAGACTGAATTTTGGTACTGGATGTTATTGGGTGGTTCGAAGGTCTTTGCATGGTTTCGACACATCACACATGTTTAAAATGGATTTATGTCATTTGCGACATGCCAATGTTAATTGTGTTTCTGATATTGGATTAGATAAAAGGTTTATGCCTCATTGTTTCATTTTTTTTATTTTTATTTTTTTGAGATGGAATATATGGTGTTGTTTTAAGTTTGTGATGTTTTTTGCACTGCCAGAAAAATTTAGACAGTAGAAGAAAGTCTGAATTTTATATTGAATGCAACTAAGGCATGCGGTTTCTAGGATCTATCAAATTTGCAATTGGTAGTGGTTTCTGTGTTATTAAGTCACACCTAATGAGATTTATGAGAATCAAATCTTAGCTTTTTTTTTCTTTTTTTTTTTTTGGTCCTTTATCTTGCCCTTTTCATGATCTTTTGGAAACTAATTTAACCTTTGATGGCAGTTACTGACATTTACACTGTTAATGTGATAACAGAATATAGAGGAGTGCCGTGTGGGTTAGATTGTCATGCTGCATGTTGCTACAGGCCGAGGGGATAAGGATGAATTGCACAATGGATGATATGAACTTGATTCAGCAAGCACAGAGGCATCATTTGGTGGTCAGAGAGCTTGGAGAGGAGATTGATTTGGAAATTGGTCATGGAGATGATGACCCTTCATTTGCTACCACTCCTGTGATGGTTGGTCCACCACAAGAACATTCTGCTGAGGACAATGATGAAGTCAAGAATATGATGGCTTCTTCTCAACTTTCAAACGAAGAGCAAGATACATCAAAGACACAACCAGTAAAAAGAAAGAAGAAGGTGGTCAAAAGATGGAGAGAGGAATGGGCAGATACCTACAAGTGGGCATATGTGGATGTGAAAGAAGGAACTGCGAGGATATTCTGCTCTGTTTGTAGAGAGTATGGGAGGAAGCATCGAAGGAATCCATATGGGAATGAAGGCAGTAGGAATATGCAGATGAGTGCGCTGGAAGAGCATAACAATAGCTTGCTTCACAAAGAGGCTCTTCGTCTGCAGATGGCCTCCAAGGATAAGATTGTGGTCGATAAAACCATCTATGTAAAAGGTTGGTAGCTTATCTATGATTTTCTTGTCTGAAGGTTAGATTTTAAGATTTTAACAAGTGGTTTTGTTGTTTGCATATATATTTGAACCATTCTTGTGACTGCATTATGTTATGATAAGGTTTTTCTTGCTGAAATATATTTTTGTCCATGTCATGACAATGCCCCAAAAATGAAGCTCTTATGTCAAAAACGGCTGGATCTATTGTTGAAGCTGTGCTAAAAAGGGACCCTCATGAGGTTGAGTTTATACAATCAGTGCAGGAAGCTGTTCATGCTTTAGAAAGAGTAATTGCAAAAAATTCTCAGTGAGTTTCATATATCGAAACTTTTCTAGTTTCTTCTGTGTTTTTTTTTTTAATCATCCAAAGTGAAAAAAAGCTCAAGTCGAAGTTTATTGTTATCCTCATGAAGTGACTTACTTTGTTTCAGTTATGTCAACATCATGGAACGCTTATTAGAACCTGAACGTATGCTTGTTTTTCGAGTTCCTTGGGTGGATGACAGGGGTGAGACACATGTCAATCGAGGTTTTCGGGTACATTTTAACCAGGCACTGGGTCCATGTAGGGGTGGTATTCGTTTTCACCCATCAATGAACTTAAGTATTGGAAAGTTTCTTGGTTTTGAACAGGTACTCACTGCATTTATTGTCCATCTTCCACAGTTCTCTGTCCCACGTTCACGAGGAAACTTTGCCAAGCATTTCACATTTCTTCCTTCCAGATTGAGGGGCATTAAGCAGAAGATATTTGTTTAGAATGCTAGAAACTAAAATGGATAATCTAATGTGCCCTACATTAATAAGAGGACATAGCTCTTGCAAATGCTACATTATGTCATTCTCTATTGCTCTCTACTTTGCTGCAGACATTAAAGAATGCCTTATCACCATACAGACTAGGAGGGGCTGCTGGTGGAAGTGATTTTGATCCCAAAGGAAAAAGTGATAATGAGGTGATGTTGGTGCATTCTATATTCTGACAGCGTTATAATCTTTTCATTTGTAATTCTCAGAAATTCTGAAAGTTTTTTGTATCCTTTTATGAAACCTTCTCTGACAGATTATGCGCTTCTGCCAAAGTTTCATGAATGAGATCTATAGATATCTAGGTCCAGAAAAGGCAAGTAGAAGAAGATTCTGTTGTTCTAATCTCTAATTGCCCACTCACAGTTCTGCTGATCTGATTTCATCTTGTAACATTTTAGGACCTTCCATCAGAAGAGATGGGTGTTGGTACTAGAGAAATGGGGTATCTATTTGGACAATATAGACGCTTAGCAGGTCACTTTCAGGTACTTGTACTTGTCCTTATCTAGTGCTTGCTTCTCCCCTCCTTTTTTATAAAGCAGGCTATTTATTAAAAAGAAATAGAAGTGAATGAACAATACTGAAATACAGAAGTATCCCCCCAAAGAGCAAAAGGCAACCCAAGAAACAACTAAAAGAGCATTTCAATCCCTCTGTATATCAGCTTGGGTCCCATTGGCTGATTGACTCTGCGAAGGCAAGGAAAACTATATTATCCTGTAAAGAACTGCATCGTTGAGAAATAAATTTTGAAGATTGTTGCATTCTCACTCACCAGTTGTTGCTATTGGATAGGATGTTCTTAAAGATTAATGAATACTTAAAATGTTGTGAATGTGTGCATGTTTTTCTCCCTCCTTTGTTGTGTGTGCATGTTGAGGAGATTGTGAAGATTGAGGGAAAAAGAAAAAAGATGGGAGAAGAGACTAAAGCTTTCAATTGAAAAACTCCTCCTTCTGGAACTCCATAGAACTAGGACTAGATGTAAGTGCACGGGAAAGGAATGGTTTCTCCAACCCATAGCTTTCTTTAGGAACTCTAGATCACAACGAACTAGGACAGAGAATTGTTCTTGTTGGAATCCTATATCATGGCCATGTCTATTATGATTTATTTGAAATCTTAGCTGTTCGTTTTCTACCCTGTTTTCTACCCTTCGACAGGCTAATTTCCTCATTTAAAAATCAAATTGTCAATGGTGCTCTTCTTGGTATAAAAGTGAGCTGTACATTCTTAAACTGAAGGTTGCTAGTTCTAGATAGTCAAACTATGCCATAACTTTATTATGTGAGATGTGCTTTTCCTTTCCATTATTATTATTATTATTATTATTTAGGGGGAGTGTTTTAGGGGAGCACTCTCCTTCATGTACCTTCCACTTTATATATATATATATATATATATATATCTAGTTATTGTTATGCCATTATTCATTGTGGAAAGACTTATGTTTGCCTCCTTTATGCAGGGAAATTTTACAGGGCCAACGATATTTTGGTCTGGTTCTAGCCTTCGAACCGAAGCTACTGGCTATGGGCTGGTAATGAGACTCTTAGATACTGCACATGCGCATGTTTTAAGTTTTGTGATTTCTAGCTGTGTGCTTGCATGTGTGAAATTCTTTATTGCATATTTTGTGATTGTTACCCGTGTGTAAAATTCTTTATTCTCTGGTATGCTATATATCTGTCTTCTTAGTGAGTTTAATTAACTCACTGTATGACTCTTGAATCTTGATATCTAACAAATTTATCATGCTTTTGCAGGTGTTCTTTGCGCAGCTTATGCTTGCTGACATGAATAAAGAGATCAAAGGATTAAGGTTCCTCCCTTAACTCTGAAAACTTGTTACTGTTGATGACAAGATCACACAAGCCAATGGCATAGTGTAGGCCAATAGGAATATGTTCTTATATGTTCTATAATGCACAGTGGGATGTAATGTGTTTGAGACATGATTGGCTTTGATTCTTGCAAATATCGGAATATTTCTCACCTTTGTTAGGCTTATTAGCTGCTTAATGTACTGAATAAAGCATTTAGTTGACAGCGAGGTTCTTCCGCAAATTCTTAGTGTTTTTTTTTTTCTGAATATCCCATTCAGATGTGCTGTAAGTGGTTCGGGAAAGATTACAATGCATGTCCTAGAGAAGCTTATTGCTTACGGCGCTCTTCCCATCACAGTATCAGGTACATTTAGTTGGTGGTGAATATTTAAACAATCGTATTGAGTGATGGGGTCTAGCATCTCAAATTTTTCCCCCTGGTCAAAATATCTCAACAAGATCAAGCTATGTTGATTATCATAATCACAATATCAATAACACCATTCAGTTTTAGTTGATTAAGGTTCTTTTATTTCACATAATTTTCTCTGAAAAGTGTTTCTTTCAACTTCTGTAGAAGAGCAAGAGGAGTTATGCCTTTAAGGTTTTGTAGGTCTTTTATCTTGTATCTCATCAATACGGATATAAATACAAAAAAGCTTTCTATTTCTTGATGTGATTTTGTTTTTTCGGTTCTTCCACTTTCAGTATTTCTGATATTTAGGGTTTAATGGCCATGTGGTTGAGGTTTTACAGTGGAGACTTTTTGATAAGCAACTCTTATAACATGTATCAAAATATTGGACAGATTCAAAGGGGTATTTGGTGGATGAGGATGGATTTGATTACATGAAAATATCATTTTTGAGAGATATCAAAGCCCAGCAGAGAAGTTTGAGGTGTGTTTTCCTTTGTCGTCATTGATCTTTTTGCTGAGTTGATCTGTTGAAATTTTATTGTATTATTATAAATGTTGAATCTGCAGAGACTACTCAAAGACTTATGCTCGGTCTAAGTACTATGATGAAGCAAAACCTTGGAGTGAAAGGTGTGATATTGCATTTCCTTGTGCTTACCAGAATGAAATTGATCAATGTGATGCCGTTAATCTGGTTAACTCAGGCTGTCGTATCCTCATAGAAGGTAGGGGTTCCCAACGTAATCCCTTACGGCTTTAGTATTTCTTCCTCCTTCATGACTTTCAAAGTTCATATCAATTGATAGGGACTCTGCAATATTCTCTGTTTCCTAGGTTCAAACATGCCTTCTACTCCTGAAGCTGTTGATATTTTAAAAAAAGCCAATGTTCTCATTGCTCCTGCTATGGCAGCTGGCGCTGGAGGCGTAAGTTATTCCAATTAACTTGTGCATGATAAATATTCTATTACACGTTGAGAAAGAACAATGTTGGGAATTTATGTTTGACATGTTACAACTTCACCACATACTCTGGATGTTTGACTGAGCTCAACTTTTGAAAAGAAATGCATCTTATCATGATTATGAAGCAGGTTTGTTTCCTTTTTTCTTTCAATGGGGAATATAATGCAAATATTCAAAAGATTGTGGAAGTCCAGGGACATAGGTGCCAAAATTATTGAAATCAGAATAATTTATTTTTGAGCCTTGACGATTTTATTCAGCCTTTTTATATGTGTGTGCTAAATCAGTAATATATCTGGGTGCAGGTTGTTGCTGGGGAGCTTGAATTAAACCATGAGTGCAATTTGATAAACTGGTCACCTGAGGACTTTCAATCTAAATTACAGGTAATGCTATTTTGCTTTTATAATTTTCTTGTTGGTTTGAATATTTTCAAGCTGGAACAGGATTTCTACAAGGCTGAAGCTTTGTGGCCCAAACTGAGAAGCTATATCATTTGCTTGCAAGAACTACCTCACTCAGATTTCCTTCAAAATTGACTCCGAAATAATCAACTCAAAGTTGTTAAATATGTTATTTCAGGTCCATGCATCAAATTAGATTATAATGTTTCTGAAGTGGCCTGAAGTGTTTAAAGGGATCCTTCCCGCTATTGTACTACATAATGACTTGGGTTTAGGTCTGTTTTGGGGTTCAGTAGGTGGATCTGTGCCTTATATGTTAGTTCATTCCTATATTCTCCTTTCTGATAAAAATATACTTGCTTGATGAACACTGCACATTTTAGTTTGCTTGGATTTTTTTTTTTTTTTTGAACATTTTATGTGGATTTTTCAATTATTCCTTTTTTCTGACAGGAAGCAATGAAACAGATCTACCAAAGAGCCTTGAAAGCAGCAAGCGATTTTGGCTACCAAAAGGACAGTCCTGAGTAAGTATCTTCCTGCTATCATTTTCACGTCTAAAATTTTGTCTATATGAGTTGTGATCTGATCTACCAATAGCAAGCAGTTGGGGAATGACTGTCAATCTGAAAATTCTTACTGAGCTTCTTGAGAGTCCTCATGTTTGCCAATTCATATTATTATGCACTGAGTTTTGATTTTTTGCATTTTAATATATGGTGTTATAACGTGTACAATGTATAAGAAAATGGTTATTGAAGTGTTTCTAAGAGAGTCTAAATCTAACAAGAAGTTGACAGTTTGAGACACCACGGCTAGAAGAGCTGATGGTTTGTGACCCAGTTCAATCTGCCAGCATTTTCATCTTTTGTTCTTCTGGGGCAGGGCTTTGGTGCATGGGGCCGTCATCTCTGCTTTTCTAACCATTGCTCGAGCCATGTCTGATCAAGGATGTGTGTAGAAGTCAAGGACAACATATGAAGGGGCCACTATAGTTGTGTGATCTCTGAAGGGGCCACTCCTTAGCATAGAGATGATTGATCATTATCCGCACCATCATGCGGATTCTTAATCCTAGAGAAGGTCGAAGATCTGTATCTCAGCATGTGTAATATCAACGGAGACAAAAAAAGGTAATTGGTGGGAAATTATTACAACATATTTCATGTAAAAATATCTGTAGTTCTAGTTCTAGAATAGAAGGGCATCAGAGCCCAAAGGGGACATCAAGCTGTCCTGATGTTGCGAAATACTGTGATTAGAAATAAAATCAATTATTCGTAGTTATTATTCTTTGAGAAAAATGATCTCTCCTTTTCTAGGCATTGATCTTCTCAAGTTTCACGCATGCGACCCGCACGTACATCAATTTACAACCGAGAACGCACTTAATACATAGATTATTATTATTATTGTCATCATGTGTGTTTATTGGTTTTTAACCAGCTAAATAAGTGGAAAATATTACTCTTGTTTATATGGATGTAATTTTGCGACTTGTGAGGGGGTCGGAAAGCTGTCGATGCTCACTAGGACTTTATTTTAACGTTTTTCTGCGTTGAACAGTGCCAACACAGGTAGTGGTAATGGATTAACTTCACTTACAGAATACTCCAATTGACGTGCTAGATTTTCGCTCTCTCTCAACATGTTCTAAATTCTGAATTAAATCTCCAGTAACCCCTCTTGCCCCTCGCTTGAACAAAAGACAATCAGTCTCCAATCTACACATTCCTCTACCTGACTCAAGAAATAAGTAGGGAAAAGGGAAATAAATACACCCGAAGGACATTGCCAAAAACACAATACATTTCCGGGCCGGATGATGCTCATATGCTGCCTTCGATAACCAAATTACAACACCAAATACTTCCATTTAAGCAGCTCTCCTTGAAGAGTGGGAAGAGTCAGATTTCTCCGCCAGATAGTGCTCAAGCATATCTTCTTCATCATCTGCTGCCATTATATCAAAGAGAGGACATGTTTCATCAGAATGCACATGATAAAGTTCCAAAATTGCTTTCACCAAATAAAAAATCCAAGTCTATAAAATGCCAAAACTATGAATTACAGACTAGGAGAATACTGAATCACCTTCAAAATCATCATCATCAAAGTTGATTTCTTCATCATCCTGATCAGATTCTTCATTGACTGCAACTGCACCTTTCTGCAGAAGGAACTCGCCATATTATTCACTCTTTTCACATAAAATAGGTTCAGTTCTGATGCAATATCTATCTAAACTTTAAACCTTCTCTATGAAAAGACGCCTGGAGTATAACCCTGCCTGCTATTGATATGAACCCAAAAGAAGATGAATCAGAGAGTTCAAGTTAATTTCAAGAAACTAAGCTAAAATTTATATATTGCTTTTATCTTATGGAAAGCTCTGATTTGGAGCTGCCAGTAAAATGGGCAATCAATGTATTGAGCCATCCTTGACTGCTGTAATTGGTTGTATCAGCAAGCAATATAAATTGGAGTTGATCTCAAATCTTAATAGCAAATGCCTTTAATCAAGTGATATAGCCGGCTCAACAAAGCACTGATGGATCTTGATTTATTTTTCTTGACCAAGATAAAATTTCATCAGCCAAGAGCTAGCAGCATGGGGGGTTAAAAAGAGTAATGTTATTTAATCAAACAATTCCAAACGTGATTAAACATCATTGTACTATTACTTGTATATATGAAATTGCGCATATGGGATTACATCTAATGCAGGTAGCCAAGCAATATTAATGAACAGGATGACTGCTGCAACTCAGCCACTGAGAAACCATACATCATCGGAGATTCTAGAAATTTAGATGCTGTATTTAAGAGCAGTATATTAATTGCACATTTCGAGAATGCCGTCAAACCTCAACATAGGAAATTGAATTATACATCCACTTTGTAACAGGGAGCAAAAGTCGGGAGGAAAATAGCATACCGCTTTTCCGCTTTCATACCACTGTCTGCCTGTAAGCTTCTTCTCCTTTGGGGCTGTAAGTGCAGACTCAGGCATCAGCCTGAAAAATGGTCCCACCCATTAGTCATGAATTAGTCGTGAATTACTGGTTGAACAAACACTTATTCCAGTGATCTGATTATAATCTAAACAAAAAGTTTGCATAGGTTATCAAGTTCAGCACATGGTTATCTGTGAGGGAGAAATTTACAAGAAAATCATCTTAAACTGCGAGTATCCACCTTTCCTTATCCAGCAACACCACATGCTTACTATAGAAAGCACAAAAAGACATTTAGGAAACAAATGAATCAATTATAACTTGTCCATGACAGGAAGAATACCACTAGGGAAAAAACAGGGCTTTCGAGATTGTTTGTAATTTAAAATAAGTAGCAAGCTATTAAAAAAAATAACATATTAAAATCCCCCCCCTCTCTCTCTCTCTCTCTCTGAGGTATGGTGAAATTACTGAAACTGTCTAAAAGTTTTGAAGTTCGACAAGAAACCCCTGCCCATTCAAGAAAATACTACACAAATCACCTTTTATAACAAAATGTTCTTGCCATCAAATAGGGTAACTTTTTAAACTTGTTAAGGGCATTTTGGCCATAAGAGGCAGTTACTGTAGTATTTTTTAAACATAGAAGGGGGCATATCTATCAACCTTCAAGCATTGGGGCAGTGCTCGTAACTTCAAGAAACCTCTAGGGGGTTATTGTAACTTGCCCTAAAATAAAATTGACATACAAGAAGGTACGAACATAAAAGAAGGTTTATTCATGAGATGAAAAAACCAATTCAATCTTGCAGTGCATTCAAAATGAAACCTGTTCCCATTGAAGTCCCCCAACTAGCCTCGGCAAACTCCAATGAACAAGCACCTTTTTTTTTCTTTTCTTTTTATAAGCTAATAGAACCTATAGGTGGTTGTCCCTCCTAATGCATGGCCAGTCTACCGTATGACTAGTCTTGTGCTCCGCATGAAGTCACACTTTGTTTTTTGAAAGTTACAAAACAAAATGATGCCAACTTCTTCAAGGTTGACCACCTCCCTCTCTCGAAATGTTTTCATGAACATTAGGAAAAGTGAAACGAGAACCAGCAACCTTATCTCAATCAGTAGTAGTTAGCTTTAAACCAACAAGTTTTGAAATCATTCAACTATCAATTTGCAGGATCCGTTTGTTGCTTAAGTTTTGCAGTTGAAACACGTCAAGACAAGACCACATTAAACCAGCCAAAGGCAGTAACCCTCCGAAATTACCTCTCTCAACTCAACCTCATGCAAATAACAGGTGACCCTACACACTCGCTCCATACCCTAAGAAAAGGATAGCTGTGCCAACTAGTAAATTTTATTTAGGGTAAAAAAAACACCATGACATAACACCAACAACAAAAACAATAAATGGCATGATTTTGTTACCTAGCTGTGGAGGCCCATAAGGTTTCAAGGGTCAGAAACATATCCTAATAACAGAACTGGAAAGGAACCTTGACCCTGAAATATAGCATTCAAATAATAGGACTTACTTGGCTCGCTCAAGGGCCAACTCTGCTTCAAATCTTTCTCTCCAAGCCAAAAATGTCTCGACAGTTACAGGTTCTCCATGTGGTACAATTACCTGTAATGGATGAAAGAGCAAGAAGCAGCGAAAATAAATAAGAACAATGGCAAACATCTGAAATAATCAATGCATAGTAATTTGGTAAGGTTTTGGGATCTACATATCTTCGAATGCTAAATTATGTTTTCACTTAAATCTAGCAAGAATGCGGCCAACAATAAAGTGAAATCAGAACACAGAGGAACAATCCATACATCATCTTTTGCTGCCTCTTCATTTTCAATGTCCTCATTGCTAGTATCTTGACCGTATCTTTCAGACAACCACTCTTTAGCAGATGTAACTAGTGTGTAGATCATCGCCATACCAAGATTTTCGGATGCCTATGATGCATAATTATCAGGTCAAATCATTAGCATAACTTCACAGTTTTATGAATCGTATATTCACTTTACAGTAGAAACATATACTGCCAACAAAAGTAAACAGCTTATACGTTCAGAGGATAGATGTCCATTATTATAAATATCCTGATCCCAGGGAATCAAGGATCTACACTGTTGAATATTTTGCTGCTCTACAGTATTAGCATTTTCATAATAGCCCATGTCATCTCAGTTCTTGATCTTCTTAATCAGTTTTTGAGGGTTTTTTTCTTGTATTTCCCCATCAGCATCTCCGGTAACACAACAGGAAGAAAGTGCATTAACATTCCTTGGCTTTTCCAAGCACATGAGGTTGTCAGATGCAGCTCCATCATAAGTGTTATACCTCCATAGCTTGACTACATTCTCAAAAGGTACAGTGAAAATAAAAATATGGAGTTCAAGTAACCACCTCTTGCTCAAGCTTTTCTTTCAAAATTTTAAGATCGCCTGATTGGATACCTCGTATGCTGGAACAGAGAGAAAAAACAATCAGATGTCTCTAGACATGGTCCATCTATATAATACTCCATTTATAGTTCACACTTATTATCACTTGACAGTAGTCATTGTGATCCATGTTACACAAGTATAACCCAGCTGTTGCACCACATGGCCCATCAACTGACATAGCACAATAGGTGGTCAAAAACTTCCTGAGTGCATTTGAACGTTTAGCAAAGTGAAAAGAACCCAATAGCCTTTCTATGCACGTTATATTTTTGTAGGTCAAGCTTTTGTGCTGAGTGAAAAGAATATTTGTGAAGTATCACTTAGTGCAGGCTACCTGCCCCTGTGGCTTGCACTTCAAAATTGATATACCATCCATGCATATACATAAAAAAATAATGAAAAAACAAGTGAAAAAATAAGGATATATACTTATAAAACACCGAGGGATTCTGTGAAAATTAAGTTTTAAAATGTCATGGCTTCATGAACAATAGCATTTTAATGAAAATCTATGCACAGTCAAGAATGAATGTGCAAAGAAATTCCATATGCTATCAATATATATAAACATCAAGGTTCATATGGAGACTCTGCAGAGGAAGAAACCAGGATTACTGTATTAAAGTCCCTTCGCAGCAGGTAACCTGGTTGCTGTACCACTCCCACTGAAGGCCTTCTCATGAGTTAAAAGTTGTAGCTAGATTTTGGAGATGAAAGTGCAGCAAGGAAACAAAAATGGAGCACTGACATGTAAGCAAGTTGATGCAACCACGGGGAAAAAGGAAGGTAATTTTTTCGCATAATGTTCAGATTGGTAAATGAAGCTTCTCCTTGTGAGTTGTGTGTGGTGAATGTGAGGCACAATGAATGAAAGCTTCAAGTCTTTCGATAAGGTTGATATCTTCATTATTCGTGGTCAAAATATCTTATTCTTTCAAGTTTCAGTTTTTGGTAATTCTGTGACCGCAATTTCCTGCCGTATTTCAGGACTTCAGTCAATTTTCCAAGGCTTTTATGAATCTAAGATTTATTTTCTCTAAGTCCAAGTCAGTCTTGATATTGACTAGACATTTTCTAGTATAGGATTCCAAAACCTAATAGAACGATGAAGACTCCAAGAATTTCCATGAGTAATCAAGCATTCTTGTTATTTGCTCAAAACTTTGATGACGAAACTCTCAATATTTTAATCTGGGTTTGAGGCATGTGTGCCTCTAATGTTATTGCCTCCCCTCTCTCTTCTTTTTTTCTTCAGCTTTAATCTTTTAACTTCAATTGGATTTCACATGAAGGCAGCCAATAGGAAAACTGGTGGTTCTTTGCTGTTACATATTTGTCTGGTATTAGAGAAGCATTTAACAAATCAAGGAAAGCATGCCAAGGGAAAAGTTAAGTTACGGAAAAAAGATAATTCCTCCAATGAGTGCATTCTAATTTTGATTAGAGGTAGAGGACCCTAGATCAAAAAAGGAAAACCTTCACATAGGAATGTCTGCAACATGAACATACTAACCTCTTCACATTCAAAAGTGGAGGTTCATCTGGATATTTTTCTGCGTGGGAGAAAACAAGACCTAGCTGAACTGCAAAAGAAACGGGAACGATCTTAATAAATAAATAATTCTGATCAAAAGAGGGAACCCACCAAAACAGTCCTGAAAGCCAAACATGGAGTTGAATTTAACAAGATGTTATCAGAGAAAAAAAAATGAAGACTGTTCCAAACTATTGCACCAAAATAAAGAGAATAACCTGGAAGGACAGTAGACTCATCCGCATCATCATCCTGTTGACCACAGAGCAAAGTAATTACATATGAAGCAGAAAACAAGCGAAATAATCTTTTCCTGCCAGTGCTACTATACTAAAATCTTAATGAGAGATCCAATCTGACATAATGGATTCAAATTAAGAAATGGGAAAAAAATTGAAGATTAGCAAACCAACCAACCAACCTGCGGGGATATTGTTATTTCGAAGCAACGATTAGAAGTATTTAGGCCACTCTCGCTGGAATGAATTTCTGCCATTACATGTCATCAGTTTGTTTACCTGGGAAAATAAAAGAGAGAAAAAAGCAAGAAAGTACCTTTGAACTCATCCATAAGTATGGCTTCCAATGCTTCGATTTCCATCTCCTGCTCCTGTACATGCTCTGCCAATTCATTTCATCCAATCAATCAATCAGTTATTAATACATAGACATTAACATGCCCCATTGCTGCAACTCAACAAAGCTCCTCCACTGGGAAGGAACTGATTATCAACCAACCAAAATGCCAATAAAATCGAAAACCCATAAAAGAAAATCAAAGGAAATTACCAGTCATGGTTGGAAATTTGCTTTCTTGTTGGGTTTTGATCTCTCTCTCTCTCTCTCTCTATGTTTCTCCAGCGGGCTGTTGGTGTCTTTTCTAGTTTTCTTTGTCACAGAAGATTAATGCCACTCTACTCGACAAAGACAAACCTAACAAATCAACCCGACCGGGGATTTAAAACAAACCCGGTCCAGCCTTCTTTTGTTTTTTTTTTTTTCCTTTATTAAAGTTAAAATTATATTTTGTTATTTTAAATTTTTATTAAATGGTTCATCTATTTAACTAATTAGATAATGATTTTTCTGCGATAATAATGTATTGCATAAATATAATTTATTCAATGTTTCTAATAGTAGGTAAGTGTTTTTTTTGTTTTGTACAACAAGAGTTATATTATTTTTTCTTTATGCAAAATTCGTGAATAATTTTCACAAAGAGTTTGAAGTTTACATGAGATAGGAGAATATCATTCATTGTATGCCTAATAATTTTACTTTGTAAGGAACCCAATGATAGGTGAGTTAGTAAAACATGATCATGCAACATTTTTTTTATTAATATCATGCAATTTAAGTAGAATTAAAATTGTTATGATATCGTAAAAAGACGAGAAAATAAAGATCTAGGACCTTTGATTTTATAGTAGTTTCATGCCATTTAAGTCTATTATCCAAGTTGTTTAGTTTTATTTGAGAGAAAGATCTTATTTTTATATTTACTAGCTCCAAACATCGAAGCTCTCTCGAGCTCACTTAATCCTAAATACTTAAAGTGTCATTTTAATTTTTATATTACAATATATATAAAATTTAAAGAAGAGTATAAGAATAGATTGTCTCGCTAAACGATATGTGACTTTGATTATCAACAATGAGGAATTTATATGCAATAGTAGATAAAAAAACTTGATGATTTTAGTTTTTAGATTTGAGATGATGTTTACGTATGTATGCATGCCTTTACATGTGTAAGCCCATGAATAGGCTTGAAAACTCTCCATGTGCAAAACTCCACATAAAATGACATGAAAGATGATGGATTGGCTAGAATGAGTGATCAGAGTAAGTGTTTATTGGAGTTAGTTTTTTGTTAATTAGTCATAATTAGTATGAAGACATTAGATAATGCATTGATAATTATTATCGTCATATTTGTTATGAAGTGTTGGTTTGAATTTTTGGATGAAAAACAACATGGATGGCTCTTGAAGTAATAAGACGTGATTCCTAATTTAAAAGTAAAAAGTAAGTTTAGGCTTTTAGATTAGCAAGTTTTTGAAAGAATATTTAGTTCTTAGTAGCATTGCAATGCTCAAAATGTAGAAGTTATTATTGTAAGAGTTGTGCTGAATATGTATAAAGCTCGTATAGAAGAAGGAGATTTTTAAGACACACACGTGAGTTAGGATCTTGTATTGATTAGACATGTTAACAATACGTAGTTGACATGTGATCTAATAATTTTGATTTTTCAGTTAAAAATATTGTCTATTCATGCATGGCCTTTGCATATAGAGGCTTACGAAGAGGCTTGCAAAACCCTAGGTGCATATCTCTCTAGTAAATGGCAATAGAGCCAATAGTTTGGTTGGGAAAATTGGATACGATAAGTGTTTACAAAAATCAATGGTTTACTGTTGGGTAGAACAAATATAAAGATGTTGGACAATAAAGTATTGATCACAATTGCTTTTCCTATCGTAGAATAAGGATTTGTTGAATTCCTAAATGAAAATTGCGTTTTCAAGCATGAGTTTACATGTGTCAGCATGTGATTGGATAAATGCTAGTCAACCGATACCATTAGTTCAATTGAGTAACATAATTGTCTGGAAGGATTAGCGTGTCCTAACTTTTTGAATACATGGTTTGGTTTGTTTAGAATTGAACATAAAAGTACGAAAAATCAAGATACACATGCGAGTTAGAATTCTATATTGGTCAGTAATATATATATATATATATATATATATATATATATATATATATATAAGCAAACGAGTTCGATCTAGTTTTATATAACGAATTAAATTTTTAATCTGTCTTTATATTTTTAATTGTATTCATTATGTCTCAATACAATATTTAATTATATACACATCCTTCTATCATGTTTTTTTATTTCAAATTAACATAATTATATTTTTTTAGACTAAAACTACCAACGAGCTATATAAAAATATAATTTTGATTTTTTGAAAAATTAAAATCTTTATTTTTAAAATTTTCAATGTTTGAGTAATCTTGAAACTTTCTAGTTCTTAAAACATTTTGAGCAAATTTGAAAAATTTTGTATTACATTCTTGCACAACTCAGAGGAATTTTAGATTAAAAATTATAATTTTATCAATTTGAGCAGAAAAATTTTGATTGAAAAATATATTAGAAAATTAGATACTATACAATCACATAATAAATACAATTAAAAACATAAAGATATAATAGAAACCTACCTAATTATATAAGAATAAATCATGCTAATTTTTCTAAAAAACATGATGTTTGCATATAAGAATGAACTGATAATTCAAAAGATCGAGCTTTTGAGTCGTGTTGTGCATATTTGTGCTCATAAGTAATCAAAATGCTCATAAACTCCTTAAAACTCAAGTTCAAATCTCTCGAACACCACTAATATGACAAAAAAAAAAAAAAGATTAAATCTTTCACTCAGAATATAACATTTAATTTATCTTGCAATCGTAATCAGTAGTGTTATGTATATACAAAGTAGAAGCTCAATCATATTTGAAACATTTGATTTGATAAAAGTACTTTTGAATAAAATATTTAATCATTCCTAAAATGCTATTTTTCTTAATGATAATTTATATTCTGAAATGCCTTTTTTACGATAATATATAAAATTTATAAAAATACTGTTAATTATGGTATAAAAAAGACTCATACACTTTGAACATTCAAGTTTGAGTTTCACTACTTATTATTTTTTTTAAATAACATATTTATATCTTATCAGCTCTTGTTCGTGAAATTATACCTCCTAAAGCCTGTCTCTAATGTGTATGTGTATGGGTATAAAATATCTCTACAAATATTTTCTATGTATGGCAATGCCATCAACCTTCATACATATCCATTTTAATTACCAAAAAATAAAAATAAAACATTTACTAAATCCAAAGAAGAATGATGTTAAAATCTTACAAATGTAATTACCAGCTCAAAGAAAAAGCAGCTGATCTGGCTCTAAATCGCTGGTTACCTGGTACTGCTGGTAATTCTAACGTAAGAAATTGCAAGTGGAAGAACTGCACAGAAACCTTGTTTAGCTATTCTCTTTCCTCTCTCTCCTCGTCTCTCCTTTTTCCCCGTGAAGAAAAAAGAAAAAAGGAAAAATAGACACACATGCACTGTCTACCTCCCTCCCTCCCCTTCTATCAGCCGAAAAAAATACCAAAAGGTACGTTTTTTGATCCAAACAGCAACTCTTCTTCTCTCACTCTCTTACAAACACTGCAAGAAAATCTTTTACTAAAATGTTTCGAACAAAATCTTAATAATAATAATAATAAAAAAGCAAAATGAAAGCTAAATTGCAATTAGAATAGAAAACCCACTAAAAAAAAAAGAACAAGAAGAAAGCTGTCTGTTTTTTGAACAACAGCAACAACTAGAAACAAAACCAAAAACCCTTCCAGATCTCCTTCTCTAGATCTCTTACTTCCACAAAACCCTTCAATCCAAGGTTTATCAGGGGTTTTGTGTAGCACGCAATCTTGGGTTTTCTTCTTTTTGCTGAATTCTTTTTCCTGTTTGTTTCTTTGGGTTCCAGGTTTTAAAGGGTTTATAACCATTTCTCCATGAAACCGACCTTTGTAGCTGGTTTTGGCACCTGGGTTCGCTTCAAAATACTGAGCTTTGATTGATTTACTGGATATTTTCTTTCTGGGTTTTCTGTTTTTTATCTGTTCTTTTTCTTTTTTCTTTTTTGGGTTTGCAAAGACTGAGTTGGGGTTTCTGAGATGGGTAGTAGCTCTGATGACCCCAACAGTAATAGCAACAACATCAACACCAAAGCCATTGATGCGTCTGTGGGTGCTTTAGTTTGGGTCCGCCGTAGAAATGGGTCATGGTGGCCAGGTCGGATTGTGGGTCTTGATGAGATTTCTGAGGGTAGTTTGGTCTCGCCAAGATCAGGCACTCCTGTTAAACTTCTTGGACGCGAGGATGCCAGTGTGTAAGTGCCCATTACAATCTCTTGTTGTTAGTTTCTCTACTTTAATTAGGCTTCCTTTCGTGTTTTCTTTTTCTTTTCTGTTTCTTTAGTTCTATAAAAGTTGTAACATCTTTGTTAATTGCCGGTCTGGATTTATGTGCACTGGTCTCTTGCAGTTTTGCTAGTGTGAAATAGATAATTGATACATTGCAGTTTCTTGAGTTTATACAGTTCTGTGGATTGTTATTGCGAATTATTCGGTGCTCTTAGTTTTATGGTAAAAATTGAATTTTTGGGTTGCTTTCTTGTTTGTATACATGTCCAAATGGATGACTGTTCTTTTTTTTATTTTTCCAGATTTGTGTATATATCTGGTGTTGTTTTTTCGAACATTTTTATCTGTTCCAAAATATTTCCTTTTTCGAGTCTGTTTTCTATCATAAAGTTCATGTTAATTGGTGTGAGTATTTTTATCAAACTTACATCGGCTGGTAGCTTGGTACGATTGGGAACAAATTATGTAAAATTGAAAAGTATGGGTTCTCTTATTCAGAGGATATATGAAGAAAGTACATTAGTTTCATCGTTTCATAAGTGTGCATCTGCATAGCTGCCACCAAAACTATCATGTCCTCGATAGGATCTCCCCTGTTGCATTATGACCTGCATTGCTGCTGCTTTTGGGACTTCATGTTTATGTGATATTAGTTTAAGATGTGCTTGATTATGGTATGGGTTGATTCCACCATCTACATCTACCTGGTTTTGCAGCTGCTAAACCCTATCAATCTTTCTTAATAACATGGTTTGTACTACTAACAACAGTGTTTCATTATTGGCTATGGCGCCATCACTCAGCTGCTGATCCAATACTTTTATTGAAATGCTACCACACTAAAATTGATGCCTCTGCACATTGCGAGGCTTGCTGTGTGCTTATATTTTTCTTTGTTGTCAAGCCAGAACAATATTACTGTTGTGTTTGTTGAATGTTGAGATCTATAAATTGATCTATCTTTCTGGACAATTTTGTACTATTTTTGTGCTTTTGTACTTTGGTTTCTCACAAACTTTTCTGAACTGAGGCTTTAACCATCTTTGTGACGTGTTGCTGCTATGGTTTAGGTTTAGAGAAGCTTGCCCAAGTGTTTTGCCCATTTTGATCGGTCTTTTCTTCAGAATTGGTGTGTGTATTAAAATGGCAAGACCGTGTTGTATGTTTTTATGTTGGGGCATATTTTGTTTCCAAAAAATAGGGGACATATCTCCCCTATTCTAAACTATACAGATTGCCTATAGCATAAAAATAGAGAAACATTGTGTTGAGTCCATCCAAATTCTCCACTGGAACAAATATTTTCAAGCTTACGTGCAGGTGGTGCATTCAACTAAAAAAAGAATGTGAGTTTAATGACTCCATTGCCAGGAACAAGGTCGACAAAATGATAGTAGATTAGAACCAACTTAGTGGAAAAGATCTCCTGTACCTTTTTGTTAATCTATCTGCCTTGTCCTTCCTTGTGTTAGATTTAATATTCTGTAGAGTCTGCATTGTCAAAATCTTCTTTTATCGGTCCTTCAAGGATATTGTGCAGGGCACTCAAATCTCTCTCTCTTTTTTTCTTGGTTCACTTTTAGCTTTAGATATGTGAAGATGTTGGGGAAGTTTTATGTATCATTTCTATCTCTATTGTTTCTTGTGATATTCATCTAATGAAGTAGTGAGAGCCTTAGGTTAGATTTCAAAAGAAAGAGTATTATGTGATACTGCTATCAGAGGCATATATATGTTGGGATTTGAAACTCCACATGTGTCCATTATGTGGGAGACAGGAATCTTATACTCATTTTTGTACCTTCTTATTGTTGTTTGTGGCATTTATCTGTGTCTCAGGCATCATTAGATGGGCTTTTGCTTCAGTCAATATTAGCTGTCAAATTTAGTTCGAGTAAGGGGTAAGGAGTGCTGGCTTGGATGATCATGCAGGAAGATGTGCTGAGGACTGATCTGTAATTTCTAATTACACTATTTTAGTTGTTTATGAGGTGGATTGCTCAGCTTGAGGCTGATGAGATTCCTATTTTTATGCAAGCCAAAATGTTGGCTCAGAAGTTTTATTACCCTCTTGCATCTGGATACCGTTATACGAAGTAGTAATAGAAGTTGGTATAGTTTTTGCAGCTTTTCAACTGAATTTAGTTTCTCGAGATGCTTAAACGTGCAAATAAATATGTGACTATGAAGGCCCTTCTATGTGTTTGTGTTATATGCTGCGTGTGTGTCTGGCTTGGCTGAGTCTGGTATAAAAAGTACTAAGTTGGAACAGTGTTTGTCCATAACAGTTTCTGTAATATTAATTTTTTCTTTTTTTGGTGGCTGAATTATACAGTTTTTTTCTCTGAAGGATTTGAATTGTTAAGAGACATTCAAATATAATTATGCTTCGTATAGTTATGATTTTGTGTAACAGACGCTTAATTTTGTTGGTTCAGGGACTGGTATAATCTCGAAAAATCAAAGAGGGTGAAGGCATTTCGATGTGGGGAATATGATGAATGCATTGAAAAGGCAAAGGCTTCCGCAGCAAATGGTAATAAGAGAGCGGTGAAATATGCTCGGAGGGAAGATGCCATTCTCCATGCCTTAGAGATTGAGAATTCTCGCCTAGGCAAGAATCAGTTGGACTTCTTCTCAAGAAGTGAAAATTTGGGTGAAGAGCATGGTAGTTCAGCCAAAGAATCAAGCATGTCGTTTTCTGGAAAAGAAGATGGTGATACGACTGTTGAGGATAGTAATTCTGAAGATAATTCAGATGCCAATGCAGATTCAGATTCTAGTTTGGGTTCTGATTCAGGGTCAGATTTAGATTTAGTGCGAGAGTTATCACAGTCTGGTACATCTTCTGAAGAGCCAAATCATCTTGGTGCTTGTAAGGTGCAATCTTTGCCTGGAAAGAGAAGAAGAACTCCAAATGATTCTGAGGATGATGGAACAGAAGGAATTAAGCGTATGAGAGGACTTGAGGATCTTGGAATTGGTGTAGGAGATTCAAACACTGGGAATTGTATGCCTAATGGCAGTTCTGTATTTGGTAGCAAAGGTTATAACTCGTTGCTGAAAAGAAAAAGGTCTCAAGTAGCAAATGTTAATGAGCTCTTGAAAAGAAAAAATCGTCGCCGACCACTGACAAAAGTTTTAGAGAGTACGGCCATGGTGTGTGTTCCAGTTATTTGTAACCAGCTTCCCAGTTCAAGTAACTCGCCTCTTCCTGGATTATCTGACAGTAAGATATCTGGAATAGAATCCAATGAGTCTAGAAAAGACTGTTCTGTTGGAATTAATAACCACTCAGACAGCACTGGAGTTTCTTGTGAGAATGGTGGCTCATTAAAGCCTTCTGAACATGCTTATGATGCTCCCCTCATTAATCACAAGTTGAAGAAGGAAAAAGATATTTCCAGCATATCTGGGCTAACTGAGAAAGATTCTGCTGACAGGTTATTTGATGTACCGTTTGTTGGGGAGGAAAAGCACTCTACAGGTATGTTTGATTAGGACATTTAAAACTTCAGAGCCTGTACCCTTTCTGTTTACCTGTCTTCCATTTCGCGCACATGTTGTCTAATGTCTTTAGTAGCATAACGAGAACATAGGACATAACTTGCTTGCTAGTCCTATTTGTTTAATGTTTGTATAATTTCTATTTAAAGTGTCTTATTTGAGAAGAATGTTGTATCTCTTTGTTTAGCAGACTTGGGGCATGCCAACTAATGTTAGAGGAATTTTCTACTTGTGCTGACTTTTCATTTTGTTCTCCAGGAATTTCTCCTGTAATTGTGTCCTGTTCATCTGGAAGGCAGCAAATTAGTGGATGGGGGAGGCAATCTAGTCAAAGTAGTCAAGCAGAAGCTGTATTAGTGAAAAAAGAAGCTTGTAATGAATCTGATTCCACTAGTCTGGCAGCCAACTGTGTTTATAATAATATCAGCCAGAGGATAGAGAAAGGTACCTCAAAGTGGCAGTTAAAAGGAAAGAGGAATTCAAGACATACAAGTAAAAATAGAAAGCAAGACTCGAGAAAAGAAGTGGACATGGATGATGAACCCAATGCTTACTTGGCAGGTACGGAGCATTTGGATGGATTTCGTCAGGGTCCTGATCAGAAAGTTGATTGTGGTGGAGGTAAACCCCAACCATTTTCTGAAGATCATGTGGATGCAGTTCGGGACTGGAGCAAGTCTTTTCCTCAGGGGGGTCTTAATATGAGGGGAGCAACGGGGGAGATGCCTGTGCCTCAAAGGTCACTTCCCTATCGTCATTCACGCTTCACAGTTAATTCCAGATATCAGACATCAGATTTTCCTGGCAGAAATTTCTCCTCAGGTTCAAAACTATTTAATGTTGACATCAAGGTTCAACGCAACTACCGGCAGCAGCATGTTCCATTGGTTTCCCTAATGAGTAAACTGAATTGTAAAGCCATTGTTGGGCACCCTTTAACAATTGAGAATTTAGAGGATGGCTATTCGGATCTTATGCTTGGTAGCAATGAAGGGGATACAACTCATGTTACGGAAGGGGAAATTCCCAAGCTGGGTTATGCAGCTATGCCAAATTTAGAAGCTGGTAGAATACCTGCCAGGCATATGACAATGAAACCACGATCTTCATCAAGTAAAGCACACAAATTAAGGAAAAGTGGGCTGTTGTCCAAAAAGATTCGGAAACTGTCTTCATTGACTGGAAAAAAGGTAGAAGATAGGAAACCAGTGGTGGAGAAGCCCAAGGGTCCTGTTATAGCTTGTATCCCCCTCAAATTAGTGTTCAGTAGGATAAATGAGGCAGTGAATGGTTCAGCAAGGCAAACACACCGTGCCTTAACATCAAGCAACTCGTGAATCTTGTTCTCTGGAAAGGTTGGAGGATGTGGATTATATTTATAAATTTGTTTTGTTGGGTCATGGGACCCTGTTTTAGTTGGGGAACCCAGTTTTCTGCATATCCAAATGATGCCCGATTTGTGGCAAGCGTGCTCCACGCTGAAGTTAGAATCCCTTGGTACAATTCCATGAGCCTTTTCACCGTTTTAGAGATGAACAGATAGGATTTAAGATCAATGGAGGCTGTTTAGCTGTGTATATATATGTAACGGTAGTTGAGGTGTAAATTAAAGATGGGCGACCTTGGTATTAGGTGCTTTTGGCCTAGTGCTAGGTTTAAGTCATGAAATGAGAGGTGGGTTTAGAGAGGGCTAATAACTCATTAATTTTCCAGCAACTGGTTTGGGACATGATCACTAATTTTATTACCAAACCATGCTTTCTCATTGTCATTGTTTTATTGCCTGAAATCCAAAATATAATTGTTCTGATTGCAGCTGATTATGCAGAAGGTTTTGTGTTTCTGGACCTTTGTTTCCTCTCCGAATTTCTTCATGTTTTCTTGAGCCAAGTAATGAGCCTAATTTGCTTCCTCACTTGCCACGTGTATGACTCGTTTGATCACTCAGCTAAGGGACATTTGATGGCAACTGGACAGGTTCCTTCCTTTGTATTTGTTTTTGCAAAAAGAATTGGATATCGACTCCAGAAGAATAAACATCCAGTAATTAATATATCCATCAAGCATATATATAAATCAGGAAAGGCCCAGAATGAAAATACCGAGTAAGATTATTATTATTATTATTATATACAAGCGGGATATTATTACTTTTTTGAGAAATACGAGTAATATTTTTTCAGTCTTAAAAATAAAAATACTATAAATTAAAAGAAAGTGAAAAGAGTTGGTCGAGATTTTTTTGGCCCTACAGTAGTAAACAAAATCAGGGAAGGCCCAGAATGAAAATCTAGGGTAGAGATCCAGACGAGTATCCGCCAGAGGCCCATATAAAAGAGGGCAATTTAGTAAATCAAAACCTTAAGGGAAAGAACCTATTAGGGTTTCACTATAAAACTTTCATTAACTCCCGTCTTTTCTGTCCATTACGCCAGTCTTCACTTTGGCAGCTCTCAACCCGAACCCTAACAGGTCTCTCTCTTCTCTCTCTGTCGCTGTAAATCTCTGTGTATTTTTGTTTGAAAGACCGACTATAAAGAATTTGGATCTGGTGTGTTGCATGTGCAGGTAAATAAGCAGAAGAAGAAGAGAGGATCTGAAATGGCGACAGTACCAGGGCAATTGATATGGGAGATAGTTAAGAAGAACAATTCATTTTTGGTGAAGCAGTTTGGAAGAGGAACTGCTAGCCTTGAATTCAGCAAAGAGAGCAACAATCTCTACAATCTTAACTCTTACAAGCACTCTGGTACACACTCTCTCTCACACACACTGTTGTGGTTATTGCTCTCTTATATGGGACTGTTTGTAAGCTTTTGTTTTATCTTATTTGATTACTTGATTTTGTTGATGTAGAGAGTTGTGTTGGAAAGATTAATTTTCTTTTTTCTTTTTTGAGAAAATGGAGAAGTATAGTAGGAGAAAGGTTAAGTATGTTGGGTATCTACTTCATTAACTGACTAGATTTGTTTTATTCCTGCGTAGACAGGACAGCAGATATGATATAAATGATGTTTGTTGGGTTGATAGTTCTTGGCTTTGTTATTTTGGGTTATGAAATAATTTGGAAATTAAATAGCTGACGTTGTGTTTTTATTTTATTGTATGTTAAACAGGGTTGGCAAATAAGAAAACTGTCTCCATTCAGCCTGGGGAGAAGGATCAAGCTGTGGTTCTTGCTACAAGTAAGACCAAGAAGCAGAACCAACCTGCATCTTTGCTTCACAAGTCTGTAATGAAGAAGGAATTCCGCCGCATGGCTAAGGCTGTGGAGAACCAGGTAATCATAGGTCTTTGTCGTATAATGCTTTTCTTGTTTTTTGGTCATTTGAATACTCTAATCGTTAGTTACTTTGTTTCAAAAGTTTTGAAAATTGACAACTGTTGTTCTAGACTTTGCAAATGTACTTTGTTTATGCCTCTTCCCACAAAGGAGTTTAAATCCCTTTATCTAGCAGTGATTTAAACATTTCATATTGAAATGTCTCATTTCACTAACAAAATCCCTTTATCTACTGGTTATTTAATCATTTCATATAAACACTTGCATTATTTGGTTTTTGCATAATCAAGCACACATTTCTTTATTCACATAAACTTTCAAATATTTTGAATATTTTTTGGAAACTTTATATATATTACTTTATCCTGTTTTCAATATGGAAAGTATTCATGTTTTTTTCCAACCCACTGGTTTCAGTCATGGATATCTATGCAGTGATGAGCTGTTAACATGTAAGAAGAGCTCTTTTGTAGGGTTTCTTCTACGAGATGTACTTGTTACGCTTGGCTTCTGAGCTTTATCATTATGTTGATTCATTGATATTTATGGACAGTGGGTTGCTAGTTTATTGATGCACACATATTCAACTTCAGGAGTCTTGTGCCTGATCTAAATATTTTAGTACACACATTGATGGATATCTATGCACACAAATTCATGCATATCTATGCAGTGATGAGCTGTTAACATGTAAGAAGATCTCTTTTGTAGGGTTTCTTCTATGAGATATACTTGTTACGCTTGGCTTCTGAGCTTTATAATCATGTTGATTCATTGATATTTATTAATAGTGCGTTGCTAGTTTATTGATGCACACACATTCAATTTCAGGTGTCTCTTGTGCCTGATTTCAATATTTTAGTACAACTTAAATATATTGAATGAGTTTTTTGAAACGTCATATTAAAATATTTGTTAGATTTTCAAGATGGAAATCTATGCTTTTTTATTCAACCAACCGGTTCGAGTCACAGGTTTCTATGCAGTGATGAGCTGTTAACATGTAAGAAGAGCCCTTTTGCAGGGTTTCTTTGATGAAATATACTTGTTACGCTTGGCTTCTGAGCTTTGTTGTCTTAGTGCGTCATTGATATTTATGGCGTCTAGATACATGTCACACTACCAACAAAATGAAACGGCATCTCATTGTTTTATGCAATTGCATAATTCAGAGAATTGATTTCCGTTTTCAAGTTGCCTTTTTCTATAATAAATGCACTTGATTCATCCAGCAAAATTTGAAGCTGGAATTAGTATTGAGGTGGATTTTCGCATCAATTTTTAATCCCATTTCAAAGCTTTGTCTATGTCATTGAATGTTGGTACGCATTCAGTTTGTCAAACACAATGATATTTTCAGAATATCATTAATCTTGGTCAAAGTTGTGGATTTCTATGCATTGATAAGCTGTTGACATGTAAGAAAAACACTTTTGTAGGGTTTCTTTGATGAAATATACTTGTTATGCTTGGCTTCTGAGCTGTCCAAATTGTGATTTTTCGATATCTAGTGTCTCTCTGTGCAAGTTATGCCCATGTTTCCCAATTTTCTAATCTTCTTTGTGTTCTTTGTCTGTTGCCTTGCCCAACCTATCTTTATTGGTGTCTGTAGTCATCTTTCTTGCATTGTTTCTTTGATAGCATCAGGCAATTGTTCAGAAATTCTTCTATGTTTTGCTCACTGCAGGTTGGAGATAACTATTACAGACCTGATCTGAAGAAAGCAGCCCTTGCTAGGTTGAGTGCTGTGCACAGGAGCCTGAAGGTAGCCAAGTCTGGTGTCAAGAAGAGGAATAGACAAGCTTCAAGGAAGTGATTTGAGAGCCCAATATATAAGGCACTGTTGTTCGTCCCTTGTGCTGGACACTTAAATCTTTATTTTTGTTGACCCTTTTTTTGGGTGTTTTGGGATGTTTATTTATGTTTTAGATGTTGAACTATAGAGTTTGTGAGATTTTCATGGATAATTCATCTGCAGTTTTGGATGGTTAAGTTCCATACTCTGGCCTCTGGCCATTGCTGTTCTTTTTGGTTCGAAGTGGGAATAGTTAGTTTCGGAAGAAAAAAAAATCTTTTTGGAAAGAGTTTAACAACCTACGATGCAACGGAGCTACCAATCGATTAATGCTGAAAATATTTGCCAAATTTCGAAGCATCAAAACTGGTTCTTGGTTTCTGTTATCAGCAAGTTTTTGGGATTCCGTGTCATTAGAGCTCATAATTGACATGTCTCCCTTATATTCTTTCATCTGGAAGGGTAAGATCTTGGTTCCCCCGTCCAATGTTCACATCCTCTCTACTACGACCTTCCACTAAAAGTTACTGTCCTGAAGGTTTCTGCAAACGCAAAACCACTTCAAATTAAGCTCCGCCTTCGCCCTCTTGGACCGACCTACTAGGACAGCGCCATCGGGTTGAAGATTGTATTTTGTGGAGACATGCATGTTTGTTTTTGCCAGGCTTATGAGGTTGGTTCCTTGTCAAGGAGAAGGATGACTTCTCCTTCGTCTCTTGAATTGAAATCACTGGAATCTTGTGGTACAAGAAGCGGTCCATTGCTGTTTGTCTAGCTTGTTTTCGCCCCAGACCCTGAATACCCTAGTGATTTCGAGTGTTAAGTTGCGGGCAGAGGATGAGTCCACATGAGGGAAGGTGTCATTGTAATGTGAACAACTGCACAAGCTGACTGATTTGATTACTTACGACTTCTACGGTGCATCAATATTGGCTTGAGAACCTGGTGTCTGGTGAATCTGGCATATTGGCTTAATAACCTTAGCAATAATGATAATTGGCTTTCAGAGGTGTGGCTTGTTCTTCAATGGGAACCTTCCCAAAGCTGTCATAGACCGGTTGTGGAGGAGAAAGATGTCGAGGAGTTATCGGCTGCCTTAAAAAAGAAAAAGAAAAAACACAATTCAGTGTTTGCGGCATGTAACTTGCAAGATCTATAGTGTTTATTATTTCTCAGCGCTATGTTATGGGTTACGTAGAACTTGTCAAATTATTTTAAAAAATTATTTTAATTTGGTAATCTATATTGTAGATCTATTAAAATATATTGAATTAAAAATAAAATAAAAATCATTAATTTATAATTTTTCAATTAAAATTTTATATTTAATTATTATTTTTTTATGTATTTCATAAATTTTCTACTTGAAAAAACATGATTTGTTCTTTCTTATGCATTGTTTTCTTTCTTCTTTTTTTTTTTAATAAAAATTTACAATATTTTAAATAGAAAATTTAATCTAAAATTTTAAAAAATAATTTAATATTTTTTTCATAAGATTGTATTGAAAAATAAAGCAATCATTAATGTAAAAACTTGTGTAAAAATTAACAAAAAAGATATTTTTTATTTTATGCTGACGAGAACATCATTTTTGAAAGCAAGTATATTTGATTTGGATATATTTATTTATAAAATAACCAATAGTATTAGCATAAAAAGTTGTATTAAAATCGAGTAGATGGTTCTTCAAAATTATTATTTCACTTACAAAACTAATTTTGATAAATTTTGATTATATAAGAAAAAACAAACAAAACACGTGAATTCTATTTTTTTTTAATTATTATTTTAAAATTTATTAAAAAATAATGACAAATTATGTAAAATAAACTCTCATCTTTAGGATAGATACTCCGAATGCAAGATCAATGGTCAAAGTGGCCATAATCGAGCCTTGTTGTGGCTTTCTCTCTTCTTTTCTATCTTCTTTTTATATTTAGATACCAAACCACACTTGTAAATGAAGTTGAAAACCGAAAAATTTCTAAAAACATTAAGAACCAAAGTATAATGTTTGTTAAAACTCAATGGCTGAAAATAGATAGTGATGTCTTAATGAATCTAATTTTACAGGTCTAAAGAAGAAGAGAACTACAAAAAAAGGCGAAAAAGATAGAAGGAGAAGAAAATCATCCAATGACAAAAATATAACAGCAAAAAGGCATTAAGTGGCACACGAGAAATTAGACATAAAGTAGGAGGGTAATTGTTAAAGAAGAAAAATAGAATTATAAAAAAAAAAGATAGAAAAAATAGAAAGAGAAGAAAATCATCAAATGATACAAACGTAATAGTATAAAAACACTAAATCACATAAAATAAATTAAACATAAAAAAAGAGTGAGATATGTACCAAAATAGTGCTCGTGAATCTTGTTGTACAATGAATAAATAGTGTCAATAAGTTTTAGTATACAGTATTTAGTGGTTTTGTTTAAATTGTTTTTGTTAATTTATTATCATCATTATTTTTCCATTATAAATATTCTGAGATTACTTTTTGGCATATTGAGATTAGATTCACCTCTCTAACTCTATCAAAGATGGACGGGCCATAAATACCAAGACTGAAATTTAGAAGAATTTTTACTCTTGCGGATCAAGTTAGTGTAAAAGCAGGGTAGTTATTTACATTTAATGGCAGTTAAATATTGTACCAATTTGAATAACTTTATGATTATAATTATTTTTTATCTGGTCATCAATTATCATCCATTGACCCATTAACCAGAAAGAAGATAATTTTTTTGGGAATGTGAAATTTGATTCAGATAATGTCTAATTTAATTGAACTTTCAACTAAATGCTACTTAATTAAATCCTTACATATAGAGTTGTAGAGAAATTTAGTTGAATCCATTTCCATTCATGGAAGTGAAATGCCCTTTAATTATATTGTTGTTACTTTGTATCTAAGGTTAATATTGATTAGATCTCAATAAAGCATATTAAGGATTCTTAATCCATTTATGTTTTTACTTGTTACTCGTTATGTTCCTTGTCCATAAATATAAATTTGAAAGAATTTATTTATTTGATATATACAAGCCGTAGGATGTTATCGAATTAGTTTTGTATAAATCGAGATCAAGTTTACCACTTTGTTGATTAAACTAAAACCAGAATACATTTTGTCTTTGATTAATAATTGAATTCTCTCTCTTAGAATGAATAAGCTTAAATTTAGTATTTAATAAAAAATAATTATAATTAGTTACTCGTGAATAATAAAAATTAAATTTTGGCCTTAAAAATTAAAAAAATAAAATAAAAAAATAGATGTTTTTTATCTATCGATTTGAAGCCCGGAGGATTCGTAGGCGTTGAAGCAAAGATAGGATGAGTACCTGACATTTGCCATTTATTAAATGGAATGGAAACTTAATATACGTACGTACGTTAATATGATGAGTCTCGAGGACATTTTGTAGAAGTAAAAATATGGAAAGCGTCGTATGGGACTAAGTCCGACAATGACGAAAAAAAGAGACAAATCTACTTTCCCTTAAACTGAACCGGCAGTTCCAAGCTCTTAAAGTTTTGATTATTCAAAATTCATTTTTGAGCAAGTAATTGAATTTCACCGTTAGTACATATTACTTAATTAAGAGGGAAAAGGATTGCTGAATTTGTATAAGTACTAGCAGTGAAATTCAATTACTTGACCTGGTAAACGGGTACCAGGTCAAGTAATTGAATTTCACCGCTGGAAAAGGATTGCTGAATTTGTTACTTTTGTTCATATATATACATACATACATACTAGCATAATACCCGCACATTGTAGCAGGTAAGTCTATATAATATTTTTTATTATTTTAAATAATTAAAAAATTTAAGAGTAAAATAAAAAATTAATTAACATTAATTATGAGAATTTATAAATATATATAGTTTAATTTAAATATATCATAAGAATATTTTTTACTTTTATCAATGAAAAATAAAAAAAGAAAACTTGTAATTAATTAGTTTTTTTTTTAATAATTTATATTGTAAGAGTGTTTGATTTCAGCTAATGAGTCTAGAAAAAAAAATATTAATCATTAATTATGGAAAAAAAATATTTTGAGTAAATAATAAATAAAAGCATAAAAAGAAATTTTTTATTTTGAGTAAATAATAAATAACGAAAAAAAGTATAGAAAATGCACACACTAAAAAAGAGGAGGCTTGGTTGGGCTAACACCAAGCCCATTAGCATGGACTCAGAGACAACTAAGCCCACAGGCTGGGCTGGAAGCACTAACCAACGGTAAAAAACATTAGCATCCACATGCAATAAATATTTATTTGCCGGATTGGTTTGAATAAAAAATAAATTGAAAGACCAAAGTGTAAAAAGTTGAACAAATTGACAAAAAATCATATTTTGAAAATATAAAATAGCTATATTGAACAAATCGAAAGCCAAAAAAATTCAAAACAACATCATTTTGGTTCATTGTAGCGAGGCTTAGCTTTTATGAAACTATAAATTATTTTAAATTATTTATAATATTGACAGATTGACATATACATTAGTGGTTTAGTTGCTAAAATTAGAAAGAAAAATGGAGTATAAATAATTTGCTAGGAATTGATCCTCTGATCTTTAATTTGACAGAAACCAAATGATCAGTAGCAATGAGCTGTGGCTCATTAGTCCACAAAATACTATATATATATATTGGTTGATAATAGAAATTAACAAATGTCATATTACTTTTCTCTTATATATATATATATATATATATATATATATATATAAGTAATATGGTATTTATTAATTTCTATTATCAACCAATGATGTAGCAACAGACTCGTTTGATATTATCAAACATATATATATATATATATATATATATATCTAGCACTGATAATAGAATAGTAGAACTATGTGAAAGGTTTGGTTAGTTTTTTCTTTTTGAAGGGTTTGCTTAATTACTTGTAAAGCAAGTTCTTATACCTCTTCTTTCCGAGAAACCTCAAAGCACACCACAATCCATGGTTCATAGATTGAAAGTATATCTGGTATTTGGTATGTAAAAAGACCAAGTGCATCCTAGAATGTTGAAAAGTCAAGTCAATGATTCTTAATTTGTTTAGTACACGTTTTAATTAGAATCATATGTTACTTGCCTTGGTATAATTCTCTGGCCACCCACGTATAAATGTCAGAGCTCTTGCATTCTAGCAACTATTTGCAGCATTTTCTGCTGCTCAAGAAAGGCACACAGCTACCTAAACCAAAAAAATTAACCCTTGAAGCATGTCTGTTAAGAAAACTCTTTCATTAAACGACGGCGAAGTTGTCAAGGTTAATGATCCTGTCAACGAGCAGCAGGTTTCGGCAAAACGTAGGCGGTCTGATCGATGTTTTTCGTTCAACGAGATATCGATAGAACCAGGAAAATCACTTAAAGACCTGGATTCAAACAAGTTCAAGATTGATATCAAGAGATGGGCTAAGGCTGTTGTGGCATATGCACGCCAAGTTAGCAGCAGATTTGGAAGCACCAGAAGAAGTGGCAGAATTGGAAGCTCTCGTGATTCATCACAGGACTCCATGTAGTTGAAGATTTGAAGTACTGATCGAGTAGGAATTTTATGCTTTACTCACGATTGTATATACGGCGAATGAGATGTAAAATTCGTTTGATAATTTGTTTTTTTTATATTCTGACTCACAATTGTCCAAGTCCATGAATGCGCACACATGGTAGTGAATTCATGAATCCCTGCATCTCGAGGAAAGGAAAACTGAAAAAAGAGAAAATTTGATCGATTCATGTCAAGCTATATGAGAATTTATAGATAGGTGTTGAAGCGAGACATGATCAATCTCGAGGGAGAACAGAATTTGGTTCATAAGCTCGAAATGGAGGCCAACTTGTGTGCACCGAGTCAATCTTGGAGAAATTAAGGCCAGGGCTGCACAAGATGGGGTTCATGTTGGACAAAGAGATGCTACACCTTCTGATTGTTTTGTCTTTCCATTGATGAATAATATAAATACGATTTGTACATGAAAAGAAGCAAGTGGATTTTGCTTTTTTTTCACTCTTTCTTCCGTTAATAATAGGACATTGGAAAATGTAGGGTATGTATATTGTCTCTCTTTTTCGCGTGACAGGCTTCCAAAAATGGAGTATGAGACTCATGTTGTGATTAAAATTTAGTAAACAAATTGCTGTCCACTAACAACAGTACTAGGGTTTGTATGATGGGGTTATGGAAGGTTTCCTGAGTGTTTAGAAAAATAATTTCTTCTTAAAAAGTTATTATTATTATTATTATTTTTTAATGAAAATCAAGATTAGATTATCATTAAAAAGATTGCTAGTTAACAGCTAACAAAATTTACAATATTCTGATAAACCGAAGAAAAAGATTAAACCAAGTTATAAGATCATTATTTCTATGTAGATAATTCTTAGCTAAAACACTGTTATTGTATTTTCTTTTCGAAAAATATGATTAAATAAATTACGATCCAAAGACTTGATCAAAGTATCAATAAAGTTGAAAGGATTCTAATGACGTCGAAGTTTGATAAAAACTTTCTTACTCATCCAAAGAATAACATATTCAATAATCTAATTTGCATAGATCGAAACAATACTAATCTTTAAAATCTTCGTAATAGAAAAGATGCACATAAAAGTTCCTTCATGATTTCTTAAAAAGTCAATGAAGGAAGCAAACCTTATTGACCATAAAACCCACCTTTTGGAGTTGAATTTTTTGATTGATAATGGAGCAATGTTTAGAAAAGAAACTAACCAAACCCTAGTAAAAGTTTAGCATACCCTACTCAGGATTCCTGCTTTAACAATTTGAACTTAGTGTGCACGTAAGGTAGTGCTTGTGCTGTGTCGATGATGGAAGAAACGAGACAAAACAAAGATGAAACGGAATAAGGAATATAGAGAAAATTATGTTTAGCAGTGTACGACACAGAGTGCTTGCGTCCTATTAGGAGGATGGGGTAACATATTGGAAAAACACGTTATTTGGTGCCTCAAGTTATTAGAAACTCACAATCAAGTGTTTCGTCTTTAATTTTTTACAAATAAGGTCGCTAACTTTTTAAAATGACATAATTCAATGCCCAAGTACGTTGATGTATCTGTTAAAGTAATGACTTGTGTATTTAACAAGTTAAAATCACTGAAGCTAATACGTTTCACATGTCATTTTATGTTATAAAAAGAAAGGCCATTTTCAGCTTGGACAACACTACCTCACCTGCACTGCATGTCCTTGAACAACTTGTGAAGAGCCCTCGCATCTACAAATATTAAATATAATATATTATATTTAATAACTTGTAAAGGTTGTATCACTCAGTGAGTGAATTAAGATATTTTTTATTGGCATTTTATCTTTTTGTCTAAATGATCATGGAAAGAAACATGTTGCTTGGAGTTGCTAATGAGGATCATCTCGCGTTTATGCCAACGATTCTACTGGCTTTCATAAAGCGGATAAGAATTGGGTCTATTTGCTCTGGAACCAGTCATCAGTATTCATTGATCAGCACTATACTTCAAAAAATATTGCACGAAAAGTAACCAACCAAAAAAGGCTCATTAGACATTCGATTTAAAAGATGGCTTTTCTTTTTGAACGCTAAAGGCACACCATAAGAAGGAATGGCAATTTTAAAATGTAAACATTATCTTACAGAAGAACTACTTGTCTTTTACACCATTACCTGGTCATAAATTACTTAATAGTTGGACAGGTCGTGATTATTGACTCTTTAAAATGTTTTTTCAGGGCACAAGTTACACAAATACTTTTCATTCACGATAGAAGATGTAGAAGCATGCACCAACAACCTGTTTGATCGAGTCCTATGAAAGCTGCCATTCTTTACGGCCAATCTCAATGGACATCCCATAAATGGCATATTTTTCTGCCTAGTTTAGTTACAATTGTTAACCATAAACCTAAGGAAAATGATGTGCATCCAAAAAGTGAAAAGAAGCTCCTGTGTACCAATATGATAAAATATTCATAAAGGAACTTAATCCAAAAAAAAAAAAACTCTATTTGATCCTAAACTTCGAAATTGCAATGGACAAATGTGACACAAGCTTCTCAGAAATATTTTGATCTAAAGGCTCTCTTTTTTCCCCAAAAAATAGCTCTTAAAGAGTATCGTTTTGGCTTCAAGTGCTGCATAGGGAGAGTTATGAAATGGGAGATATACAGTCACCACCTATTGTAAACAAAATTTTAAAGACTTACTTTTACTCTGAATCAGGAAAGTAAGAACCAGTCAGTAGTCTCCGCTTTTCACTAAATGTTGTATAAACTAGAAAGGAAAAGAAACCCACAAAACAAAATTCCTCAAACCTTTGCGCTGTTAGTATTACCATCAAAACTTCTCAAACCTGTAAGAGTTCTGAAGGATGATTACAATATCACCTTCTGGTTTTGGTTTACCACAGTTAGACACTGGATGTGTTTTGAGCATTTCTGGGAGTTTGTATCCTCTCACTCAGCCTTCTTCAATCGAAATGCCTTTTCTCCGCCAGATATGCTCCTCAAAAGCTGTTTAGAACAGACATCCTGTGCTTGTGTTGCATTCTTTGCTCGGTTGGCTCTTACCCAAGCAGGTTCCTGTAAAAGACAAAGGTCTTGCCTATTAAGTTTCATTTAAAATCTCATTTGCTTTTCAAACTCAATAAATTTTAGTTTATGACTGAATTTTCAGAGTTGATTAGAGAATCTTGATAATAGGGAAATAGGCAATCACCTCAGGAACAAGGCGAGAGAATCCAAATTTAATTAGGAGGAGGACGTGCTCCATGATGAGAATTGCTGCGAGGCCAGGCTCTAATTTCCATTTTCCTTCCTGATCATATAACCATACTAGAAGTGCAGAGTTGGTGCAGATTGACAACACTATTAGGAACTAGAATCCACATATATTCCATATCAGTAAACGACTATAGCACTAGACCACAAGGTCAGCATGGTAAGCACTGGCATCACTATCAGAAACCAGAATTCAAAAATATATCTCCACATCAGTAGCAACAACATTAAGACATAAAAGGAACTTTTAAAAATACAAACAACAAACAAGCAGCAAGTATATTGTAAAAAGTTCAATGCTTATAAAGTTGAAAACTGATTGCAGTGATAATGGTAAAGAAGAAGGAGGCTATTCAATATGAGGAGAAGGCGACAATCAGATTATCAATTGGTAACTAGGGATGGAACCAATTTCACGATTAGAAACCTTAATAACAAACGGGGCACTACTTCTAATGACACGAGGGTGTTTGGTAATGTGTTTGAAAGTGCCTTTTCAAAGTGCATTTGGGCTGAAAAAGCATGAATTTGATGCTTTTCAGGTGCTTTTGGATGGTTTTGATATGCTTATGTCGAAAACATCAAAAAGCACCTCAAAAGGCTTTTCAGTCCAAAATGTACTTTGGCAAAAGCACTTGCACCGCATTACCAAAAACACTCAAAAACTTCCCATGTTGTTGTTAGAAAATAATATAAATCATATCCTGAAGCCTATCTTACCTAATGGCTCAACCTTTTAGGTGAGATGTAAGATAGTTCTTTGACATAGCATCGAGCCTTAATGACCGAAAGGTCACAAATTCGAATCTCATCATCCCCACTTTCTCTTTTAATTAATTAAGCACAAGGTAGTGTGGGCCTGTGCAAGTTTCAAGCCCAAATGACTTTCACTTGAGGAGATGCGTTAGAGAATGATATAAATCATATACTAAGACCTTACCTAATAGCTTAAGCTTTTAGGTGAGATGGTTCTTTAACAGTTGTCCTAAAGGAACAAAGACCACCAGAATCTTAGAGCTACGCAAGGAAGATTTACATTGGAACACGAGAACCAAGGTAGGGGAAGCCCCATGTATTCTTAGTAAGTTTATCTTCTTGCTGATACAATTATCATGTGCAATACAAGGCTTTCGGTTCCTATTAGAATATATAGACACACCCTGTTTAGTATTGCTTTATACAGGCTACTTTAGCTGTTTTAGTAAAAGCAATGACCGGTTGAAATCTGCTGGCATGGTATCCCCTGCTACCAACTGAAAGGAAATCACTTTATGGTGGATCCACTCTTTTCTCAAATAAAATATACAACCGCCAGTTACCACACTCTGTTTTTACTAATACTATCACTAATACACAACACAGAACAAAATAACACAATAGTCAAAGCACCGTGCAATACAGCAATACCAAAGAGACCCTAAAACAGAGACCACTAAAATAAAAGGGTGAACAAATGCAGAGACTAATGGATGGGGCAGCTTAATTCAAAATTGAAATGTTCAACCAAGAAATTTCTTATATGTCTAGAAAAGCTTCCATGTTAAATGTTCTTTCAACTTGAGTAGATGATATCAAAATTCGCAAGGGTGAAAGTACCTGAAATATGTTTAGCCAAGCTCCAATGGTAGCAGCAGCACGAGGAACTGGTCGTTTGAACATAGTAAGCAGCTTCAGAGCATCAGTTCTAATTTCTGTGAAGCTGTTCTGAATGAGAACATTCAACTTTAATTTACAGTAACAAAACCCAAATCATCCTCAAGCATCATCTATAATTAGGTGAAAGTACGAGTAAAAGCTTACCACAGCAGCAAAGGCAAATGCGAGGGGGAATGCACAAGCAAACATCATGATCATTCCAAACTGCAAAGCCAACACGAGAAAGTCTGCACACAGTTGCTTTTGTAAGCACTAGAATAAAGGATTTCTAATCTCCAAGGTGCACATCAATTACAACAAATGAACTCCGGCATTATCATAGATGAGTTTTAATTCACAGCTTTGATATCACCAACACATCTATTTCACAATCATGGGTTGGCTACATAAATCCACTTTCAGAATCCACAGACATAAAGCATAGTGCCTAACTTCTTATCCTGGAAAGAATTACTTAAATGCTGTATAAACATGAAGATTTGCTTTTAATTTCACAGGTTTGAATGCCTCATAATATATAAAAATGTTTAGTATATTACCATCAAAAAGGCCATCTTCTAGTTCCTCAGCAACACTTGCAGAATATGTAGGTTTTAGGTACTCTTTCTCCACCTTGGAATTGAACTGGATCTTCCCATTCTCACGGTTTTTCTTGTTTCTATAAAAAGATGTGTTAAACCATGTTCCTTGAAATGAAGTTACTACTCCATGCTGAAGAAGAGTAAAATATGTGGCAAAGGCTTACCTAACTGCACTATATTTTTTATAGCTGTATTTGAAATAGGGCAGTGAGTTTTCGAACAGATTTTCCAACACCTGAATAACAAATTTAATTTCAACAGCACATTAATTTAGAAGGTCAATGATACTTTGCAAAACCACAGCAAAACTGAAGTAATTTCATTATACCTGATAGATAATCACACGTTGAACCAAGACCTGGCGAAGGGTCATAAAGTTGCGATGCAAAAGGGCATGGTAGAAAACTCCAATATATGACTGCATAAAATATAGGCCAAATACCTGCAACATAAAGTGAATCCTTGAATTAAAGCTCTACTAAAGGGAGAACGAAGAGCAAATGGATTCAATTTGCATTGATTACTTTGTAGACCAAGCTGTCAGCCTGATATTCTGTGTTTTCATTGTTCTCATATTGTGTTAGTTTCACTGATATTTTTCCCCCGATCTTTGTAAAATACTGAATGATAACAAGGTAAACAGCTGTCAATCCAAACCTGAAACCCAAAAAATAGAAAAAGCGTCATCATTTCATGTAGCAGATCCATAATGGAGTAAGGCATGGAAAAGAAATGTATCGCGAATGGAGTTTATTAACAGAAAGCTATTAAAAGTCATGTAATGCTTGTAGTAGTTAACTGTGCATCAAAAACACGTTAAATGCCAGGGAATTAGTATGTACTTTATCAAATATCAGTTCTCCAATGCTATACTCTGAACCGAATTTATACATTTCAAGTTTGTTCAAAGTTGTAAAACGCAAGTCAAAAATTTAAATGGAAGGCAAAATGAGAAAGTCCAGTCCTTATCTGTAAGGAACTTTTGAAAATAATAAAACCACTTGCATTTCCACTTCCAACATCCCCCATTAAACAACCCTTCAAATGTAAATGGAGCATTCCTTTTTTCTTTTTTTGGTGTGTGTGTGTACATAAATAAAATTATTTTGATAAATACTCCAGTTCCACATACAAAAACTAAAGGACACAAAATAAAAAAATAAAAATAATAAAATGGAAGAGATAGGTTGACAATCAAGACACGGCCAATTCAGGCCATGGGTGCAGTTTCCGGGTTTAGAAAGAGAAATATGAACTAAAACATGCGCAAGAGAATATGAAGAGGATATTCACCACTAGCACTGGATGCAAAGTTTCGGTGGAATAACCATATGCATGGAAAGGGAAGCCAAAGCATACAATGCCTTAAAGTACTCTTTGCTTTGTAAGCAAGAATAAAGTGGGATATCAATTTGTCAGCTCCACACACCATTTTTCCACAGGCAACATGAATGCAATCATCAATATTCTGCGAAACATTCTTGAATTTGCATGCATGAGACTCTGGAAGAATCCTGTTACTAAACCCTGAACCTAACTAAAAGAGGGCAGGGAAACCCTGAAGGAACATGTAAGTGAAACCTTATTCCTGTGGTGTTCAGGTCTCAAACAGAGACTTGATCACAAGAAAAGAAGCTTTACTGCAGTCAGACAGAAAAGCAGCAAAGCACAAGGAATGTTTAAAAAAATATGGACTTGAAATGGCAAAACATGACGACCCTGTTGGCCTTAATCAACTATACCTGGACCTATAATGCCAAAATTAAGCAAATGACTGGTCGGTCCACGCAAACATCCTTATTAAAAAAAAGAAAAAAGAAGACAACCAAAGCGTGCCAACCATGAACGTAACAAACAAGGACTTTATTAAGGAAGATAAATGAAGAAACTTCCCAAGACAGAAGTTATTAGCTGCAAGAAATTAATCATAGACACAGTCATAAACCATGAGACAAATGTAATAACATAATTTAGAATCTTACCTCATAACATCTGATTCAATAACTTCATAAAGATGAGCATATGCCAACTCAAATGGCAACTGGAGGCAGATAATAGTCAAAAGGATGATAGCGTTATTTCTGAATCGCATGAGATGCCCAAGCCATTCATATCTCTGATATGCTTCTTTCTCTTTCATTTTGTCAGTTCCCAAATTTTTTATGAGTTCTAGATGAGACTGTAAGGAACTCCACTCCATGCGCAAAAATTTACATCCTTGGCTGGCACTAACTGGAAAATTTATTTGCCATCTACAACACCAAAATCCACAGGCACAAAGGGGCAGAAGACGTTAAAGAACATAAGGAAAATGAAACTAGCATAGCTAAAAATCTTATTACAAGGAAAAGAGAACACATAAACTACAACAAAAGGGACCACAGACAATGCCATAACATTAAACACATACCTAGCTAAGAGGGCTGAGTTCTTACGTTTCCAGAACTGGAAAAACAATACAGCCCATAGTATTACGCTCATGAAGAATACAGGTAGCACTAGCAACTGCAGTGACCTGGAAAAAGCAATCCATTATTCATGAAAAGTAATTTATGTCACCAGATGCTTCAGCACCTATTTTAAAGACACATGTTACATCTATTACAAAGCATACCAAAAGGCAGAGACTAGCAAGACTTACCCAAAATCAACCAAGTGAACAACAAGTCCGAATGCAGCTGGAAAGATCGTCCATCGTGTATACATCCGAAGGAAAGCAAAATAGATGGCAATCTACCACGAGGAAAATCCCGAGTTAGAATCCAATGGCATAATTGCCATGTCGGACATTAGTGACTAGCTGCATAAACTCACCTTCAATCCAAAATATGAATACATATCATCAATAGGCTGGTTTGTGAAGTTGCGCCAGTTCAGCACCCAACTTTTCAGGAGTTTCTTCCTCTTAATTTCATCTAGAAGCCAATATTTTGTCCAACTTCAGAGTTTATACGGCATCACAAAGCAGGCAACTTAGTAACAGATGAAATTTGGCATACCGTGTAGAAGAAAAACTTGTTTAACAATGCCCTCAGATTCTAACATCTTCATTAAAGATTCCCCGACTTGCCATAGTAACCCTTTGCCATCCAATGTTAGAATCAAATCTACCTTGCTCTTGTTTACCTGTAAATTTTAGTTTGAGTTTCAGTAAACTGAGATATCAGATATGCTAAGTTCAAAATGCATGCATATACAAATGACAGACTCTAGGAGAACAGCAAGATTTGGGCTATCAATGTTGCTAAGGAATATTCATTAATGACATAAAGGACAAAAATGGAATTAACTTGTCAGTTTCTTCAAATTGTTAGAGAATGAAAGCATGCTTATAACATATACAGAATGTTTTTCAATTTAAGTGAGATGCATGGTGGGCAAAGAAAAGTCAGATAACAGTAAGACAAACACGAACTGTCTCATCATCAAATGCATTTGAATTTTAGATTTACAGCAAGCAGTACACAAACAATGGTTATCTGAGTGCAAGAGGGAGAGACAGAAAGGGATACCAAAAAAGCTAAGAAATTTAGTTATGCAAAATTATCTTACAATCCCATGTAATAGATGCTGGTAGCACTGAAAACGCTCAAACCAACTGAACAATGAGCCATCTGGCTGTCTCACAAATGCTTCAACCTCCTCCCATTCAAATTGTAGATCCATTCCTAGAAATGAAGTAAAAAATAGGAATACAATTCACCACTGCATATACACTTCTCCATTAAGGAAAAATGAAAGAAGAAGCATGGGAAAATGAGCATCTCTCGTTGTACAACCTGAACAAAGAAAAAGGGATAAATTAATGATGTAAGAGCATCCCAATAATTACCAATATAAGTAGGCTTCTTCATTTGCAGCTGTGCTGCTGCTCTCCCCAGTGTCTCCAGAGGTGCTGCCAGCTGAATGAAAATACTAACCTTAGCAACTCAACTTGTGAATAACTGAATTTGCAATTACTTGGGGTCGGTCAAAAAAATTGAAGGTAAGCCATTAATATAAACAGGTTTCGTTTAAGCAAAATGCTGAAAGATCCTAAATCCAATATTTTAAAGGGCACATTGTTTTTTATCTAATTACAATCAAGTGACAAAGAGACAGAGCCCTGAAGCATCATAAATTAAGGAACCTTGGGGTTCAACTCAACGAGTGAAGTTACCTCTTCATTCAAAAGACAACATAAATATGGAACATTTGAACTACATGCAATTGCCAAGTTCATGAAGGGCATGGGGAACTCATTAGCAGTTCTCAATGAGTCCCCGTGCTCAAATTTTCCATCATATCGCACACCAGTTACTGAAGATTCAAAACTAAAGCAACATGAACACATCCTGAAATCAAATAGCATAACTTGTCTAACACAGCATCCCCACCACCCAACCCCCAAACAGATGTTAAAGAACAATATCCATCCCACTCATTTGCTATTGCGAGTAGTCCTCTCAATAGGGCGGGATATAGAAGACGACATAATTATCTAACAAAAAAAGAATAAACATCTAATTGCAAGATAACACATTTGCTAGTTGATTAGATAGTACATGTTAAGAATATAGAAGACGACAGCTGATAAAGCTAACCTTGATAAACTCATCTGTTAAGCCAAGAACTTCCTCAACTATAAACCCCACATTCCTCAACTCTTCCACAAGAAACTCAACACAATCACAAGTTTCATCCTCCTCCTCCTTGACATTCCTCCTAGGAACCACCACACATATCTCAAATGCAGTTTGCTCTTCTTCCTCTCCGTGAACATTCATTTCCAAGCCAACACACACAATTACAAAAAGCACCAACCATACAAAACCTCGAAGGATTAAATGAAGCTTATATCAACCAAAAGGCGATTCACAGCTGTATCGGCCCAAAGCATACCCAATGTAACAGCAGAAAAAAGAAGGATGATATCTTGTTGAATCGCTCACACAGTCAAACGGGTTTCTATTTTTAAATCAAACAAGCAAATGGGTCTCTATGTTTAGGATTAAAAAAGAGAGGAAACAGTCAAAAGATCCAATTTTTAGTTAAATTATAGCTTGAAAGGACTAAAACTGAAAAAGGGTTTCTTTTTCTAGCTCAAAACAAGGCAAAAAGAGACGAGCTTGTATCAAAACAACAATGTGGGTGACCTTGTGAAGATAGAAACATGGAGCGAGAGAGGGAGAGAGAGAAAACCAGGTGTCTGAGGAATCAGGCATTAGGGAAGGGCCTGTTGTAATGCATAAACACACAGCAGCGTGGGAGGAGAGAGACACGCAAGGCGTTATTTGGACTATGTTGGTTGGCTCCCTTTGGTTTTTGCACTGCGACCTGCCGTTTAGGGTCGAATATATAATCATAATTTTAATCTACTTGGGTGGTGAGTTTTTCAATGCATTTCATTTCTTGGTTTTTGCACAATCTGGAAGAAATTCTATCCACTCTGTTTGAGTGTGATTGGGATGGCAATTTGCATGGATGGAGCAGCAGCGTACAATGAATGAAGAGTTTAAAAGTGAATGATTATTCTCTTGTATGCGTTTTAAGCACTCAAACAAGAGGGAGAATACATGTTGGATTTGCATATATTCCTTCAATTCATTTCCTGTAATAGAATTTAATTCGTGCTCCGCACGAAAAGCATATCGAAATTTGGATCCCGTCATGGAACTTCAATTATTTATCTTGCCAGCAGAACTCTTCAATCATTCTCCGGGTATGGGAGACCTAGAATTCATATAATCTGATAAAGTTGACATGCTGTAGCAATAAAGAACAAGGAACCAGGACAGACTGCCGGTATCAAACCGAAAATCAAATTTAAAATTATGCAGAGTTTTTTTTTTTTTTCCAAAGAAGATTTATCAAAAAGATTTTTTAATCCGAACTCTACCTGATACAGTAGAGGTATCGATATCTCTGTACACACTAATACCTCAATAAGATAAACGAGTAGCCTGAAGAAGTGTATATGGGTTTGGCTTTGAGAAGCTGCAGCTAAAACCTAGTTCACGGACAACGTCGAAAATTGCAGAAATGTCTATGGGCTAGAATCGAGACACTACTAGAACTGGTTAACGAATTGATTGATTGAGGAGATTTCATAGGGAATGCATATACACACACACACAGGGCATTAGAAGAACAAGATGCAGTAGAATGTTAAGCAGGTCTACCACATCAATTCGACTTCAAAATTAGAACTTAGATACACCTGCCAAAAACCACAATTCATAAATACAAAGCGAGAATTTCAAGGAAAAAAAGATCCTGCTACATGAAACCTGAATACATCCACGAGTTCTTCCAACAGTCAATCTCGCCCCAGATGCATACATATCATAACATCTCATACTTGTAATCTGAAAGACTGAAACCATTTATCATACTCTAGAAGGTAAATGCTGGTTAAGTTAAGCAACTCATAGAGTGCATCAGCCATTCATATTCAACACGCAAAGAGTCTACAAATACTTTAATCCAAATTAAGCCAAATTTACAAAATATGTTTTCGGCACAAAGCACAAATGGATAGATATATAAAGATATATAACATTCGCATGAGAACCTCAGATCTTAACACATAATTTACCCTCTGGCCTTAAGCTCTGCAAGCCGCCTTGACAAATCATCCTCATCAACCTTCTCCTGTGACTTTGTTGCCACTGCATGTGCAGCAGGCTGTGGCAGCCCAACAGAGACCTCCAATCCATAGTCATCAGCTACCTGTTGCATCAAGCTGTTGACCTCACCCTCAGGTGTGGACAACGAGGTAGACCCAGCCATTGAGCTCTCCATGAACTCTGCCTGTACCTCCATGTTCACAAACTGCTTCTCAAACTGATCCATCGTCTCTGACATCTTCTGCAAGTTACCTGCATTCAGCAATAATTCAAAACACAATCAATCGTAAATCAAACCTAATGCGCATTATCACAATTTCAGCACAAGACCAACTAAAATTGGAGAAAGCCAAGGCCCATCATCCTATAATAAACAATTGATACATCCTCATGGCAGAGTCCAAGGGTAACCAGTTCCATATGATTAGATTTCTGCAGAAGTAATTCATCGTGCCATATCCTAAAATGGAAAGAAAAAAAAAAACAGAATCAAGCCAGCTATGAAGCTCTCGGGTAGTAATTTCTAAGACTGAACAGGCCATTTCACAAAATGGCTCCCAATCAATCGTGCCAACAGCAATTTGCAACTTTTTTATTTGCATAAGACTAAATCCAAAGTCCCAACACAAATTAGTTAGCTACAACAAGCACCGTCTACCACATTATCTCGGGAAAAAAAATTAATCAGCAAAATCCCAGACCAAGATTTTCTAATTTTAGATAGAAAAATCTAATTTAATTAGAAAGGCAAACCGAACCCAAGAATCACAAATCAAAAATCCAATTTTTTCCTTATAACTGGATTCTCAGACAAAATCAGCAAAACCCATCGATAAATTAACGAAAAAAATCGAAAAAGAAAAGTGATTACCAGTAGCGAGAGTAGACTCGAGAGACTTAACAATAGAAGCCATAGACTTATTAATAGTAGTCATCTTAGCCTGAGTATCAAGCCTAGCCACAACGGCATCCAGCCTAGAGGCGAGCCTCAAGTAATTCATCTGTTCAGTCCTCTTACGAATGGCGTTCTCAGCATAGATCCGAGCACCATCCACGTTTCCTTTCTCGATCGCCTTCTTGACTTTCAATTTCTCCGATTTCTCTTCCTTCTCGCACTTTCGCGCTTGCCTTTGCAGCGATTTTGATGTGAATTTCAAGTCCATGATCTGATTCAAAAGCTTCTCTGTGTTTCCCATTGTTGAAGAAATCTTTTGGATTAGATTAGATTAATGAATGAGAGATGGATTTGATGAATTTTCTCAGGGTTATGATTGTTGACTGTGGATTGGTCTTTTTTTCCTTCCTTAGAGAAGGGAAAGGGCAAGAAAGAGGATGGCGTGGGTTTTTTTGCAATGACCGTGTTACCCTTGGGAGTCCGTGTATGTTAGCGTGTCTATGACTGCACTAGTTTGAATTTTTGCAATTTGCTAGACCTTTGGTATAAATGTTTACGAAAAATCGTGTCTTACAATTGTACCCTTCGATTTTTTCGATTGAGATTGTAAGGAAATAAATAATAAGAAATGTTCAAATTTACTTTCTTATCAAACCCTAAACTTGTCTTGCATGGTTAATATGATTTTAATGCACAGCTAATATAATTCTTGAAAATTAAAAAATATATAACCTCAAGTAGTTGGTCTGATCGTTAAAAATATTTACTTTCTCTTTTTAATTTTATGAATTCGAATCTTAAAACTAGTATTTGAGATAATATATTTCTCTTAATATATAACATATGGATGTATTCAAATTTTAATATTACCATTTAGAAGAATACGTTTTTTTTTTTAATGTAAATTAGATTGATGTAATAAATGAATTTTTAAAATTGTTCGAAAAAAATTTTTGGTATTAATTGATGTACAAATTTAAAAATTAGTACATGCATTAAATAGAAAAACTCATATACCAAACTTATAACTGTATAAGAAAGAATGAGCTCTTTTATATTATATTTTTCTTTTTAGAAAAAGGGAATTAGGATCTTGGGATGGAAGTGCCAATATAAAATAGTATTATAATATATTTAAAAATAAAGGTGGTACATGTGAACCCAACTCAAATTAATCTGTAAAATTAAAATCATGAGTTTATTTTCAATTCAAAACCTTAAAATGACCGAATCTAAAACTTTTGAATCGGATCAATTTGATCCAAGAATAACCCATGGATAGCAATCGCATTGAAATTTAAGCTTATTTATGTAAGAAATACAAAATTGCATTTTTGAGTCTTTTAAGTTTTTCTTATCTCCTCAATTCTTATTGTTAAAATATAAAATGGCAGAATCCAAATATTTTCCCTTTTTTACTCTTAATTTAAGGTTAGTATTCTTCTATTATTTCCTCTCATATTTTCTAGCTGTTTCGCTTGATATCGGTAAATGGTTAGTCCAATAATAATTAATTGTATATATATGCGTGTGTTGTGTCGAATTCCCATGGTATCTTTTCTTTTCTTATTAGATAATTTGAGATAATTTTCATGTAAAATGACTTATACATGTTTTTATGTGTTTGCTTCATGCAAGAAAGTTTAATATATTTAAAAGGGTTATTATCTTTGGGTGTGAAAATAAATATTTCATATAAGTCTTAAATTGAAGGATAAATTAAAAAGAAATATCAAATTTTAAGAACTAAAATAGCAAATGTCGTTGTCAATGGTTAGGCGTGCCTTGACGCCAGAGCTGTAAGGCAGTTCCGTCCTGGCCGTAGCCTGTATATTCAGAAGAACAAAACGTCGGCTTGTTGTATGATACAAGGTGGGATGCATCAATATTATCAAGTAACTTGAGCGAAGAAATTTTGGAATTATAAGAAGTGTAAGGCAATAAGATGATGGAAAATTGGAAATGGGAGATGCACACCATATTTGCCTGCAGGCTGTATAAAATAGCAGGAAGATGCTATTTCTTCTCTGCCTTGAACACGGTACTGGTCATTATCAATTGTGTTCAAAGCATATTATAAAAACTGGATTAAATGATATCCCTAGGAAAACACAAGTGATGTAAATCCAAAGGTTTGAACTCGAAACCTTCAGTTTATTATCTAAGAACGATTCTACTAAACAGGGCCAAATAATATTAAAACAAGGTTTGACTAGGACAGCGGACGCGAAGCTTTTCGTCAACTTCAATAGGTTTTTTCACCATCCTTGGAGACAGAGGACTTTGAAACCGCACTGGTGAGCCTTTGAAGCTTTTGTTGAAATTTTTGGAGGATTTTGGTGGATTGAATACGAGATAAACGAAACCCAATGGCATCAAGATACCATCCACTTCTACCTTTGAAGCCCACAATCGATGCTCCATCCATTGTAAGTGTAAATGGTGTTCCATCTTCAACTCCAAATGGTCCAAACGTTCTTTTGTTGCTGATGAATGTTAGTGATCGAATCACAGGACTACCACCATAAACTACTCGGCAGTAATGGCCATTCATACTGGTTAAGTACTCCTCTGGATATTGCAACTTAATCTGAAACATAAGAATAACAAAACTTAATAGTTAGTAGTCGGAAAACAAGAAATTTTATATTGTCTGTTGATTGGGAATGATAAAGAGAGTGAGAATACTGGAGCTAACCTCAGCTGTTCTACTGCCTCCAAGAGGACCAAGACCTCCATGTTTTTCTGCTGTGACAGGCTTACCATTCTTGTCGTATACCACCTGAATCGAGTCGATGCAAAGATCATAAAAAAGTTTGATTTCTCTCACTCCATGGTAGATCCCATCATCCCAGCTATCCCCTCCATGTCCTCCCCATGGTCCAACTAATATACTACTCTTCTTTCTCCCACCCGATGGTTCCTTGCTAACTTCCTTGCCATTTTCCTATGGAAGTTTCATGCAAAAACTTGTATGCTCAGAAAACAAATCGGGTCTAATTGTACCCGTTAATTTATAATTATAATTTGCATTTAATGAAAAAAGAAGAAGAAGAAAGAAGGAAGGAAGAAAATAAATGGATTCTTATAATCAGTTTAAACCCAAAATTATAGACATAGATCAGAAACAATAAGTTCTACCAATTCAATCTATGAAGCTGCTATAAGGTTTTTGACTTCATAGTTCATACCATATGAGACGATAAAAGATGGAGGAGATGAGCTGAGATGCTGAGCAGAGAGGAACAGAAGCAATGACTTGCTATGAGAGAGATGGCTTGTGATAAACAAAAAAGGTACGGCTAATATAGAGCATTATATGCAGTATCAGATTCGGATTCTATTTCTAGCACTAGAAATAAGAATTTTTATTTTGATTTCTTTACTGTCTTGTCAACAAAACAACGTCAAGATATGAGTTATTCTATGTCCTTCCTCCCGTTCATCCTTTTGCTCTATTGACTCTCTTTGTTTTCTAGCATTCCTGCTAAACACACTGATGATACTTGTTGTACAACCATAAGCTTTTCAAAATTAAACTAACTAGTATCAACTAATGTCAGTCAAACAAAAGAATCATTGGTGGCTTGGAACAAAGACGGGGGTGACTAGCTTCACTAGCACAAAAGTCCTGCTTTACAGCTGGTTGAACCAAAGCAATGTGATGTTGACAGCCAAAAAGAGAGAACAAGATACGGGAGAGGCATATTTTTTCTGCAGATGCCAATTTTTCAGAATGTGTACCTTAAATCGACACAATATCCAAGTTCTTTATTCTACTAGAGGTCAGATTCTTCACATACGCTCTGGCAATGGCTATGAGAGCTTACAAGATTTCTCAAGGAAAAACAACAAAATAAGTAAATGGTGGCGAAAATTCAGAAACTGTTATTATCACTTTTGATAAAGCTTGAAAGATAATACATCAATCCCAACAATTTGTGAAAATATAGAAACGAATCGACATAACCTGTTAACCACATGTAATCAATAAAAATTGCATATTAAACCTAGGAGCCACACAATTCTAATTTTAAAAAATGCCTTCAGATTGTTGGGTGCAAAATCCTATTAACGATTCTCATAACTAAATCATACGAGTCTGATATAAATTTTGATTTGTAACCATCCCTGCTCACCAATGATGTTTACAGACCTTCCCAATTCAATCGAAAGTAGCTAATCTGGTTCAACTCATGATAAATGTATGACCTCAGCCAGGTAATCCAGTCAGATGTATCTGTAGTATCACTAAGATTCTCAATGTTAGCATCCTTCAAAAAGTGCCGCCAACATTTATTGCTTGACGTGTTATATTTACAGCAGACCGGATCTCCTCTGTCCACCATCTTCTTATATAGTTGCTGCAGTTCAAGTCAAACAACAGACACTCATTTAGCAAAACAAAACAGCATTCAAGTAAAGCAACGCCCTAGTAAGTAGCTTTCTAAAGACAGCATGCTATCATTTTTGCATGCATCCACTCAAATAGACATGCACACAAACAACTGGATGGAAACTGTCATACCACAGAGAAATCGCTAGTTGCAGATGATACAACAAATAGTGTCTCTGGTCGCCATGTCCGTAACAAATTGTCTGTTAGATCTTCCAAACTGGTTGATGGCTTGACAATTTCAAGCTTGAGATCATGGATTGGAGGAACCAGGATATCTCTCAAATCTTCATGAATAACGACATTCTTGACAAACCATGACAAGCAGGGAAAATTGTGAGAAGATTGTACACAATAATTTTCAGTACTGATAAGAAAAAAAAAAAGGGATAATGAATAAGATACCTTTTTGTAACGCACCACCAATTTCAAATCCTTAGAGAGATCAAACTTCTCAAGCAATTTTTGCATTGGAGCAAACCAAATGCAGTCATGATCTCCTTTGAAGAATCCAACTCTCTGTCGATGATGAATTGGATGAGGTTCAAAATAGAACCTCGCCTCTTTCAGGCCTGAAGGATTCAAAGAAGAAAATGGCATCTGATGACCCTTGTACTCAAATGAAAGAAGATTTGGAGTGTCGATATCAGCTTCTTTTAGCCTTGCACATTCTCTCAAGACTAATGTCTCAAGCCGATGACTTGAGATTGTAATACTTTCTAAGGAATTGCATTTACTTAAAATCAGGTGCTGAAGGACAGGAAAATTAGAAAGATGATTTTGAAACAAATCATCAGTCATTTTGGCATCTTCTATTGTCAAACTTTTGAGAGATTTAGACAAGGCCAAGTTGATTTTGCAGATTTCAGATTTCTTCTCACGAAACCAAAATCTTTGAAGATGCGGCGCTTGAAGCTCAACATCCTTCAGCGCATTGCAGCGGTCAAGATCAACTCTATTGAGTTTATTACTAGAAACCATTAAAGTTTTCAAGCCACTGCACTGTATGAGTCTCAAATCTTCAATGGAGGGGCAGCTAAGGAGCAGATTGTTTATTATCTTTTCACAGACTCGGAGTTTCCCTAGACACAGTTTTCGCAAAATGGAAAGCCTAATATCATTACAAGTTCCCAGACTGCCGCCAAAAATCCTCAAGTCAGTTATCGACTTGGTAGCAAAGACAGTTCGAGGAATGCGGTAACATCCACTTTTGGGTGGAATATAGAGATCCAACTCCTGGATGGTGCTTTCAGTTGCAAAACCTATCCACCGATCCAAACAGTCAGCCAACTGAAAATCAAAGGAGGTAACATGAAGCACGAATTTCTGCAAACCAGATTTTTGTTCGATGCAACTCTGCAGGGTGTTATCAACAAAATCCCTGAACATCAATTTCTTCTTCAAGATCTCGTCCTCTCTTGCCTTCTCAATTAAGCCACGCTCTTTTCTACACAAACCACAAAAATTTACCTCTTGATTTTGGTGGAATTTGCGCTCATCAAAATCCAAAATTGAGAAAGAAGCCCATATATCCCTCCACCTCTTGGACAGGGCACTAGTTCGAGCTGCATCTTTCTTACAACGAAGAAGAGATAAGATATGATGGATGATGTGAGTAGGAATTGCTGAAATGAAGTCAACTCTTTGGTCCATATCCTTTAACTCTTTTCTACTTTGCTTCGCTTTACCACCAGCACCCTCATCCACCTGGTTAGAAACTTTTCTCTTCAAGTTTCTCTTAAAATCTTGTTCTTGTGAGTTAGAGCCAATGAAGTCAGTCGACTTCTCTGCAATGAAGAGTTTCTTCTCTTTTCTACTCCGCATAATCTGAATGAGGACAAATTTATATATGTGAATAATAAGATATATAAAACCACTTAAGACTCATTAACAAGGCATTGATCCGCATCGATTTACACCTAAATGTGAAAGAAATTTCCAGCATTCACGAACCATAAGCGAACATTGAAATCGAACATAATAATAGAACTGCAGATCATAAACGATTAAACAATAAAGCCCAGTAATTACAACAGAATTGCAGATTCAATAAAAAAAAATGGGTTTCCTTGTCCCTTGAGGAGTAACATGAAAGGCCAGTTATTCACAGATAATTTGGCACAGAATTGAACGAACCAGACTGCAGATCAGAAACGATTAAACAATAATAGGACTGCAAAATAAAAGTCATTCATTCAGGATCATCCACTGAGTATTGTCGAGTCTCTTTGGTTGCTGGGAATACAAGAAAGAAAGAGGCAAAAAAAAAAAAAAAACCCGATTCACCTTCAACCATGATTATAGCATTCATTAGTATGCTTAAATAAAATTCAGTTTTTTATGCACATAAATAAAATCCTACTAAATAAAGACAAAGATTGAAGACGAAGAAGAAAAGGGAGAGTAAGCAACCGTGAAAATCAATCTTGCTTCGTAAGGGAGGAAGTTACAGGAGGATAGCACTTTCCACGGAGGGAGTGCAGACGAAAATCAAAGACTATGAGGGCCAAGTGTGAACTGAAGCCAGTTTTTTTTTTTTTCCTCCAAAGAATAAAGGGTTATGGGCCTTTGTAAATTTAGGGCCAGGCTTCAAGGGTTGGGTCTGGGCTCAAATGCTCCAAATTTAGGTTTTTATTGGAGACCTAAGAGTTGATCAAGAAGGTCACCCCCGCCTGTCACGTGTGGGTAACACTAACATGTGCCTAATAAAGATTATAAATATAAATTTAACAGTGTGCCTATATAGCATTGGTATTAAGAAAATATAACTAATAAGCAGAGAATATATATGATGACCAATTTGTATTATAAATAAATATATATAAATTCTTAAAGTTTTATTAGATTTATTATAAAACGTTGTGTTTGAAAATAATATTGTTGCAATTAATTTGATTTTTAATAAAATACTAATTTATCTAATTTTAATATTATCAAACATTAGTTTTATTGTAGTCGTTAGAGTTTGAGTTTAAGAGTTAGAGTTTGGGTTTGAGAATAATAATTATCCCTTTTAAGCATACTAAAATTAAAATAATCAAGATGAATTCTGTATACTAATTTTTATTGTTATTATAAAATAATTGAAGCATCAACCTTACTACCTTAGTCGCCATCGCTGTATCTTGTTTGCTTGTAAGTTTTACATATATTAATTGTTTATTCCTGATGAGAATTTTGTTTGATTGAAATTCTAAGACATGGTTTGATTACATGATTCCTACTCTAATTAGTATACAAAAAATTATTCAAATTCTAATTAATAAATTTTTAATCTAATTTGTACGTAAATCATCCTATTTAAAACTATTTAAGTGTATGGCACGTGTCGAATAGAAAGAGACTTTATTAATTGCAAGGGGCTGGCTCTTGAGGTGTCATTAATCCTAGGTAGCTACCTCTCGCACTTTTATCCAGTTTATGTCCTTAATTTTATTATATAATAGCCGATTATTCACGCGTTGTTGGGTTTATTATTAAAAAAAAAAACAATAATTTTTATTTATTAAAACATAGATTTAATCCAACAAACCAATAAATTAACATTACTTATAATTAAAAAGAAAAAAATTACACACATTAATTTCAAAGAACGAAAATCAATCAATACTCTATGCTACGGTTAAAGGCTCGCAAGATGAAGGATAGATTAAAATATATATATATGGTACACAAAAAAGCTATATAGTTAATGAAATTTTATACTATTTATGATTCATATATAAAAGACGATGATAAAATAAAAAGATTAACTCTTAATTTTATTATATGTAGTTATTATCCATAGTTTTTTATCAAGTGATTTTAGAGTTCTAATAATAAAAGTATAGACTTAATGACTATTTTTTAGAATCCCATGCCATATTAATTTCAAAAAATAAAAAAATCTACACCATAATAGAAATTAAAGTACATAAATTTGAACCAAAACTCAAATTGTTTATTTAGTATATACATGCAATTTGACTTAAATTCACACACATAACATATCACATGTCGATTTGAATTTTATACTATTTAGGGTTAATATACGATAGACGGTAACAAGATAAAAAGATTAACTCTTAACTTTATTATATGTAGTTATTATCCATAGTTTTTTTAAAGTGAGTTTAGAGTTCTACTAATAAAAGTATAGACTTGATGACTATTTTTTTAGAATCCCATGCCACATTAATTTCACAAAAAAAAAAAAAAAAAAAATCTACACCGTAATAAAAATTAAAGTACATAAATTTGAACCAAAACTCAAATTATCTATTTAGTATATACATACAATTCTATTTAAATTCATACACATAATATATCACATGGCGATTTAAATTTTATAGTATTTAGGGCTAATATAAGATAGACAATGATCATATAAAAAGATTAACCCCTAATTTTATTATATATAGCTATTATCCATAGGTTTTTTTAAGTGATTTTAGAGTTCTACTAATAAAAGTATAGACTTAATAACTATTTTTTAGAATCCCATACCATATTAATTTAACAAAAAAAAAAACCTACGCCATAATAAAAATTAAAGCACATAAATATACTCGATGTTGTTACATAAAAGTCATGGACTTGTCTACCAGAAATGTTAAATATAGTTTATGTAATTTATATTAAAATACATGGCTTATAGTCCACCCATCTTGTACTGCCAAAACAAGCTAATTAACCATTTTATTATTATTTTATATATTTTATTATCAATTTATCAATTAAAAAAAAACTATTATCATATAGCATTATTTTTAATATACTTGCATGCTATTTGGATCGGATTTAATTATTTATCAGATTGTTGTAATAATTATGATTTTTCGAAATATCATTTTTAGAGTTGATTGCGTAGTTATTTTTCACTTGTATTCGTGATAAAGTCGCAAAAATTCAACTTGACTTGCAAAAATCAATATCTTTCTTTGCTTGACACGTCGTGCAAGATGTGGATAAGAAAAGCGGAACAAATGGGTTGGGCCATTTTCATTGGGCTATTGAGCTCCTCCGATCAATTTCGATAACGAACGGTCAATAAGTAAAGGGTCTTCGTGGCTTTTGTGTTGTCGTTTAAATCTTTTGCCGAGAAAGAAAACATAAAAAAATGGGTTGACAAAAAGAGAAGGTTCAAAGGAGAAGGAAATTAAATTTCAACGATAAAACATTTTTTTAGTAAAATAGTTTTTTTTTAAATAAAAACTCACATGTCAATATATATAAATTAAATGACTCTCATGTGGCACAGAGTTTCTTATTTTGATAAATAAATTTAAAACTACTTTATTATGAGAAATAAGATTTTAAAATTCTTTATTATGAAAAAAAAACTAGTTTGAATGGAATTCATATGGCATAAAAGATCTTATTTTGATAAATAAAATAAAAATGACCTATTCTGGGTTTTTTTTTTAAAAAAAAAACCTTAGTTTGGGAAAAAAAAACTCAATTTTGGATTGAGAGATATTTGGTAAATGTTGAAAAAATTCATTTAAGGAAGGAAAAGTCCAAACCAAACTCAAGTTTTGAATTGAGATCGGAATATTTGGAAAATAAATATTGAGAAGATTCATTTAAGGAAGAAAAAATCAATACCAGGCTCAATCTTACATGAAAAATTATCATTGACGTAATCAATTTTGACACCGAATTTTACAAATTTATTCAATATATATATATATATTAGCTTTTTTTTTAAAAAAAAAAACACTAAATGACAACTCTATTTTTTTAATTTTTTTAGTCCGAAATCATAAGGTAGGAATGCATAAGGTCGCGTGGCTTGATGATGAGTTACAAACACAAGTAATTAAGGTTCGATCATTAGTACTAGCATCAACATAATCATAGTAGAGTCAATTACTCCTCTAGTCTTTTTACTATGAAAGTTTGATTAATTAGGTCTCTTTTCTACTAATTTGATTAACTAGATAGATCTCTTTATAATATATATTATCTTTATAATTAATATCCTCAATCCATAACAACGTTGACAGTAATTTGTTGTCGTGCTAGTTGCACGACAAGTGATGACCATTTAAGATGAAAAAAAACACAAGAAATAAAATCGTTTTTTTCTTTTTGTAATTTATAGAGAATGATTTCAAAATTATAGACAACATATATATTTTTTTCAATACTATTATTTTTATTTTAAACAGACATATGTCACACAACCAACATATAACAAATTATTACTAACACCGTTTTAAATTAGATTTTGATTGTAAACGATTTTAAAATTATAAAAAATATATATATTTGTTCAACATAAGAAATTTTATAATACATAACAAATAATTAGTGGTATATACAGATAGTTACTTCATGAATCTACTTTGAAAAGAAAGATAAACAAATTGAATTACATCCGGACACATAAAAAATAATAAGAAGATTTTTCACGTTTATTGAAATTTTTTTTAATTTTTTCTCTTATTTTTTATTATTTTAAAGGGACATGTCGCACGACTAACATGTAATAAATTATTATTAACACCGTTATGAATCAAGGATTTTGATTGTAAACGGAATGTAACATAGAAGAAACCCATTAATTAAATTAGTAATAAGAGAAATCAATTAATCAAACTACCATGGTAGAGACCACATGGGTAAACTAACCCGACCATGGTAACCCTCAACAGCGGAATGAATGGCCGAGAATGGAATAAATTGGTTTTCTGTGAAAGTTTCCATTTCCAGATGACCACACTCAAGAGTGGAATTCAGAACATCAATGACCATTTGCACAAGGAAATAAAAACCGAAAATCCAACAACTCTATGGTCCCCATAACAGCAGCAAAAAGCAAAATGAAACTCGCCTCGTTTCGTTTGATACCGCACACACAAGAAAAGTCATAGACACATGTGAAAAGTTGGTGTCTGTCAGTCTCAAAGAAAAAATTAAAACGTGAAATATTAGAAATTAGCACGAGGATTAATGGCTGATGATGAGTTTGTGAAAAATGGCCATATAAAATACAGCCAGGGGAGCATCTATTAATGACTGTAGCAGGCATCGGCGTCAGCAATCAGCATCACCACCGCTACTACCACACCACCGATATTCCAAATCAACTGCCTTTTTTGTCCTCATTTTCCTCACACCTTCTTAAACTTCTCAAACATCACGCAACACTAACGTTGGTTTGTTTTGCTTCTAATACTATAGGAATCTAGGCCTATTTCTTTCAAAGAAAATCTGTTTTTTTTTCTCTGTCTTAAAAGAGAAAAAGATTCAGGCTTTACAATAAGCAATCATACTACTTGTTTTTGAAAAACAAGACCATGAGTTTGTTTAACTGGGTTTCTTTGGTTTTGTTTTTGTATCTTTCGAGGCCAATTTTGAGCTTAAAAGGGTCATCAGATATCTCTGCAAGGTTTCTCAGTTATGCCAAAAAAGAAGAGCTTTTTGATTGGATGGTGGGGGTGAGGAGAAAGATACACGAGTATCCTGAATTGGGTTATGAGGAATTTGAGACCAGTAAGCTTATTAGAGCAGAATTGGATAAGATGGGTATTGAATATAAATACCCACTTTCTGTCACTGGTGTTGTTGGGTTTATTGGAACTGGCAAACCTCCTTTTGTTGCACTAAGGGCAGATATGGATGCTCTTGCTATGCAGGTTTGGTTTAACTTTTTTTTTCCCCTTCTTTTTGTTTGTCTAATTATGTTAAATCAGTTTGATTCTTGTAGTGTAGATAATATATTCAATTTTCATCTTTTAGCCTCAAAAGGAAAATGAAAAAAAAATTATTTCAGTTGCTGCAAGTTGGATTTTCATTGAATTGAGTTATGATTGAACTCAATTATCTTCTTTCATTTGATCGTGAGAAAGAATCCCAGGAGGGTTGGGTTTAGTTGCTACCTATTGTATTCGTTCCTTTTTTTTATCTGAGATCAGTTTTGGTTGATTTCCAATACTCTGTAAGTTGACTTGGATAATTTTGTTGAAATATGGTACTTCAGTTAATTACTATATTGGTTTTCTAGAGTGAGAACCATTTACGAAATATCATATTGTAATTTTTGTTTGCATTCAATTGACTCTTCAGTAATTGGAGATAAAGTTCCTCCCTAATCTGATCCATGCGTACTTGAATGACAGGAAATGGTGGAGTGGGAGCACAAGAGTAAAGTTCCTGGGAAGATGCATGCTTGTGGTCACGATTCTCATGTTGCAATGCTTCTTGGTGCTGCAAAGATCCTTCAAGACCATCGTGAAGAGTTGAAGGTTTATTGCTTTCTTTTTGGCTTGTGTTTCTGATGCTATCAATTATTATCCTGCAGCAGTCTTACATCCTGACCATATTTTTTTCCTAGTATGTGAATATGTGCTAAGTTTTTGAGAAAGGGCAGAATCTCTTTCCTGAATATTTTTGCAGTCATTGGCACATTGTTATTTGAAAATCATTTTTTTTAGGCCAAAGTTGAACTATGATCTACTGCCTAGCAAAGTCTATTTAATGATAGATATTTTCTGCTTTGTTGCATAATTCTAAGCTACTCTACAATTCGAGTTGCAGACTTGGGGAGAAAATGACATAGCAATTTCCCTTCCTTTGATTTAGTTTCTGGGCAGGGACTGTGAGAAAACAAAGACGGATAACAACCAAAACTATCATGTTTATTATATTTGAGAAGAGCACAATGCAAATGCCACACACAAAATGTTAACCATGGTTGTTAAAAATGTGTTACAAATTGTAAAATCTTACGTTTTGGGTTCCAAACATGAAAAAAGAGCTAACTCGGCTAAAAAAATTAATCATGAGCAATTGTATGCAACTCTCTTACTGAGTCGTTGAACTATATAAAAATGCGAGTTATAGACCGGTCTTAACGAAAGTGCTCCCTTATTGAACCATTTCCATATTGAGCTACTTTTTAAAGCCTGCACATGTTACTTTACTGCACGCTGCATTGTTTGAATGACCACAAAATATAATTCCAAATTGATGGCAACTTTGTTTCTCGAGCAAGTTGTTTTTATTTTTTCGTTTCTATCTTTAACATGCAAGTTTCTATATTTAACTTAAGAGATATCAAAGGAAAGGGCACTCTTTATTTCAATTCGTTTATTTTTATTCGAATATCTGTTTTCCACTCAGGTATTCAGGTTATGCTATCTCTTCTTATACTTATTTAACAAATAGATGATTGAATTAACAAAAAAAAAAACCACAAATTGCAATACTTTTTATATCTTTTCTGCATATTTATTTACTCAACAATCTGAATAGTGCTAATTGAATTTGCTAAGTCTTTGATTTTTTTTTCTTGGTTTAATGAATTGTGTTTTATGGTAAAAATCTTGACCTTGTGAAATGCTTACTAATTTTTTTTTCCTATGTAAGAGCCACTGTTAATTTTTTTTTTTTTTTGAATGAATCATGATGCATGTGAGTTTTCACTTTGAACTTCTGTGGTTCAATTTTTTTTTTTTGGGTACTGATTCTATGCTTAATATAATTAGTAATAGTTTATATGAGCTTTGGATTTAACTATGTAATTAAACATCATTTTGGTCTTTTAAAGTAATTATGTAATTTAACTATGCAATTCCTTGAAAACTCTTTACCTCTTAAAATTATAAGAGAATAGGAGCTTTGTTGATCTCTCTCTTATGGTTCCTTCAATTTTCTTTGTTCTACTAGGGCACAGTTGTTCTAGTTTTCCAACCAGCAGAGGAAGGTGGTGGTGGTGCAAAGAATATGATAGATGAAGGAGCATTAGAGAATGTGAATGCTATATTTGGTTTGCATGTTGACTCTAAGTTACCAATAGGAGAAGTCTCTTCCAGACCTGGTCCTCTACTGGCTGGGAGTGGATTCTTTGAAGCAGTAATAAGTGGGAAAGGAGGTCATGCCGCCATTCCTCAGCATTCAATCGATCCAATACTGGCAGCTTCTAATGTGATAGTTAGCCTACAACACCTCGTTTCACGTGAAGCTGATCCATTGGACTCACAGGTGCATTTTTTGTTTTCTTCACATTACATTGACTCATGTTTTTTCATTTCTTTCTGTATCTTATTGAGAAACAGTACAATTATTGTTTTTAAGTTCCTCTACTTTCACTTCATGCTATAATTCTACTAAGCATTTTATTTTATAGCATTACTTCTTTGCTTTTCATTAGAGGGTTAATTGCCACCTTGTTGTACGGGAATTTGGCTTGGTTTTTCTTGCAATATAGATGTCCTTTGGATGAAAAGAATTCTGTTCTCACTTGTATCAAGATGTTTTTGATTCACGTGTTTTACAATTATGATTGTGGTTCTGAAAAGTACATCAGCTTGTGTTCTATTGTGGCCAGCTATGATTGTTAATCAATTAGTTTGAGAAACCTCAATTTTATCAAGTGATCAACCTCTGCTGATCATCACCATAAAAAAGAGAATAGATTATAGAAATACATAACTTGTTCCTATGTCTACCATATGGACTGATATTTTGATGATTTGGATTCGGGGGCTGCACGAAGATATTTGAGAAAGATAAGTAATTTAATCTATTTGGTGTATCAGTTTCCTTTTTATATCCCTGAGAAAAGAGACGTGCCTTTTCTGTTAGCAGATTGGGACAATGCTTGGCTTGTTGAAGTGATGGAACATTGTCATTCATACTTATTCACTTTTTATAATTTGGCACTGCTTAAATTTGAAGTCAACATGCAGGTGGTGACAGTTGCAAAATTCCAAGGAGGTGGTGCATTCAATGTCATTCCTGATTCTGTTACAATTGGTGGCACCTTCCGAGCCTTTTCAAAGGAAAGCTTCATGCAACTTAGGCAACGCATTGAGGAGGTATTGCTGTTGAATTATGAATAAAAATAACTGCCTGAACAAATTTGATTGAATTTTCATTTTTATTTTTTGTGGAAAAAAATCTCTTGATTCTCATCTAACACTGTTATCTGTGATCTTTCTTTCCACTCATCGTCTTCATAATTAAAAATGTTTTTCCTTTTTTGTTTCAATGACTTAAAATTTATTTTGGTATGCTTTTAATACAATTTATTCTCAAACTTCTAACCAGGTTTGCCATTTGCTTTCCTTATATTTCACCATGACCAAACCTGTTTCTTTTCAATTACAGGTTGTCACAGGTCAAGCTGCAGTACAACGTTGCAAAGCAGTTATTAATTTCCTTGAGAAAGAAAAACCCTTTTTCCCTACTACCATAAATAATAAAGACTTGCACGACTTCTTCCGAATTGTTGCAAGTGACGTACTGGGCGTTGACAAGGTTAAAGACATGCAACCATTGATGGGATCTGAGGATTTTGCCTTTTACCAGGAAACGATTCCTGGATACTTTTTCTTTATTGGAATGCAGAATGAGACACATATGCTTCAATCCGCACACTCCCCCTATTTTGAAATTAATGAAGATGCACTTCCCTATGGTGCTGCACTTCACGCATCATTGGCTTCTAGGTATCTTCTTCAATCCCAACCAGAAGCTACTTTGCCAGAGGAAAATTATCGTGATGAACTCTAAAGGCACTTACTTAGCTGATTTCATAAATAATACAAATTCCGTTACTCAAAAGCATATTGAATCTGTTGTAAATATGACTTGTTATTCAAGTTGAATATCCTGTCAAATCACTTGTCACAGGTCCATCGATATCAGAATTCTTGAACTCTTTCCTTCAGTTAATTTTTGAGGAACAATTTGAAGCTATATGCGTTTGATTTTTCTAGTTACATCAATTTTGTTGCAACAATGGTATGGGCTCTTCCAATATCATTTCCAGCTACCATTTCATTTTGTTCTTAAGAAACCTCACTGTATTGTGAAAATTCATTAGAGTTGAGAGACTGCGCAAAACTTGGTGAAATGGATACACACCCCGGTTTAAGACCAGCTGACATTTCAACAAAAAGAAGCCAGAAATGTTGTCCAATATTTATGTCACAGCAGAAACTATATCTGAGCGGCGACTTATAAACTTATATTATTAAATCAAGATGTTTTATTAAGCACTTTAGGATCTAAATATCTATTATACATCTGAAGAGCTTTGACATTGATGTTTTAAAATGAAAACCTGTAATCTCACTATAAGTATATCAACCAGAGCTAATTAGACTGCATAGCCTAAAAACGGAGCTCCCATGCTCCGGCTAGCAATTGTCCAAACATGCATCTAAGCTAGCTGTGTTTATTTTAAAACCCCAAAACTTTGGGGGACAAGGCTAACAGTGGTTCTAAAGCGCTTGGGGCAAACTTTCTTGCAAAAAGAGAGCAAACGTTGTTCGGTTGGTTGTTATACAGGCATGATTGTCTTGCAAACCTCCTCTCGAAGAATTCATTTGTAATGTCGGACTTCCCAAATGTAGCAGGGTGAGCCCCACCCCTTGACCAGTCTGTCCAAGTAAGACTTCTGTTTGCCAACAGCTGTGGAAATCGGATGCTAAGCATTGTAGGGAAGTAGTGCTCATCCACATAACATCCTGGTCGACAGAAGTCTCTAAACTTTGGGTAATAGATATCATCCTCGATTATACTGACAGCTAGTCTTCTGTTTACTTCAAACCACTGAGACCCTTTGCGCCAGTGTTCAAGTGTGACCTCGGGTTGCATGTTCCAGTTATAGCGTCCTCTTCCATATGGACCAGGATCATCAAATGCACCCGTAAAGCTGTATCTCGATCTTGTTATGTAACGATAGATAATGCTAAAATTGTGGAGTGGAATGCATGACTCGGACAATAGGACGAACCGTTCATTAGAGATATCAAGCAATGCGTTTGCGAGGAGTCTCCTCTCCGCATCACACATACTCATCATCCCCCACTGTGCCACCTGCACAGAATCAACAAATGAACGATCATCATTTCAATTAAGAGAGTACAAACATAATGTCACTCACAAAATGCTGCAACACTTTTTCTTTTTCGTTGAAAAGGTCCAGTTCAACAGCCTCTATAAAAACAATGCAACTACTCACAACTATTTGGGATTACAGCTATCACCATACTTCATACGTATGCCTAGCAAGACCAAATGAGCCTGAAAATAAAGCTCTGCATGTACTTTCTCATTGTTTGCAAGGTCATCAAACATGATGTCAACAACAATAGCCTACAATTCTTAACTTCCCTCTTCAAAATTTGGAATATAGGTTTCATACATATAATAATGAGATTATATCGCTATTATTATAAAGAAAAAATTCAAGTAATACTTCCCAAATATAAAGTTATGGTACAGTTGGATTTCTTTCAATAAGTCCAAAAGCATATATATTAAGTGCGACCTGAATTTCAGCCTGCTGCCTAATCATAACTAAAAGAATATGTAATTCCAAATCCATCTAGAAAATCTAAAATTAAATATGAAACATATTGAAGAAGCTACGACAGAATGTGACTATGGAAGGTTCATACTAACCAGACATCAGATGCATAAAAAGATCATATAATTTCCTTCTTAAAAATGTGGCTCCGAGCCTCTAACAAGTTGCAGTCTCTCTCTTTCTTTTTTGGGGCCAAAATTCATGGAAGTAAACCCACATGCTAAAAGAAGAATAGAGTTTCTTCTGTTCGATAAAACTTGCAAATCTACTTTCTACCACTACCACTCCCACTGTATAGGTCAGCTACATCAGTTTTTGATCTATTGAATCAGCATCACAATCCTTCCCTATCATATTATTTTTGGTTAAGAAAGTTACAAAACTAAGAAATACTTAATGTGCTAATCCCAGCTTATCCCTTCACCATCTATGCCGACACAAGAAGCCTTTCTCACTGTTCTGCTCCCTCTGATCACTATATTTTGAGAACACCTTATACCTTTGCAGTATTTCCCCACTAATGCAACCAAGTTTGTATTGTCACAACCCTCAAAGTTAAGATTCTTAACTGTCCCCTAATGTAGTCAATGGTCTCTATTGTATATGGTTGAACCGTCTAATGAAGCGAATTTTTTACCCTACCTCACGCATCAGGTCAGGATCCACCATTCAACTATGGTGCAACAATCAGAATATTTTCACTCAATTGCGGGACCCATAATTTGAAAATGCTTAAATGAATCTAGGTGATGGTCTAACATGAACCCCAGATCCATATGAGAAGGATACCGATATTCTTGATTAAGCAGAAATTACTAGAAGTTCACTACAGTTGTGATCCCAACAACCTAATGACTGCAATAAAGATGGATTAAGCAAGAGTTTGGAGCAGGACTACTAGAAGCCCAGAAAAAAGATCCAATTTGATCATCAGCAATTCATGACTTTAGATGGCATCACTGATTTTTACAAAATAATGAAAATTGTTTTTTCTCAAAGCGATTATTTATGGACAGACTCACATGCACCTCAAAAGTGTAAATTCAGTAACCAAGTGAAATTTGCAAATTATGGAGACAACTAAGATTTCTCAGAGAAACAATTTAAAAATTTTCAAAAGAGGCAGCCAACAAAGTGAATAGAAGCTAGCAGTAATGTTGCTTTCAGATAGAACATATACAGCAAGTCAGGCCAACACATACATAAAGAAGAGAGAGATTCGTAATACCTGGCTTGGGATTTGTCTCTTGTAGAACACCGAAGATTGTGTAAAATCAGCAACGTAAGACGGCGACGGATGAACATAGATCGAATAAAGGCCTTCGTGCCCCTTGAAAAACCTCTCCCAAAGAGGTGCCAAAGGCAATGGCCCTTTTGTCAAGAACATGAAGGCAATCTTCGGCACTCTCTTAATAGGATATTGCTTAATCCGAGGAACAAAGGAAGCACGCCAAAACAATTCTCTGTCATTCATCTTATGCATCAGGTTTGATGGAGGCCTAATCCACTTATCTATACTATCCGACTCTTCAAAGCAAGGGAAAATGATATTGGACCTTGCTACGGGGCCAACATTTTGGACTCCAAAAAACCGAATCATGTTTATACTGACAATAGAAATCCCAAGACCGAGAACCAAAAACATCAAGCAAAATTGAATGAGTCTCAAAGGCGTAGGCCTATTCTGATTCAATCTGACTGTAGTAACTGAACCAGGGTCCTTACCCTCCTGAGTTGCCATCTATCTTAGTTTCGAATTTTTTCTCTCTATGGAATTCAACTTTAAACGAACTGAATCCCAAAACACTCTAATACTACAATACAAACTTAACAAATCCTCTCTAATGGCAAAACCAAAGAGTTAATTTATAAAAATAAACAAACTCTGGTTTTTGCCATATGGCCTAACTTACTTGACTTCAAGAACCAGACGCCTTTCAATCACACGTAAATAACGGGCCAATCATTGACTTCAAGAACCAGAGGCCTTTCAATCACACATAAATAAACGGCCAATCAAATAGTAATGATAAAAAGAAAGAAATCACCAGCAAAGGGAAACAGATCAAAATTTTATCAAATGGGGATGTTGCAAATCAACAGTTTTCTTTTGGACAATCATGGCATATACGGAAACAACACGTAACGGGATTATGTAAGGAAAAAGAAAAGAAAAAAAAAAACAACAGGATGAAAAGAAAGAGATTATCGTGTACTAGGTTGTTATCATGTGAGGTGTGTGATCATTGATGGATGATGTTGGGGGGCTACACTTATACAAGAAGAGAACTTGAACGAAAGAGAAAGAAGAGTGTAGAAAAGAAGAGCAAGCAAAGGCGTGGCGGGATTGGGTCACACTTTTTGGGTTTCAGTTTATGCCATCTTTTATTATTGAAGATAGAATCAGAGAGAAGGGTTTTGCTCTATTTTAATATTTTTCTTTTCCAAGGAATTTCGTTTCCTTCGCTGAAAGAGAGGGACAAAAGTTATAGAGGGAAAGTCTTTCTCCTTGGGTGGAGCTACCTAGGATCGCATGTACTATGTGTAATGTAATAATGTCTTCGTTGGTGGGACTGGAATTTCTTGTCTCTTCCTTTGGAATTCTTCGACTTTGGGTATTCGTTCAAGTCTACTATCAGTATTTTGTTTTTAGTCGTTCACTCATCAATTGATTCGAGAATTCATTATTAATTCTAATAATTATTTCAGGTACAAAAATAATTATACAATGTATTAAATTAATAATTATAATATTATAACATTCTAACACAAAATGATAGCTTTTGGATAATCGAGTATTGAATTGTAAATTACGTAAAAATATATGATTAAAAAACGTTCTTTAACTATACTTAGAAAATGATTAATTTTAAAATACACAAAAACTAATCCTATTACATTTTTATTATTGAATATATATATATATTTAAAAAACATACCATCTATATAGACATATAATGCATTAATTTTTTTTATTAAAATAATATTAGTTTTAAGTGTTAATTTGTAAATTATGTCAAAATATCCGATGTCACATGATGGAAATTATTCCTTAATTATGTGTAGAAAATGATTGATATTAAAATGCATAAAAACTAATCCGATGACTTTTTTATTGTTAAACTAATATATATATATATTAAAAACTACCCTCTATATAGACACATAATGCATTAAAAATTTTTTTTATTAAAATAGAATTAGTTTTAAGGTTTGGATCTACCAAATCAAATCCTCGAAGTTTAGAAAAGAATAAAAAAAATCTGGTTGTGGTTTCCTACTCCTTTTGTTGCGGTTTTGTCAGGCTAGAAAAGCAAAATGGTTTGTTTTTGCTCTATGACTATAAGGCTGAAAAAGCAAAAATAAACCAAGGCATTTATTTACCAGAAGTAAAGAAAGCAAGAAAAAAAAAGGGGCAAACCTAAAAAAAAAATAGGTAGTCTCAATTTTATCCTTTAAATTTTATAATTTTTTAGCATACGATTAAACCTAGTTAGAAAGGCCTGCCAGCTGAAGATTCCTAGATGGGGGTCATGCGGCTGACTACATAGCATCAATTAACTCACTTCATAGAGGCTAGAGATGGGGGTTAAAGGCTAAACCAGGCTAAGAAGAGATGGTCTGGTCCCCTGTTTTGGCAACTTGACAGAAAGTCATCTGCCGTTTCTTCCCTTACCAGGCATCGTAGGTTCCTAACGAGGGGCCTTAACCAAAAGAGGGAATAAATAAATTATCATCCAAAGAAAAAGTAGTTGCGTCTAAAAGATTAATTTTTCTAGGAAGCATACATCTCAAAGCAATACATGTTCAATTTTTTTTTTCCATATGAAAATTGGAGTTGATAATAACTTATTTTCTTAGTGAAGTGTGTATGTACTCAACATTTTAATTTATTAATTTAACTAATTTTTATTCTATATTAATCCATATTTTTTTTTATATGAATTTAAATTGCACAACAAATGAATAGAATTGAGAATAGACTTAACTCAAAACAAAGTCTTATATTGCAAGGATGAATATGAGTATCACAGCAGAGTCAATATCCATGCATTGTTATTGGAATGCATTATAAATATTGACTTGGTAGGGTTGGAGCAAAATTAGGTAAAGAAAGGCCTAGTTATTATTTATTTTATCATTTGTTAGCAAGTTAAAGCAGTTTGGTCCAAAAAACATAAATCTTGCAAGCTAAATCTGATCGTTCAAATTTTTATAACATAGTATGATCTTAGCAATCAAGGGTAATCTTCTTTCACTATAAATATCAGCCTCATATCGTTATAAGGGGATCAAAACTTTTGTATCGGAGAATTTTTAACTTCAAAATTTTCAATCTCGGTACCTTATTGTTATTGCTTGATTCTTATTCCATATCTCTCACTATTTACATTATTTATGTTTAGTTAATTGATTAATACTTCTATAAATCATAACACTAGCGCTTTGCATCTTGATTGATTTATTGATTAGTCATTTGATCAGTTCTTAAGAATCCGTGTGCAAAATGTTTGTTTAGCAATTGATTGGAAGTTTTAAACTTGTTAATATGGACCATATAATTAGAACTTAAAAGTATAAGGACCAAGGTCTAGTTTAGAGACCACGTGGGTGGTGGAATTACAGCTGGTCAAATTTAATTGTGCAAATAGAGTGGTGTTATTACTCGGGGCAGGTTGGGGTAGGATACTTAGGTTTAAAAAATATGATTTATAAAATACTTTTTTAATCATTTTATGTTTAGTTTATTTGGAAAAACTTGATCAGGTAAAAATATTTTACAGTGAAAGAGAAAACAGACTTAAATCATGAACCCCATCGTTAATTAATTATTGTCTTTTCATCTTGAACGTTTATTTTTCATATATGCCAAACACGAAACAATTATTTTTCAAACATTTTTATTAATACAATCAAACAATGAAAAATATATATTTTTTTTTATGTAAATATTTTTCTCAAAACAAATTCCTTTACATGAAACAATTGTAACTTTAATGGGAAACGTGACGCTTGCGGACACACTCATTATAGCATTCATCACATTCTCATAATATTTTTCGAAAAACTAAAATTCATAAATTTCGTCTTCATAATTTCAAAATTTTATTGGCTTTAAATTATGAGTTCCGTTGACTTAAAAATTATAATTTACTACTCGATGTGAATCTTGACTATGCATTACTACGCTTAATTTGGTGCTTTGACAGAATAATTCAATGGCTTGTTTCATAAGAAATACTTTCGCGTTTTCTAGAGTTTGTTTTGCCATAAAAAATGGGTCAACAAAAAACAATTCATTTTCTTGAAAAAAAAATTAAAAAATATTATCTAAGAAACAAATGCATCATAAAAAGTCTTGAATTATGTTTTAAAACCAAACAATTTGGACAATTTACATTAAACTTAATTATGATCTAATAAAAACCTTGTTTGAAAAATCTAATTAATGTTTTTTTGACCTTGGAATTAACAAATTATTAGGTAAAATATATATATTTTTTTGGAAATATAACCTACAATTTTTATTTTTTTATTTGAAGGTGAGATATTCTCAAGCTAATTTGAGTGTTGTCAAAACCCAATTCCTTAAATGATTTTAAAAGTATACCTTTTATATTGATATGATGCATTAAGAAAAATTTATTAAATTTTTTTTAAATGTTAGTTTCAAGATTTAAATATAGAATGTTTTAAAAAAAAACTTTTTTAACTACCAAATCAAATCTTTGAAGTGATTTCTTATTTTTTTTGTTTTTTTTTTTGTTTTTTGATTTTGTGAGTTCTAGAATTTGAATATAGAACGTTAAAAAAAAAAAAAAATTAACTATCAAATAAAATTCTTAAAGTGATTTCTTACTTTTTTTTTCAATTATGTGAGGATAGAAAAGCGAAATGGTTTGTTTTTGCACTATAAGGCTAGAAAAGCAAAAACGAGCCAAATTTTTTACTTGAAGCAAAGAAAGCAAGAAAATGAAAAATATTTTACAATAAAAAAAAGGATCAAAACAACTTGTTATTCTCAAATGACAGAAATATTCTATGACGTTATCATTGTTGTCATTAAATCACGAGTCTTCTCGTGTTCATATAGATTACGAAGTTTTTTCCAAAGTTTGTAAATAATGGAAGTTATTGCTTCTTGAGTTTATTTAGGCTTGGCTATTTTAATTACTTGTTATCAAAATCTCAAAGATAACCTTTAAATAACATTTAAAAAATTCGAGACTTTTTAGCATACACTTTTTATCCTCATAAAAGCTAGTTGGAGTCCGATTCACCCATCACGCGTTCAAGGAAGAAAATAATAACAAAAATAATAATGTCGTATTTGAATAAAACCATGGCTTTTTTTTTTTTTTTTTTTTGAAAAAACTTAAGAAGATAAATGTTAAGAGAGCGAGCGTAATGTATAGAATCACTTCGCTTAAAAAGCTGTATCAGGCTAGCAGGCCTTTGTAGTTAATTAAGTTTGCCTTCCTAGTTTTTTTAATGAAAAACATTAAATTTATCTTTCTTTTTTTTTTTTTTTTTGAGAGGTAAGAAAGTTCTTTGTTTTCCATTGTGAATAAAAATATCTTTTGTTTAATTTTTAAGGTTAGGAAAATATATTAATGCTAAAAATATTCACTTTTATTTTGATATGCATAAAAGATTATTTTTTATATTTAGAAAATTAATTTGCACTTAGAATGGTTAACCCTAAATAAATTTCTACTACTATTGAGGAAGTCGGAACTTGAACTGCTAAGATGCGTCCTTAGGCACGCATTAAAAAAACCCATAAATTGTTTTATGAAAATATCATTAACTCCACTAAATGCTAAGCTGAGTATAGCTACATGGATATAGTTTTGGAAACAAATTGCCTTGGTTCATGCACTCCTCTTCAATTAACTAGGGCAAATAGCAGAAGATATTCTAGTTGCAAGTAAAAAATTTAGTTCTACGAGATAACCTTGAAGAAAATAACGGGTCTTTTCGTTAACAATACTTAGAAAAAAACCTTAACGTCTATAGCTATGCTTGGCTCAATAATCAAAATTTCATTAATAGGTTGACGAAGGCTCGAACATCTATTCAAGATGAGTTTAAGTCATTCTTTTTGTCACTATCAATCAAGAAACATGAAATATACTAATTAAATAAAAACATATTCTTTAAACAGCATTAATTTCATCGATCACGATTATAACGATCCTTCAGTTCTATAAATGATAAAAGATCTACATTAAAAATAGATAAATTTTTAAATGAATGTTAAGAGTGACCCTTTGAATGATGAAAAGTTTATGTAAAAAACAATAAACCTCCAAATAAATGTCAGGAATTGTCCAAAAAAAAAAAGGATTAATCTACTCTCTACTTCATACAAATTGATCACACTTTACTTATATAAAAATTAACACACTAATTGTTACAAGTCCTATTTTTTAAATTCAAATCAATTATAATATTACCAATTACAAATTTCTTTTCGTAAATTAATTTAACTATTAGAGGATTCTTCTCACATTAAAAAAAATATTATTTTGTAGGTATTTGCCATTCATTCAAGGATAAAGTTATATCATCGTTTTAATCAATTTGAAATAAAAATCATCTTACATTTAATCTTAATTCAAGGTGACGAATCATTACACGGTGTTGACTCCATGACCCCACTTGACTCTTCTCATGATTGTTCTTACCAGACATGGAAGACTCCTCAACTTCATATCAGACTTTTTATTGATGCTAAGCTGCCAACAGGATATGAATTAACTAGTTTTTCTTCTTTTTTTTTTTTTGTCTCATTTTCAACAAAAAATATTTTTCTTTCCACCATTCTCCAAGTTGTACAAATCAAGTTGCCCATGCGTTTAAGAATAAAATGCAACCATCACCCAATATTTTTACCCAATTAAGAATAAAATATCAGAGGAGCTATGTATATTTATAATATAATAATCTAAAATTCTTGTAGTCTTATATTAGCAGCCAAAAAAAAAAAAAAAAAAAGGAAAAAAAGAAAAGAAAAAGTAAATAACTAGGAAGAGAAACACAATAAAACAGAAAGATCTTGTTTGGTAATCGGGAATAGAGTGATGGGAATAGGAATGAAAGTTTTATTCTCACATTAGTAGTTGTTTGGTTAAAAGGAATGAAGTGAAAATGAAAATGAAGAGTGGGAGTGAGAATGAAAATTTACACATAACTTTATTCCCACATAAAATGTGGGAATAAAAAACAAGGAATGAGAATGAATTTTTTTCAAAATAATAATATATTTTATTTATTTATTATTTATTAACTATTTTTGCCATCATCACCACAACCACCACCACCACTACTATCACAACCACAAACACCACCACAACTATCTTCATCACCACCACCACCACGGCCACTGCCATTATCACCACCACCACCACAATCACTATCACTACTAACATCATCACAACCACCACCACCACCACAACCATCATTATCACAATCACAACCATCATCACTACCGCCACCACCATCACCACCACTAGAACCACCACAATCACTACCATCACTTTTATTATTTTTATAACTATTATAGTTTAATAAAATTATTTTTTAATCATTATTTATATTTATATATAAAATCATATATTAAAAAATTTAAATTGCATTCTGATTTCTTATTAGTATTCCAAACACAGTATTGAAATACAAATACCATTCTAATTTTTTAATTTTCATTCCAATTTTTGTATTTTCATTACTTTATTTTTAATTATCAAACAGCACTAAAGAGTTTTTTAAATAATAAGTATTAATGAAAGAAATGGAAAGGGCTAGAAAGTACAACCTTGAATTCAAGAAAAGCCCAAACCATTATGAAAGATTGAAAAAAGCCCAAACTCATAAACTACCTTTTGGATCCCTAAAAACCCACAAAACCATCGGTCATCATCACATCCCATCGATTCTTCTTCGTCCTCCAGTGAACCACCATAGCATAGGATGGGCACGGCAACTGCCACTATGGCCGCTATGCCTGCCTTAAAACACCTAACAAGGATAACCTGTACTCCCCTATTTCTCCGCAAACTCCAAAAGCTTGAAAGATTCCACTCTCTAGCTTCCCTTTCTCCTAATTTCACCCAGGAGGATTCACAGCAGCAGCAAGAGCAACAAAACCAACTAACAAACAACAACAACACTAGCATAAGCAGAAGCAGCAGTTCCACTTCTTATTTCCCGAAGAGAGGGCAAACGTTGGAGTTGGTGTGCGAGTCTCTAGCTTTCAAGGGGAAGGGTGTGTGCAAGGTAGCAGAGACTGGTTTTGTTGTCATGTGTGACCGTGCCCTCCCTGGTGAAAGGTTCATTGGACGGGTTACTCGCAGAAAGGGAACCTATGCTGAGGTTGCTTTCATTTCCCTTTTTCATCTCTGCACCTTTTCGTGGATCCACTTGACATTATACATTTAATGTGCTTCTTGTCATCTTGTGGGTTGCCTTTGCCATATCAAAACAGAAAGGAAAATGTGAAGTTGTTTTGTTGCTTAAAGAAAATGTCTTGCTAAGTGATTTTTGTGTTTGGGTAATTAAAACATAGGAATTTATGGGCTGTAGTGATTTTGTGATGACAGCACCGTAATAATGTTAGAAAATTAACGTCGATTTTGTGTGTTTAGTTTCACTCTTGAGAAATGTGAGTAAAACTAAACAAATTGTAAAGTTATACTTTCTGTATGTTCTGTTTTAGGTTATAAGTAAGCAGAAACGCTAAGGTTAGTGGATAACACGGTTTTTTACATTTTTGGAGGGTGTTGAAATGTGGAAATTGATGATATTTGCTCCACCACTATGTGTGCCAAAAGCAGAGCTTTTGTGAACATCTTGCTTTAGTTTTGTGAACTTGGACTAATGCTTTGATTACAAATTCGTTGACTTGCAGAGGTGAAACTAGAATTTTTGAAAGGGGGTGCTAATATTGAATAGTGTTATGGTATATTTAGAAAAAGAAAAAAAGAAGCTAAAGGTGGCTATAGAATATTAAGTAATTTTGGGCCTGCAAAATGTATATTTCTTATTTAAAGAGTCTTAAATTTAAGGGTAAACTTGTAACTTCAAAATTTTTAGGACTAAGCTGAAAAGGTTGTCAAAATTTTGCGGTGCAATGGCCCTCAAGCCATAACCTGGTTCCGCCTCTGTCGCTTTGGATGTCTTATGTGTTCTGCTATCGCATGATGAATATATGCGGACGAAACTTAGCCATGCATGTAAGCAATTACTGTACAATCAGGATTGTCTCTACCACTGAGGCTCGGCAGCTGTTAAAAGAAAGGCTAGCTTAATGCATGGCTGCAACTTTAGTCTCTAGAGTGGGTCCTTGCAGTGCTCAAAATATAGTGCGGATAATCTTCACAAAATCATATCTTGTTTTGACATTTACTTCTTGCATTTTTTTGATTAACTGTGCTGTCTTACTCTCTGGAAACTGCAGGTAACCAAGGTAAAGACAATTTCAACTCATTGGGATCTTGTAGATGCCCCTTGTGAGTATGCGCCACATTGTGGCGGTTGTAAAACACAAAACCTGTCATACGAGGCTCAGCTTAGAGCCAAGGAACAGCAAGTTCATGAGTTAACAATACATGTAGGAAAGTTTTCTGACAAAGTTCCAGAATTTTTTAACATCATGAAGCCCATTGTTCCATGTGATATTCAATTCCATTATAGAAACAAGGTTAGTCATCTGATAAACCTTGTTAAGCATTGATTCTACTTGGTGTAGTTGTTTATAATAATCGCGTAATCTCTTATCGTTAAGCATTGGTTCTGCATATTGTAACTAAAGTGGGATAAGTACAGAAAACCTGGAAATCTTTTTTTAGAATCTACAAGGAAAACAAGTCAATTGAGTGATATGTGGCTGTGTTATGGAATAAAAACACCCCATTAATGTTTTTCCTTCATTGCCTTTGTATAAATTTTCTTCTCAACCTTCAACAAGGTGCTTTGACTTTGTAGTTGTGTATTGGCAAAACAATGAATTTGTTCATATGCGAAAATCAAGTAGACATTTGTAATAATTATTCTGCCTGAAACCATTTTAAGCGCTGCTCACTGCACAAAATAGTTCACTGTACTGCAAGCATAAATGATGAAAAAAGCGTGTGAGTTTTTTGGCATCTTATGCTGAAATGTTGATTTCTGCCATTGAGATTGTTATCATGGCTTCACATTAATTCGAGAAGGATAATACAAAAAGATAGATGGTAAGCACTAACGATGTGATGATTTATGTTTTAGTGATGAACGTAAACATGCAGTAGCCAGTTTCACCATAGTGCATCTATGTTCCCATTACCGTCTTATATTGTTCACATAGAGTTCACTTGGATTAACCATTTTTACTACGTAAGTTATAGCTGCTCTGTAATTTACTATTCTGAAGAAGTGTGTAAAATGGAATTTGTAGAAAAATGTTCTTAGCTGCTCCTTCACTGTTTCCGCAGATGGAGTTTTCTTTTGGTTCTCAAAAATGGTTACCTAAAGAGTTGTTGGGAGAGAAACAAGTTGGTGTCGAGAACTATGCATTGGGACTGCATGCTCCTGGCTTTTTTGACAAGGTTCTAAATGTTGACAAATGCTTGTTACAAAGTGAGCCTGCCAACATGGTATGCTTTTTATCATATGGAAGGAATTTGCATTCTTTCATGTGGAATTTTGCTTGAATATTCTTTTGTGTGGAAACTGTAGATTTTTTTTTTGGGTGGTATGTACTTATCTGCCCATTTGTTTTGCAAGTATGTAGCAATTAAATCAGGGAACCACTATTTGTCGATGTCCTTCATTCGCAGTGTATTCTGATAGTGCATGCAGCTGATGTGGATTGTGCAAATTGGAACGCGTCATAGGAATTTAATGTTTTATACAGAATTAGCTTAATTGAACAAAGGCTTCAAAAGTATACTCTCTGTGGCATTGACTCAGTTGTCAGTAAAGCCACTTTCAAATTGCTGCACAGCCTGCTTGGTGGAGGGCTTTAGAGGGGATTTTGCCTGAGCCAAAAACAATATCACAATAGGGTGACCAGTTGAACAATAGATAATACATCTGAAGTTTAAGTGAAACAATTATGGGTGTTATTTTCTTTCTTAACAGCACAAGTTAAAGCAATTAGCAATGGGCATTTAAATCAGATGGTAAGTGGATGAGGTTGAGTAAACCAAGCATTTGTTGGATTTTCTTCTTTATCGATAAGAAATGATTTTTTTGCAACTTTCTTGGTGATCTACATGCTTTGAAACTAATATTTAGACAATATTTTTACTGGTATCTTGTCGGCATGATGTGTTAGTAATTATGTAAAATGAATTGCATCTCTCCTGTGATCATTGACTAGCACTTGTCATTCATAGGTTCTGGTAGCCATCCAAGATTGTTGGAGAGATTCACAATTTGGTCTCACTCCATATGATGTTCACTCTCACTCCGGGTTTCTTAAGCATCTAATGCTAAGAACTGGAAGGTACTTTGAGTTCTTTCATATTCCTCATTATTGTGGTTTCCTTTATTTTTTTTTAATTCAAGCTCAATTCATTTTTTATCTGCTTGCATGTGGAAGATTGCCAAGTCTACAGCATATATTTACTCTTGGACATAAAGGACAGTTGAATCTATGAAATTTTAAGTTATTATAATTTTTTTTTTATTGTCAATTAAAAGTTATTCACATTATTGAAAGGTATTAAAAGGAATGAACCTGTGTAAAGCAGAGGAAAAAAAGAGAGGAAGAAGGGGTTCGTCAGGAGGATGCAAGAAGTGTAAACAATAAACTATCTTCTTGTAGAAATGGTTTTGAAGAAACATAAATCAACTAAATTCCGAATAGACGATTCAGAAATTCTAATTTCACACCATCCATTGCGTAATGGAACAAAGCAAGTTATGAGTGAATCTTATGGATAGTTGGGCCTAATTGGAAAATTCATCTTTCCGTTTTGATGAAATAGGTCAAAGGGGTGTGAGAGAACAAATTCTTGAAGGAGAGAATCTGTTCTCCTAGAAAGACAGAATGCAACATCAAAGCAATTGGAGTTTTTTGCTCCTTTCTTGTGTCCATGTCATCTGAATTATTTTGGTTCTGTCAACATAGCTAATTTTGAATAGAATAGTGTAAAAAAAAGTGGGCCTTCCTTGCCTCAATTGAATTTGGCTTCTGCACATGCAAAGTCATTAAATGAAGAGGCTATGAACTTTTCATGGAAATGAAAGATAGTGTTAGGTTACTGTGAAATAATTCCTTTAATAATCTGGGAAAAGTTCATCAATGTCTGCTCACTGTGATTTATGATCACATTTGTCACTCAACGTGCAGCCCTAGTTCTTGTTACAATTTTAGCATTCTATTTCATTGACTTCGAAGTTGTAAACATAAGCATTTTCCTCTTCAAATATAGTCCTCGTGATTTGTGTTTCAGGAATTCAGAAACTGGTTTGCTTGAGCTTATGGTTAATTTTGTGACCTCGTCGTACAAGCCAGAGCTGCTGAAGCCCTTAGTTGAAAAGATTTCATCTATTCCAGAAGTGGTTTGTTAGGCCATTCCGTATTGCTTTATTATTCAGACACAACTTCTGTGCTTTTCCCTTTGAGCAAGCTGGCTGTTGAGAGTTACAAATCTGCTAATTTGAGTGCCAGAATATGAATCCTAGTTTGATTAGTTTTGACCAAATGTGATTCAAATCAAACAGTTTAAATTAGATATCATGGATTGTTACCCATGTCAGAACTGGAATCCTTGAAAAGCTATGACAAACCTAGGCAAGCTATTTGGTCCTGTTCTCAAACAGATCCATTTCAAGCTGTAACCCTCTCTATAACTGTCATTTTCTTCGTGTTTGGATGGGTAGAAGTTTTGTTAGGGAAATTGCTTTCATCTTTGTCGTCACCAAAAGAAAGTTTTATGGATGATGACAGCTCTGTGGTGATTAAAAATTGATATCATGATAAATTTTTTAGTGTAATAGAACTCACTGGATTGCACCCTAAGAATTTTCATTTTCTATTTTCTGTGGAAAAACCAATTCATATCAGTTTCATAAAGGGTATAAGAGAAATGCCTAGTGAATAATCAGTTGAGTATTTTGGCTTTATGCTTTGCAGTTCAACTTCCATAGGTTTCCTGGTTTTTTAGCCCTTATGATCTTACTGAATATTTTTGTGTTCTTGTGTGTCTCTTGTAAATGTCTTAAGAAAGCCCCACAGCTAAGTGTTCATAATCTTCATTTGCTAATTATCAGGAAAACCTGAAATGTATTAAAATATTAGCTATACAATCTAAAGCTGTCCAAGTAACTCCCAGTAAACTGTCCCACAAGTACAGTACAAATATTCCTTTGAGATGAATGTGAAGTATAAGTGCATTTTGTATTTACGCTTTTTGTCTCTAAATGCTTGTGTCTCACAGTATCATTTTGTTAAAGTCACTCATTGAGTTCTATATCTATCTCTTTTCTTTTCCTCCCCCTCCCCTCCTCCTTTCTTGATGTCTTACAGGTAAGCATTATGAATAACGTGAACACTTCTGTTGGCAACACTTCTGTTGGGGAGGAGGAGTACACCTTGTATGGCAAATCTACCATCACAGAGATCTTAAGAGGATTGACCTTCCAAATTTCAGCTAATTCTTTTTTCCAGACAAATACTCGTCAGGCACGTGAAGTAACATAAAATTTGTATCAAGCCAGTTTATGCTAACTTTCATGCCATTTTCATCCCCATGCATAACCTCTTTCTGTCTTGCTTTATGCTCTCATTTTGCTTTGCGCATACTATCCATGACCTATTAAACAGAAAGGCTTTAACTGTTTAGGCAGAGGTTCTGTATAAACTTATTGAAGATTGTGCTGGTCTCAGAGGGGATGGCTCACAAATTGTCCTTGACCTATTTTGTGGAACTGGCACTATTGGTCTGACACTTGCCAGAAGGTAAATCTCCTGTTCATTTGGTTCGAAGCATGGAGCAGTTCCAACTTCGAAGCTGACATCTTGTTTTGACTTCTTGCGTTTTGTGTTGGCAGGGCGAAACATGTATATGGATACGAAGTAGTTCCTCAAGCAATCACAGATGCACATCGAAATGCTGAGCTGAACAGTATCAGCAATGCTACATTTGTCCAAGGGGATCTAAATAAAATTGATGGAAGTTTTGGCAACAATTTTCCGAAGCCAGATATTGTCATTTCAGGTTCAAATGCCTTGTGCTCCGAACTTCACATCTTTTCCTTGTCTTTAAATATTGTTTCTGTATTGTAATACTCAATTGTCCTTTGTTTAAAAAGGAGAAGGTAGCTCATTTTTGTGTGCAAGTGTGTGGACTTGGGAGGGAAAGAAAAATGACATCAATTTCTCTAACTTCTTGGAAATTAGTTCTCCTTTTCTTTTCTTTCTTTCTCCCCCTAAATATTGTGTGCCTGATTTGATTTCTGATTGGGTACTTGAATATATTGAACTTGTTTAACAAAACCTGCTATCGCTATACAGTGTCTCTCTCTATTTGTAACATTGGAGGAATTATTATACTCCCCTTGAACTTATTGCTAAATCTGATCCCTTTTGGCATTTCATAAAAAACTTTCTTCCCAGTGAAATATGTGTCTCTGAATCCTACTTGTATTTGCATTTCTACATTTGTGGGCTGGCAAAATAAGTAACGTACTTGAACATTTTTTGCTAATTACATGTTGAGACTATGGATGGATGGTATTGTTAGCATGTCATCGGACAAGCAATGGCGCTATTAATTAAATGCCATTGTATTTTGTTTTCTGAAATTTTTTGACTGAGTGGTAATATTGCAGAAATGCATTTGTAGTTTTATGCAATCGTGGAGTGTGAGTGGTGCCTTCTGATTTGTACATTGAGAAGAATAAATTTCTGATATATTGAATATGCATATCTTAGATCATTAAATTATTATTTTCATTCTAATTAAAAGAGAGCTGGTTTCAGCAAGTATTGACATGGATATGCGGTTTTAGATAATAAAACTATGTTAGTGGCTTTATCATTTAGCATAGTGGTAAAGGGGTGTGAGGCGGAATAGGGTTGGTCTGTGATTCTCTGGTTCAATTTTTGTGTAATTTAACTCATCTCAGCTCAGACAAGTCTCAATCCAACCTAGTTGGGGCCTTGGGGGTGTCAGGTGCATGCATGCTTATTCTCCATTCTGTTCCTTTTAGGATACTTTCTACAAACTGTTATAGTACTCATCGTGTAATATTACTTCAAAGAAGATGCTAATCACCCATTCTTCTCATCTCCATTTTAATGAGACAAATTTTGCAGATCCAAACCGTCCTGGTATGCACATGAAGTTGATTAAATTTCTGCTAAAGCTCAAGGCCCCACGCATTGTTTATGTATCGTGTAATCCTGCCACATGTGCCCGTGACCTAGATTACCTTTGCCATGGTGTGGTATGTAGCCTTGCTGATGGCTATGCTGTTTTTGAAATCAACTGCTATTATCTAAATTCTGAAATCTTTGTGCAGAAAGAGAAAAATATAGAAGGATGTTACAAGCTTAAAAGCCTGCAGCCAGTGGACATGTTTCCCCACACCCCGCATATTGAGTGTGTTTGCCTGTTAGAGCTTTGCTGATCCTTGCTCACGACTACAATCTTTACTTCCAAGGTGCAAGACTTTTGCTCTCAGCTGAGGCCCCAGTCTGAAGTTTGACGTTTAGGATTCTGTCAAGTTTCTGCGGCCCATGTTTACCTCACAGTAGTTTTTGACACCAAGACGCCTGAAGCAGTGAGGACAATGTCAAAGCAGGTTTCCAACAGTGCTAGTTGAAAGAGATTCTCCCTGCTTGCAGTTTTTCCTTGTAGTGGTCATTTATTTTGCATTGAAGCAGTTGATTTTTTCTTCGAGACATCTGTAAATTTTGTTGTGTTTTTATCTGTTCGAAGGATTCAGTTATGCTTAAAAGTTGTAAATAAAATATTTCGTTATATGCTGCGCAATTTCACAGACAACATAGGCAAAGTAAAAGATAAGAACAAGATAAGATGGGTGCCACAGGTACACCGAGTGACTGTAACAATTGCTCAGGGCTTGAGCATATACTAGCTCTGTAGTTGTTACATCACCGGCTTCCGAGCTGCAAATCTGAAATTGTTTCAGATTGCTTCGCATGTTGTTACAAGAGCTTCATTTCTGTCCCTTCAAGTCTTGCCTGCTGACAAAGGTCCTCAAATGGTTATCGCTTTTGTTATCTCAATACCATGCTTTGATCGATGCTGTCGAGATTTCCTTGACAACAGTATTTTTTTTTCTCAAATGCAATTCTGAACAAGTAATCTTGCTCCTTGGGTTAACTGTGATTGTACTAATTCATGAATCATGCCATATGTTTTAGTGGGTTGCTACCTTCTGATCTGTTGTTTCAAAATCTTTAACAGTCGAAATTCGTCTCCTCCTTTTATAAATAAACTTCATATGAATTATCAGAAGAAAGTGCATCTCTTTTTTCTTCTATATGGAACCATGATCAAAGAAAATCAAGTCACTTGCACCCATGGGCAGAAAATGGATAGATTAATAATCGGTTATGTTCTACAGCAATCTATTTTTCACCATATTTGATCCTTATGTGGAAATATGAAACTACGTCCTAAAATATAAAACGTTCATGTATTTCCTAAGCTTGATTTCAATGCCTCTACGAATTGATAATATTGTCTTTAAGATGAACAATAAGATAAATAGTCTAGAGTGCAAACAAGCAAAACACCTAATTAAGGAAAAAAAAGTACCTAAATTATCATTTAAGCAAAACACCTGGATGGGTGGTAAGTAAAATTTTAGCTACTCTGAGATCAAAGCTTTACTTTTGATATTGGTTGGTGACAGTTAATTAATTAATTAAATCTTATTTGGTTGTTGCCGGCCAATTCACTAACAAAGCATCCACGGTTCTTTATCTACTGGACTGTAAGTTTGCTCGATCCTGTTCCTACCTCTAATCACTACTATATCTCCAAAAGTGAACATATAAAGAGTTAGATTAATCAATTATAACTAATTATAAGTCATCAGCAAATGAGCTTCTCCAAGGCTCATGTCATGTTCAATCCTATGAAACAAATTAAGAAAAGGATTTACGTGGATAATGTAGCTTAAGACCCACCTTTCAAATGGTCTCCGTTAATGAATAGAAGAAAATGTTTAACTATGATTAATTACTGCCATACATACTCCTTATCATTTGATGTATTTATGTTGTGGTTAATTGCCAGAGAGATAATTACCAAACCACTGGTTGCTACAATCTTGAATGTGCTGGTTTTTTTACAAGTTACCAATAAATATGCTTTCGGTCCAAACTTAGAGCCAGTCTCCGGGATAGTTTTAAATAGTGGATGGTTGAAAAAATGATCTTGATAGCTTTAATGGATTACAGCTTATTATATTATTAAAATAACAGAATGCCTCGAAACCATTACATAACGGTCGTTATATAATGTAACGGTTGTTATTTAAAACTATCACTCTCCACTTCCAGAGGACAGCAATATGAGTTTGTAGTTACCATACACAAGGTAAGACTACGAGCTAAGCACATATGAATCTATCAATTTAAAAAAATGCTAGGAATTTTTCTATCAAGTTAAAGATAAATATGAAGGGAAAAAAAATGCTGCAGGATCAGAGAACTGGAAATTGGTGGCTGCAGTAAAAATTCATAGATATAGGATACTGGCCTAGTTCTATCCTCACAACATTGAAAGAAAGTGCAGCAGCAATAAATTGGGGTGGAGAGATTGTCAATTTACGTCCTCGGGGCCATCACACCTCTACTCAAATGGGAAGTGGTCATTTTGCCAGGGAAGGCTTCGGTAAAGCTACCTATATCCATAATATGTGTTATATGGACAGATCAACTCAGCTGATAGATGCTAAAGGTCTTATAACTGCTGTTACAAATCCTACCAGCTATGATTTACATGTTGAACGTGTAGCCGATCAGGATGGAGTTCACTTTTTGGTTATGGGTGTCCTGGATGGTCAAACGAATGCCGATATGAAAGGGTAAACAAAGCAGGCTAGTCTCTATTAGTTTACGATGTGAAAAGCTTGTTTTTTTCATTTGCAATTGATGGTAAAATAAAGCCAAGAATGGATGGTGTTCCTTGGCCTTAAAGGAAAGACGTTGGACAATGATGGTTGAGTAAAGAACTTTTTTTTTATGGGTTTGCACCGATCAAATTACATTATATTTCCCATCTACGTTACTTCGAAGGTAATGTTTGGGATGCTAGAACATAAGGCATTTCCAGGAAGACAAAGCAAAGAACCTACTTGAAACATTGCGGATAGCCTCATGTGCCATTCTCATTCGACAATATATTTACATGCTATAATATATATGGAGTGGATGCATTTCCAACAAACTAATCATAACTGTTTTCTCTCTTCTTGTATAGATTGGAAAATTCGGGCTGCTGATTCAGTTGCTGATCTAGGGTTGTGGGGTACAACCTTAATCACACGAGCCTGCTCCTCGTTAGATTGTGCATTTGGATAAGATTGTTGAAGCGTTGGTTCCATTGGAAAAAGGGGAAGTGCATTTCCTTTGGGTCTCTCAGGGGGACTACTTGCAGTACTTCCCTGGACCTCACTTTCTTTTGATCCTTGAAGTTTCCCAACACGACACGAGATCACTCTACTCATCTGGCTCGACATGTTACATGAACTTTGATGGGGGATGGTGAAGTTGACCTCTCCAACTGATAACTGATTGTCCTTCAACTGTGATCCAACGAGAGGGCTAATCTGCTCTACTGCAGAGTCACATGTTGATGGGTTCACAACTGGCATGCCGTATGGTTGAAAGAAAGTCTGCCCAAAAGGAGGGGTGCAAGGAAGGATCCCAATCCCTTGGTGGTCAGAAGCCGGAACACTGTATGCTGCATTCAAAAAGTCCCCGCTCCCTGGAGCTAGGCTAATTGGACCACAGCTGCCATAAACTGGTGCCATGAATCCTGCAGCTGGAGGGCACGGTCCTGCATAGGGCTTGTAAACAAGTCCCTCGGAAGGGGACATGACAGGAACTAGCCACTGATTTCCAGGTGGTGGGAAACACCATGGAGATGGCTTGGCATTGATAGCCATAGGAGCTGGCAGTGCACTTGCCGAATGAGACCCATTATTTGATCTCTGACTAATAGGTTCTTTGCTTGTTTCCTCATTAGCAGAAGGAAGGGGAAGTTTCCCAACTAATTTCTCTTCTGCAGAGTCAGTGCTAGCATGCTGCTTTTGTGAATGATCTTTTGGTTTAACAATTCCACATGATTTTTCTATAGCACGCTCAGATGGTACCTTGTTGACTGGGGATACCTTCAAGGAAGCTCTTCCCACATAAAAGTTATCGTCAAGCAATAGATGCGGTGATGCAGCAATCAATTTTTGAACCTGGTCCAATTAATGTTGACATAAATTCCTCTCACGAAGCAAATAATTTAAGGAAGAAACTAGGACATATCTTATGGTGGAAAAACACAACTGGAATAACAAGCTTACCTTTATTAGTCTATGCAACTCGAATACTTGCACTGCGAAGACTCTTTGCTGACTGAAAAATAGTTAAAAAGTCGGGCAAATCACTAAATAATTCAAATATGGAAAAGAGCATGTATAGCAATGTATATTGGAATTAGCCAAGAGTTAGAAAACATTACACTAGCGTTAAACGATGACAGAAAATCAGATCATGCTATTTGGTAACCAATGAATGCATTAAACATTCTTGCAAGATGAATTGCACTAATGTAACAAGTACTAATTCCTTGGAAAATTTAATGAAGGTTAATCTTTCTTCGACACATTATATACAACCAGAACCTACGGGCCTCAATCCAGAAGACAAAACAGTAAAACTCTGACCTGCTAGGGGGAATCTGGTAATTTTCCAACCTAAAACACACTCATCCAGAGATATCCATACCCTAGTTCTGTACAACGACCTATCAGAATAACAGTTTATTATGATCCAGTTTAGGCACAAAAGAAAGAGGCATGTCTATAACTATGTGATAATAGATTAGAACAGGAAAAGAAGTTAAAAAAATGCACAAGCAACAAGCCAACCCAGTTCAATCACACTAGAAGCCTTAGAATATAGATGACCAGTAGATTTCAAGAAGAATAATGCTGCATGACATGAACAGTTTGTAACAAATTCCACACAAAATGACACATCCAACAGAAGACCCAAAAGTTAAATGAATTATCCCCTATACCATCATATCTTTCCACGTGAAATTCTTTAGATCTTAAAATACAGGTTTAACTGCTGGATATGTTGAAAGTAGGAAGGAGTAAAACTTCAATCCCGTAATGTGTCACAAAACTAGGATGACTCAGTTGCTTTAAGAGGATATGAATGCTAAGAAATGTATCCTTAACTTGAAACTAACATACCATCCCAAATTTTGTCAGAAGGAAATCAAGGGAGAAAGATGGGAAAAATCTTTCAGAATTGCAAACATGTTAATATTCAATATCCAACAAACCAGCCATCACCCTTAAAAAATTAATTTCTATGATAGTCAAGAATGGTCAAGTTCTAGTTAACCAAATTCAATCATATAACTACACTGACAGAAGCATGCTGGGGTTGTTTTCCTTCATAATATTAAACAATTTCTAAGCAGATAATATGGTTGATCTTAACCATCAATTTCTTATGGTAATCACCAAGTATTTTTAGCACGGAATGAGGTTTCAAGATCATATACTAGCCTAGTCAGCCCTATTGCCTAACAGAAGAGAATAGAAGTTTCTCCACCATGTACTAAAATATGCCAACTGATGATTGTAAATTCAGCATCCTTATCAGTGGCATCCATACAACCTCACTTTTCATAGCTCATTCAAGGCGCTGGGATTTTATTTCTCCAGAACATAGATTTAGAAAGAATGAGCAACCAACTAGACACGACAGCATTTGTTATCATAAATTTGCATCATGAAAGGTCTCTTTGCTCACTATCATTATCAAAGAATGGCATTTAAGATATGCATCAGACAAGACAACTAGCAAGTCATCAGAAAACTACAGGCAAGAAAGCAACTGAGAACAGTGAACACCACCAAAAGGGGATTTTATTTTCACATAAATCTACTAACAGAACTAGCATTTCTCCTTGATTCAGATGCAATTGAAACTGGCAGCTCCCTTTTCTCCGAATTGTAAATCCAATCAGATTGATCTTAGAAGAAATAATTTTCTGCCATATCATCAAAATAGTTGGACAATTTATGTTGAAAAGCTTATCCATCAGAAATTCTTCCCTAATTAATACAAATTTACCAGGTTAAGTAGTTGCAAAAACAAGACACAAACATAACCCCAAAAGGATTTTCAGACTTTGAAAACTCAGAATATGACTTCTGCAGGATCCAAGGGTTAACCATAAGAAGAGAGGAGGGTAAAAATCCTCTTCGACTAAAACAGAAATTGGCATAATTCTAGATAGTGGTGAAAGAAGGAATGTAGCAGAATTCTCCACTATGGTTCAAGAGGAAGTCAATCTTTTAAACATGTAAGCCTTTAGTCTATATTCTTTAGATGCCCTAAGAAGATTCAATTAATTAAAGAGGCAAACCAAGGCATAGCACATAGGAATTTCATCTATTTCTAGTAGCTGCTTGTGCTTCTCTAATGCATCATCTACTTCATTGCTTGTAGTTGCCTCACAACCACAAGCATTAAGTTTCAAGCTTTTCTTGCTTTTACTTGTGAAGGAAGCGAGGTTTTTGATCCAACCCAATTTACCTATTGAAATTTAAAAATAAACAAATGGTAACGGCATGACCCAGTCAATTGGGAGGAGAGGGATAGAGAGAGTTTAATGCCTTAAAAGTACTAAAGTCCACTGAAGGAAACAAATGGCATCACCAAAAAATGGTTTGCAAAATTTTTGTAAACCTTGTGAAAGCATATAGAGCACTCCAAATTCAAAGAGCAATGGACACTTTTGGTGGAATGACAATAAAATTAAACTCCTTTCATTTAAATCATTAAATTCAGAAAACTAACATTCATTTATGCTTTCTAAGTTCATTGAGCATCATGTTTCTAGTTTGAGCCAAATGCAGACTAATTAATCAGTGCAACTGAAGCAAATAGCTATAGAAAACACTATTTTAACTCAGATATGGATACAAAAAATACTTTCTATTCTACAATTTGAAACATATTACCAAAGTTTTAATGCCGATTAGCTGCAGCACATGTAAATAGCAACCGTTTGACAGGAATACTTACTTGACAATAGCTCTTCTTGCTTTCCAGAATTGTTTCTCTCCTATTAGTCCTACAACATCATCAGGAGTAATCTCCAGAGCAACTACAGAGTCCACCATGGAAGTTTCTGAGGCATCATCATGCCTCTCAACATCTCCCACCTTCAACGACCCAGATTGCCTGTCTACATGGTCCTTGATCCCATTCCCAAGCCCATGAGGACTCCTGTTATCATCTTGAACCGATGCCCTTGAATATGATTCACTTCTCACCTTGGAAGCATTTTGATTACCTGTGACAATTCCAGGTTCCGTCAAAATCATATCCCTAATGACAGTTTTGTCTGGCGTTGTGACAAGCTCCTGATTCAACCGTGCATCTGTACCAGGTAAGAGTTTGAGGACATTCATGGAATTCTTGCTATACTCTTGATTTGAAGATGGATGCGTTCGCTTTAATGATTTGGGGCTTCTAATTTTGCCTGCTGGGCTTGAAGATGCATCTACTGAAGGTTTATTTTTATTTGATGCAACTGAGGCAGATTTTTCCATGGGATCCTGACAAGCCTCAATTACTTTTCCGTTGTCTTCTATTTGTATTCTCATATGGTCTATTTCATTTACATCTATGGTGCCTGTTCTTTTCTTCTGCTTTTCAGAAGTATTTTGAAATTGCACAGAGAAGCTCAAGTTCAAACAATGCCGATTTTCTTGGTCTTTGCTGTGCTGACTGTTGTTACGATGTAAATTTGATCCTGACTGGGCAGAGCTATGAAATCTAGAGTCTTTTTCATCTCCAAACTTCTTCCACGAAAAGTTCTTAAAGTTGGAGAAATTATGCGATTGAAATGAATTGCACTTGGCACTAGATGACAATGGCTGTGTGGTATTCAAGCTTTGATCATTTGTAGCTTTCACAGACTTTTCTTCTTGACTTGTCGTCAGAGCGCTTGACTTAAGTACTCCAGAGGAATAATAAAAATGCTTCTCAGCCAAATGTGAAGCTGTAGGGGAGTTGCTGAATGGAGTAAAGACACTTCTTTCATGACCAATCCCCTACAAAAATATAAATCATTTGTTACGCAAAACCATATAGCCATTTCCACTAATAAAAAAATCAACCCAAAGAATTATAAAAACGTAAATGGAAAAAAAAAATCACATTTTGGGAAACACATCCTAATACCCTAAAGCCAAAATTCAGGAAATATGCAGAGATAATCCATAGACAAAAATTTCAGGTCCTTCTTTTTTCCTAAAGTAGCTTCCCATAATTCATAACCCAAAATAAAATGTTTAAAAAAAGTAGATGAACAAAAAAATAAAATTGGTATCCTAAGATCACATTTAAGTCCACACAACCAGTTCCTGAAGATTGGAAAAAGATCAAGAAGAAAATAAAATAAAAGAAAAACACAGTAGCTGCATTATCCAATGAACCAACCCCATGCGCTATCAATCAGAATCCAAAAGCAAAGGTATTATCATTGCCAAACATACTGACCAAAACAAGATAAATTAGAGTGGAAAAGAGAGAGAAAAGTTATCAAACTCACATGGCTAGAGGACATTGAAGGAGCCAAGGTGCTGGCGTTGTTAGGACGGAAAGGCAGCGTGGACCCTGATCCAGTGCTATGCCTTTGGGAAGGAATACTGAGTTGTTCATACAGGGCCATCTTATTTCTTGGAGGTGCCCTCGGCCCTCCTTTCTCTGCATCATTCACATGAAGCCTAGGAAACATAGGACTCATCATCTTTTCCCCATCCTTGGCCCCTCTCATTCTCCTCTTTCTCTTGCTTTACTCACATATACTAATTCTTTCAGCAAATTCACAACAATATCCAAATACCATCCTTTTTAAAGCGAGATTCACTATTAGAAAAAATACCTATCTAGAAGGCAAATTCAAATCCTTGATCCAGGAAACAGCCGTTCACCCTGAATAAAGAGAAAAAACATAAACTTTTTCGATGATATTTCAAGCTTTTTTGAAGTTACTCAATTATACAAGTACCCGAGACCAACTAGTTGAAGAAAGCAAGCACGGAGAATAAATTCAACCATGAACCCAGAACCAGAAAGCAGGCCTACCCATTTAGCAAAAGGCAGCTACTTCTAGAAAAAATCACAATTCTATCAACTAGTTGAAGAAAGCAAGCTCGTGAGAATAAATTCAACCATAAATCAAAAACCAGAAAGCAGGCCTACCCATGTAGCAAAAGACAGCTTCTTTTTGATATTATAAACCCACCTCGAAAAAGCAATTCTCCTGATTGAAAACCATAAACAAACAACAGGAGCACATGAAAAGAATATTGACAAAAACTCAAATTTTAGAAGTACCGAAAAGCAGCTGACCTCAAAAAAATCAAAAACTTTGGACTAAAAATGGACCGGCCAGAAGATATTAGCTCAACTTTACAAGTACCAACCTCAAAAATACCAAACTTGAAGCAGAAATTCAGGTGGGAAAGAAGAAAACATGACACTAGAACTGACAAAAGCATACCACATTAAGGAACTACTAGTTAACAACGAAAGGGAAAATGGTTACTACTCGGTACAAGTTAAAAAAGAGAGAGAGAGAGAGAGAGCAAGTGGGAATCGAATCAACAGATAATTTTACGTTGTGGGGAAAGATAACAGATTCGGCTAGATTAGAGGATTGCTATGGAGAGGATCTCTTCTCTTCTCTTCTCCTCTCACCCCATAAAGGCCAAGCTCAGCCAAAAGAAAAAAGGTCGAACAAAAAGGGGAAAGAAAGATAGAAACATGCAACCAAGAAAAGAAGTTGTGGACTTGGTGGGTCCCAAGTGGACAAAACTCAATCCTTTACGTAAATCCTCTCCTGTTCTTCCTTTTCCAGTACCTCCAAGTTAGATCCTGCCACTTCAGATAGACCCCACAACATCAACACGACCACTTGGACCATTATTGTTCTTGCTGCAACACGACTGGAGCAAAGTTAACTTTATCGAATGTTTTTACCCAATTTACTTTTTCAATTAGAATTTCATGCACAAATCTAATGGTTGAAATTTTTGAAATATTATTATTTACATATTTATTGTACTCATATCAATCAACATGTTCATCATATGTCGGATGGACTGATGGAATAATAAATATATTTTTTACGTTTTATTAAATTATACTAAAGTATCAAAAAGATCCATTATAAACCAAATATAATAGACGTTGATGATTGTCAATAGCATTAGTTTAAGGGAAAAAAGAAAAGGAAAAAGGGGAGACTAGGTCCATAATTAATTAATTAATTGTGCAGTGTACGGTTTAGTTTGTACGAAGTACACAAGAAAAGTGCCTGAAAATTAGAAACGTGGATTAAACAGGGAAGACTAGTTCTCTATGGCACGTGCGTAATTGGCGACCAAAACTGGGTTTTAAAACCACATGTTCCTTTGTTTTGTCCTCAACATTCGGGCAATCTCTTTACTACTAAAAATCCGTTAAGAATCCCCAAAGAGTTTCTTTTTTTTTTTTTTTTAATAAGAACTCTTTTTTTATTTTGTAGAGCGTGGAATGCACTGTCCGAAACTGAGTTTTAAAACCACATGTTCCCTTGTTTTTTCCTCAAAATTCGGGCAATCTCTTTACTGCTAAAAATCCGTTAAGAATCCCCAAAGTGTTTTTTTTTTCTTTTTTTTTTTAATAAAAACTCGTTTTTTATTTTGTGGAGCGTGGTATGCACGGTCCAAAAAGGGTGGGTCAGGTTTGGTTTTGGTTTGCAAGATGGTAATAGGCGCGTGAAAATTGGGTGGGAATGCGATTGGCTTGCCGCATTTGTCCGGAACCAAAGATTCTACTTTTAAATTTGTGGATTAAACACGGCAATCCCATGTGATTAAGAATGGTGAAATTCCAAAAATGTCCCTACTTGGGCTTGCCCCAATTGGATCCTTTGGGGGCTAGGTCCTGTTAGGATGTGTGATGCGTCGTATTCAAAGATAATAATTTTGACTTCTAACACAAAAATCTAAAGATTAACTTTTAAATCATTGAAGCAGCTGAAGTTTACCATCCCAATAATTATAATTATTGTTCTTTATTGAAACTAAACAGATCAGTTTAAGGAAAATTGGAACACATGTGACATGTAATGCAAGCAGTTGATAAATATCCAACGACAGTTTTCATGTTGACGTGGGTCGCACAGGCCAAAGGCGTGGCCCCCGTCCGCGTGAGACACATCTGAAGAAAAAAGGTCCATCTCCAGTTGTTAGTTGATTGGACACTACAATGTCCTGTTGAAACGCAGAAAAATCAACAAGATATTTTGTGTTTTACATGTTCCACTGGTTCTTTTTGCAATATTTTCTGAACATTTACTGCATTTTTTTCAACGCACTTGCAGAGATTTCTCAAAAAGTGTTTGCAACGAATACATTGCCTTTTAGAAATTTCCCTTTCTCCAAATATATATATATATATATATATATATATATATATATATATATATGAGCACATCTCGAACTAATAGTCTAAATATACACCAATTTTAATTGAATTTATGAAGAACTTTTTCTTGTGTTAGATTTCCAAAGTAATGTAAATTTTCAATAAATCTTTCTATTAACGCCTATTAAAAACTAATTACAAAATTAATATATTAATAAATTGCTTTGGTTTGTAATTTGATATAAGATAAAAGACTAATTATGGATCTTAAAAAAAATTGAGATCTTTTTTTTTATTAAAAAAATAGAGATGCATTATTTGAATTATAGGTAAACGTGAATGATATATGCATTAGTTGAATTATAGATATAAATGAATGATATAAGTATTTTATAAAATTCATGAACTTTCACTATAAACAATATGTATACATGATCTTTTAACAACAAATTTGAACAATAGCTTAAAGGATGAGACCAAACTCAAAATATAGACAAATAGATACATCTACATCTCTAGAGAACATTTTACGAGAGGAAATTAGTTGCAATGCAAATAATCAAATCAACTAAAAAGAATAGAACGTATATTTAATAAATGATAATATACTTTCGAAGTTATTTTTATCTAATCCACACCAACAATAAAACTAACATACTCTTTCAATAATGATATATCAATATCAAAAATACTTATCTCAAATTGGTATCGAAGTTATTGATAACAAAAAAATAGATTATTCTATTTTTTCGTACAATTTAATTAGTCTTTTGACTATATAAACAACTAATCTTATGAATTTTAAATTTCTTTTCTCACTATTACTGTTTATGTACTTTATCACACTGATATCATAATCTTCTCTAACCAATCTTCATTTTTTTTTTTTTTACACTAACTTGATATACGAAAAATTTTATATCCGACTAAAAGTATTTATTTTGAAGTTATCTCATCCAATGCGATCACCGGCCATCAACAAACATCTCCATCCTATTGCCAATCATTAAGAAGCCACACCTTTATTAGAGGTTCAAAAATGACTTTTTAATTTTTTATCGATCTCGTTCCACGTGTGATAAAATTTATCTAAATCTCTTGAAATACTACAAAAATTCTATCTTTCAATGCCAGGATATTATTAAACTCAAAACTAGAACAAAATCTGATGTAATTAAAGAAATGATGAAGATAATAAGCTTAATCGTGCAAAGTTGCCAAACCCCGTCTCTCCTGTTAGAGTTATGATACAGTTATATTGAAGAAGAAAAAGGAGTAGAGAAACAGGGAAGAATAAGGTGAGAAGCAGAGAAAAGAAATGGAAGAGAAAAATAGACAAGGGTGAGAAAAAGAGATTCTAATTCATTGAAAGTATATTTTTAAATGGGCGATATAGGCTAATAGAACCATATTTAAATGGCCTATTGTCATAAATATTTCCTTGTATACTTTTAAATGATTGACCCATCAAGTTGCCATGTGTTAAATTATTATTTAGAAATTCGACACTGAGATTTTGAGAAATTGGGTTTTAGGGCCAGTGATGCCTTAACTTCGCTTCCAACCTAGAAATTTTGGAAAACTCTCAAAATAACTATTAATAATTATTCCATATTAGAGAAATAAATATAAATATATATAAAAAAAACAAGAGATAGCATTTAAATAATATAGTTTTGAGCATAGATCGAAATATTATTATTTTTTTAATAAATCAGGATATATATTTGTATTTGTATGTTTTTCAAAATGAATTCATAAAATAATAATCGATATTCATTTTAAAAATTTTCTTTCAAAAAAAGTGCTAAGAAGCTAGCTAGACGATGCCAAGGAGAAAATATATTTTTATATAAAAAAATCAAATTTATCTATAACAACATTATGTGATGTTTAATTATTCATAGTTACTCATATTCCTAATATGAATATGAGTAAGGATGGACCGATGGAGTAATAAATATATTTTTAGTTTTTTATAAAATTATATTAAAGTATCAAGAAGATCCACTATAAACCAAATATAGCGGACGTTGATGTTTGTCAATAGCATTGGTTTAAGGAAAAATAAAATAAAATAAGGGATGGAAGTAGAAATGGTCAAGGAGAAGTTGAAAATTAGGTCCATAATTAATTAATTGTGCAGAGTGTACGGTTTAGTTTGTCCAAAGTACACAAGAAAGGTGCCTGAAAATGAGAAAGGTCAATTGAACAGGGAAGACTAGTTCTCTATGGCACGTGCGTAATTGGCGACCAAAACTGAGTTTTAAAACCACATGTTCCTTTGTTTTGTCCTCATAATTCGGGCAATCTCTTTACTGCTAAAAATCCGTTTAGAATCCCCAAAGTGTTTCTTTCTTTTTTTTTTTTAACAAGAACTCATTTTTTATTTTGTAGAGCGTGGTATGCACTGTCCAATCACGGTAGAGAAAACCCAAAAGTGTGGGTCAGGTTTGGTTTTGGTTTGCAAGATGGTAATAGGCGCGTGAAAATTGGGTGGGAATGCGATTGGCTTGCCCCATTTGTCGGGAACCAAAGATTCTACTTTTAATTTGTGATTAGCAATGGTGAAATTCCAAAACCACCCCTACTTAGGCTTGCCCCAGTTGGATCCTTTGGGGGTTAGGTCCTGTGGTCAATTAGGATGTGTGATGCGTCCTATTTAAAGATAATAATTTTGACTTTTAACACAAAAATCTAAAGATTAACTTTTAAATCATTGAAGCAGCTGAAGTTTATCATCCTAATAATTATAATTATTGTTCTTTATTGAAACTAAACAGATCAGTTTAAGGAAAATTGGAACACGTGTGACATGTAATGTAAGCAGTTGATAAATATCCAGCAGACAGTTTTCAAGTTAACGTGGGTCGCACAGGCCGAAGGCATGGCCCTCGTCCGCGTGAGACACGTCTGAAGAAAAAGGTGCATGTCCAGTTGTTGGTTGATTGGACATCACAATGTCCTATTGAAACACAAAAAAATCAACAAGATATTTTGCGTTTTTACATTTTCCACTGATTCTTTTTTGCAACATTTTCATAACATTTACTGCCTTTTTTCAACGCACTTGCAAAGGTTTCTCAAAAAGCGTTTGGAACGAATACATTGCCTTTTAGAAATTTCCTTTCTTCAGGTCAATATATATATATATATATATATATATATATATGAGCACATCTTAAACTAATAGTCTAAATATACAATCACTTCAATTGAATTTATGAAGAACTTTTTCTTATGTTGGATTTCCAAAGTACTGTAGATTTTCAATAAATCTTTCTATTAACACTTATTAAGAAACTAATTACAAAATTAATATATTAATAAATTGCTTTGGTTTGTAATTTGGTATAAGATAAAAGACTGATTTTAGATTATTTTTTTTAAAACAATTGAGATTTCTTTAATTAAAAAATAAAATACATTAGTTGAATCATGGATATAAGCGAATGATATAAGTATTTCACAAGATCCATGAATTTTTACTATAAACAATATGTATGTACAATTTTCTAACAACATATTTGAACAAAAACATAAAGGATGAAATATAGATAAACAGATGCATTTGCATCCCTAGAGAACATTTTACAAGAGGAACTTAGTCGATTATAGTGCAAAAAATCAAACAAACTCTCACCAATTGAAAAGAATAGAAAGTATATTTAATAAAAGACAATACACTTTCAAAATTATCTTTATCTAATCCACATAGATAATGATGTTACCATACTCTTCTAATAATGATCTATCAATATTAAAAATACTTATCTCAAATTGGTATCGAAGTTGTTGAAAACAAAAAAATAGATTATTCTAGTTCTCTTTTCATATAATTTGACGAGTCTTTTGACTATATAAACAATTAATCTTAAAGATTTGAATTTCTTTTTTGAATATTATTGTTTATATACTTTATTACATCAATAATGACGCCAACATACTCTTCCAATAGTGATCTATCAACATAAAAAATACTTATATCAAATTGATATAAGAAGTTATTGATAACAAAAAAATATATCATTTTACTTCTCTTTTCATATAATGTGAAGAGTCTTTTGACTATATAAACAACTAATCTTAAGGATTTTGAATCTCTTTTTTGATTATTATTATTCATATACTTTATTACACTTATATCATAATCTTCTCTAACTAATTTTTATTTTTTTACACTAATTTAATATTTGAAAGATTCTCTATCCAACTAAAAGTATTTATTTTGTAGTTATCTCATCTAACACGACCACCACACATGGACAAACATCTTCATCCTATTAACAATCATTAAGAAGCCACACCATTGTTAGAGGTTCATCAATCATTTCTCAATTCCTTATCATTTCACATGTGACAAAATTTATCTAAATCACTTGAAATACTGCAAAAATTCTATCTTTCAATACTAGGATATTATTAAACTCAAAACTAGAACAAAATGATGTAGTTAAAGAAATGATGAAGATAATACGCTTAATCATGCCAGGCTGCCAAACCCCGTCTCTCCTACTAGAGATACGATACAGTTACATTGAAGAAGAATAAGGAGTTGAGAAACAGGGAAGAACAAGGTGAGAAGCAGAGAAAAGAAATGGACGAGAAAAATAGACAAGGGTGAGAAAAGGAGATTTTAATTCATTTCAAGTATATTTTTAAATGGGCTAAGATAATTTTTAAATGGGCCAACTAGGCCAATACAAGCATATTTAAATGGCCGATTGTAATAAATATTTCCTTGTATACTTTTAAATTATTGACCCATCAAGTTGCCATGTATTAAATTATTATTCAGAAATTCGACACTGAGATTTTGAGAAATTGGGCTTTAGGGCCAGTGATGCCTTTACTTTGCTTCCAACCCAAAAAATTTAGAAAACTCTCAAAATAACTATAAATAATTATTCTATAGCAGAGAAACAAATACAAATATGAAAGAAAAAATAATTTCAATAATATACTTTTAGCATAGATTGAAATATTATTATCTCTTTTAATAAATCCAGATATAATTTTTTTCTTATATTTTTTTATTTGTCTCTCTTTTTCAAAATGAATTCATAAAATAATAATCTGTATCCATTTTAAAAATTTTCTTCCAAAATAGTGCTAACAAGCTAGGTAGAAGACGCAAAGGAGAAAATATATTTTCTATAAAAAAAAATCAAATTTATCTATAACAACATTACGTGATGCTTGATTATTCATAGTTAGAACAGAAAAAATAATTTACAAAGAAACAAATTATACTTTTCAAAAGCAAACAAGTAAATTGTGTAGAAATTTTAAATGAATTGATTTGACAAATGGTAAATGATAGTGCTAATTTGTAGTTCCAAATAGCATTAAATGATTGGTTAAATATATATATATATATATAAAAAGGTTACTGGCTTTGAATCTTTCTCAAATATCCGTAAAAGAAAATTTGTATTACATCTTAGCTCACAATTTTTATGAAGCCAAGCACTAGATGAAGCACGAAAGTCAAATACTCTTGAAAGTGTTAAAAATGACTTCAAATAAGAATCTCAAAATCAATTCATAATCAACCTTTCAATGAAAAAAAGAAAAGAAAAGAAAAGTAAAAAAAAAAAATACCAAGGAAGAAAGCATGAGCAATCTGAGGAGAATATACACGTTACAAGAGAGCCACACTGAATGCATGCATTATGCATGGTGATTCTGTATATAAATGAATATTTATGTCTCAAGATTGTTGGTTTTGTGCAAATAAAGATTTTGTGGTGGTGATCAGTGTGTGGAGGGCTGTGGAAATGGAGCTTGCTACACCCTATCAGACATACATTTCTTTGCCAGTTGACTCTGGTAATAAAATTTTTTATCTTATATTTTAAATATTACGAGTGTTATGCTTTGTTTTTGTTTGGCAACTTCTTTGTAAGAATTGGGTTCTATTTTAACCACCTTGCGCATTTGTCATCTTTTTTTTTTTTTTTTTTTGCTTGGGGGGATTTTCGTTGTGGATTTTTGTTGCGTGGTACCATAGTTTGAATACAGGGGATTTGCTTTTAGTGGTAAAGTTCTTAAAATATTTGGTCAATTGGTGCCTGGGTTTTGATTATTAATTGTCTATCAATTGTTAGTTTCCTTTTAGCGCCATTTGATATCTAGAATTTGAACATTTCTCTATGTAATCTTGCATTAAATTGTGGGCTTGCTCGATTGGCTCTCTGGCTTCGAGTACATGTTTGTATTTTTCTGAGAAAGGAGTACCACTAGTTTCCAACATGCCTTTTCGTTTCAATTAGCTACATTTTTCTTAAATTGGGTTTTGCTTTTGATTCTGGGTGTTCGTTGTAAGCTAAGAGGTTCCAAAGTTTATTTATCCGTGCAACATTTCTGGTGATTATAGTCATTTTGGAAATGTATCTGTTCATGTTTTGTTACCCTTTCAGTAGCCGCTGCAATCACTTGATTGCTATCCATTTTGAACCTAGAAGGAATGACCATTCTCATTCGTACTGTATACGTTTTTCAGGTCGCCAAAGCCAAGGCTATGAAGCTCTTTTGTCACTGGTTCCATTCCATATTGTTACTCATGCATCCCAACTACCAAAAGAGTTTCTTTTTCCCTCTTCTGAAAGACAATTAGTTGTTGGATTTGACTGTGAAGGTGTTGACCTCTGTAGATATGGAAAGCTTCGCATCATACAGGTAATTGTTTATTCTCATGCCAGTTTTAACAGTCTAGCAATAAGGAATGGAAAAGCGAACCGACTTAGTCTTTTGTAAAAGAATCTGGCACTCCAGGATTAGATTTATAAATTAAAAGCCATAGAAATAGCCAACTAAACTTAAAGCGTTCCTAATTTCCTCTGAATTCAGCTCATCATAAGATTTTGGGTTTCTCGTCGTGATCTTTCAATGGCAGTAGGGAAATTTCATATATCTGCCGCTAATTAGTATTTTATTGATGATGCAACTTCGTATCCATGCTGCCTTTTTCCGTCAGCTGGCGTTTCCAGATGCTATATATTTGGTTGATGCTATTGAAGGAGGGGAAAAGTTAATTAAAGCTTGTAAGCCTGCACTTGAGTCTAGTTTCGTCGCGAAAGTTATTCATGACTGCAAACGAGACAGAGGTATATATATATATATTAATTTTCATTTTTCTTTTTGGTTGTAAAGTTTTTGAAAATTTGATAATTCCTTGAGTCTGGACTAGGGTCAGGATTAGTTTGGGCCCAAAATAAGGATCGGGCTAAGTTCAGGCTGAACTTAGTGCAGCTTACTACTTGTGTAGGCTGGCCATTGGACTCTGAAAAATGTGGTTGAAAGAGGAAAAGAATTTTGCAATCAAATATTACCTTTGAGCCTCATTGATCATAGCCGGTATGAAGCATGCCAAAAGGCTGTAATGATGAAGTTCAGTCATGGTTAATTATTTGATATGCACTTATTTTCACAGATTGTGTTAGTGATTGTTGGTTTTGCCTTTTCTTTTTCAACCAAAATAAAAAATAAAAATCAAAGCAAACAAGTTTTCAATTCTATTCCCAAATATTTGAAAACAAAAACAAAAATCCGAAACCACAAATGATACCAAACGATAGTGGTTTTAACAAAGTATTTTGACTTAAGAGTTAGATGAAATGGCTTCTGAGTGGTATGAGAGTGCTAAATTTTGATTTGATACCCATATTTCCAGATAATCTCTCTGCAGAAGGAAACACTCCTGAAGAAGAGATTTTATCAGTAGTTAATGTTCCTTCAGGTAAAATGAGACGCATTATTGGTAGAAAAGGCACTTCGATCTTGTCAATCAAGGAATCCTGCAAGTAATGAAGTTCCCACCTCCCTCCTTATCTTTTAGTTTTTTTTTTTTTTTTTTTTTCTTTTTTTTGGTGGATTATCCAAAAACTTGTCATTCATGTTGCAGTGCAGAAATCTTGATTGGAGGGGAAAAGGGACCACCTAACAGGGTTAGTACTTAATTTTTTCATAACTATATATAAAATCACGGAATCTTTAAAACTTTTGATTGATTATTATATTATTAATACAATACTAACATTATAACATATATTCGTAAATTCTAACTCACCTTTAATAATAATAAAAAAAAAGAGCCAACATTGAAGAAATTCTAAAAAGAAATTATTAAAAATTAAAAAAATAGGTTAATTCGGTTTTTTCACTATTTTTTTATTTACCAATCTTCTAAAACTCTAAATAACATAAAATACTGCTACCCTATATAGTACATTATCAGTACTTTATTCTGCCTATGAAAACTCCAAACGTGCTTAAAAACAAGTCCAAAAATACCAATAATATTAAAATCTAAAAATAATAAAACTAAACCAAAGTTCATCAAATTATTAAATTAGATTCTTATATATATAAAAAAATGTTCTTGTCTTATATTACTTTTTACTCTTTTGAAAAAAAAAAAATTATCCACAATAAAATTTTTATTCATACTTAGATTATTAATTCTGTTCACATCACATATAATTAAAAATAACTCTTTTAAATAAAAATTTTACTTCAATGCCATGTTATCGTACTAAAAATTAGTAGAATCTTGAATAAAATTTTTATTCACATCATGCACTTTACAGTTTACATATTCATACTATATAAATAGATTTTATTTAAATAAATGACTCCGTTCGACAAAAATAATTTTTTAAGATTATAATAACGATAGTAGTTAATTATCTGTAGATATTTAGTAAATATATGTGATCAAAATCAAACTTTAAAAATAATATAAGATTATATTTAACATGTTTGTATTTTAATATTTATTTACATTTACTATATGTATATATAGTTTGATCATTCTTATTTTAATCATATAATTTAAACTAACATAAATTCTAAAACAAAATGAAAAGAAATTAAAACAATTTTTTTTTATTTAAGACAATTATATATATGTGTGCGTGTGTGTTTTCTAACTAGGAACTATTTGATGTCCATAATTTTTATTTTAACGCAATCAAAACTTATTTATATATTTTAAAAATCAAACAAACTTATGATAATAAAAATTAGCAAACTAAATTAATTACATATTATCGAGCTTTATATAAAACTATTCAGATTTTAAAACTAAATCATTTAATTTGATAAATGCTAAAAATATTTACTTACAGACAATCCAAAATAATTTATTAGATATTAAAATATTATAAAATAGTATAAATATTATACACGAGTGGAGCACAGACAAAAACCTAGTTTATCTAGAAAGTTACATCAGTTCCTTTCGCATGATAATCTCCAAGTATTTAATACCATGCTAAGCACATAGTTTTTCATCTGTACTATCTACCTTTCACATTTCACCGTTCATGAATTATTCTATCATCGTATAAATCAAAATCTTCCAGTCCACTTAATTCCTTACCGAGTTTTGCATTTTCTTGTAGGTGTTCATCATAGGACCGTTGAGGCAGGTGAGAAAGGCAGAAGCAATGTCGAGGGGTAGGATGTAAAGAAATCGCTCATCTTAGTTTTACTGTATGTGCATGCGTTGGGAGAAATTTTATGATACATAAAAAATAACTAGTGGTATATATAGTAATTATTTTATTAAAAAAAAGATAGACATATTAAATTATATTCGGATCTACAAAAAATGATAAGAAGATTTTCACGTTCACTCAATTTTTTTTAAAAAAATTTTCTCTTCGTTTCATCATCTTTTTTTTTTTTTTTTTTTTTTTTCAAAATGGATACATGAAGTAACTATTATACATGTTATTGATTTTTTCTTGTATATTATAAAATTTGTTCATACTTAACTGCATGTGTATATTTGTAAGTTGTAAGAAAGTAGCAGCGAACCTGAGCCTACAAGATAACTAGTCATTTAACCTTTCCACCATTTTGTTTTTTGGTGTCTTTCTTTTGTACCTTGTCTTCGCAAGTAGGATATGTCTTAACTATTGCTGTGCTAGCTGGTGTATTTATCGCCAAGTATGGCACTCATCTGGGTGTTTCCAGGCTACCAAAAATATCCCATTGTAATGTATTACACAAAATTTTGATGAGATGAGAAAATAACTGGACAACACTGTCATTTCCTTACCTTGAGCATTGGCTGGTCTTCCTATTGATAATTTGATGGTAACAGGATTGAAAATAAACTTCTGTGATAGTGGAACAATGGATTGCACAGCCCCCTTTTTTTGTGAATTGTTTCTATAATTTATTATTATTTTGAGAGAAACCCTAAAGGGTTGGTCCGGTAATTAAAGAAATTTTTTCTCTTCCTTAACTTCGCGTTAAGCTGCTCGAGAATATCATTAAATATATATATATATTGAAGGAGAGGATTTGACCGTGAATTTCTGATCGGTTCTATTGTGAGGTTAGATTTGCACACCTACAATCCTAGGCCATTAGAGTTCAGTTTGCACGATTCATGAAAAGGGGCCGGAACATTGATGGAGGCTCATAAACACATTCAGAAAATCTGAAAGATCGAACATGGATTATATGATCTGTTTTGTTGGACCTTATGTAGTTCTGGATGGTTCGATCGGTGACATAGAAATGGACCACCTATGGGTTAATGAAGGGATCTAATTTGCCTGTACACGAGCACGTTCATCCATTGATCCATTCTATTAATTGGGCTCTTAATCCCTAACAATATCCTGCTAAACAAAATGCACAACAATTAATATAAGAAAAAAAAATACACACATAATTGATTACTTTCTTGGTCGGGCTTTGGATAGTTCTGAGTTTAAGGTAAAAATTAGGTTGGATCTTGTATTGTATTGTAAGAGAAGCATTAACCCTAATAAGTGTATTCTATTGATCTGCGGTCAATAACTTGAAGTTTTTTTTTTTTTTTTTTTAAGAAGAAGAAAAAGAAGTAAATTTATATTTCCACTTAATTAATTTTCTGAAAAACAAGCAAAAAAATATTACAGGGGATCTGTTGTATTTTGACTAATGGTACGGTTTCAAAATGGAAGCTACAAAATTTGCTTTTGAGCATATTGAAACTACAAAATCGAACCAATAAAAATTGAACATTTGGGATCAACTGGGCCTAGAATCTGATACACGTGAGGGTCAAAATCGCAATCCTGGGTCCTGTGGGGCAAGCCAGGTTGGAGAATATGCGCCATAGCTAGTTCTAGAATATGGAAGGACAGTGACCCTTCATTTGAAAGGGATAAGGCCCCTATCCCTTCCCATGGGCTCTTGGCCCTTTCTGGGTTGTTGAGGCAATGGCCATCGAATGCGACGAATATCGTTAATTAGTTCATGCATGTACAGATTACATTACATCACGACGAAGATTGAAAACCTAGCAGCCACCAATCTGCTTCGAGGAAAATGCCTCCGATCCTATTGTTGTCCGTCTTTTAATTGGAGAATTTTGTTTGTTCATGTATATACCCATATTTATCTCATAATATTGTGCATTATGAGCAATAAATTTTCTCGAGTATTGATTCTAAAAATTCAAATATATATATATATATAGATATATAAAATATGTAGACCCAAGCCATTTCTAACTCTTTGATATCATAGTAAACTCATTTTGAATATATATATATATATTCGTTAGATTAAGATGTTGCTATTCTTAAAAAAAAAAAAAAAGATGTCATATATAGTTTTTTTTTAATATATATTAATGATATTCTCAAGCATGCATTCATTTTTCAAAAACTGATTTTAAAATTTTAACCCAATAAATAAAAATAAATAAATAAAACCTTCTTACGATTGCAGCAATTTTTTGAATTTACATTATCCATATAATTCAGAAAACAAAGTTATATTTTTACTGGTATTTGTTATATATATTTTTTTTAGATTTTTTAAATGTTTCAATCTCAAAAATTCAGATTGATATATCGTTATTTTATCGAAATTACAAAGTTGATATGCTATTCAAGAAATTTTTTAAATATATATAAATATCTAAATCCAAAATTATTTGTTTTACCAATTAAAGTTTCTTCTAGTCACAGTCACGCCAATCTTTTTGGATTGTTACCCAAAACTTTATCAGCTAAGCTAGCATCTCAAAAGTTTCGATATAAGGGTTGCACTACATTTTTTCATAGATGAAAATCTACAGCATGTCAAGTCACAGTCTCCGTAAAATCCGCCTCCGGGCTGGGAAGTAGTGGTCACATCGGTTTCCTTATCTTGATCCATTTGCCGACATGCCGTTTGGAGATTCATACCATCACCATGAAATGAATTCAACTTTTAAAGAGGGTGTCAAAAAAGTTGCTACTAGATATGATAAGGGCCTGAGACACAATAGTTATGGAACAGGTCCATCTTGTAGGGTTGAGCTGATCACCATTGGCCGACCTCGTTTACCATGCATGGGTGCCAATTTTTCAGGTTCGGTTTACTACTATGGCCATGCTTCTACATATAATGCTCCATGGAAGGACCACAGTGTTTCATTACTCCAAATTAAGGCCGAAGGGTTACAATTTGCTATATTATGTGTTTCTATGAATGCATCGAATCATTGTAGAGAGTCCATATTTAAGATTATTTGAAAAAAAATAATTAATTTTGGTTAATAAATAAGTTAATTTGAAAATATCATACCGTTAAATTAAAAAACTGTTTTTTTTTCCTTCTCCTTTTTACTACATATTTGAAAAGTTTTGAGGTCTGCTACTATTTGGTACACTTTTTAATATATTAATAGCATAGTGTGACAATATCTCTTATAAACATATATTGCCAAAACATTTTCCCCTCGTTATTTTGGAATGATAGCCATGCAAATTTCATAAAAAAATAATAAATTATTAATTTAGTGGTAAGCGAGTTGGTACTCATATAAATTTTCTATCAATATCTAGAATTTAATTTTTGAAGTTATATTTGTTACAAGAATTAAACTTTGTTATTTTTATTTTGAATAAAATTAGTTTTATTTCTGATATTGAATGAGAAAACCTAGATAAAAAAAAACAATAATAATAATAAAAAAATTGATTGCCATACAAATTTTAGCCAATTAAGCAATTACGGTGCCATGTTTTTAAATGTTGACTTTCATTCTTCGCAGGAAGAATTTATAACAACTCACGATATTTTGCGCTGGGAGAGATGAATAAATTGAAAAAAAAAAAAAACGCTTCATACATATGTAAAAGTGTTATTTATTAAGAGCTACATATTCTTTTTAGGCTTGATAGTAAAGATATATATTTTAAAATTAGTTTATATGTTAATCGATTTTTTTTCCAGATGATTTTAATTTAAAAGTATACGTTTACATTGATTTGATGAATTTATAATAATAAATTTTCTTAAATGTTAAATCGGAAAGAAAATCAAGGATGAAGTGAATAAATCTCAAAAGACCATCAAAACTATACTTTGGGGTTATTAAAAATTGCATATTGAGGCTTTTTTTTTTAAAAAAAAATTTCTAGATACCCCAAACTCAAAGGCTCAAACTAATCATTTCCTATTCGATCGGATGCACAAAGTGAGCATAACCATTTAAGAAATTTTTTACATATATAAAAATTCAAATTCGAGATCACTTGCTTAAATAACTAGAATTTTTTTTATTCAAACCAACCCTCTTGGGTTCATATCAAGGTCTTTGTTTGCTGTAAAACACTTTCCTAACTTTTCTATATCTGGCTATACTCTAAAAAAGTGGTCAATAAACTTAAAAAAGGAGAGTGTTTTCCTATTTAATAAATAAATAAATAAACTCTTGGAATTAATTAAGAACTAATTAAAGTGATTAGACATTACTCATTATTCTTATTCTTATATATTATATCGTTAAAATAATAATAAATTACTAATATACATGTATCTATAATATTATTGGGATATATCAAAATATAATACATAAAAATTATTTTAATGTAATGTATTAGTGTATATAATTTATTGTTAAAATGTTTAAAGTTTATATTATGTTGATAGAAAATATATTTTCACTAACAAGTTTATATTCTACATAAGTCATACAAATTATAAAAATAGGATACAAGAAAAGAAAGTTATTTTACAATGTGCACCAACTATCAGAAAAAAGTTTGATAGTATTGTTTAAAAAATTTGATAACCAAAAAATATTATTTTCTAGCTTGTGTTCTATGACATGGTCAAGTACATTGAAAAATGATTTTTAGTATATTAATTTTTTTTATACAATAAACTATCGGAAGTAATTCACTTTTTTTAAAAAATTATTTTCTATAGAGTTCACTTTTCCAATTAAAAAAAAAAAATGAAAACTAAGAACTAGCAATAATAACCATCTTATTTTAAACTGGTCCTTTTGTATAAGAATAACCTAGAAAAAGCATTTAATTGATTTTTTTTTTTTTTGTCTATTTGCTAATCTTGGATATAATAAACCACTATATGAAGAATTTAGCTGGTAGTCTTTTAGTTCATACTTTAAACACTCTCAATTATATATGTTTTCATAGAGGTCTGTCTCTATTTATCTGAATGAAAGCAGATGGAGTTTCGTTTTTTTATGAAAGCAGAGTGGAAAAAAAAAAATTCTACTTATTCGAAAATAGAGAATATAGAGAATGATAGGATATCTTTTAATCCAAAAACCTTCGTATCCGAATTTATATATATAAATAAATAAAAATTTCAATATATATATATATATATATATATATATATATATATATATATATATATATTTTTCTAATATTATCTTAGTTAACTTTGTTTGATCAATATTTATTTTTTCATGGCTTATATATTTTATTTGATGGAATCTGTCATGGACAAAAATTATGTAGATCAATAATAGAGGTGCGCCTACAATAAAAATAGACGTGAAAGATTAAAAATTACTTCCCGTGTAGATAGAGATGGATATAAAAGTCAGAAGGCCTTGGTTGAGGCTCATGGCGAGGTTAATTACTCCATTGCCATCCTTGAAAGAATACAAAAAAACAATCAAGAGCAAGAAACATCAAAGATCGCAGAAGAGATCAACAGAATTTCAATCGGATGGTCCCATTCTACAGCTCTTGCTAATGCTATTGCTAACTCCACCCAACTGATTCTGAATTCTAGATTTTGATTTTGATTTCCCCCACGTGGGAGAAGGCTATCTCAACAGGTGGCCGCCCAATGTTGTGCCGCCACGTGTGAATAAGAGCGCTGAGTTCACGTGTGAGGAAGTAACAATAATAGAAGCACCAGATAGAGCGAGGGAGGGAGACTAGTAGTACTACTACGTGTGGAGTGGGGCCTTCCTTGTTTGTCATGGGGACCACCCCACAGGAGCACTGCAGAAACAGTTTCCTAGCTGGGTCGAACCTAGCCGAGCCGAGCCTAACGGAGCTGAAACGATCATTGCTGCTGGCCTGCAGGAATAACGCGGGAAGAGGCCAAGAGGGGCATTTAGTGAAGATTTTGACATTGTAGAGAGATTGGATCACTTGTCTGGAACAAAAGATTTTGATTAACGGTTCAGATGTGATGGTTAGCAACCATTATTGGTCCTTGAAATGCTGTCTATCACGATGAATTTCTTTTGTCGTCTCCTTTTTTCTTATGTCTAGCGTGGTACCATCAACAAACTTTTCATATATGTCTAAATAAATTAATCTTTCTAGTACAATAATATATAGATATCAATATTTACATTACAAAATTAATAAGAATTTTTCTTTTAACGGTCAATTAAGATCACAAACTTTCAAAAAATGCCAGCTTTACATATAATTACATATTTTAAAAAATCATATAAATTATATCTTATAATCTCATATATTAGTTTAAGTTTTTGAACAAAATGATCTTTTAATATGATATTAACACTTAATTGATCATGTATCTCTGAATTCAAATTTCATCATTTATATTTCTCTTTTAATTAAATTTAATGATATTTTCATAAGTAAAAAAATATAAAAATTATAACGTTGATGAAATATAAATGGAATGATGGTGATAAAAGCAAAATAATAGAGCCAATAAAAAGGATGACGAAAATAATAATAACATACAAGTATGATGATTACAAATGATTATTGAAGATAATGATAATGATTAGATAGGAAGATTGATATTGTTGTATAAGTGAAAAATCATAAAAGGATTGTTCATCAAAATTTAATGAGTTGAAAATATTTTTTTATAAATTAATTAACTTTTCAATAAAAATTGATTCGAAAATATTTTATGTTAAATAATTATAAAATATTTAAAGTAAAACAAACATCAATAAGAAAACCTGAAAAAAAAAATTATTTATTTTGTAAAATAGTTCGCGCAAATTAAAACACCACATTAACAGTCAACGCTAAAAAGTTTGGCCAAAAGCATTTCATTTTTCAATTTACCTGCAGTACCAGTTGTTTTTGAGAGCGCGTTTGGTTATTATGCCACCACTGTTGGTTACGTCAGTCGGAGAAGAGGGATAGAATATTTCCGTCCTTTTTCTCACTTTATGTTTGTGTTTTTACGAGGAGCTAAATAATGTTTCTTTAACTACATTTAACGTAATTTTATAATTATAATAAATAAAGCATTATCTAGTTTTTTTTTTTTTGGGTTAAATTCATCGGAAATTTTACCCTGATGGGTCATTTGATTTTTTTTTTCAAAATTTTTATCAACTAATATTGAATCATAATATCAAAATAATTAAAATAGCTAATGTGCAACAAATCATATATATATTTTTCGTCATTTGTGCTTATACGGCGCTGAGGATTGGGTTATATTTTTGTCTTATATATTCATCAAATGTTCCATTTCTATCCCGATATTTTAAAATTTTCCAATGTTACACCTATAGTTTTTTTGAAATTTGTCCTCTGCTACTAAATAATTAACAAAAATCTTTTTTTTTTCATTTTTTTTAATTTTCTTAATTTTCTCTCATTTTTTTAATCTCAAATCCCTATTTACATTATAATATCTTATAATGATGCTTAAAAAAGTTAAAAGGAAACTCAAAAACCAAATTAAAAAAACTAGACTACTTAATAATTAGGGATGCTATGGGAGTTTTTGAAAACTAAAAGAATAACATTAAGAAAATTTAAACTTTGAGTGTAGAAGTACAACATTGATGAAATTTTAAACTATAAGGACAAAAATGAACTTTTTCTAACAGTAAGGGTGTTCTAAACAGCAATAAAATTCTTCAACCGTTTTCCACACGTAGTAGAGTAATTCTCTAATAGGAGGTTAAGGAAATTAATCATCTATAGCCAGACATTGTAGTGACAAGAAATAATCAACTAGAGTCTTCCGTAAAATTCAAGCCTCAGATAATATCGTAGAGCACAAACTCTTAATCATGGCATCCAATATTGTCAAGAAGTTGAAAATCTGCATCTTATTGTTTAGTCAGATTGAATTAATTTGAACGGTTTTCTTAATCATTTCTCTTTTTTTGTTAAAAGTAAACACTATTCGGTTTAAATTGAAAAATCAAATTGAACAGAATCAAAATCAAAATAATAATTTAAATTCAATTTTAACTAAAAAATAAAAACAAATCGAGTTTTTTTGGGTTTTCATTCAGTTTGAGTTTTAGAATTGTTGGTTCGATTTAAATCGAAAATCAAGTTTTATTTATTATTTATTTATTTTTTTAAGACAATACAAATAAAAAAAATCAATTTCTTAACATTAGTGTGTATATGTGACGGATTGGTGGTGTTTTTGGTTTATTTATATTATTTAAAAAAAAAAAATCAGTTTAGATCAAATAAATTGAAATTCAAAAATTGAAATTTATTTTTTCCACCCAAAAACTAAATAGTAATTTGTTTTGGGTTTGATTTTTATTTTTGTAGTATTTGTTAATTGAAAACCGAACTAAAATTGTTAAAAATTGAAAGATCACCCCTACTCTTGATTTTGGATCGTGTGATAAAAAAAAAAAAACTCAATGTACTGTTTCGTATCTAAACCTGAAATCTGAGGTTGAGGTTTTAAATTGAAAGTACTTTCAAGTCTAGTTATCAATACAAATTCAATTTTAAAGCTAGCATGGTAAAGAATGATTGGTTATATCACAATTTTTTTTATAATAAGTTAAACAAGTATCTATCCTGTAATTGATTTCTATTGTTAGACTAGCTACTTGATCTGCAGAGAAGACTGAGAAGGTGAAGAAAAACATGAGAGTTTACAATAAGCCATTGTTAAGGTTGGCAAAGAGTAGCAAATGCTATGGGAACCCATTCGCTGAGCTGTAATGATGGGGTGCATGTGGGTAGGACTCAGAACCCAGATAGATACCTCTCTCTCATGCATAACTATCTATACTTTAATAGGGATAACCGAAAGGAGAAAAAAAAATGGAAGGAAGGAACTAGGATGTGAAGAAAGACAAAATTGTATGAAAACAACTTGTTCGTGCTATCTTCTCCTCTCTGGCTCTGACGGCCTTTGCTTTGCCTGCCAACATCTTTCATGTCCACTACTGGTTTTTATGTTCAAAATGGCAATCCTAAGAAATGTAATTTAACTTCAGAACCTTTTCAGGTTTTGTTCCTTTTTAAATCATATTTCTACTGTTTGAAGTTGTACTTTCCGAATTCATTTTCACTGTTCTACCACTTCTCTGATCCGAATTACCAAAGTTTGGCACAGTACTGACATGGCTATATTCTAGTCTGGTACTTTGTTGAGGAAATGCAAGGTGTTGTTGGGCCTCATCATGCACAATAAATGCTAGAGATCATATAATGCCTAATGCCATTACTGCAGTTACACTCCCACACGTTTCAAGCTGTCCTCTCCTTGAGCTGCCTATAGACGCACGAATAGTAAACAGAAACAAGTGGCCCTGTTGATTGTATTTTCGTGCATCCGAGATCCAACAATCCTACGTACAAGAATTGTCGTATGGATCCATTTATGAACAGCAAACTAGTCACATCGCAACATTAGTATATTATATTTTCTATATCATGACAAGTCTAATAAAATGTGTTGTGTCTACAGTTTAATGGTCAGGTTTACATACACTAAAGAGTACTCTATCGTCTATAAGATAAATAAGTGTGGAAATAGAAATCAGATTCATCATTTAATTTTTATGATCATCACTTTTTTTAAATTTATGTTCAAAATAGTCGAAGTCATGTATTGAAAAATACCTTTTATTTATATTTAGGATGAAATTAATCTCGAAATATATAAAAATTGACTAAAAATATTTTTAATGCTCAATTGTTTTTTTTTAAATACTCTAAGAACATCTCCAATGATGCTCTCTATTTTTAGCTAGCATTTTTAATATAAATAGAGAGCATCATTAATTATATAGATTGAAGATTAATATCCTCTCTAATGATATTTTCTATTTTAATTCTTTATTTTGATAAAATTCATAAAATATTTAATTCTGAAATTTTTTTCTCCTTTTGTTTTTGTTAATCTCTCAAAAAGATCTGTTGGTGAAAAGTTTGAATGACATAATAAATAATAATTTTTATTAATAAAATATAATATAAATAATTATTTGGACTATGTAGTATTAGAGAGGTAAATACAATCTGTATCTCTCCGTTTGCTACACTAATATAACATAAATTGGTATCCATGATTTTCTTGGAAGTATGACAAAAATAATAAATTTTTTGGAGTAAATTAATAAGATGCATTAAATTGTTCTCTCCTTAATGACAAATTAATGCCATAGGACCGTCCTCAAGCGGTCCCGTGAAAGGTACAATATATATAAATTCTCAGAAAGTGAAAGAAAAAAGTAGTGTAGTAGAAAGTGAAAACAGTAATAGTGGTGATGATTAAAACTATGATTAATGAAAAAGCTAGGTCTGTAGAACTAGAAAGTGGATACTGTAAAAAGATGCTCACGATCTCCACTGCTAGCTGCAATTTTAATTACTTTGAAAACTCTACAGTGCGCATGGAAGAGCATGAGAAACCCAACCCAAAAGGAGGCCAGAGCTTTCCCCACTTAAACAATTACAAAAATAATTTGAAAAAAAAAAGGGTTTAAAACAGTAGACGTAATCAATTAGTTGTTGAGATTCAATATGCTTCTCTGCAATCTCATGCTCCCCGTCTGCAAAAAATATACTCTCACATCCCCCACCAAACTGACCAAAACCCTTATCTTTTTCAAACCCATTATACCTTTCCTCCTTGAATATTATATTTTATTTTGTTGCTCTTTTTTCCTCATATTTTACATGTTCAAATACTATTAGTATCATTTCTAGCATTATAAAATCGAACCATATGCTCTTTATATCTATATAATCATTCTCCTTACAGAAGAAACATTACACTGTATCACTAGCTAGCTATTTGGTCATCCATCCTTGCTAGTTCAAGTTCAAGTTCAAGGTCCGTAGGAGAAAACACTATTCTCTCTATATTAACCCTCTCTTGCTTATTAAATTTGTTAATTAATTATGTTTTCTTGTTATATTTTCTTAATGTTCTCGTATTAATTAAATGCACGAATTCTTAGACCAGTTTCTTGAATTTCTTTGGTGTTTGTCTTTATTACAACGGTGGACAAACTTTAGTTGCCAAACTGACGTTAGCAGTGGTTGTTTTGTTTGTTCAAGATCGATCATCACAGTTTTCGTGATACAGAATTTAAGAGGGGTGGTTACTGGCTGTACCAGATTGTACAGAAACTATAATACAAAGCCAGCTTAGGTTTGTTCCAATTCCGGTTCTATACAGTTTACATTGAAAGAACTGCGTATGACTAATACAAGAGTAAATATTTTTACCTGTCCTGGCTGCTTTTCTATTTTAAGCAAATGGGTGGCAGCTGGATCTTGATTTATTTTCATCTCTCTTTTGTTTTGAGTTTTTTTGCTTTAACTTGCTTTATATTTTTCTTCATGGTTGTACGAATATAGGGATTTTCTTGTTTCCATCTTTATATCAATGGATAGTTTGGGATGGGGTGATGACTCACACGTTTTCACAAACTCATCGTCATTATGGAGCAATCAACAACATGATAGTGTGGATCTTGCAGAGGACATCTTCAATCAAATTCAAGAGCTCCAAAAAGCTCAAGCATCAGTACCACAGCTGAATTCAAATTCTGAAAGAGTAAGTGAAATGATTCAAGAGTTACTAATACTACTTCCTGCTTTAGGATTAACAAAACTGCTGTTTCTTCAAACTATTGAATGTATTTAATTGAATCAATGCGTGCTTCTGAATTTATCGCAGCACCAAGAGGTTACAAGGTTGGTTGCGAATACAATGCTTGCAAAATCAGGAGCTGGAACAAGTTGCAATTGGGGAGATGTTTCAGCTCAAGAATTGTATTCTTCATCTTTGATCAATAAGTCTTATGCTGCCACTTCCATTAATGATTTTGGCATCAGTGACCAATCAAGAATCATCAATGGTTTACAAAATAGCAAGGCTGGAGTTTCGACGGGCTCTCTCGAGTCCCTTGATTGCTTGCTATCAGCAACCAATAGCAACACAGACACATCAGCTGAAGATGATGGGATTTCCATGATTTTCTCTGATTGTAGAAACTTGTGGAATTTCGCTCCCAATAGCAGTGCTGCAGTTTCATCTGGAGAGTCCGAGAACAATACTTGCAATCCAAGAAATAAAGAGATGCATTGCCCAGTAAGTGAGCTTGATGAAACTGTCTCTCAGTGTTCTTCAGATCAATATGGAAAGAATAGAGTTTGTTCGCAAGCTAAGCCTGTTTCTACAAAGAGAAGCAATGATCACAGTGAGCTGAAAGTGGGTATGAAGCATCCTCTTTTTGATCTTCTCCATAGTGATTGTTCTAATAAAGAAGGTGGTTTTAGACTCATTTCAGAGAATCCTCCAAAATCAAAGAAACCCAGGTCAGATAAGCGTCCAAGCTCATCAAACATCAACTTTCAGCAGCCAAGTTCATCAATTTCTTCTTCATTCGAGGAGCCTGATCCAGAAGCCATTGCACAGATGAAGGAGATGATATATCGAGCTGCGGTTTTTAGGCCAGTGAATTTAGGCTTGGAAGTTGCGGAGAGGCCTAAGAGGAAGAATGTTAGAATATCAACTGATCCGCAAACAGTGGCAGCAAGGCAAAGGAGGGAAAGGATAAGTGAGAAAATTAGGGTTCTGCAGAGGTTGGTCCCTGGTGGTAGCAAGATGGACACGGCATCAATGCTTGATGAGGCTGCAAACTACCTCAAGTTCTTAAGGTCACAAGTCAAGGTACTAGAAAACCTAGGCCACAAGCTTGACTCAGTGAATTGTCCACCACCACCAAACGTTGTTTTCTCTTCTTTACCATTCAACCACTCTTTTCCCATGCAAAATCACTTTCCATTCCAAAACCCTAATCATATTCACCCCTCTCAAAGCTAATTAATACCAAGAGCCAAAAACAAAAAAAAAAAAAAAAAAAGAAGAAAAGGTCTTAATCATAGTACTCATCATCATTGCCATTGCCAATGATTAAGAATCCAAAGCCCATTTTCTAGCCTAAAAACAAGTACAAAAGCTAACCCAAGATCCTTTATGATGTAATCTTCATGATTACATTCCAATAACCCAGATTCAAAAGCATTCACTAATGATAGGTTACCTAATTATCAGCATCATCACACCCACGTTCCATGAGATAGAGATCTAGCTTTGCAAAGTCTATCTCCCCTACTGTTTTTGCTGTTTCCACTACATGTACTATTAGAAAATTAGTGACGACAAAGTTGAAGAAAGAGGATGGAAATAGCATCGGTTAATATTGGATCACCGTCTTTCTTTCTTTCTCTCCTGCATAAAAAAAGGCATGGCAATTATAACACATATGATTAAGATCAAGGGCTAGAAAGTGATCATCAGTACTTTATTAGCTTGTTGTTGTATGGTGTATTGTTTAATGTATTGGATGTACTTAAAAGTTCACTTTGCTTGGAGATCTTTATGATCAGGTTTGTTTAATTTTGTAGTAATTTGTTAGTTAACCAAAGCAAGAGACATTCTCTCAAGAGATGCGAGCCTCTAGTCAGTAGTCAGTGGCCCTGTCTCCTTGATTCAATCCAAAGCGTGCCCTTGAAAATCACCCCCCAAGTCTCATTGCTAAGCACATGTTTATGCTTCTTTTTTGGCAGGTCTAGTTTGTTAAAGTTCCTTTCTGCATTTTAAAACTGATCTAATACCTAGAATTATACTCTACCTAATGATATTCATCATCATGACATGGGCTCATCATAAACTTTTGATTTTTGGGTTTCTTTTGTTAGAGTTGAAAAGTGGTTTTGGATTGGATCAATACTATAGTGTTTTGTTTTGTTATATACTATATTTAGACAACATTCGGTTGTGAAAGGAACCTAGATCTCTCCCCTGGTTTTTGTTTGTATACAAATTTCTCAACTCGATCAAGTTGACAAATGCATGATGGCCATAATAAGGTTCCAAAAAATAACCGATTTGCGTGTAGAAATCTCATGAAAACTCATGTTTTGTTGGCATTCACAAGTGGGAAATCTGAATTTTGTTGAAAATTTGTGATATGGTTCTTGTATTGGTATGGACAGCTAAGTTCCTAAATTCGATCTAATGGGAGATCAGCTAGCTGACTGTTGCTACTGGCTCAATCAAACGGCAGAGCCATCTTCTTAAAAAGAAGAATGAAAAGGTAGCTAGGTGCATTGCTTGATTTGTTACAATTAGCTAGCTAGCAACATTCAATGGACCTTGCATTATTGGTCTACTATATATATATATATATATATTAAAATTGACATCAGGCACCACAATGCTGACTTCCTAAAGTATTTCCTTTTGCCTCCTTTTGCCGCATGCGGACTTTGAATAATTGAACATTTGGTTTTCAGTTCTCGTAGCATTTTGAGGAGACATTAATATATTTTGTTCAGCTTAGAAGAGATTTTTTTTAATCAAAGTTTTTTAACTTATTTACCAATCTACGTAAGAAATGTATATCCTGTAATTGTTTTTTAGTACTAGCTTTCCCACTCAAACAATGGCAAGATCATAGTATATGTGTATTACACTAGATATTATGTATAAATGATTAAAAAAAAAAAAAAGGTGAAATACCAAGCTCAGGTCCCAGCAGCTATAACTTTTTTTTATTATTATTATTTTTAAATTTGGATCAGTACTTGATGATCTACTAATCCAACCAATCGAATTTGACAAATTTTAATAGGATCTCTTGCATATTCGGTTATCGAAATCAATTTAAACACATAAAGGATTTGAATCATAACACCGCTTCAAAGTATAATTAAAAAGAATGAAATTTCTTAAGTTTATTTTTTTGAAAATAAAAACTGATGGATGAAAAAAGGTCACCACTTATCGTTTTGCTCAAAATAGAAGGGAAATCTTATATAATAGTCTTATAAAATTAACTTAACAAAAAATAACCATCATTGAATGGATAATTTATATATTAAATAATAATAATAATAATAATAATAAAAGAATTATGAAAGATGAGCCTTAATAAACTGAAAAACAAAGGTGCGCCCCTAAGTTATTGGTTAGGCCCATGGTTGTTAGCATATAAGTTGGCATTCTGTGTAAAAAAAGGGCCTACCTTAGGCTGGGCCTGTCTATGTTTAATGAAAGAAGGCTGGTTTGATGAGCTGAATCAAGATCAGTAGGACCAATTGGGCTTTTGAGTTCTAAGACAATCGTTTCAAATATGGCCCATTGGGTGGAGGATAGAATAGTTTCAAGTTCGATTTTGGAAACGTGGGCTGGAAACCATACTAGAGAGTTTAATGGGCTGTCCAAACAGATCCGTCTTCACGCAGCTCCCGATCCGTAGTTTTTAATTTATTTCCATACATTTACTACGCCTTGCGATATTACGGTCCAAATCACGGTCTAATTTTAATTTACACAAAAACCCTATTTGCAGGGAATGAATGCATATAATTGAAATCTAGTGTAACTTGGTCTGCTATGTTTCCTAATCTATTTTTCAGTTCTTCCCTCTCCACAGCTTTTAATTAAAATATTTGGTTTTTTTTTTTTTTTATAAATCCCAAAGTTACCCTTTATCAATTTTAAATTATTAAAGAAAAGAAAATCCAACCTAGTGTGAGCTGAGAAAAAAAACCTAGTCCTTTTGTAAGTCGATGGTAAAAAAAAGAGTCAAGGAACTAATTTGTAAGTTGTCAAATATGAAGGATCAAGCTATAATCAAATTCAAAATCCAAGGACTGAACAATAATTGACTAATTAAACTAAGTTGATTACATCTCTCTCCTTCATACACAAAAGCATAATAACACATAAAAGTGGATTAACACTTCTCAGGTTCTCTTGATAATTAAATTTAAATATTGAATTCAAATTAAAATAGCACTAGTAACAGCTTAACTTTTTTGTTTTTCATTTATCGGAGACCCACGGGCTTTTGGATTATACAATAAAGAGTAATGTTTCTCGTTATATAATTACCAAAGGAATTTAAAGTTACTAAGAATAGAATGTTGTTTGACTGAAAAGCTAACTAGATACATGATCGTTAAACTAAATCTGTTTGTGTTTCAACTTTTTCATTATTGGTTAACTGAATTCAGAAGCAATGATGAGATTTAATCCATAACAAGAAGATCATGAAGATAATTCAGACATACAAGTTTGAAACCGAAACTCATGTTTTTGCCAGTTTAACTTACTATCTTGCTTCAGGAATCACTCCAGTACCCAAATTTACAGAGACCATTTCTATTGTTCCTTCTGACCTGCTGATTCGACTTATCTCCATAGCCAAACACTGGTTCAATTCCATAACAATTTGAGTCACGACTGGTCTCTTGACTGAAGTTCGAGATTCACAAGCCATGGCTAGTTCCGCTGCTTTCCACACTGAATCAATAAGATAATCTCCTTGCAGTCTTGAATCAACAATGCCTTTAATATCACCTCTGCCAAGCAATGAACTAGCCCATTCAATTATATGAGCACTCTCTTGATTACTGACGGTCACTGGTCGGCTTGTTATTATTGCCAATAACACAATCCCAAAGCTGTAAACATCACTTCTCTCTTTCAGCTTGTTTGTGACATAGTAGCTGCATAAGGAAAAAAGAAAAGCAATTTCAGTGAATTATGGTTGCTGGGTCTGTAGTGTCACGCTTTTCGTTTTCGGTTCTTATGGCAATAAGGCCACAAGACAGAATTTGTGCTTTTTAAGGCTCTTCAGTTAATGACATAATTATGTTCAGCAGCCAAATTAGTATTGAAAGAAGAGTAACACACCAAAGCTTACTCTGGATCAAGGTAGTATTCTTTGGTGCTACCTTCAGTCGCAAAGATCTTAGACAGACCAAAATCAGCTAATTTGGCCCGGAAATTTTCATTCGACAAGATGTTTGTAGGCTTCAAGTTTCTATGGATGATTGGTGGCCTAAAGCCATTGTGCAGATACTCCAATCCTACAGTACAAGTTTCAAAATATGCTAGTCTAGTTGCAGTGAAAACAAATAAAAAAGGAAATGACAGCAGAGAAAAATAGAAGAGGGAAAAATAGAACTAAAGCAGCTGCTAGTTGACCTTGAGCTACATCCATCGCTATTTGAAGTCTCTCTTGCCAACTCAAGAAATTTGCATTTCTATCTGCATTGATGAAGTCAATTCCTTTACGATAGTTCTGTTCTTTAAAGGAGCTTTAACCAGCAGGATTTGATTATGGAAGAAAATAGTTGGATGGAAATAGAAAACAATCTAACAACTAGAAGTTCTTTTGAAATTAAAGAAATGGGAACAGATACCTGATAAAATATCCTCCAAGTTTCCATTAGTCATACACTCATAGATGAGTGCGTTGTTCCCTTCTTCATCACAATAACCCAAATATGCTATCAAGTTTCTGTGATGAACTTTTGTAAGAAGTTTGGCCTGCAATTTCCAGATGCACATTAGCTCAGCATAAGTGATTGCAAGGCTTTTGTATAAACTCATTCTCGGATCGAGTTGATGTTTAACATACATCAGCCGCAAATTTCTTATATGCTTGAGCGAGTGACGAAGAAAAAATCTTGACAGCAACTTGAATGTCCTCTATATAGCAAGCTGTTGCAAATTGTCCCTTACCAAGAGTCCTCTCAAAGTTGGTTGTAATAGTGAGAACATCAGAGTACGCAAAATGTCTTTCCTAAAACTTCTATGTTTTAGAATGTTCAATTATATCCCCTGCATTTGCAGCTGATATCAATCTGACTAGCTATAGAATCTGTTGTGATCTTGGAACTTTCAAGCCTTACAAATTAAACTAATGTTTAGAATACCTTGCTTTCTCCTCTTAAAGAACCAAAATGAAGCAACTGCAATTAATAGAAGGATAAAAACTGGAACAATTGTTGCCACTACTGGAACAATGACCTTGCTCTTGCAGCCGGATGAATATAGAAGTTTATTTTTTTCCACACTTGCAGGGTTAAAGTCAATGACAGAAATGTAAGATGTGGATGTTATGGATAGCATTAATCAATAACTTCTTCCTCTTTTTTTCTCAATCAGATACGAACTAGAAACTCAAATGTAAGAATTGAAAAATTATTGATCATAGAAGGCACTAACTTCAATGTGAGAGTTCCGTTCTTTGATCTTTCTATTAGTTCTGATGGAACTGAACCTGAAAGCTCATTTTCGGATAAGTTTCTGTAGGCAAAGAAATAAAAAAAAATAAGAAAAGAAGCCTCGATCAGTATCAAACCAATAGAATTTTTTTTTCTCTGAATACAGAACTTACAGGACTCGCAGGTATGGCAAATGAGACAGAAAGTTAGGTACAGAACCTCTTAGACTGTTGTTCGACAGATCCCTGTAATAAGAAAATTATGTTTCCATTGAACGTCAAATTTGATTGAAGAAACCATAAGTTACAATTTGGAAATTTTTGTTTATAATTGACTGATATACTTACAGATACTGTATAATTTTGAGATTGAATATGTCAGGCGATATCTCCCCAGAGAGACCACTTGAGGACAAAGTCCCTGATATGTAAAACATTTCCATTAACATATAGCTGAAAGAAAGATCGAAATTTTTCGAAACATCCTTGACTCAAGTATTGGAGTAGGGTTTTGCCTCTACAAGGTCAGGGCTTCAAATGCCCACTCCTCATCCTATAGGCTATATATCCCCGTAAACCAAAAAAAAGGAGGGGGGGGGGGGGCTTCAAATGCCCACTCCTCATCCTATAGGCTATATATCCCCGTAAACCAAAAAAAGGAGGGGGGGGGGGGTGTTGGTTGGGGGAATATGTTTTGTTTAAACAAAAGCATAATACTTACAAGGATGTGATTCTGGGTGGATCATAATCATCATAGCTACAACTGAGACCTTGCCATATAGCAACTTTTGGTGCACACGGATCACCTTGCCAGTACCTCTTCACTTTGTAGTATGACTTGATATTCATAATAGCATCAGCTAGCATAGAGGAGAAAACAATCAAGTTCTTTAATGATGGACCGGAGATGAAAGGAAAAATATGAACAGAGCCGTGGGCTGTAAATGAAAAAAGGAAAAAGAAGTGCATATTGTGACAAGGACAAACCATCTTCTTGGTAAGTTTCTGATTGTAAAAGTTCTTGTACCAAATAGAGTTCAATGGCATTGAGCAAGGGTGGAAGGGTTGAGTTTTGGGTTTTATTGATCTCGACATGAAATTGTGCTGATCCATTCAACACAGATGTGCTACTTATTGTAGCTGTCTGCAAGTATGTCGGAACAGTAGGTCCATGCCACAACTTTCCATCGATGAAGATACTGAATTCTCTAGTCTGGTTTGCTTGTAGCTCTTCAATTTCAGCAAAGTGCAAGTAGAGAAAGAACTGGGAGGTGGGATCATCGCGTGTCAGAAAGAACTGTATGGTATTGCTATTGTTGGCTAGGACTGCTGCCGTCTGCATGATCCTAGATGGGATTCGATATTCGTCGCGATCCGGTGATTCAACAGTATAGCTAGTATTTTTAACTTCGCATTCGTTAGGCAGATAAGGTGACCAGAAGCGATCATACACATCGTCTGAAAACCTAGATGATTTGTTGTTAAGTGAGAAATTTCTATCTAACACTGCACAGTTGAGTGCAATATATATATATATATATATTTTATGAAAACATAAAAGAAAATAGCTCACCTGATCATATTTGAATTGTTCAAACCACAATCCAGTCTGTCCGTCATTAATTCAGTTGCATTGTCATAAGTGTTGTAGTCCAAAAGCCTTAGCTCCAAAACTGATATGAAAGGTGTTCCAAAGCCTGTGTTCACAAGACAGATGTCTATATAATCTGACGATGGAACATGTAAGTTCTCTGTAGTAAATCTAGTGGATGCATCATCTAATATCACTGTAGCCCACCAATTGACCCCTAGATACAAATCAAACTTTTGGCACTTTATCTTCATTGTCATAATTACCATACAAAAAACCTGCTCGTATCAAATACTTGTTATTTCTTCCTTCTGCGGGCTTTAAAGTGTAACAAGTTTTGGTTCCATCTGGGAAACTTCGGAGATTGAGATATTGCTTGTATATGTTAGTGGTGTTGATCTCAGATGATATATATTTTCTTACACCCACATTTTTGTAGTTTGCATCTGAAATGTAATGAATTCCTGCGCTCTCATCTCTATAGCTAGAACCTTCTTCTATGCCACAATCTATACTGATGAAACCTGAAAGAGAGGGAGACATAGAGAAGACTTAGTTCCGTGATCATAAGAAATATAGCAATTCAAATTGACGAGATTATCAAACCTGACTGATTCTGAGCTTGAACTAGAACTGATAGAGAAAAGGCACCGGACAACACTGCAAAGAGGAAAAACTGGACGACCACTTCCATTGCACTACCGATCAGTTTAGTTCCTGCAGTATTCTTGTTGGATTTAAGCTTATAAACAAAACACTCCAAGCTTCCCTGCCATTTCAAACTTTAGTTTTCTGGATTCAGGTACTTGGAGTAGCCATTTCAGCGATAAATAAAAATAAAAATAAAATAACCAATTGAAAGTATCTGTAACCAAGGAAGAACATTTCTTGATAGCAATGTCTGTAGAGAAATTCTGCATTGATTAACATAACAAGGGGATTATTCATTTTTTATTTGCTAAGGTTGCTTTAGAGTACGTTGACTTAATTATGTTTAGAATACTTGTCTTTATCAATCCCACTCTACATGTTTGACAATTGACATGCAGTTAACTGGATAATCAGCGATGTGAAAGAAGTTGAAGACAGATCGATCTGCATGTTTCTGAGAAATGAAAAACAAAAGAATTTATTAAAATAAAAAAGAAATATTTGAGTGTAATCATAAGCCAACAGAAAAGAAATCGCCGACATTCTTAGTTTCATCTAGTTATTATGCCACCATCCCATCTGTCATTTAAGATAATCGGAGGCTAGCATTATAAAACTCATCCTTTTACGGACAGGTTTCATTTACAGAAAGTCTAAACTACTTTTCAAGTGAAACAACAAAGACAAGGAAAAAAAAAGAGTAGTTTTAATAGACTTGCTTGTAAAGACTTGAGGGATAAATATCAGTTTTTTTTTTTTTTTTTCCTGAGGCGACCTACTAGCAGAGCTTGAATCTTTCTGGAAATAACAATTTCAGTTGGTTTTTTTGTTGCTGATGATGCTGTTTAAGAACTCACTTACCACCTACATTCTTTACTATCAACTTATCTTGCTGCTATGGTCATTTTATATCAGAGTCGAAAATTAGGATCTCTAAATCTTCAATGATATGGAGGACTCGGTCATTACTAGCGAAGCTTGACAGAGTCATCATTGATAACATCATTATTTCATCAAAGCCTGGAGTCGATCCAGGCTCTGGGCTACGGGAAAAAATAAAGGGTGCTCTGCCTGATCATTTCACAGATTTTTCCTTTTTTCCCTAAATGCTTCAATTGTTCTTGCAGAAATGCTGAATCCGAGATCCTGACTCAATTATCTGACTAACAAACAAGTAGTCCCTTATGACCATTATAAAAGACCAACACATTCCAATTTGTTAAAACTACAAATGTCATAATTAATGTGTCCTTTCTTAGTCAGAAATACAACATTGTAGAAATTGTTAAAAGAATTGACTTTGAAGAACAATTTTATTGAAGATAGAATACTGAATATGAAACATAACACAGATCCAACACTAGGCGTACAGCCTTTAAATAGGCATTTACATGATGAACACATACCCACTTCCTGCAAATTCTAACTGATAAAAGCTCTAAAACATTGACACAACATTTTGATATTTGAAGCAGATTCTTTCTTTCTTTCTTTTCTTGCTAATCGTCTTAATTTAGCAGCAAAACCAACTAAAAAAGATGATCAGAAAATTCAAAAAAAAAAATTCAAAATAGCAGAAATAAAAAGAAGATGATGATGAGCAGTAATTTACACGTAAGTGAAACAGGAAATTAAAGAAGAAGAAAAATTAAAAGAACGGACATCGCCATTTCTTGTTGTTTTTTATTGTTAAGCAAATAAGGTTAAGCTTGATTTCTTGAATTGCAAACTCAGGCAGGAGTCAAGGGGAAGAACAACCTGTTGCTCCAAACCAGACTCGATCCTACGATATAGGGTCATGAGAACTAAAAAAGGAAAGAAACATGAGAACAATAGCTTGACTTCATAGCATAAATATGAGAGAGGATGACATGCAATTTAAAAAGGAAATTAATTACGTGAAAGGAAAAAAAAAAAAAAAAAACTTTCAACGCTTGCCAAGGCTAATGCAACAAAGATAGCAATGACAACTATTTGTATTGCCCAAAGTCCAAGAATGGATGCATGAACCTCCGACAATATATATAATAATACCAAAGGTCATTTTACGGATCAAGGTAGGATAATCACATCAATACTAATGTTTGTCTATTAAAAGGAAAAAAATAACCAAATCATTATTATTTTGCATAAATGCATCTCAAAAAACTAAAATGACTTGATATTTTGTATGCATATATCTAAAAGAATTAAAAAAACTCCTTAAATAACACACTTACACGTTATTTTAAATTTCAAAGTTAATTGCCTACTTATGTACCTTTGGCTGTTCTATTGGACCTTCTTCTTAGTCACATCTAGAAGAAATTTCTTTTGTTACACTGATTGTATTTGCCTGGCATGTATGAATCGATTAAAATTAAATTGAAGGAATGTATCACAGGGAAGAAATTGTATTCTTTGACTCCTATAGACTCTCAACCACTAGATAAAAATGGACCAAATCAATAACAGTAAACACAAAAGTTCACCAGCAATAAAAATGGCCAAAGACCAAGTCGGACCACGTTGAATCATTTCCAAGAGTACTATTTGCTTTTCTGTTGGATATATTTTGCGTCTTTTTACTTCTATTGGAGCTGAAGCAAGAATTTGAGATGTTATTTTTTTTTTTGAAAGTTGAATTTGATCAATTTGCATTCTAAAACGTAGAACGAAATCAGTTTATGCCTATAAAAGATTTACTGGAAGTTTCATTGGGAGCAAAGAACTGGGGATATGTCTTCTGGAAAGAGAATTGCAGCGATGTGGGGGTACCGAAGCTTGGATTCTCCATGCAGAAACAAATGTAGAGGGTAGATCTAGCATGATAAGATGAATTCGCATTAAACAGCTGCCTTCTTTTTTTCCCGGATTCTCAACCATGCATGCTTTTGTTCTGATACACCGGACATTGCATTTCCATAATAAAGCTCTATAAGAAACTTTGTTCCTATAAAATTATGGCTCCTTGGTGCCTAATAAATTGATCCTCTATATAGATCGAAGTTGTTTTTTCCGAATTAAAATGTATTGTTTCTAGTACTCCAACATGTTTTCTGTTATTTGTTTTTATTGCAAGAAATGTCCGTTTCATAGCTATCAGGGAGAACAAGACTTTTAGCAATGTCATTTTAACGCTCTAACATCTTATTATTCCTTCTCTTGTATGTACTTACAATAATTTTTACACAAGCGATAAATAGATGATCATAAGAGGATTACAGGAACTAGTAGAAAGCATTAGGCAAGTCCAACACCCAACTAACCTTGCTTTTCTTTACTTTTGCCACGGAAGTACTATCTCACCAACGGAGACATTCCAGTATGAACATTCAGACACATAAATTCTGGAGAATCTTGTGATAGACTAGTATCAATATCACTCCCCTCTCTTGTTCGAGCCATTTCTAATGCCAAACACTCATTTAATTCTATCACCACTTGATTCATTGTTGGCCTTCTAGCAGAAGTTGAAGAAACACAAGCCACTGCTATTTCCACAATTTTCCAGGCTGAATTAATGTTGAAATCTCCTCGTAACCTCGGATCTACTATGCTCATAATGTCCCCCTTTTCAAGCATGGAAATAACCCATTGAGTTATGGGAGTCTTATACTGGGCTTTCGGAATCACTTCTCGCCCAGTGATTATCTCCAATAGAACAACTCCAAAGCTATACACATCACTTTTTTCAGTTAACCAGTTCGTTATGTAGTACCTGCAAAACAATTAAACATATGCATAATGCAACTCAAACCCTCTTTAAATCATGAAACTAAAGGTCCTAATTTTTCTATTCAGGTAATTAATGTTTGACATATGAGAATGATTGGCAGATGCACAAATTAAGCACTTACTCAGGGTCAAGGTATCCTGGGGTGCCTGCAACAACTGTCGATACATAAGTCTCCCCTTCAACTGGGAAAGTTTTTGAGACCCCAAAATCAGCCAGCTTTGCTTGGAATTGTTCGTTTAATAATATGTTTGTGCTCTTCACATCTCTGTGCACAATTTGTGGATTGCATCCACTATGCAGATACTCCAATCCTGCATTTCAAGTTTTACTCATACTAGCTGTTATCTGATTCTCTCTCTCTCCTTTTGTTTTTCCATTCTTATAACAATTTTATTTTCTTAATTTTGAATGTTTGTTTGACAACCAAATAGACTTAAATTCCTAACTATCATTTTTTTTTCTAATTCCAAAAAGATGTTAACTTTTCCATCTTCACAAATGATTTTGACACTATGATTTGTGCACTTTCAGTGATGAAACAAAAAGAAAACAGAAATGATGAAAGTTATGCAAACCACAGGCTTGCTAACCTTGAGCTGCCTCTGCTGCAATTCGTAGTCTCCCCATCCAACTTGGGATGTTTTTATTCTTATCTGCTCATGTAGGAATAAAATGACGATGACATTTTTTGGACAAAAGATTGAATGAGTGCATGCCATTCTACTAATGTTATGGTAAGAGTTCAGGTATTTATTAACAAACTTGAGAGATAATCTTTCAAGGTGCCATTAGCCATGTACTCATAAATGAGACCCAAGTTAGCGCCTTCATCACAATACCCAACAAGGCTAGTCAAGTTTCTATGATGAACTCTCAAAAGAACTTTAACCTGTAATTGAAATTTGAAACAAACAAATTCCAAGAAGGAAAAATCTTAATGTACTCAAATGAGGAGTTGAAGTTTTATTTTGATTAGATATCACTACTTACGAATACCTCTGCTGCAAACTCCTTGTACCCTTGAACTGATGATGGGGACAGCATCTTGACAGCTACTTGAGCACCGTCCAAGTTGCCATGGTAAACTGTCCCAAATCCTCCTTTACCGATAGCTCTTCCAAAGTTGTTGGTGATTTTTAGGACCTCTGAGTATGTGAACTGCCGTCTTTTTGCCTCCACTGGCTCATGTGTCCTGCTGGTTTTAAGTTCCACTTTCCCAGCGGATGCTGCAATTTCAATGAGTTTAGAGGGTAGTATTAACTGTGGAAATCCTGTGTAATTTACTTGCATATTTGAACCTAATAAATTTTAAATCTGTACTTCTACCTCCACTGTTGGAAACCAAACTTTGTTTCTTTTTTCTTTTAAGGCAACGTAATATGACTGCCAGAGCAGTTGTCAGGAGAACTAAAGCTCCCACCGTCACCGATGCTATTACTGGAACAACAGTATTGTTGCTTTTCTTCCTCTTTTCCTGGCATGAAACTGATGGACAAAGTTCTGGATTTCCGTCCACACTTGATATGATATACAAGTTAAAAACTGAAGTCAGAGTTCAAATTATTGCAACATGCCTTCAATAGGCTATATGAATCAATAGTACTTCAGTTTATGTACTCATGTTTATTTTTCAAGTTTTTTTAAAGAATAAGGAATTAAATGTATGAAAGAATGTGGGAAATCTTCATGATCTTTTAAAATCTAAATTGTTTGAAAAAGAAAGATATAAATTGTTTTAGCTTTAGAGCAAGAACAAATATTGATTAACTAGGCATCATCATAAATGGAAACACGGGTTCGTGGGTGCCAGACCTTAAGGATAGTGAACCCGTTTGATTTTGATGATACAGGGCGGCTGGAATGGCTCCTGTGAGCTTGTTTCCTGTCAAGTTTCTGCAGCAGCATGGCAAATATTATTACCCTTCTGATATGGCGTTAACATGAAATTTGCCTTAAGTTTTCATCTTAATAATCTCACAGGAATTTCAAGGATTGCAATTCAGATAGGAAATCAGGCACTGATCCTGTCAACTTATTGTTTGATAAGTCCCTGAAATTGCAATAGACAAAATCATAAGAATATTTCTTTCGTGCAAATATGTCAATCATTCATGTGGTTTGATATGAGATCAATATACTGACAGAGATTCTAGCAATTCCAGATTGGCAATATCAGCGGCAATCTCCCCCATCAATCCACTTGAAGACAAATTCCTAGCAAACAGTTCATAAATATTAGTAATTTAGAGATGGAATCAAAACTAGCTATGATTACTAAAATCTATACACTTACAAGGATATGATTCTAGGTGGAGCAGTAGGATCATTGTAGCCGCTACAATTAAGACCTTTCCACACATAATCTCGAGGAGCGCATGGATCTCCTTGCCAGTTGCTTCTTATTCCATAGGTTGACTTGATACTTGCGATTGCGTTAACTATTATATTCAACATGGATAGGCCGTTAAATTCCAAAAGAAGCATGCTAAGACAATGGACAAGACTAACTGTAAAAATGCATATATAAAAATATACGTACCATCAGCTTGTTGTGTCTGTGATAGTGGGAGTTCAACTACAGAATAAATTTCAATTGCATTGAGAAGGGGTGGAAGGGTTGAACCTCCGGGATTAAAGATTGAAAAGTTATATTTCCCTCCAGTCTCGGCTGATGTGCTATACACAGTGGTAGTATCCAAGTAACTTGGAGTAAGATCTGACCGGTATTCTCCATTTAAGGTAATGTTGAAGTATCGGGACTGGTTGGCTTCAAGCTTTACGATTTCAGCGAAGTGCATGTAGAAATAAAATTCTAGAGTTGTATCCTGAGGGCCTATATTGAATTCCATGGGCTCGCTGGCATTTGCTGGAATGTCTGCACTGCTCATGACAGTAGACGGTGGCTGAAAAGAATTGTCAGTACTTGGGGTCTCTGATGTACTGATCTCCGCACATCCGTATAATGGATCACTAGGACCCCAAATACGATCATAGACATCATCGGGATACCTGAGACATTTCCACAACATATTAAGCTAGAAGTACATACGGAAATTTAACAACTACAAAAATTTCCGAGTGCCTGAAATGTCTCACCGGACTGTTTGATTGGTTGACGAACCGATGTCCAACCGTAAGTAGGACATCAATGATCCAGATTGCGTTACATATGAGTCATTTTTCGAAGGCCTTATTTCTAATGCTGATACAAAAGGTGTCCCATAGCCCGTATTCACAACACAGATATATACATAATTCCATGTAGATATATTTATAATCTCTTTGTCTACAGTATCTGATGCATCCGATATTTTCACAACATCCCACTTATTAGGCCCGAGATGCAGATCAAATTCTGGCAGTTCATTTTGGCCATCATAATTTCCATACATGAATCTGGCTCTGATCAAATATTTATTTCCTTTGGTGACTGTTACATTATAACAATGCCTGTCACCTTGAGGAAAGCTCCTGACATGCCATAGCTGTCGGTCATAGCTATCTGAACCGGAAGCAATTGCAACTCTCTTACTTATTCCAGTTTCTATGAGCGATTCATCGGATATGTAATTTAGGCCAGTTGTGGCGTCAGTGTAAGTAGTATTTCCTGGTAAACCACAATCTACATTAATGAATCCTGTCACATGGACACAAAGAGGCAGCTTTATTTAGTTTTGTTAGCTAGTTCAAGAAAATTGGAACTGATATAAAAGATTGGGAGATATAAACCTGATGGATCCTGATCCTGAGCATGAGCCAGAACTGCAAGAGCTAAAAAACCCAGAAAAATGAAGAGGAAGTGAGACCGCATCTCCATTACCATCCACAGGTTCTTTGAAATTGGTGGAGGGAAAAAAACGCTGAGGGTAAGAAAAATCTTGATTGCTAACGAGAGTAGTTTAGAATTAAGCTTAGCTTTCAAATTAAATTTGCGCAATGACAGGTTCAAGCGAAGTGGACGTAATTTGCAAGTTGCAACACACAGTACGTTTGTTTGAGGATAATTCTTCCATGCATTTACTTTAGGCTGAAAATGATATCTATCTACTTTCAATTTTTGGTCATCTACTTGATTAATTCTGAATGAAACCAGCTTTCAAATTAAATTTGTCAGTGACTGGTTCGACGGAAATGGACGTAATTTGCAAGTTGCAACACATACGTACTTCTGTGTGTGATCAGGCTAATTCTGCCATCTATTCACTGAAGGCACATACATCTATCTATCTACTTTCAATTTATGGTCTTCTGATTAATTCAGAATGAAGACTAGCTAGCTATCAAATGAAATTTCCGCAATGACTGGTTCAAGTGATCAAGTGGACGTAATTTGCAAGCTCCAACACATCCATACGTTTGTGCTAGTCTAATCCTCCCCATGCATTTATTTTGGGCTGAAAATGATATCTATCTACTTTCAATTTTTGGTATATTCTTCTAGGGTTAGTACATGAGACTTAGTCAAAACTAGGGTTTTTTTTATTATTATTATTATTGTTAATGAATGAGTGATGAATTTTATGATTATTGATTGTGCATAGGATGCTAAATTTACTATATATAAAAACTTGTTAGTTCCACTACTTTTTAAAAATGACTATTAACTTAATTAATACCAGTAATATGGACACCTACCGAAATGGTCATGATAAATAAATAAATAAAAAAAGGTTAAAACCAATATAATCAAATTTTTTATGAGTAAATTATAAATTAGTCTCTCTAGCTTCAAAGAACAAATTAAATAGTCTCTCTTGTCTCAAAAAACTAATTATTTAGTATTTATATTTAAAATTTTTTTATAATTTTGCACATTTTCAATTTATTTTGATTTTTTATTTTAAAAAATTAAAAAATTAAAAAATGTAGAAGAATTGATGAGCATATGATGTTTTATGAAATGAAGTAATATTAAATTAAGCATAATAAACAATAGTTAAAAAACTAAATAATTAACTTTTTAAACAAAAAGGATTAATTAATTTATTTTTTGAAAATATAAAGGCTAATTTCTAATTTACTAAACTTTTTAGTTTGTCAAGATTGTCATTTATCATGGTTTTCTATAATTTTTTTAAAAATTTTTTGTTCAAAAATGAGATATTCGAATTTTGAAAACTCGAAAAAGAAGAGGCCTGATTGTCCTTTTTTTTTTTTTTTACCAAATATGCACAAATGAGGCTCTTTAAAATGGTGCTAGGAATACTTCAATATTTTCCCACCATGTACATAAAATATCCAGAAGAGTATAAACAGCATTTGTAAAAGTATCAGATGCATGGTTTTGTTGTTGTCTGACAAGAGGACGTCCTCAGTCCAATTAGCAAACTAAGTATGGCAGTTACTTTTGCAGACATGATTGTGACTTTGATGGTGAGGTTGCATCTCAGGTACCTAACCCGATGAACAGCCTCCGTCAAAGAAATTCTTATTTCTCTCGCAGGTAACTTCAATTCACCAAACACTATTCAATGCGGTCTTGACTATTCAGTAGCATTTTGGATGCGATGACTCTCAACATCATAAGAGGAGGGTATTTATTAATTATTATTCACAAAGGTAGACCAAAGTCAACAGAGTGTTCGAGAAACAAAAATAGGCCCTTTTTATTATTATTATCTATAGACACAAATATACAGAAACTCTTGAACATAAGCTAGTGTGTGTATCGATTTGGGAAAAAAGGAGTTAACCACCATTAGAGGTCAAATGCAAAAGCGTTGGTTCGAGGAAAATGAACTTCTTTATTCGCTTACGTAAATAATCTTGAGTTTGAATCTTTATGTAAGTAAAAAAAATTTTAGATAATTATCTCTATCTTAACTGTCTGACAAAATAGTAAAAAGGATCTAGAAAATTGATAGTTGCATCTAATTGACACTTGTAGCAAAAACATGAGATGAACTTTGTTTATATATGAAAGTGAGCGTGTTGTTTCGTTCTTTGGACAGGAAACAGCATACGCTTCTTCACCACCAAGGCATGGAAAATCAAGACCTGTGGATCTATATTATTCTAGCTGGACATACGGCCAGGTAAAGGAAGATTCCCATCTGGGCCTATTTTCAACTTTGATTTGTTGAAACTCTTGAACATATTTGCACTGTCTTCATTAGAACAAAATGGCAAACAAAAACGAGAGCACTAAAGTAGTTGATGGTAGGACTTTGGACTGCTAATAGCAAGTGGGATCAGTTTAGCCAGCGGTCGGGGATGGGTTAGCATCTAGTACTGAGGAAATTTAAAGAAATTCCAATGCAAAAATGGAAGCATTAGGTAGCATTAGCAACAGCTAAACATATATAGAATCAGGCATTCCCGTTGGTCACTTTATGCTGGGAATCTAATATCTTAATGTTCAATAGTTTGATTAGGTTAGGCAAAACATGTAGTGAACACTTTGATCGGGCACAAACATCCATGATGCATCACAGTCCACACACCTAAGTAAAGCGCATGATTGATAATCAAGAACCCAAATGTTGAACGAGTTAATCAACTCTAGGATTAAAGATTAATATATGATCAATATTCAAGACAAACGATGTGACCAAACTGGGCACCAAAACACCAGACTTCTGAACCCATTTAAAGGCCAAACTTTAAGCGACAGGCTACAAAGCTTCAGCTAGGAATGCCCTCCCAGGCTGCCTATTAGCAAGAGGCCCATGGCAACCTAAGAATTTTGCATTAACTCCATCAGGCATGATCCTGTTCTCCTGCTTCCACTTCATATAATCCTGTCTGCTAAACTTGGTAAACCCCCACTTGCGACTCACTATAATCTTCTGTCGGCCAGGGAATTTAAATTTTGCTCTTCTGAGAGCCTCTTGTGCATGGTTTCCATTTGTATCTTTGCATCGAACAGAGAGCAGAACCTGCCCAATGCTAACCCTTGCACAAGTCCCTTGGGGCTTCCCAAAGGCACCTCTCATACCAGTTTGGAGCCTATCTGCTCCAGCACAGGAAAGCATCTTGTTGATGCGCAAGACATGGAAGGGATGCACTCTAACCCGCAGATGAAATGCATCTTTTCCTGCAAACTTAGCCATATATTTGTTGCATGCAATCCGTGCAGCTTCAAGGGCTTCGCTTGACACATTTTCTTTCTCCCAGGAAACAAGATGCACACAGAAAGGGAATTCATCAACCCCTTTCTTTTTCATGCCCACATCGTAAATCCTGATCTTTGGATCGGGAACTCCTCTGCAGTACCTTGACTTGGGATAAGGCTTGTTTTTAATCTGCCGGTAGCACCGTGCAGGTCTTCGACCCATGATGCCTTCCTATTATTATAACAAAACAAAAACATCAAAGATATCAAAAACCAATTCTCACCTAGAGATCGAACCCAATTTCTGCATACATTGTCAACAACAACAACAAAAAACAACTCCCTCAGAACCAAAAGTGTTTTCAACATCTGCATTCAGACAAGGCTGAAACTTTTTTATGAAGTTCAATCATTGGGAGTTTCGCAAGACAGAGACGTAACATCTGAGTATAATAACCCACAATGCCAATAATAATAAGGATTGTTGCAACTAAGAAAATCCTTAGGAAAAAAAAAACCGATAACTTTTAATAACCATGGAGAGACTTTCTCAATACAAAAACTATAATTAATTTTAGAACTCCTTAAAATGGAACATATAGAGACATATTGAGCAAGCTCCCTCAGAAATAAAGGCTAGTTTTCAACATGTAAAATCAGACAAGGCTGAAACTTTAATATAATGTTGAATTTCAATCATTGGGAGCTTCTTAGAAGTACGAAAACAACAGATTTAGAACCCATCATGGATTTACAGTGAATAACAAGAAGCAAACACAAACAATAAAAAGATATTCAAGCATAAATGTACAAAAAATTGGGTTTTACGTTTGAAAGCGCTACCTGCTTTTCGAGTCAAGCCGAGAAGGAAAATGATGTAATGGCGACTCTTGTCTTCGACACCAAATACCCCTTTTTTTATACAGCTTTGGATTCGCTTCGATAATGGCTGCTTCAAACCCTAATGTTGTTATAATGGGCTGGGCTTGGATCTTGATGCTTCATAATGGGCTTAGGCTCTGCTCTTAATTCCTCTACCACAAATCGAATGTTTTACTTTTAGAAATCACTGTACAACCAAAAATTTTAAGTACTATTAGGTAAATATCAATTGCATAACCAAAAATTTTAAGTACTATTTACCAAGTGATGGGGTTCGAGCAATCACTGACGAGACTTAATAAATATTTTTATTATAATATTTTATGTATCCATTTAAGTGAATTTTTATGAACTGAATTTGAATCCAAGTACTTCTGCTAAAATTTACTAATCATAGAAAGGAGGGAATGCCAAGTTTTGAATAATGAAATATAAATCATTTCATTAAAAAAAAAATCCCATTACTACGTCATAATTGGTCTAAAACATTAGATCAATAAGGCCATAAAAATAATTTTTTAAAGAAAAACCATAATTGAGTGAACCCAACTTTTGACACAGGCAAATAAAAATGATCTCACCAAAGTTTCATAGCATGCTAACTCCATCATTCGGCATAAAACATTTACACCCAGACTATTATATGTCACAGTCCTAGCCTTTCATCACATGGTGACAATGATAATAGAAGTGGAAGAGACAATAGTTAGAGAGTCATGAAAATGATTATAAAGTAATAATGATTACATTGATGATAAGTATTAATGGTGATGGTAACGATAATAATGAGATATCAATAGCTATTTTGATATATATTAAGAGTTTATTAGTTTTTTTCATATGCATATTATATTTTAATTCTAAATTTCACCCTCTTATATTATATTTAAAGGTTCTAAATAATTGATTTAGGTTTTATATGTGTGTGTAGAACCAAATGCTTTGGTAGATTACTGCTTACGTACTGCTCATGTTTTTTTTTTTTAATTTGTGATGACAAAATCATTAATTATTGTTTTTCATATTCATATAATATTTTAATATTTAATGGTATAAAGATATCTGTACTTGTTTATTTAATTTACATATTTCAGTATATGAAAAGAAAAATTTAGCGATTGTTCTTAAAGAACACGAAAAAAAATAACACAATAAATGTTAATTATAAAAGTATTTAAAACCTGACATTTAAATCATATATATAAATATAATTCGGTGTTTTAATTCACGTTTGAATTATCAAAATTGTTCCCATTAATGAGGGAGTCATATACTAGTGTGAAAATGGACGCTCGTTTTCTTGTGGTGGAGGAGGTTTGGTGGTGGCACTGCTCACGGTGGATGGATTACTCTGCATTCATGTTTTAGTTCTTTATTTATTTATTTATTTTTTTGGTGTCGTCTATTAGTATTTTTTATGTCAATTGGTATTTAATGAGAATAAATAGGGTAAAAAAACAAAAAGATATTCATATCTATAGGCTAATTAATCATTATCCATTAGGATATTGATCTAAAGAGTAATTAACGGATTGGGGTAGTAAAGACGACGCCACTTTGTTACTCAGCCACTCCATATCCTAAACGGAAATCCATATTTGATATGGAATTCATTTACGCGTGAATTTTCAATCTTCGTGCAGTATAAATCTATAGATGTATAGCACATTCCTCAAAAAGCAAACTTATATATGCTAAATTTTGCTTTTCAGATACATTAACGATAAAGAAAAGAAAAACATCTTGTTAGCTACGACCTAACCAGTACCAAACTCTTCAAATTGGGGTAATGGAGAGTAATATGATGGTAGGGTATAAATTCAAACCTAGTTCTATAGATTTGCTTTTTCATTATCTGTGGAAGAAGATGAGTGATCAACCACTTCCCTCAAATGCAGTCATCGAATACTGTGATCTTTATAACAAAGAAAAAGAAGAGTGGTGGGAACTGTTCACAGAAAACCAAAAAGAGAATGTTTACTGCTTCACGAGGTTGAAGAAAACGGCTCTAGGAAATTTTAAGAAAGGTAGGGTTTCGAAGAACGGTACCTGGAAAGAATCCCAGAATAAAAAGATTTATGTTCGTTGCAGTGGAAAGGTCTCGCTTGTTGGCTTCAAGAGGTGCTTTAAGTTCATACCAAAGAGAGGATTCAAGATCCCTAAAGGCAAAAAATTGCTTATGGATGAATATTGCCTCAGTGATGACTTTCTTAAGAGGATACCACCGGTAAGATTTTTCATAATTGATTCTTGTTTATTAGCCTTATCAAATTTAACTTTTTCCACGCATATATCCTATGAATTAAATAAGATAATAAAAAATAATTTAAAATCTAATGCTACATAAATGCTTACATATTTTTGAGTAATTAATGTATATTGCGGCTTATAACATAGTTCCTTTTACTTATTTTTAGGACTACAAGCTAGCTAGGGTTAATTGTATTTAATAATTTAGTTAATTAACTAATATAGTTTTCTATTTAAACAATACATTATAATAAAATCTCATCCATTAATATTTTTTTACATAATTATTTCAGAAGCATCGTAATTATGTGGTTTGCCATCTTAAGTACCAAGAAGATTCATTGGCAAAAAAACCTTCTTCTGCAACGACTTCAGTCTCAATGTTGCCTTCTCCGACGAGGATTGCACTAAGAGATGATCATGATTTGGTGGATAATCAACGGCAATTTACACAAGGGAACACCGTTGAAATACAAAATCAAATGAGAAATGACGATGGACTCTTATCTTGTTTAGTTCCACTATCAATTCTTTTACCACAGTCTGCAGGAAATTCATCATCAGCAACATCTGGAGCTCATCAATATGTGAAATTGGTCGAAAATAATCAACACCAAACTGAATTGTCTACAGGTATATATATATTTTCTCAAGTCTGTTCACATATAGTAAATAAAATCATATCTATATATTTTTATTCTTTACTTTCTTTCAGGGAATTCGAATGCATTAGGAGAATACCAGATGGTGGAGCAACAATTTCAACACATACAAGGGAACAACAATTTCGAACAAGAAGATGGTAGCAGCACGACGGATGGACAATATATTTCTATGGAAGATTTATCAAATATTAATATTTCATTCACTGAAGAGGAGTTGTTTTAATTTCTCACCAGAAGATTAATTCCCACATCTCATTAGTGTCGGATATAGAGTCTATTGACTAGAAAATGTTTAAAATTTCCTGAAATTATCAATATCACTCTCACGGTGTTGACAAACAATAAAGCAGTTCCTTTGTTTTCTTATCATATCAAAGAATTTGACCATATTTTACTGTACTTTAATATTAGTATCTAGACACTGCAAATTTCATCTAATGTCATGATTTATTCCATTTATATTATCCTGTAAATTTTGTTTATATGCATGTGTGTGTATGTGTGTGTGTGAGAGTGAGAGAGAGAGAGAGAGAACTACTCCACAGAGTATATAGAAACAAATGCTATCTGCACTTGGCTCCTTTCCAGATTCGAAGAAACAGAAATGTCCATTGAAGTTTACAATTATCTTAGCTAGAGAGAAACTGTTTCTGAATAATGCTGGTGTATTTCAGGACTGGGAAAATTTTGGGACCGAAAAGAAGATGAAGTTCACAAGGACTAACGTGCTAGATTGAATTATAGCTATATTGCTGATAATGTTTCTGTTTCTGTGTTTTCAAGTATTTCAGCTTTTAACCGGATAGTTTATTGTTATTCTGAAGGCAGAATATTAGTGAGAGGAGGACGCTATTCTATATATTGTATTTACAGATGGAAATTGAATTATGCATTTTTTTTTATTAATTAGGAGATTTATTTTTCTAATGAAATGTCTGCTGCATAGCTATCAGCTAGAATAAGACTTTTAATGCCATTTTAATGCTCATAGATCTTATTATTTCTTCTCGTACATGTACTTGCAGTTATTTTTGCACCAGTAATGAATGCATTATGATCATAATCATATAACAGGATTACATGAAACTGTGGAAAGCTTTGGCCAAGTCCAAGACCCAACAAACCCTTGCTATTTTCTCTTTTGCGACAGAACTATCTTGCCAAAGGAGACATTTCAGTATAAACATTTAGATTCATGAATTCAGGAGAATCTTGTGTCATACTGCTGTGCCTCTCTCTTGTTCGAGCCATTTCTGATGCCAAACACTCATTTAATTCTATCACCACTTGGCTCATTGTTGGCCTTCTAGCAGAAGTTGCAGAAACACAAGCCACTGCTAATTCCACGATTTTCCAGGCTGAGTTAATGTCAAAATCTCCTCGTAACCTTGGATCAACTATGTTTTTGACGTCCCCTTTTTCAAGCATGGAAATAACCCATTGACTTATGTGAGTCTTATCATGGGTTTTTGGAATTACATCTCGGCTTGTGATTATCTCCAACAGAACAACTCCAAAGCTATAAACATCACTTTTTTCAGTTAACCAGTTTGTTATGTAGTACCTGCAAAACAAAAGATATGCAACCCAAACCACATCAATTCCTCTTGGACCATGAAACTGAAGGATTTTTTTTCCTATTGAATTATTTTTTGATATATCATACATGAGAATGATTCAGAAGAACAAAGCACTTACTCAGGGTCAAGGTATCCAGGGGTGCCTGCAATAATTGTCGACACATGAGTGCCACCTTCAACTGGGAAAGTTCTTGACAACCCGAAATCAGCTAGTTTGGCATGGAATTGTTCATTTAATAAAATATTCGTGGTCTTCGCATCTCTGTGTACAATATGTGGCTTACATCCACTATGCAGATACTCCAATCCTGCATTTCAAGTTTTACACCATATTAGTGCAGTTTCTTCGAAGAAAGAAAAACAAAAATGCTGAATGTTATGCAACCCACACGTTCTGCTAACCTTGTGCTGCCTCAGCTGCAATTCTTAGTCTCCCCTCCCAACTTAGGATATTTTGATTCCTATCTGCTCGTGTATGAAAACAGAAACGGTGATGACATGACGGTAAAAAAAGATTGCTTGATGTTCTTCTAAGAATGTTATAATAAAGTTCAGGTATTAACAAACCTGAGAGATAATCTTTCAAGTTTCCATTAGCCATGTACTCATAAACGAGACCCATGTTGGTGCCTTCATCGCAGTATCCAACAAGGTTAGTCAAGTTTCTATGGTGAACTCTCAAAAGAAGTTTAACCTGTAATTGAAAGAAACAAATTAAGAGAACGAAAAATCTCAATGTATGCAAATCAGGAGCTGAAGATGTATTTTAATTAGCACTTATGATTACCTCTGCCTCGAACTCCTTGTACCCTTGAACTGATGATGGAGACAGCATCTTGACAGCTACTTGAGTATCATCCAAGTAGCCGTGGTAAACTGTTCCAAATCCTCCCTTGCCGAGAACTCTTCCAAAGTTGTTGGTCATTTTTAGGACGTCTGAGTACGTGAACTGACGACTTTTTGCTTCTAGTGGCTCCCGTGTCCTGTTGGTTTGAAGTTCCACCTTGCCAGATGCTGAAATTTTGATAGGTTCCAAGGGTAGTATTAGTTGTGGAAATCCTCTGCAATTATACACACACCTTTAAACCTACTAAATTTAAACCTGCACTTCTACCTTCACTGTTGGAAACCGTACTTTGTTTCTTTTTTCTCTTCAGGCAGCATGATATGATTGCCAAAGCAGCTGCCAGGACAAAAAATGCCGCCACCAATGCTACTACAAGAACAACAGTATTGTTGTTTTTTTCTTCTTTTTCTGGCACGAAACTGATGATTCACAAAGTTCTGGATTTCCGTCCACACTTGAATGATGTAAAATTTCACAGAAGTCAGAATTGGAATTATGGCAGCATGCTGCATGTTTATGAGGGTATAAGGATGAACAATTATATAGCTTAAGTCTAAACCTTTTAGTTCTCAATTTTGTTGAAAGAAAATGGAAACGGATAAAATTATGAATTTGGTAAGTTTTATGGTCCCTTAAAACTAAAAAATTTTATAGAAAAAAATCAATAAGTTGTTTATCTGTTGACAGAACACAAATGGACTTAATATGCATCATTATAAATGGTTCATACTTCATAGAAACCAGACCTCAGGGATAGCAAACCACTTTGCTTTTTTTTATACAGGTCAGTTGGAATGGTACCTGTGAGCTTGTTTCCTGTCAAGTTTCTGCAGCAGAATAGAAAATATCACCCTTCTGATATGGTGCTAACATGAAAGTTATATTTTCAGTTTTAATAGAAAAAATCTCACAGGAATTTCAAGGATTGCAATTGAGATAGGAAATCAGGCACTGATCCTGTCAAGTTATTGTTTGATAAGTCCCTGAAATTGTAATAGACAGAATCATAAGAATATTTCTTTTCGTACCAATATGTTAATCATTCATGTGGTTTGGTTATGAGATCAAAATACTCACAGAGATTCTAGTAATTTCAGGTTGCCAATATCAGCAGCAATCTCCCCCATCAATCCACTTGATGACAAATTCCTAGCAAAAAGTTCATAAATATTAGTAATTTAGAGATGGAATCAAAACTAGCTATGATTGCTAAAATCCATACACTTACAAGGATATGATTCTAGGTGGATCAGTAGGATCATTGTAGCTACAATTAAGACCTTTCCACACATAGTCTCGAGGAGCGCATGGATCTCCTTGCCAGTTACTTCTTATTCCATAGGTTGACTTGATACTTGCGATTGCATTAACTGTTATATTCAACATGAATAGGTCATTAAATTCCAAAAGCAGCACCCAAAGACAATGGACAAGACTAACTGTGGAAATGCATATATAAAAATATACGTACCATCAGCTTGGTATGTCTGTGATATAGGGAGTTCAACTACAGAATAAATTTCAATGGCATTGAGAAGGGGCGGCAGGGTTGAACCTCCGGACTTAAAGATTGAAAAACTATATTTTCCTCCAGTCAAGGCTGATGGGCTATACACCGTGGTTGAGGACAAGTAACTTGGAGTAAGATCTGACCAGTATTTTCCATTTAAGGTAATGTTGAAGTGTCGCGACTGGTTGGCTTCAAGCTTTACGATTTCAGCAAAGTGCATGTAGACATAAAAATCAAGAGTTGTATCCTTAGTGTCTATAAAGAATTCCATGGGCTCGCTGGCATTTGCTGGAATGTCTGCAGTGCTCATGACAGTTGATGGTGGGAGGAAAAGATTTTGGCTTTGGTAATCCATGGTCACTAAGCCTGAGGTCCTGATCTCTTTCCATCTGTTGAAATGATCTGGCGTCCAAAGACGATCATAGACATCATCAGGGTACCTGAGACATTTCCGCAACATAATAAGCTAGAAGTACATGCTAAAATTTAACAGCAACAAAAAATTCAGGTTGTCTGAAATGTCTCACCTGACGGTTTGATTGGTATACGAACCAATGTCCAACCGTGTGAAGTACACCAGCGATCCAGATTGCGTTACATATGAATCATTTTTCAAAGGCCTTATTTCTAATGCTGATACAAAAGGTGTCCCATAGCCCGTATTCACAACACAGACATATACATAATTCCATGTAGGTACATGTATGATCTCCTTGTCTACAGGATTGGATGCGTTTAGTATTTTCACACTAACCCACTTATTAGGCCCGAGATGCAGATCAAATTCTGGCAGTACATTTTGGCCATCATAATTTCCATACATGAATCTAGCTCTCATCAAATATTTGTTTCCTTTGGTGATCGTTACGTTATAACAATGTCTGTCACCGTGAGGAAAGCTCCTGACATACCATAGCTGCCGGTCAAAGCTAGTTGAACCTGATGCAGTTGCAACACTCTTACTTATTCCAGTCTCTATGAGCGACGCATCCGATATGTAATTTAGACCAGTTGCGGCATCAGTGTAGCTAGTATTTGCTGCTAAACCACAATCTATGCTAATGAAGTCTGAAACATAAACACAAACAGACAGGCTAATTAGTTTAATTTCATCTTTAGTCTCAGAAATTTTTTACTGATATGATTTGAAAGATGGATATATATTAACCTGATGGATCCTGAGCATGAACCAGAAGTGCCGTAAGAGCTAAAAACCCAAGAAATGCGAAAAGGAATCCGGGCAACATCTCCATTACCATCCACAGCTTCCTTGGTGATCAGGAGAAGATCAAGATACAAGTTATGCCTCCCATGATCTAAGCTGTCAAAAAATAAATATAATTTACATTTAGATAAACTAGTATACTATACTACAGTTGGTGGTGACTTGGTCTATTGTTGGAACAAGCTTTAAGTTTATATCAAGTTTTTGTGGTCGACTTGTAGTTTGTTGCTCTTATTTAACTCTAAATATTCCTCCCAAGTACTGATTAATCATACCAAGTCAATGTTAAGCACAAAATTGAAACTGGTGGGGGTAAGAAACTGAGGGAAAAGTCTCTGTTGTTAACGCGTAGAGAGAGAAGGAAATGAAATAATTTAGTTTATTAATTTGAAGGAATCAGGTTTCAAATTTTGCTTTCAAAATCAAGACCTTTATCCACGTTAAGAAAAGAATTGAAATCAAGACCTTTATCCACGTTAAGAAAAGAATTGAAATCAAGACCTTCAGCCAAAATTGAATTAGCTTCGAGATACAGAAAAATTGATTCAAAAATATTGTTGAACCTAAATAAAAAAATATATATATATTAAGACCCTTAAACTTATAGTCCTGCTAGTATTTTGATAACCAAAGTCTTAAGTCTGGCCTATGACCACTTTGGTATCCATAATGCATTACCACAAAGGCACAAACTGCACTTTTCGTGCTCAATCTTAGTTTTTGTTTTTTTGTTTTTCTGCTTTCAAAACTATGGTTGCCGTAATATGTAAGTTTTATCATCTTTTTTTATGTCGAAACTGTTAGTTACTCTATCATTATTCTTTATTTCCTGCTCTAGAAAATTATTTAAAAAATAAAAACAAAAAATTGGAAACGGCAATGACACAAAATGGGCACAAGCTTTCTTCAAATTCGCTTCATGACTGGGTCAAGTGGAACATATTTGCAACTCGTTTGGACTGTTTTGTATGAGGATTCTACCATACAATTTACCTTAAACGACGATTTCAATAGGACAAGAACAGTAGAATGGTAGTTCTATTAGAAGAACAAGTGTGTGCTTGCGATAAATTTTATAATACTTAAAGAATAATTAATAATATATATAGTAGTTATTTTATTGATTTATTTAGAGAAAAAATATAAATTACATAAAATTACATTTAGATCTACTAAAAATAATAAAAAAATTTTCACATTCGTTCAATTTTTTCTTTAATTTTCTTTTTTCTATTTCTCTTCTTTTTTTTATATATATTTATCACTCTTCTATAAATAAATTTATAAAATAATTATTATACATATTATTCGTTACTTATTAAGAATTATAAAATTTATCGTGCATCCAAGTTACTCTTACAACTGCAGGACTAACAGCCGACCGTTATTAATCATTTAACCAAAATTTAATAATTAAACGCTTTCAATTGCCATGGTCAACGTAATTCTTTATTCCAATTTCTTCATTTGTTTTTTCTTGGAGACTCGATCGAACATGTAAAAGTCCACACCCACCAAACACACACACGCATATATATATATATATATATGAAACCTGCTTTCATGGTTGTTTCGTGGAAAAATATAGCAATATCAATTTCTCTACGGCCTAGCTTGTCGTCATATAGAATTTGACAATGATATGGGATAATGATTCAAATGGGAAGCAAGTATTAATTATTATCTAATATAAGTACCTGATGCAAATTTATATACACTCTTGTCTGAAAAAAATTGTCATACTTAGATTTTTTGTACCTAGTAAAAAATCATTAATTATTATGTCATATTATTTTATTCATAATTTTTTTAAAATACCATCATTTCAATTAATTATAAGTTTTTTATAATATAGAATTAAATAAAGGATATTAAATAAAAATAAATACATAGTATTTTACTAATTATTTTGAAACATTTTTAACACGTAAGGACTTAATTGAAATAAATTTAAAATTTGGAGCCAAAATATATTTTTATATAAACGTTGAGGACCAATAAAAGTTATAGGTAAAAGACAAAAATGTAGAAAACTTAATTTTAAGGGATAAAATTATTTATTTAAAAATTAAGGGATCAAAATACAATATTTTGGTAAAATATTTTAATAGATATTAAATAGAAGGTAAATCGGATGAGAATCAGATAAATTTTTATAATGTCATTTCTCAATGAATGAAATAAGATATTTTTCAAAATAAAAAAAAAATTGAATTAATAAATTGGATATCTGTCTATTGTCTATTACCATTCTACTAATAATGATGACCATTTCAAAAAATAATAATAATATCATGACAGTATAATATTAATTACTACATATATGTATAAAAAAAAAAAAAAAAAACTAATGGTGACACTGTTCATTTACTATAACAATGTTTTTATTTTTTTACATGGCTGGCCCCCTTTCTTTTTAAAAATGTTGCCCTTTTGGATCTTTTCTTCACTTTAGCAGTACTCTTTTTTTTTTTTTTAAACCTGCTCTCCTTTTTTTAAAAAAAAGCATTTCTTTTTTCTTTTTTTTTTGGTTTTCAATTTCTATATGTTCTCGTATGGTAATTGTTCCCCTCCTATGTGTGAAAATATAAAAAAGATCATTTTTTTTACGTACAATTTGACAATAATAGAATGTATATGATATTTTTTAAAATTTTAGTTTGAACATATATATCTGATTATATTATTTTTATTATTTAATATTTATTTCTTCAATTATTTTCTTTTTATTAAAATTCTCATCGAAATAATTTTTAAATTTTATATAATTTTATTTGTTAATACATTTGATTTTTTTATATATATATGCCTTTTGAAATAAAATTTTAGAACATGATTTTTTTTATTTTTTAAAATATATTATTATAATTTATATGATTGATTATTTTTATGATTTTTCAATGAAAATGGCATTGTTGCATATATAAATTTTGATGAGAGACAGAGTTAAAAGTGTATTTTAGATAATTTAACTTGATTGTTTTAAAAAATAATAATCGGTTAAAACATAATTTGGCTTGGATTTTTTTAAAAAATTAATAATTAGTTTTAAAAAATCATAGGTTTTATTTGGTTTTATATATATATAATCAAAATTTATTGAAACCAATTTTGTAGTAGTTTTTATTTAAATCTATTCACTTCAATATATTTTATGCAATTTAAGTGGGTTTTTTTTAGATTTTATTTATTTATTTTATATACTCGAGTCTTCTAATTACTATATATATATATATAGTTTTGTTATATATAAATTCTGATGAGAGAGAAAGAGAGCTAAAAGTTTGTTTTAAATAATTTAAATTATTTTTTAAAAAAATAATAATTAGTTTAAAAAGTTCACGGGTTTTATTTGGTTATATATAATCAAAATTTATCGAACCAATTTTATATAATAGTCTTTATTTAAATCTATTTACTTTTATATATTCCATGCTATTTAGGTGGATTTTTTTAATATCTTTTATTTATTTTACATACTCTAAATCATATATATATAGTTTTGTTACAAATTAATTATATCCGCACATATAACATCAATTATTTGTTATTTATGTTTTTCATATTCTAAAATTTATATTTTTAAATGAAATAATTTAATGTTTTGAAATAACCTCTTAATTATTCAAATACAAATTTTTATACTAATATTATAAATTATTTTATTAATAAATATATATAAATCCAACAAGTTTACTAAATATATAGATTCGATTTATATTGATCTTAATAAACAAAACATCTACTTGCATCATCGCATATGAATCATTAACCCTATGTATATAATGGTTGTCTCACCACAACGTAACGTGGGAAGAACTAGTTTCTTTTAATTTAGATAGGAGGAAATTATTATATACTACCACCTATCCATCACTAATTGATTGGTCGAATCGTTATATGAATAATTTCCTTTTTTCTCTCTAATGATGCGAATCCCCTCATATTCTAACATTTCAGTTGTTCCAGATTATGCTAAATCATTCAAGTTCTATGACTTGTATCTGTAATGATGCTAATCCTGCTTAATTTGACATTAAGCTTAATTATTCCCATTCTAATTTTTTCGGTTGTTCCAAATTATGCTAACCAATTCTGTACTTTTTTTTTTTTTTTTTTGAGACCCACATGACAAAGACTTTGGATGGTAAAAGGAAACAATATAAATCTACACCAAGAACTTGGCAGGAGAATTATTCATTGTATGCAAAGTCGTCCCGGAAGGAAGAAAGATGAAACTTAATAAGATCCCGCGTTGTGTAGCTTGAATACGCAACGTATTATAGCTTCACTTGCGTACTTGCTTTCCGTAGGATTGCTCACCTCGTAGGTGTACTAAATAATTGTACGAATCTATTAAAAAAATTATAAGAAATAAAACTAAATCCTACTACCCTAGTAAAACCTGTAATGAACAATGATTTCATATTTATATGGAATTAATAAATTTTCTATTTAGTACTCGTAATTTTAATGAGTCGACATGATCATCGAGATTATTTGTTCTTTTCTTGACTTTTTTTTCCAAATAAAAATTGATGCCGAGAGGAATTTAATAAATTTCTCTAAATATATCATACTAATATAAATGATGCATTTTTAAAATCGTCTAGAGAAAAATTTAGATGGAGACCATCTTTACTTTTGAGCCAAAGGATAAAAAATGCGATATTTAACTCTTCTTTTTAACTTAACCCTCCTTAAACATAACACCTTTTCTATTAATCTCCCCAATCCCCTCCCTTCTATTATTCTGAGTATCACAATATATATTTTTCAGTAAAAGTTTTAAGTTTAAGAACACCTCCTGCTTGGCTAATTAGTTTTGCGTTTTTCTTTTATTAATTGACGCTAGTTTATTATTATTATTATTCTATAAGAGTTTTATGATTTTAGATCTATACAACTACAAGGAGAATAGCCTAAGGTAAAACTTATTTTGAGCACAACCTAGATTGACATATATATATTCCTTGCATTTTTATTTTTTTTAACTAGTTTCTTGCACTGAATAGGTGTTCCTATATACATTGACATATTGTTCTATCTTCTTCTTTTAATGGTTTATTATATTGATAAAGTTAATTTATATTTACAATAAAGGATTTGAGAGGCGAAAAGAAGAGAGAAAATTTTATTACCATTTAAAAGACAACATGAGCGAAGAATGGTTTTGTGCGTACCAGCAGATAAATTAAAAATAGGTAAAAAAAAAAAACATTTAAATAAATGATACGCTAGAAGTAGATAATCTTTTACTTCTATGTCTCTGTTTGTGTGACGAAAAACAATTTTCATAGAAAAATCAATTTCTGAATAAGTTATTTTTTAAGAAATTATTTTTTTAAAAAATATTTTCTATTGTTTGACAATTACATAAAAAAACTGCTAGAAAATATATTTCAATATTTATTTGATGCAGAAAATTAAAATACAAAAACAGTATGTGATTGTTACATCTACAAGCTTTAAGAAAACTTCAAAAAGGCATATTCACAATTTCACAATATAAGAGACATTTAGAAAAAATTTAAAATTTTCATACACATTGACTTTAAAATTTTAATTTAAAAAATAAAAAATATTTTTTAATCATTAAACCAATTCATCAAAATTACTTGAGACAAAATCAAGTCAATATTCACATTTAGTAAAAAAAAAAAATTCTAAGTAATGATAGCCTTGTTATTTTGGTAACTCAATTAAGAATTCTTTTTTTTTTAGAAATTGAACTGATAATTTAGTCCAAAACATAGTTTTATAAACTATTAGTTATCATTTGTAGATAACTATTCATTTGGTTTCAAAAGATTAATGTTGGAATAATTTGTAACCAGTTATTCATTACAATTACCAATAAAGTTTTACAACTGATTAAAATTATAAATTATTGATTTAGTTGCAAATGAATAATGTTGAAAAAATAATGTATTTATTAATGAATTAATTAATTTTAATTTTTTTACAAAAAATTACAGCCATGTAATAATTATTTCAATTATTTAAGTATAGTTTAGACTGTGTTTGAGATAAAAGAAAAAAAATAGAGATAAATTATTAAAATATTTATTATAAAAATAATTTTAAGGTGTAAAAATAATTTTTAAGAATATTTAATATATTTATAAATAAAAAAATCAAATATTAGTAGAAATAGAGAAAAATAATTAAATAATTAATAAGGAATAATTAAAAAATAATTTGATATATTTTAAATAAAAAGAAGATAGAGAAAAACTCGTTAGAATGTATTGAGAGAGATAAATAACAGAAAAACGAGACAACTCATGAGAAGGAAAGCGTTTTTCTCTTTTTTAATTGAAAAATATTTTTTAAAAAGTACTTTATCATTTTTTATTAATTTTTTTTTCTAAATACAAAACAAACACATAAAAAAATAAAGAAAACAAGTTTATAGAACTTGAGGAGTTTGTTTTCCTCCGAACAAATACAGCTTCAGATGGTATAATATCAAGGTCCACTAGAACGTAAGTTGTAGCTGCATGAGTTCGATTGTGGGCTGTTTGTCCAATGTATTTGTTGCATGGGCCACGATTATAATAGAACCCAATATGTATATAATTAAGGGTACTAGAGTGGCCTGCATTCAAGGACATTAATAGTGTGGATTCATTTCTTTTTAGGCCAGGGGTGTCATGTACGGCTCTGCCACCTCAGCCCACCGCCAGGAATTGGTAGCAATTGGAAGTTTTTAGAATATATATATATATATATTTTTTTTTTTTTTTTTCTAGGAGGAGGTGATATCTTCCAAATACGCCATCACAGGGTGTTTTTTTTTTAAAAGAGATTCATGGGTTTTTGAGCTATATAATAAAGGATGATTTTTTTCTCTTTATAAACTTAATAAAATAACGTGAAGTGACTAGAAAAAGTTTATTTTTGAATGGTTTTACATCGTAAACATTATAAAGAAGAGACAACTCTAAGCACCTAAATTTTTCTTTAAAAAAATCAAAAATACAAAAAAAAAAATTGAAAAAAAGAACTGAAAAATACAATCGAGGGATGCAATTAAAAAAAATAAAATAAAATAAGCCTACAAGATGAGAGAATCAAACTAAATTTTAGCAAAAAAAAAATCCTTAAAAAATCAATATATAAACAATTAAAATAGGAAAGCTACAGATTGTATGGCTATACTTCTATATTTCAACTCAAATTAATTAGTTGTTGTTTTAATCGAAATAGAATGACGAAAATGAAAATAAAAATTTTATGCTCATGTTGTAGCTGTTTGATTAAAAATAAAAAATCAGATTTTGTAACTAACTATCCAAACAGAAGCAACAAAGGTTTTGCTAGGGTAATTACCAGGAAAAACATACGAGAAATGGATCTTATACTCCATGTCGTAAATTTTAAAACAATTCAAAGGATCTTTCGATCTAGCATTAGGGAACTTCCTTGCCTTTTCTAATGATAATGAGTTAATAAAAAATATGCACTGTGCATATTTAAGAGAAATGATTCAATCTGTGCTTTATACAATTAACGGGATGATTCTCTGATATCGCTTTAGGTCTATAATTTTGTCAATTTAATTTTTGATTAACGGAATTTTTTTCTCAATATGTCATTTTTTTTTCCTATTCAAACTATCATTATAGTCACGTGACTTTACATCGAAAAAAAAACCTTAGTATGACGTAGATGACCCACCCTAAATAAAATAAGTGCTCATCTATCTAAAAATTAAACTTATAAGTTATGTGAAAATCATTTGCAAAATTTCAGTTAATTTATTTGGCATGTCACAATTTCTATTAATTTTTTTTATGGAAAACTATAATGCAATATTTTAAAAATATGAAACAAATATGCATAATTAGGATAAATGGATTATTTTAAACATCTATGCTTTTTTATTTATTAACTAAACATACAAGTAAAGTGTAATATAAAATTATTTTTAAGACCTTATACAATAATTTAAGTTTTTGGATTAAAATAATTTTTTTTCTAATTAAAATTTTAAAAATAAAAATTAAGCACAAGGTGTTGATGTCTCCATACAAGTTTCACTCAACTTTTTAAGCTTTTAAATTGAGATAATTTTTTAAATTAATATTAAAAATTAAGGTTATGGTATCTTTGTACAAGTTTCGAGTTTTTTTTTTTTTTTTTAAATTCAATTAAGTTGTTACGTTCCACGATGATATAAATCATACTGCAAGAGCTACCGCAAAAAGTTTAGTTTTTCCCTCCCTTCCAATATGTTTGTTCCCTTTGACTTTTCAAATATCTATATATATAAGCCACATCATCCAAAGTTGCTATAGCATGCCAGGAATGTGTTTTTGTTTGTCTTTTTATGATTTTTCACAAAAAATTAAAAAACACAATAAACAGGTATAATCAAAAAACTAAACAATGCATAATGTATTTATACAAACATTTTGGGACATTAAATAAATAGAAACGTGGACAAATCGAAATTAACATGAACAAACAAAATTAGGACGAAGGAAGTCTGTCTTTCATTTTAGATTTTAGAATAAGGAAATAGCTTATGTACTTAATTATACCCCTAATAATAGCTTATTGAGCCCTTTTATATGATCATTCTAATTAGGAATTATTTATCCGATTATCCTCTTCATGCCTTATCCTAGAGATATAGATCCGTTTTCCTCTGTCAAAAAAAGAAATAGGGAAAGTATCAGCTAAATTCAATTTCGCCCGGTTATGGGATTATATTTCAAATTTTTCTCACATTTTGGTCTTTTATTTTTCAAATTTTTTTTTTAATCGAGACATTCTATTTTTTCTAATATGATCGAAACTTTCTATTTTTTAAAATTTTTTATTTCAGATCCTCTTTATAATTTTATCAATCAATAATTGATACTTCTTTAAAAAAAATTAATTACTTTATAATATCTCATGTCGACAATCGATTAACAACATTGTAACAAAAGCTTTGAAACCAAAAAAAACTTGAAGAATAGCAAGTCTCAATTGAGGAAAAAAGTAAATAGCCTCAATAAAAAAAAATAGTACAAGTATCCAAATATAGGAAAAACCATTTTATTTTTCCGGAGAGACAAATAGAATTAGGAGAACTAATTAAAGATTGATCCTTATTCTTAATTTTTATTAAAAATAAAGTTTTTAGATACTCGAAAATTAAAGACTCCTAACTAAAGAGGCTGAATATTTATTAGAAAGTAAATAGAGAGTTTATATATATATATATAGAATTCAAAGATGGTACAATTAGGTCGGAAATCGAGAAGCGAGTTGTTTGGAGGGTTTCCTAGGGTAGTAGAGTGAATTTAGATAAGATTGTAGTAGCGAGTTAGTTTAGCGCAGGAAAGTTTCAGCGGCTAGAGGATTTCCTAGCTTGACTTTAATTTTACTTTGTCTCTTCTAAAATATATATCTATGAACCGATTATCGCTTCCGTTTTACTTTGTACGGTTTGTGTAGGAAACAAATAGGACTTTATATAGAGTGTCGTGATAGTTATATAGTCTATCTATCTATCTATCTATCTATCTATATATATATATATATCTTAGTGGTTTCGAAGATGCATGCTTTTGCTATATCGTATCCTATTATCACAAAAGTTTTCTTTTGGCAAAACCGATATCGATTACCGAGAAGGATATGGACTCAAAGGATGGAGTTATGATGAAGACAAGCGAGTATGAGACAACAACAAGCAAATGCATTGCAGAGGAAATCGAGCCACGGTCGAACCAACCCATCCGCAAGTTACCATGGATGATGACTTACGAGTCGATTAAGACATATAAAGATGTTATGATGATCGAATGTCTGGATAGTCGAGCCATTAAACCATATGGTCGAGACTCGTTAGGTATGATTTTTATGATCCAAAGAGGGAGGCCTCTTCGACATGAAGGTTTGTGCTTCTAAACATCATTACTTGCTTTTATCTTTAGATCGGGAAGACAAGACTACATCTTTTTCGCTTAAAATCCTTTCACCAAGGATTTTATTAACCTACCCGATTTGGGTTCGGATTTCAATACAGCCACATTCTCGTCGATTCCAAGCTCTTCGAATGTGTGTTCATTGCTTTGACCCGATCGACGATAATATTAGCCTAAGTACTCGCTTCTTCGGCGATCAAAAGTGGAAAACCCTTGTTTGTCGCGGATCTTTTCCTCCAATCGGAGTGTTGTCTTCATGAATGGTGTTTTCTATTGCCTTTTTGGACAGGGAATATTGGGAATCTTTAACGCATCTCGGCAGGACTCGGAGAATGCCGGAAAATTTGAAGCCTCTAGATGAAGTTTTTTTGCAGGAGGAAGTTGAGCTTCACATGCCGGAATCCGAGGGAGAGCTCTTGCTTGCTCGTTTTGATAAGGTTCGTGATTGTTTCGAGTGTATTCAACTTGGATAATTCTCGGATAGCTCGGGTAAGGTTACAAAGCTCGGAAAATCGAATTTTATTTTTTGGATGTAGCTCGTATTTTAGCTTAACGAGTTGAGAAAGAGGATAAATTAGTCAATAAATTATATTACCTCCAAGGCAATGAAGGTTGCAAAGTTTATTCATCGAAGAATGGAGAATGATGTATGAGTGAAGAAGTTAATATATATCATTGTATCCGAAAGAATAAATACCTAATCTTAGGAATTATCCGGATAGAACCTCCGGATCCCGCAAGATACATGTACTTTACTTGATCGGTTTTAGTTTTTGGCGAACCTAAAAAAAAAAGTCTCCGGACAATTTAGATCGGTTCCAACATTTATATTTATCAATTCCATCCGAAAATTTATGGTTAGCCTTTTTTTTGTTTCCAATAATATCTTCGAATTTGTTTCTCTCTTTTGAAGTTTGGTTTGGTCTCGTGTGTCCACGCCTATCTAATTTTCTTTGTTATTTCTACAAACGTGATTAAGATATACATTTTACACCACCGATAGTTGGAAGTTCCAAACCTTTATAGCTTCGCAAACTCGATGTTGCAATGGAATCGTTAAAAAAAAAAGTTTAAATTAAATTTAATGTAGAAGAAATAGCTAAATAGTGAGAATTTCCATCCTTATATCCAAAATTTCGTCGCTACGGTTTGGTTATGTCACTTAGATGCTTTTAGCGATGGATTTTCTAATCCGTCACAAATTAGCAACGGTTTAGCTGTACCATTTTGATGCATTTTCTTTGTTATTTTGTTGCAAACAGATCATGTAGTAAGCATAAAATCAATCTTCAAACCCTCGGTGAGTAGTTTTATTTCCATCGTAAAAATTTTATCACTAATGGTCACCTTCAATCTATTACTGATATTTGTGATTTTTGTTTCCATTCATTGAGAGTTTCTTTTTTTTTGATAAACGATCGTTGATTTTTCGATAAATTAGGGATTTTTTTTTAATTTTGTTAATAGGTGTTTAAATATTCCATCATAATAGTCAACAACTAAAATAAAAATTATAACATGAAATATTATTGAATAAAACTAAAATAATATAAAATCAAATACACACACACACACACATACATATAATTTGATGTACAAACACATTAAAAAGAATAAATTAAAAAATTATCCTCGACATCATCATTTACTACATCATGTTTCGAAGTTGAGCATCGAGAGGAAATACGACTCCTTGGTAGTGGTAGGGGAAGGGTTAGAAGGAGAGATGTAAATCCTACATGATTCCTTTTACAACTACTTCATATGATCGGTATGAAGAAACTACCGATGCAACATTCGTTGTCAATCTTGGTTTTGGTGCAGGATCGCACTATGGGTGAGTAGGTGGGGCGAGTAAAGGCATTATCGCTAGCAATATAAAAGTGTTGCCCACGTTTCCGGGGTTAGAAGCATTACTACGGCCACAATCACGGACATTAGATCTAGTCGAATTGGATGCTCGGGTGGCGACGACCCAAACCATAAGTCATCTACCTACAATATCACATCATATAGTTTAATAACGACTTATTGTATCATAAAATCATAAATTTTATATCTTTTAATCATTTGGCATGTTTTCTCAAAAATAGATGAAAAATATATGAACTAAGTTTCTTGTAGCCATATTAGCATATGTGGATAAGTCCATTCAAAATTCTATTCTAACATAACATAATAGGATAACTTGGATGACAATATGAATTAAAATCCACCTTGAATTATACATGGCTATAAATTAAAATTCTTTCCCTATTCAAGTGATATGTGGTCCAAATAATCCCAAAATACAAACACAAATCAAAACCAAAAAATCCCTAATCTTCTTATCTCTTGAATCTTCAACCCATCCTCTCACCCCTATGAATATTCGGCAAAACATAATAAAAAGTATCTTTCCAAGAAGAACTCAAGTTATAATGATCAAGAGAGATTAGGTTTGTTCTTGTATATAGTAATTACAAACTATTGATTGTGACAATCAAAATAGTAAAAAAAAATTATTGAGACAATGATTTTGTAAGGTTGCTATTAATAACGTGTGGTTTGAAAGCGATTGTGAACAACGTGGGGGAGGAGATCGGGTGATTTGGGTGATTGTGAAGGAGCTATAGGTTTAGGTGTGAATGGAGATCGAGCATTAATGGGATGGTGACTATCGAGGGTGACGAGTAGTGGTTCAAGAGGTGGATGAAACTTGGCTATGAGTTTGACGACGACTTAAGTTTGGTGGTGATGCTTGGTGTGCTTTTGGTGGCTACTTTATGGGTTTTGAGGTTGATTGGGTATAGAGTGGCTACTTGTGAGGTCGTTGAGTTTGGTGGTTTTGGGTTTATCTAATGGTGGTCGGCAACCGATGAGGTTTTTTTTTAAGCCGGAGTTACAATAGCTTTGATGGGTTTTCACGAGGCTAGGTTAGCAAAGATGAGTTGTTGTAAAGTGCATGAGGTCAAGTAGTGTTGGCTGGTAATGTGAACTAGTAGTGGCTTACAAGAGAGGGTTAGATTGTGGGCTGGCGGAAAGGGATGTCGACTTGCGACTAGGCCTTAGAGTTGCTTAGGGGAAAATGAACGATCATAAAGACAATTTGATTTTGTTGTTCAAAGGTTATGGGTTTCACTTTACTATCCGATTCTCATAAGAGTATATGAATATTCCATACAATTACTCGGTTTGTATAGTTTGAGGGTTCATTTCTCTTTTTTAGAGAGTACTATAATGCATTTTTCTTTTATAATTTATGGTAATTATCCCTTTGTGTTTATTGATTGTTGATAGGTCTAATTAAGGTAGTTCTATGCTTCTATCTTCTTCCCCACATTTGATGGTTTGTATTGTTTGAGGTTTATTTCATAAGTTTGAATCTTTAACTATCATGGATTTTGAATTTCTAGATTTTTTTTGTGCGCAATGGTGTATTCTATAAATAATCATAATTTGAATAATAATAAGAAGCATTTCTTCTTCACTCGATTTTGTTGAATATTCTACACAATTTTATTGATTTTTGACAAGAAAGGAAGGTAGGTCGCATGTCGTCCGAACAACCTTAATTTTAAAATTTTTTGCCACGTGTCATTGTAAATGGATTATAATCCATAATGACATACTACATGTCATGTCAAGTCATATAAACTCAAAATTTTGGATGGAATATTAATAAATACAAAAAATAAAAAATAACTCAACTACCTCTACAAATGAAATAAAATTTTAGTAGAGTCTCTCTTGTAAATTGGACATTTTCTAATTCCAAGAGACTCCACATGTGCAAAAAAAAAAAAAAACTATATATCCGAAAAGCACAACACAACATATGCAAATATTTTTAATTATTCATCATCACACAAATATCAACAAAATCATATTCAAACAATCAAATGAATCAATTTACACATGCTCGAGATAGACACTTGTATTGTATAATCCATTAAATTAAATTTCAAACTCTTCCTCTCAATTCTATTGCGGATCATTAAACTAATCTTATTTCTCTTCAATTTACGGAGTTCTCTCGACCCTTCAAGTTTGACACGCTACGGCGTATCTCAGCACATTTCAACAATCATTAGTAAAATAAATGCAATATCAATTATCACCGCTAACTTAAAATTTTTCTATGACATAAATTATAAATTAGGAGCTTCAATGATTTACCTTGCGAATAGGAGTAGTTAGAAAATTGCTAGAGTGATTGGAGAGACTTGAGCAATGCTACTAATTAGTCGGAACAAATTTGTATATAAATAATTAATATCACAATTCATACAACAACTAATTATTTATCTATCAAACAAATTTGATCAAAAATTAATTTATCAATTTTAAAATCCTAAGTTCAAATAATCAAATATCATGTAAATTTTAAAATAACACTTTAATTTTAAAATTAATGTGTTATTTTAAATTCAATAACTTAATTATCAAATAACTCCATATTTATTTTTAATCATTGTATAAAAAAATTACAAACTTAGAATTTTATCCTAATTTATCAATACCTAAACCTAATTAATTCAAGATAATTTTGATAAATTAAAAATATTACTCAATTAAATTTCAAATAACATAAATCCAGTTTCTTAACATATTTACCAACAATTAATCACATATATACAAATGGATAAAATTTCAAACACTCCAAAAATAGCAAAATATAAAGCAATACACAAAACTCACACAAGTTAAATATAAAATATGGATCAGGAGAAAGACATATATTTAATTGAATTGATTGTATTCTTTTTTGTTAGTAGAGAAAGAGAGTGAGAGACACACAAAAGGCATAATAGACTCGATAGAGAGATGAAATCATGGTCATTTTAGGTGAGGAGACAATTGGAGTGGCTAGAGATTGATGAGAAGTAGAGGAGTGGGATTTGTGAGGTGTTACGGGCGACGACGATGCGGGATGGTGGCTACAATTAGAGGAGGAGAGGGAGAAGGAAGAAGAAAATATGAAAGAAAAAGAATTATGCCAATTTAGGGATTTAAATTTCGAACGACTACCTCTTTTTATCAAAAATAGCAACTATTATTGGTAAAGTTAATGACAAAAAACATCTATCACTGGTTTGCGACAACATAGCGAGATTAGCAACGAAATATTCCCTTACTAACCGGACCAAAAAAATTAAAAAAAATAGCAACAAATTTAAAGATCCGTCACTCGATCGTCTTCACAATTTCCTCACTAATCCGTCACTAAAGCAACTACAAATATTTTACCATCACATTTAATGATGGATGGCGTCTGTCGTTGACAATTTTCGCAGATCGGTTGATAGTCCGTCTTTAACATCCATATCTTCATAGCAGATCATAATTCGTTCGTTAATCCATCTTTATTCAGCTACGGATTGTGATCCTCATTGATTTCCGTTGTTAAATTGCAGAATTTTTATAAGTGAATAAATTATAATTTCTATTAAAACATGCAAGCGATTGATTACTCATGTCGATCCCTTTTGAAGATGTTTTTTTCTATCGGAAGAATTATACTTATACTTTAAACCATGAGAAAGTAACGAATCAAAAATTGTTTTCCAATTCTAAGGACTAAATGGTTTGATTGACAAACAAGACAAAAGACACTCAATCTTCTTGTGAAATATAATAAGAGAAATTATATCTATTGTGCTTTAATTTTTTTATTTTTTTTATTTGAGCATCCAATTAGATCCATCGATATAGTTTGCCTATAATATTTTTTCTGAATCACATGGATTTTTGTTCCTATGTCTTTATATTTTTTATAGTATTGATTGTATCCTCATATATTATTTATTCTCTTTTGTTTTTACTGATTTTATCCTCCTTTATTATTTAATTCTCTAATATATTCTTCTAAAATGTTTTACCCAATTAAAAACATAGATACATATTAGAGACCTTTTCAATAATGTAATTATAAAATAAATTTTTGTTTTAAAAAAATTTAAAAGAAAAATTAATGACATGTTTATATAATTTTAGGGAAAAAAATTGAGATATTCAAGAGCCACGATAATTAAATCATTCAAACAGTATATGAAATTATAGTAATTTTATTTTGTGACAAAAATTGATTTTTGTCGTTAATATATTAAATATTTAATCAAAAAAAATTATTAATTTCCCTTTAAAATTTATTATTTCATAGTATATAAACCTAAAAGATGACACTTAAAGCCAAGATTTAAGAACAAGCAAATCTCGCATGTGAAAAATATGATGCCCACCTTCCTCTTCCCTTGAAAATTTATAAAAATACATAAAACTAATTTTCTTGAAAATTTTTAATTCTTTTACAATTTGAAGAAATAAATAAATTTGAAATGCTAAGAAAAAAATATGTTTTACAATTAGCAAGAGTTAAATTTTTTTAAAAAAAGTCTTAAAATTTAATTGTTTAGGAAAGAATGAAAATTTTGAAAATATTTTTAAAAATAAAAAAAGTGCGACTTTCTGGACCTTCAATATTTTAAGAAAGAAAAAATAATTTTTTTTCACAATAAAATTAGAGTAAATGACTGGATCTATTTTTATATAATTAGGTAAGTTTTCAATATATCCTTCTTTCTAACATAGTCAAGCCGCATCGGAATTTTTTGTTATGAAATTGGATGGAAGGACTGGATTAGAAACTGGAGTTGGTAAAATGTATTGTACAAGGATGATATCAAGAAGATTGGAAGAGTACAAGGATGAAATATGCCAACGCTCTTGCCTCGAATCCTGCTGCAACACCATTGGTTTCTTTGCTTAACCCAGGATCGCCAACATGTCACTCGTTAAACCGTCGATTTCATCTTCAAGAAGTGTCACCGTTCACTGATTCAGAGACTCGAGAATTACTTTTAACAATTAAAAAAAAAAAAGCGCCCGCCCGAACGTTTAATGAAATTTTCATGTTCCCGCTCAAACAAGGAATACTATTGGTTAATTCAAAATTTATAGGGATCACAATCCGCGTCACCACTTTCTGAAAAATCACACCCTTTGATAATGCATCAAATCTACGGCCCAAATTTACCTACCCAAAAACACTAGATTTCTATATATACGCTCGCTAATCCTTCCTTCTCCATCAAAACATATCTCCTCCGGTTTTCTTAAGAAACAAACAGAAACCCACTTACCTAAATCTAGTCATATCGATTTTCGATGGCTCGCACGAAGCAAACAGCAAGGAAATCCACAGGAGGCAAAGCCCCACGTAAGCAACTGGCCACCAAGGCTGCCCGGAAATCAGCTCCAGCGACTGGAGGAGTGAAGAAACCACACAGGTTCAGGCCAGGGACGGTGGCGTTGAGAGAAATCAGAAAGTACCAGAAGAGTACTGAGCTGCTGATAAGGAAGTTACCCTTTCAAAGGCTGGTGAGAGAAATAGCTCAGGATTTCAAGACTGATTTGAGGTTCCAAAGCAGTGCAGTGGCTGCTCTTCAGGAAGCTGCTGAGGCATACCTTGTGGGGTTGTTCGAGGATACCAATTTGTGCGCTATTCATGCTAAGAGAGTTACTATTATGCCTAAGGATATTCAGCTTGCTAGGAGGATTAGAGGCGAGAGGGCTTAGATAGTGTATGTGTTTTTATTTCTGGGGTTGTTTGCTGGTATATCTGCGGATCTGTCTCTGTTTCAGTTTCGTGTTAGAAGGTAATTGGGATGTAAGATCTTTGGAAATCTAATGCCTAATTGGATTTTCTTTTGATTGGTTTGCGCTCTTGCATCTCCTGATTGTGAATTATGTGCTAGTGTATTTATTTAGTATTATTATTATTATTGCTATATTGGTAATGCTATAGTTATGTTGGCTGAGATATGCGCTATTTGGCATGTGTGAGGTTGGTTAAGGAGATTTGTTGTGCTAAATTGATTCTAGAAATCGAACCCGTAGAATTTCTGTGCTGCCTAGTGGTACATAGATTTTCGTCCTCAACTTAAACTTGTTCCTAGTGCCCAGGAATTCCTTTTTTGTCTTGGGATTGTAAAGTTGTGCATTATCCTTGTAAGAGGAATGAAGGGGCGGACTTTCTGGCAAAGTGTGGGCTTCAACAAGATGAGCATATGCTTCTCTGGGTTCATCCACCGTGTGTTGAAAGAAATACTACTAAGAGTAATCTGGTAAGTAGTAACAGAAATCTATTCTCTGGGTTCAGATGCACTTTTCATAGGTAGTGTTTTGAGAGTAGTTTTTCATTACTGTTTGTTCTTTTCATCATCAGTAGTTGGAGTTAGATGACTCGTCTGCTTTGTTTGTTTTGGGATCCTTTTCCCCAACTAGTAGAACTTACAAGTTTAGTAAGCACAAAGTTAATTAATGATAGAATCTTCATAAATTGCTTGAAATTGCCTCTCAAAATTACTAAAAGTTCAAATCCATGGAATCACATTCAATCATGGAGGCACAGTTACCTTTCTGGCTTCTTTTACGGCTCCAGAAAATCATAACCAATGCAGCTAAGATTCTGATCCCTGCAGAAACAGATGCCACCACTGGAACAACAAACTCATTCCTTTTTCTTCACAGCCTTTCGCATGAAAGTGATGAACATAGATTTGGATTTCCGCCAACACTTGAATTGATTGATTAGATTTCAAATAGAAGTCAGATCTGGAATTATGGCTACCAAGAACCTCCAGTGTATTTCTAGTAGCTATAAATCCTACCGTACTTTTAGTTTTCACGGAGCTATTCATTTAAAAGTAAAATCAAAACGCAGCATCATAGTCATGCCAGGATAGATTCAGGATTTCTGTTAGAAAGCACACCTTAACACCAACGAATTCTTCTTTGACCTTTCGATGAGTTCAGGAGGCACTGAACCTGTGAGCGTGTTTCCTGCTGATTAAGTTTCTGCAGAAGGCGAAGCAATTTTTTTTTCTTTTTTTTTTCATTTCTTAATTTTAATTATTACTCAAAAATCTAAATCAAATTAAAAAACTCAAGTAAATATTTTGGATATCGATATTCTTTTTTTTTTTTTTTAACTATTTTATAGTTTGAAACTACTATAAACAAACAAACTCTTTTATCTAAAATAAATAAATCGAAATCAAAATCGATATTTAAAGTAGTTGAAATAGACTGAGTCATTGCATTCTCTCTCTATGTTTTTCTCTACATTCAGAAATTAAACTGTTATATAAATTAAGCTGGAAAACAAAACAAAAGTTTCAGAAAAAATAAAAAATGAAAGTGCAATATTTTGATTACTTGTGGTTGTGGCGAGCAAGTATTAGAGAAATATTTTGGTCCCAATGAATGAGATTATCAGAAAAAAATTCAGTAACTCTAGTAACATCTCGAACATTATAAGAATCATCAACATGACAAGGATGTCTTTAAAAATGGTTATTTCAGTTCTGATAGGGAGAGTGTTAATTATTTTTATCTTGTTTCAGTCACGCCTTCTATAAGATCAATGGTTCTTTTTTTTATCGCGGAAGATGAAGAGACCCAGATATTCCTTTTCCTTTTCTTTTCTCTTTTTCCGAAATTTAGATGTGAAAATTGATTCTATCTGTTGTTATTATTAGTATTTTATTAGGACACAATACTAAAAAAAATTGTTTAAGAAGAAAAATTTTAAATTATTACAGTAACTATTTTTTTTCAAGCAAATTAAATTTAGCCACTAATTTCATTATAAATTTTCATTAATTAAAAAGCTCATTTGTTATAAATTCGATCAATTGAATACTTGCATTGCAAATTGCAGCCAACTAACCATAATTTTATAAAATTTAGAATTTACCTCAATCAATTACATTTTTTTTCACTATATTACTCATTATTATCAAATTTATTTCATTATTACTAAAACTATCATTTATTTCATTACTCAATCAATTACAAAATTTTATTTCAAAAATTGTTCACTATAATTAAATTCTTGCTATTTAGTAATAAGTTCAATGTAAAAAAATATTAAAGGTTGTAGATGGAATGATAAAAATATTCAATATATCAAAAATTTAATTTTTGTTTTTAAAAAGTTTTTTTTTTTTTTTTTTTTAACTGAACATAAATTTTAACGGACCATAAAGGTTTTGATCAACAAAGTATGGAGTGTGGTTGTGTGACTCCAGCCCGACCCGACATATTTTGATCAGACCAGATAGGATATTGAGCCGACTGGAAGGCGATGACAGTACGCTGTCGTTTCGCATAAATGGTAAAGACCGAAGACGTAACCCCTTCCCTATGGTATCCAGTATCTTCTCTAACCTTTTTATTCCTTACCAAAATCCTGAAGTCAATAACAGAAATCATAACGCAGTTCTTAAATCTTCCTCTCGAAATGGCGACACCACCTGTACTGCCGCAGCCCCTACCCAGCTTCGAATCAAATCCTCCTCCAATGGGGCCCCCGCCGCCGCAGCAACCACCGGGAACAGACATGACTGGGATGTGCTTCAGGGACCAGCTTTGGCTAAACACATACCCTCTCGATCGAAACTTAGTCTTTGATTACTTCGCTTTATCCCCTTTCTACGATTGGACTTGCAATAACGAGCAGCTTCGATCGCAATCCATTCACCCTCTCGATCTCTCCCACTTATCGTAAGTATTTATAATTCAATTGGGTATCGTTGATTTGTTATGTATCTTGTGTGCGGATTTTGCTAATTTGGGCACACGAACTTGATTTTTTTTTTTGAAAGGAAGATGACGGGCACAGAGTACATGTTGAGTGAAGTGATGGAGCCGCATTTGTTTGTTTTTCGAAAACAGAAGAGGGATAGTGCTGAGAAAGTCACGCCGATGTTGACTTATTATGTCTTGGACGGGTCTATATACCAAGCACCACAGCTTTGCAGTGTGTTTGCAGCTCGAGTTGTGAGTCTTTTCGTGCTCGTTTTCTTTTGGGTGTTTGTTATTTGCCCACAATAACATTAACGTTAGGTCATTCATGATTGATTTAAATGTGATTTGCGTATTCGAGGTGGTTCTAGGAATAATTTCTTGAAAGAAAAGACGATTCCTTTTGGTACAAAGAAGTTTAGAGTTAAATTCATTGCATCCCATCTAAAACATTCAGAGAGGAAGTATTAAAATGAAATAGACTGATGTAGGATGTATAGATAATGTTATTCTTTGTGATCCAAGTTTGGGCTGGAAAGCGTATTCATAGATTGTACTCTCATCAAATGATCAAAACATTAATGGCTAGATGAGATAATGTTGTTCACACAACTCGATCTGTTTTAGTTTAATTAAGTGTACCCATATGGCAGGGACGAGCTTTGTATTATATATCAAAGGCTTTCGGTACTGCCGCGTCAAAGCTGGAGAAGATTGGCTACGGTATTGAACTACGAATTACCTTTGCTCTTTTTCTCATATTGGTCAGATTAGTTTTGTTATTGAAGGTTATATGTTATGAGTTTGAATGAAATGGATCCCTGTGGTGTCTTTTGGAGTTGTTTTTTTGTCAAGTAATTGACAGCTTGTTTTGTTTCTTTCCAAGTGAAGTTTCAGTACTGATATATTACATTATTGGATTGGATGATTTTTCATTTGAATGTTTTATGGGGTTTTTACAGAAATAAATGAGTTATGTATTTGAAGTATCATTTTGAATGAGATGACTTTGTTTATTGTAGCATTTCATCTATTCAGTTTGCTTTTCACAAAATTGGGTGTCATTTCCCATTTTCCTATAAATTTTAGTTTGCACGGTAATACATCTCATGACACCTGAGATTGTTCACAAAAAGTTGCAATTAGCCGAATTATTTATTAACTAATTTGCAGATTGTTCACTAAAGGTTGATAATGTTCTTATAGTGTAGCTTATATCCCTTGTCCATATACCAGGGCACTTTTAATCAATTTCCAAAGCAGTCTCTCTGTTTTTTGTGCGTGCACATGTGTAATAGGTTTCATTTTGGCCCTTATTCTAAATCATTATCAGGTTTGAGTTCATTATTCCAATTCTTACATGATTTTGGATGCAGTTGATTCTGAAAGGGAGGGTGCAGCTGAATCTAAGACTGGTAAAGAAGTAATTGACTTTAAGGAAGTTAAGCGAATAGACCATATTCTTGCCGCCTTACAGCGCAAGGTAACTTTTGACATACCCGATCCAAATGTGTGGCCCTGTGATCAAGATAATGTAAATATAGGACAAGAAAATATCCATTATTGTTAGAAGCTAGCACATATATGACTATGATTTCTTGTGATGATTTTGCCCTTGACAGTTATTGCATCAGTAATGATGAAAAATGCATGCTTATAAAGCCTTTATTTTTATGTTGCTGTTGTTATTATTTGTTGTTTTTACCCCTTCACCAGTCACCTGTCAAAGCACAATTGGCCATTTTAGGAAAGTGGATTGCAACAACAGTGTTGCACCAAGTGTAGAATGTTATATTGAGTTTTCATTACTTCAATGGAGCTTTACTCTGACATGCTTGACACCATATCTGAGGTTCGTGAAATGATATTAGATACCAATTGATGATCCCTTGCCTTTTTTTTGGCTTGCAGTTACCACCAGCCCCTCCACCACCACCATTTCCTGAAGGCTATGTACCCCAACCAACTGCAGAAAAAGAGAAAGGCTCGGAAACTCCACAGGGAGAAGAGACACAGCCCCCTCCTGTTGATCCAATCATTGATCAAGGTCCTGCCAAACGAATGAAATTCTGAAAAGAGGCCATTTCTTTATTTCTGCAGCTCATCGAGTAATGTGGAGAGCAGCAGCCATCATCATCTCGAATATAATAGGAAATTTCTTCAGTGAAAGATGCTTTCCAGTCATCCGCTTACCTCGTAGCTAATTTATGATTTTTATTTTGATCTGGCATGCCAAGCTGATCATAAAGTTTACCCCTTACAACACGATGTAATACTCCTACTAATTATGTAATCTAAGGATACTGTTCAAAATCAAACCAGTTTCCCTCGCTATAAGCATTAAAACTGAGGTTTTCTCAAATTTTGGGTTGGCTTCAGTTATGAGATCTGGTGGTTATAGGAAATGTTCTTCCCATGGTAGAATGATGTATAACAGTATCACAAAAACTGTTTCGTTTCAACAGAGTCTGACTCTCTTCTTAAACTAATGCAATCTCGAAACTAATACAAAAACACAGGCATTATTGGACACCCCAGCCGTTTGTGAATATCTGTTAAAAAAAAAAGAAAAAACTGTGATATTTGCAAACTCTTGTAGATATATGTTATCAAATAGATTTTATAGATCAATAAAAATTGCATTTGAGGTGTCAACTAATGATTCTGAATCTAATATCTATTTGAAAACGTTGTAAAGAATCAGCAACTTCAGAAAATTATTGATTTGTAAACAGAGATTGCTTAAAATTTTGAAATGGATTTCATAATTGAAAAGTTTTGTGTGATGAAGAAATGTCGCGCACAATTCAAAAAACTTAAGGGAAGTGATAAATATGAGATCTAGTAAAAATGTCATTATTCTCATTCACTTTCATGAACGTTTAGCATTACTAAGATCTCATCGTATTTTTTATTAATGGATTTTTTAATATTTTTTCACTGGGACGATTTCAATTATTAACGAATCATTTTGTTTATATAACTTTTATTAATGGATTTCATTACCAAATAAGTTTTCAGATAAGTTTTCTTTAAGTTCTTATTTCTTAACATATTTCAATCAATAACGTTAGGATCAGTTTTATAAATAACTAATTCTAAATCTCTCTTTCCATATTAATTTTTATGTTTTTTCATCGTTCAAAATAACCTAAATCCAAATATCTAAACTAATCATGTGCTGTTTTATTAGATGCACAAGACGAAAAAAACTACATAGAATGTTTTTGTATATATAAGAACTTAAACCGAAGACTATTTACTTAAATTATTAGATTCTTTCATTCAAACTACCCTCGTTGAGTTGTATCCATATTAATTTTGGACCTAGGCTATTGCCCACATTGAACGGTCCGTTTGATCCAAATTCAACATCGAACTTTCAAGGAAAAGGCAGGGTAAACCAAAGCCATAAATGCCTCGACATATTGATTAATCTTCTGTTAGGTTTATTGTAGGATCAGGTCACAAATATATTAATAATTTAGTATTTTTTTGTGTTTACTTGTTTATTGTTGGTTTAATGGCATATTTTACTATTAAAATTTTAGTAAAATAAAAGATTGGATCATCAATTTAATCTATTTTATCCTCAAGTTATTATTTTTTTGAATAAATTAAATTATATCATTTCGTTTGATTGAACCGGTAAAACTGATAATCAAACTTTGGCTGTTAACTAAAAGCATTTAAAAGTTGAAACATATAAATGCTGACATGTTCTAATTAATTGAAAATATTTTTTATGTGCATTTTTTTTAAAACCACATCATACTGAGTTTTTAATCAAAATTTGATCATCAGTTTGAATAGTTTAATCAAACAGAATGACATAATTTGTTAAAAAATAATAGTTTAAAGAAAATATAGATCACCTGATAGTCCATATTTTATTTTATCAGAACTCTAATGATTTTGGGATAAAATATGTTTTTAAAGCGTTTATTTTTATTATCAAAGGAAAATCATTCAATTTTGAGCCATCTATCCAACATTTACTTGTTATTGCTACGATAAGAGATTAATCTAGCTATAACAATAAAGATAATAAGTTAAATTTATCTACCTCTTCCATGAGATGTAAACAAATTTAATTTCTAATATTTGTAAAAATTGTACCCATAAATTCTTGACTGATACCAAAATACCACTATTAATGAGCTATTAGTCCATTTATAACCATTTATCTTAATTGAATGATAATCGATGTTGATACATATAAATTAATTATTTGTCTGGATCGTTTTATTGTTCTTTTCATAAAATTTTCAGTTCAGAAAGTTCCACAACAATTTTTCGAACTTCTATAGGCATGGATGGATTCCATGTGGAATGGAATTAAGTGATTGGTTGACTGATTAATTAAGGAGGTCACTCTCGAAACTTTAATCTGACAATTAACTCAAGAAGTATTTGATTTGGGGGATTATCATACGTTCTGTAATCCTCATTTTCCTACGTTATCTTACAATTCATCCCCAGCCTCGGTCAAAAAATGATAAGCAGAAATGACAATAAGAGTGCAGATATTTTGTGCACCTGTACGTTTCGTCTTAGAATGAACTAAAGGCAAAGTCTAAAGTCATGTTGCGTGCCGACTTCAGGGGTGGCACCCTGTCACTGTGAGACCAAACAGCGTGATCGAGCTTCAAAGTCAGTTTATATTATCCGTGCTTGACTGGCTTCTGTGTCACCTACGACACAACTTCCAAGTGTGTTCCATTCTGTATCTATCCAAGTGTTTAATATTATTCGTGTCCGTTGATTCTGCTTTCTAGTTGTCAAATTCTGTCTTGTGAATTGTCTTTTTACGAGAAAGCTAGCCCAGCGTAGAAATAAAAAATGTAGATATTTTTACCTGTTTGCTCGACAGCTAGCTTCTCCTTTGTCCAAGGAAAGCGACTAGTTGTGTATGGCAACAACAACAAAGGGGACAGATGCCATTTAGTACCACCGCGCATGCTGCTTCATGACAAGCACAGAGCTTATAATCATATATAGTATTCATTTTCTTTTTCCTTTCGTGTTTTTTTTTTAACCTCTAAACCAAGTGTGGAAGAGGTTTTTTTAGAATTAAATAGCCCAATAGGTGACTGATCCGCGTATCAATCAAAATATAAAAAACTAATATTATAATTTATAAAAATAATGATTAATTAATGAAATAACAATAAAATAAATAATAAGAAGTAAGAGAGATGAAACAATTAAGATGTAAATTGAGTAACTAATAGATGGATAGTCATACTCTGAATGGATTGGTTTAAGAATATTTATTTTTATCCTTACGATTCAAAGTTTTGTATTAAGTTAAGTCCATCCTTAATTCAATTGATTTGTTGCATAGCTTAAACCCATATCAAAATAAAAGAAAATAGTATAGATTAGTACAAAATAAAAAATAACTGAATTATTTAATTAATTTTACAAAAATTCCAGCATATATACCAATTTATGATTAAACGATTTACTAAAATGTGCTAAGAAGACATTCAAGTTTTAGATTCAAAATGTTTTTACAATATTATCGTTCCTTCTTTGATCTAACAATTGAAAACAATATAATTAACTCTTAATTTGTTCCCTGACACTAATTCTTAAGCAAATAAATATAAGAGTTTTGATTAATTGATTGCTAATTTCTTGGAACTAGCTATTGGTATGCTGCCCCGTGTCCTTTAAAATGTTCTGTAGTATCACTCTCATCTTGGAACTTGTTGATAAAATTTATTATCTAGTCGTTCTGATACCGATATCAAATTATTTTTCTGTGCAGATATTCGTTATAAACGAGATCCATGATCTATGATCTGATTGCTCAATAGCCAGCAGTCGTCTCAAAAAATATATACGTCCACATAAATCTAAGTCTTGTAAGAACTATATGCGCAAGGAAATGGAAAAGAAACCTGAAGCATAACTTATCAATGGCCAAAATTGACTTATACACAACAAACTGGATAACCTTGCCTTTATATATAGTCCATTAATGTATATATTAAAAAATGTTAGATATGAAAATTTTGAAATTACTTTTTAAAAAGGATTTATCAGTATTTATTGAATGGATTAACTTCAAGAAAAGAGACAGATATAAAAATAAGTTAAAATTTATAGTATATTTAGAATAATTACTAATACTTATTTTATGGATGTACCTGAAACAAAGAGATATATATATATATATATATATATAAAAGACAAAAGAGAAATTTACATATGACCAATTTATTAAAAATAATAAAAATATTCATATAAATTAAAAAAAAAAACTTATGTTTTTTGTGTCTATCTTTTTTAATAAAATAATTATTCTTATTTTTTTATAAAAATATCTTCTTTTTAAGTTCAAAAATATATTTTTTAAAATTTCCTCTCATACTTTAACGTGTTTATTTTTATTTTATAGAGTAACTGTGGTTAGTTATTTTAGAAAAATTTTAAAAATTTGTCAACATATAAAAGAAAAAAAAGTTTCATCTTGATGTAAATAAAAATATTTCTATATATCCAATGTAAAAAAAAAAAATCAATTTTTTTCACATCTCTCTGTCTCTCTCTCTCTCATATTTTTATGAGTAAGCATGGTTAGTTAGTCAATAGAACTCTTTAAAAAGTCTAGTTTTCATACTATAATTAGTAATATTCAAACGATAGACTTCTTTGCATTTGCATACGTACAAGACCTTTCTTCAATGGCATTCATGACGGACACGGACAGGAGGACAGCTCTTGTAAGAATGCCTCATTTGAAAGTCCAAGACAAACACGTGTCGAAATGTAAGCTAACACGTGTGGTTTCAGCAGGACACTTCGCGAGCTGATAGTCGTAGTCCTTCCTTCGGGAGCAGATCCGCAGGATCGGCGTTTGCAAAACAGAAAAAGTCACCTGCCTAATAAAACAAACATAGCGATAGGCAGACGGTCGTAGTCCTTGACTGGACGCCACGTCACTGGGCCCCCACGCCGGTCACGTGCTGCATAATCCATATGCGTTGTCCAGCTCGAAGCTGACTCAGTGGTGACGATGAAGATTAACGCGACACGAACCTGCACTGCACGCTATACGATAAACAAAGACAAACTAAACGAAATTAAATATTTCAGTAGTTGAGAATATATTACATTATATTACATTCTAACAAAAAAGTCGAGATTGGAGCCGAAAGCTTGCAGCTCAGGCCCTCCACTTCAACAAGATTGGAAAAAGAATCGGCGGAATAGATCTCTTTAATTTGAGGTTGGTGCCGAATTTTACAAATAAGGGCTTTTCAACGTACAGTCGAGAGGGGGAGAAGTACTTCACGAATAACAACAACTAAATAGTTATTCCTAGAAAAAGAAAAACAAGAGAAAGAAAGAGATAATTTAAAAATATATTAGAGTATTTTTTAATTTTAGATAGAAATAATCTTATCATATAAAGACGATATTTTTATTATCTATTTATCTGCTCGAAATAGATTTATAAAATAAATATTAATAGTTATTTTTATTTATATACGGAACTTACTCAAGTACTATGGAGATAGATTGAAAATGGAGATTATGTTTATTGGATTTTCGTTTTTCTTTTTTTATATATAGAACCCACGAGAAGGTTGTTTTTGATAATAATAAAGCCTCAGAAGTGAAATTTAAGTGATATTTATTTCTTTTGACTTTTTCTTCCTTCCATACGAATGAAAAATCGTCATTAATCAAAATCAACCAAACCAAGAAATACGTGTATACGAAGAGGTTTTTACATCAAATAATAGTAAATCAAGAAGACTAATGATCGCAAAAGTTCCATACGTCAAAAAAACCAAACAATCTACGGAATTTGCATCGATCTATTAGTTGATATTAACAAAAATATCTAAAACAAAACTAAGAAACACTGTCATTGTTTAAGTAGCGGCATTTCATGAATTTCAAAACTTTTGAGAACACCACGCATTTACTATATTTTTATTTATAAATATTTTAAATTAATTTATTTCAAATTAAATACATTATGTTTTTGCATAACTATCCAATGATTCAAATATAATTTTTTATTTTAACATCATTAATTTTGCATGTGAATAAATATATAAAAATAAAATATACGTATTTTCAAAAATTAATATTTTCATTAATATTGAATAAAAATAAAGAATAATTTTTTTATTTTTTTATTTTTATTTCAATTTTTACATTAATTGTTACTTTGCTTTTCAACACAATTTTACGAAATACTAAGATTATATATATATATATATATATTCACTTTTTGTTTAAAAATTCATGAATAAAGAAGAATTAATTATTTTTGAAGTATAAAAGTTATAAAAAACATAAAAAGGAATAAAAATTTGATTAAAATATTATAAAATTAGATTTTTTTTTATCTTTAATTTTATATATTTTTATGAACTCACAATATAGCACATATCATTAAATTGAAATATTTTTTTATGATAAAGGCCAAGGAACCTTCAGCCTAACTACCCTATAACCTTTAACCTTTAGTTTTACGATATGCAGATTCAAATTTCCTTTTATTCTTAAAAGAAAAGGAACATAAAGAATGACATGAACCAATACAATAAATAAAATGAATGTCCGCAATTAAGATGGTCTGCCATAACCAATTTCAAAATATAGGGGTAAATTTGACCAATATCCATACTAGAGGGATCATGCATGTTTACCCAAATTTAAAAATCGACAGATGGGTGCAATATTTCCTGAGAAATGGGTTCAACTTTCGCAGACTTAAGGAACACTGCAAACTTTCGCGACAGTACTAGGAGATGTTTCTCGTTTTTAGTGCAAAAAGGCTGTCGGCAGATCTCTCTCATCAGATATTATAATTTTTTATCGACTAAATATGGTTGAGGATAAATTAATTAATTTGTTTTAAAATAATATTCTAAATTTTTAATATATATTTATATTTTTAACTAGATCTCTCGTGCCTTTAAATAATATTGAAGTCTTTAATGTGTTATTTTAATTAAAATTTTCAGTTACGGATAAATATTTTAACTGAAATATCCCCGACAAAAATGCAACATATATATATAATTTTAAATATTTAAAAAACAAAACGTACAAGTCCTTTTTTTTTTCCTTTTAGTCAAGAATATTTTAATAAAAAAATTTATTTATAGTCTGAAAATTAATTGAAATGGCAAATTAAAAACTAAAACAATATTAAGAGACATAGTAGATGTATTTAGAAATCCAATAATAGATTGAAGACTTAGACTATTATATAAGGATAGATTATAAGAGAACAATAGAATCAAATATAAGTTCTAAGAGATTATAAGGAAATAAGCCGCACAGTCGGTATACCGAATTTAAGACAAGTAGCCAAATGAAAGCTAAAAGGATATCCTCACAAATCCTGCAAAACCGAAATAGTGAGGGACGGGCAATCAACAATACGAGTAAGTAAATAATATACGACACATATGAATGAGAAACACGGACTAAGGACGATAACTTAAAATTCGAATCAAGATGCCATGTTATTTCTTCAAACGAATGCATATTATAAAATCAAATCGTACATCATAGCTTAAATAATTCAAAACCATTTTATATCAAATTATCAAAATGAATATATATATATATATATTAGTCTTGAAAACATTTCAAAAACCATATATACTTATACATATTTCAAAATCAGTATTTCAAACATAATGAATGCTTAAAATCAATTTAATAATACATTTCAATACCAAATACACGTTTACAAAATTATACGGATAGCCAAAATAACAATTGAAAGTAAATTTTTGCATTTAAATTCATAAACGCATCAAACCATAAAAAAACACTCGTTCAAACATAAGTTCAAATCCTTTTTTGAATCATATCAATTCACCTTCAATACGAAATCAATTCAAACACACAAGAGTCCGTTCCCGTTTAAGTTCTAAGGAATGTGATAAAAATATACTTAAACTAATGATGTATGACGGACATAATTGAAGAAAGTTAAAAACACAACATGTTATATAATATCTAGTCACGAGTACAACGAAGAATTAAACGAGAATCAAGATTGATGAGATGGAGTTGTCCGCTTTGAAGAATCTAATAACACATAATGATGGAATAATCATTAATATCATATATCAAACAAATGAATTATTCTAGGAATAGAAACACAAAATTATGTATAGGAATAGAATTGATCTAAAGACTCAAATAATGACTTTAACTAAACTCTATAACATCTCTAACAATCCAATTATCTAATATCAATCCTTAATTCAATCAACCTTCATACATACCATTTTTTCTTAAATTCAATTCAAATTTTTGAACAATCAATTTTCAATTAAATCATCAATTCCATTCTAATTCACTCAATACTTATTTCATTCATTTTTAATTGCATTTATATAGCTTAATTCTCCATTCTCCCTAAATTCTTTTCAATTCAAAATCAAAATTTTGAATTTTTCATTACTCATCATTTTCAACCTCTCAATTACTCAAATTCACTCAATTTCACTTTAAATTAACTTCATAAACCACTTATCCAAGACAATTACACATCATTTAATCAACTTGAATCACTTAATCAAGTTTTTCCAAATGGGTCTCAAAACCCTAACATCAATCTAACTCAATTCTTCATTTAATCAATAATCCCAATTTAATCTAACTTTAAAATCATCAATAACTACATGTAAGCACTCCAATTTAAAGATTGAATGATTAAAAATATTAGTTTTGTCACTTTGCTCTTCAATCCCCAATTGAATCCTAGCTTTCTAAGCTTTTCAAGCTTCAACCTAGCTAAGCTTCACTTAATCAACTAGTTTATAGTTTTTCTAAGCTAACCTAACAAGGTTTTAGCTTAGGATTTGATAGGGGAATTGGAGAAAAATTGAGAGAATGGCACGAGAAGGAGAAAGGAAGAAGAAAGAAGAAAAATAAACGACGACGAGTTGTCCCCACTTTATACCCGACTCATTTTTTTAACTTAAATATTATTTTTAAGTCGGGTTATTATAAAAATAAACTAAATCAAGCAATGAAAATAATTTTGCAACCTTTGAATGAAGTTTGCAATGCATGCGGATAGATTGAATTGCAAGTATGTAAGGATAGTTACTCATACCAATAATGATCTTACACAAACAATTCAAATATCTAAAACTAATTTCAAATTAGAATAATAAGTTCGAATTGAAAGTTACAAGTTGAAACAACCTACATAATAGAAAAAAACAAGACTCCAAGTTTAAAAATGTAACAAATCTAAGCAAACACTCACATTAGTCGATGACGAAGAGGGTTTGTAAATAAGCACTCTAAACATGTGAATTCTTCAACGATTACAAATTATGGATGCAAGAAAAGAACTAGGAACCAATCTATTAGTTTACAAATCTATTAGCCTACTCAATTACTACCAACAAGCTACAATAACAAGCTTCAAGTATGCTCAAACTTGAGCAATGCTCCGAGAGTTGTTGACAATTTTTAAAATGAGTTTGTTTATGTTCGGTTGTAGCTTCTATTTTTAGGCTTATTGCTCTTTCATGATCTATCTTAGCGGGTCACATTTTTCTGCATTTTGCTATGTATTGTTATAATGATCAACATTTCCTTGCAACTTCGCCACTCGTGCTCAATGCCTCACTTTTTTGTGTAAATGTCTTAGCCACGTCTTTTTTATGCTAATTTCTTGTTGAATATTTACTAATTATGTTGTTGGTTGATTTTTTAGTTATCACCATGGTTACTCTTTAGGTATATTCAACAATAACTCAACCTTGTCAAGAATTAACGATCCATGATCTCCTTAAAAATTGTTGTGTCCGTTATTCTCTTTCGGACCTTTCCAACCATTAGCTTCCAATCAATTGGGTTTGGATTGGTATTTGCATTTTTATTCAATAGTTTGAAGTTAAATTATATATCAAGTCTTAGTTTGGTATGAATCTTACCTTTTTTTTTTTAATTTGACGGACGGTATAGTCCAACTTAAATTTAAATATAACAAATATTAAATTCTAACATCTTCTTATAACATAATAATAATTATTATAAAAACAGAATCAAATAATTAGTTTGAACATAAATTAAATAAGATACAAGATTATACTAGTTATTTTATGCTTGCCTTCCAAAAAAAAAAAAAAAAGCAAATTAAGCTTATACAAGTTTCTCTCTCTCTGTTTTTTTTTTCTTTTCAAAACCATTAGAAACAAGTGAATTATACACACTTTAAGTAACAACCAGAAATGAGATAACAATATATTGTTTGGGAAATTATCAAAATAACTTGTTCACCAATTGAAATTAACCAATAGTTGAATACCATATCCTCGTGTGTTGTAACCACGAGGACATGTTAGACAAACCTTAATGAATTAGCACTTTAATTTAATTGTTAATTTTTTTGATAATATACAATTAGCTCTTAAAGTTTTAAATTAACGGGATTCCTCATCTTACGTGGCGGTACTTGATTTTGTATCCGTAAGGCTTCGTTTGTTTGGCGGAAAATAACTTTTATAGAAAAATCAATTCCCGAAGATGCTATTTTTCAGGAAATTATTTTTCAAGAAAATATTTTCTACTTGTTTGGCAATTACATGAAAAAACTATTAAAAAATATATTCCAGCGTTTGTTTGATATAAAAAATTAAAATATAAAAACGAGTATGTGATTGTTATATCAACAAGTTTTGAGAAAATTTCAAAAAGGCATATTCACAATTTCGCGACATAAGATAGGTTTAGAAAAATTTAATAAATTTTCATGAATACCGACTCTAAAATTTTAATTCAAAAAATAAAATATACTTTTTAACCATCAAACTAATTTATTATAATTACTTGGAACAAAATCAAGTCAATATTCACATTTAGTTAAAAAAAAAAAAATTCTAAGTAATCCTAGCATTGTTATTTTGGTAACTCAATTAAAAAATTTTTTTAAAAAAATTGAACTTATAATTTATTCTAAAAAATAATTTTATAAATTATTAGTTATCATTTGTATATAATTATTCATTTGATTTCAAAAGATCAATGTTGGAATAATTTGTAACTAATTATTCACTACAATTACTAACAAAATTTTACAAGTAATTAAAATTACAAATGATTGATTTAGTTGCAAATGAATAATGTTAAAAAAATGATATATTTATTAATGAATTAATTACAAAAAAATTACAATCTTGTAGTAATCATTTTCAATCATTTAAGTGTAGTTTAGGTGGGGTTTAAGATAATAGTAAGAAAATAGAGATTAATTATTAAAATATTTATTATAAAAATAATTTTAAGGTGCAAAAATAATTTTTAAGAATATTTAATGTATCTATAAATCAAGAAATCAAATATTAGTAGAAATATAGAAAAAATAATTAAATAATTAATAATGATTGATAAGGAATAATTAAAAATTAATTTGATATATTTTAATTAAAAAGAAGTAAAGAAAAAAATTGTTAAAATATATCGAGAGAGAAGTAAGTAACGCAAGATCGAAACAACTCGTGAGAAGAAAAATATTTTTCTCTTTTTTATCTAAGGAAACATTTTTTTCGAAAATACTCTATCATTTTTCGTTGACCGAAAATCATTTTCTATTAATTTTTTTCCTAAACGCGAAACAAACACTAAAAAATAAATAAAAAAAATAAGTTCTTGAAACTTATTTTTCCCTAAACAAACACAGCCTTAATACTTCTTGAATTTCAAAAATTCGCTATTTTTGGATATATTCTCATTAAATCCATAATTAATTGTATTTACGCCTCCTCAGCTACATTCACACAAACATATGAAATTCAGCAATTCATCACAAAAGAAAAGGATTTATCTGTATTTATTTGAAGCAAGAAACATATTAATTTAACAAAAGATTCTCGATCGTATTTTTTTCTCTTCAGAGAAATTCTTGGGTTTAAATAAAGTCGATTGTTCTATACGAAAAAAATAAAATAATAAATACAATAAAAACTGGTATACAACATTTCGTAAAGAAAGGAAAAGAAAAAAGTATAAAATAAAGATACAGTAAATGAGTCTCTCTCTCTCTCTCTCTCTGTTGCCAACTTGCATGGGACTTTGTCTCTGTTTCCATCTCTAGCTTTTCATCTGTTAGGCGTAAAATATATATCTAAAAAAATATATTTTGTATTAAATAAAAGAAAGGAAGTTTAGATTTTCATGTAAGGACTCAGGACCTTCGAATTCTTAGGGAAGGACTTCCGGCCAATTATAAATATCTATCATTTATTAAACTCACAATGTCATCCCCTCTTGATTTTATTCTCACTAGATTTCTTACGCTCCCCTGTTTTCTTTTGTCTCTTAGCACTCTGAGCTTGGTGGGTTTTGATTCAGGATGACTATCCTCATTGATCAACCTAACTTTGGTAATTTTTTTTTTTTAATCTTTTTCTTCATTTTTCTTCTTCTTATTATTCGATTTATAATTTTGATGGCTTTCACATATTCTAGTAAACCCTTTTTTTTATTCTCCACCAATTTTGCAGATAAATCTTGATCTTTTCTTGTTCTTTCTGGCCTTGTAAATTTTTGTTTTAGGAAATCTTGAATCTCGGATTCGTTGGTTTGTATTTGTTGAAACATTTTATAATCAATAAAAGACGGTCCTGGTAATTTTTTGGCACAACAAATTTTCCTTTTTCAGTCACAGGAGTTAACGTAGATGAAAAGAAGATCCCAGCTGATGATGAGAAAGAACTGGTGTTGGATGGTGGATTTATGGTGCCGCATGCCAACTCGTTCGGCCAAACTTTTAGGTTACTTCCTCTTAATTTGGGTAGATCTATTTATTATTTCTATTTTGCGTAAACAAATAAACAGGAAAATACCTAAAATATTCGTAGCTTAAAAGGAAACAGACGAGGACACAACTTACGAAGGACAAAGGAATCCTAACATCTGTGACGTCTGACTTTTGCCTATTTAACCAGACTACGCCAACGGTTCACCACCAGCAGAAAGTTTTAAAAGATTGAATTTAAACACTGATTTGGGTTTTTCAGAGGCTGTTTATTGGTTTTATTTCCAGGATTTTGTTAAAGATTTGGCCTAAAACTTTTGAAGGATAAAACGAATGAGAAAAAGATGGCTTTAATTAATAATGAAACTACTCTTCACGGGCCTCCTGTCACTTAAGTCTACGGGCTAAAAGATATCAAATTTTTTATTGTCACCGTTTCTTATACCCTAATAATGAAACTACTCTTCACGGGCCTCTTGTCCCTTAAGTCTACGGGCTAAAAGGAATCATATTTTTTGTTGTCACTGTTTCTTATACCCAATTTCTCTTAAGGGGACTCTTGTCATTTAAGTCCACGGGCCTCTTTCTTATACCCAATTTCTCTTCATGGGCCTATTGCCACTTAGCGGGCCTCTTGTCACTAAGTCCAGTTTAGTTTATGATTACCAACCACCTCTCTCTCAACCCTTTAGGCAGTACTACCTTGGCCCATTTACAGTCTCTCTCAACATCATTAGCCCGTTTACATTCTCTGGCCCTTTATTTTTTAAGATAATTAATTCGAAAGTTTATTGTTGGTCGCACCAGCACAACCGTCATCCCTCCTTAACCCAAGATTCCAATTTCATATTGAACCGTGACCAATAAAATTTCCGTCGAAGGTTAAATGCCTTTTTTTTTTTAGGAGTGTGAAAAGTTGGTCCATTCTAGTTAATTTAACTAGGATTGAATCGACATGTTCGTTGATATTCGATTATGGTTTATCTAAAGAAAATAGAAAGTTGATATATAAGAAACGTTAGATTCTTTTGTTCTGAACACGCACAAATGCTTAATAAATTTGTCATGTATCAGAGACTATCATGCCGAAGGAGAGAGGCAACCAGGTGTGGAGAATTTCTACAGGATCAACCACATCAACCAGAACTATGACTTTGTGAGCAAACTTGTCCTGACAATTTTCGTTTACTTGCTTCTAAAACTCCTGCCATGCTCAACATGCACTACCAACTCAACTTCGTTCATCACCTGACAGAAATTACTAAAACAAAATCGTAGGTGAAGAGAATGAGAGAAGAGTACGGCAAGTTGAATAGGGTGCAGATGAGCATATGGGAATGCTGTGAACTTCTAAATGATGTTGTAGATGAGAGTGATCCGGACTTGGATGAACCTCAAATTGAGCATTTGTTGCAAACAGCTGAAGCCATAAGGAAGGACTATCCCAGTGAAGATTGGCTCCACTTGACTGGCCTCATCCATGGTAAAATTCTAATTAGCACTCACTTCTTATGTTGGAATACATTTTTTTAGCAAATTTATCAAACAAAACCATGCAAGGAGCAAAACCTTTTTGAAAATTATATGACTCGTCTTTTTTTTTTTTTTTTTTTGTATGGGATTTAGATCTTGGAAAGGTGCTTCTTCATCCAAGCTTTGGTGAGCTTCCCCAATGGGCTACTGTAGGTGAGAATCAAGTTCCTTGCATTGCTTAGCAATTTACACAAGCTAAACAATACCAATTCTACATGTTCTGACTCACCATTGTCCATTGATACAGGTGATACATTTCCTGTTGGATGTGCTTTCGACGAATCAATTGTCCATCACAAGGTCTTTCTTACCTCATAAATTTCACTCTAATTCAATATTATTACAGCTTGTAATTTTGAGCCGCATTGAGTGCTAAGTATCTGTGGTGTGTTCACTTGCTCATTGCTGCCACAGTATTTCGAGGAAAATCCAGACTATAACAATCCTGCTTACAACACGAAATATGGAGTTTACTCAGAAGGATGTGGATTGAACAATGTCATGATGTCATGGGGACATGACGATTACATGTATCTGGTAACAAATTAAAAAATTTTGCTGTTTTTTGTTTCATGAACAAACTTATTTAGTAAATAATTGCAATTAAAATCTAACTACTTTGTTGTCCCAATCCAGGTTGCCCTGGAGAACAAGAGTACTCTGCCTCCGGCAGCTCTTTTTGTCATCAGATACCACTCATTTTATGGTAAGTGAAAATGCAAAGGATCGCACATTCGCACGCACGAACAAAATCTTTTTGTTTCTTAAAAGTAACAAGACCAGGGCATGAACAAGAGTCCAATATCCTGAGTCCTATCCCCTTTCCTTAGATTTGTTTTGGAAAGTCCCATCGAACTAATTATACACACATTGATGAAAAAACTAAAATGGAAAAGAACAAGAGATAACAAAGCTAAATATTAGTTCTTTTTTGCGTCGTATGCTTCTGATGGAAATATGTGATGTTGCAGCATTACACAGGTCAGGAGCATATAGACACCTGATGAATGAGGAGGATGTTGAAAATCTGAAGTGGCTCCAAATATTCAAGTAAGTTCTCTCAATTACTCAAATAGTACTTGATTCATGATGATTTTGATTGTGTTTTTTTTTTTTTTTTTGGTCTGTCGAGATTTGTTAGAGGTCCATCTGTTTAGGACTTCGGATCATATAGCAGAAGCGTTCTTGTTAATCCCTTTCATCCCATTTGTCAAGAGCTGCTATATTAACATTTTCTCCCATGCTACTATATATGCAGCAAATATGATCTTTACAGCAAAAGCAAGGTTCGTATCGATGTTGAGAAGGTCAAGCCATACTATCTCTCCCTTATTGAGAAGGTAACTGTTCATGCCATTTAATCGATCCTATCAAAGTCAATAGCGCTTTCCTGGATCATAATTTTGGTTCTTAACATAAATTACAAATCAATGTTGCAGTATTTCCCACCGAAGCTAAATTGGTGAATGTGGAAGATTGAAGCCTCGATCAACAAGATCACATGCACCAGCATGATCACAGCTTGTAAAGATGTAGATGGCCTTTTGGGATGTGTGGTTGCAGTTATTTTTGAGATATTAGGAAGATCTTTTATGAATAGTTTCATTATTTATTGTTTTGTAGAGCTAGTTTGTGTCTCGAGTGAGATAGTTTACTTTCTGTTCCCGGTTTGACCTAATAATAAAGCTAACTAGTATTGTCTGGCATTGGGTCCAAGTTAAAGTTACATTTCGTCATATTATTTATATATCCCGAGTCAATACATGAAAAGTTCAAGCCAAAATGTCTTTTTAATTAGTGGTTTGTTAGTAAATTAAACGTTCAAGCCACGGAAAAGTTCAATGAATTACAGGGTGACATTTGGCCATTACCAAGCTCATTAATTCGAGTCAATAATTAATCGCCGTCAACTTAGTCAAAACCACTGATCTAAGACTAAAGAAATACTAGGAAAACAGATCAACTCAAAAAAGAGATTACAGAAATAAACTCACAAGTTGAGATAAATACTGAACCCAAAAATAATTAATCGGCTGAAAATCAAACGTTCAATTCAAAGAATGGCAAGATTCAATATCTAACCATGTAAATCCATTACTTACTTTGATTATCAATATAAATATACCTACATGTACTCTTTGGATGATCGTCTTATTAGTAATAAGTTGCAAGTATTGTTGGTATGAGCAATGGCTGTTAACTGTCCAAGGTCCATCATGGTTACTCTTCTGATCATTGCTATGGTTCTGGCCCCAACGATTACCTTGTGCCTTGTCTCGATCTACTCTCAGAGGTAAACACAATTCCCATCCTGAATTCTAAATATTGATTTTGATCATCTTGCAGATACATGTACATATGTTGGTTTGTATTTTTGCAGTATTTAATGAAGTGAGTCTGGTGGAGAAACCCCTGTGTCCTGGTTGCACATGTTGCACAGTTCCACCACCGGGTTCAAGAAGCAACTGCTGTTCTAATTCTGTTCAACCTCATGATCAACCCTCTCCATAGCAGTGAATATTTTACCTTCCGTTTCTGTTTTGAAGACCAGCTACATGCACATAGCCCAGGTTTATTTATTGATCAATAAAAAAAAAGGTCTCTCTTGTGTTATACTAGCTCCTTGAGACATGAATTCTTCAATCTTGATCCATGTTTTCTTCAATTATTCAAACATTTGATTATTATTTAAGGCTTAATTTAGTTAAGGTAGTTTATTCTGTACTATGAGACCAGCACATAGCTAGAATGGAGAATACCATGAGTATATCTAGAAATTTGCAGACCAGTACACGATATGACTAATTCTCAAGAAATCTTGGAAAATTGTATCACTGATGCAGGGGAGAGCAAACGATTTTTCAGTTTGGTTTTTATAAATTTCGATTAACCGAATTACCATAAACAAAAACCAAAATCAAACGAATTTAAATTTGATTTTTTGGTTTTTCAGTTTTTTCAATTTAACCCAATTTTTTTTTTGGGCTTTGGCCTTTGGGTATAAGCTTTTTTAATTTTGAGCTTATGGGATGAGTCATTGCCCAACACTAACTAATTATATATGAGTTATTGGTTTGAGTTAATTTCTTAGAATGAGAATTAAGATATCTAGCTAAGATCTTATGAAGAGTTATATATAAAAAAAAAAAAAAAATTATCCCAACTTCCTTTAATTTAGCAATCTAATGTTATAATTTTTTTTGTTATAAATTAATAAGAGTAGAGTTATATTTTTAAATTAAAATGTTACGACAGGTTGAAATATCTTTTATATGTTTCTTCTATGTAAGGTGCACACAATAAATTTTACCATAGATGACCAGGATAACTACAACAATAGCACTTTTCTAATCAGACAATCACAAATATTATCTATATAATCTTGGTTGCACTAAGATAACATTGTTTTTCTCTATTCTACTTTGTGGTCATCACGATGACCAGCAAAATAGGGCAAACCCCATCCACCCTCAACTTAGTAGCATTACACTCAGCAGTTTACTTAACATTAACAATGAGCAACACCATACATAGTCATACCCGAGCAGCAAAACTTTGGAAGTTCAATCGATGAAAAAGCAAACCGCTATGATGACAATTTATAGCTATGCTTGGATGCAAACCAAACACTGACCAAATGGCTAAGGCATTGACGAGAGACAGATTGTTTGATAGTTTGTTCTTTGTAGCGAACTTCTTGAAGATGAAGTTGTGACTGCAGGTGCTAGAGTAGTACGAGTGACAAGAGATGAAGAGAGAAAGAGACTCTCTGTCGGTTTGTTCTTTGTTGCGAGCTTCAACTTCATGAAGACGAAGTTGCGACTGCTGGAGTACTGGAGTAGTAATGTAGTTTGACTTAGGGGTTAGAGTTATTGGGTTAGGGTAAAACGACTAAATGAGTAAATGAAATGCTCTGTAGTTGTTTTGTTTTTCTTAAAATAATAAAATAAAGAAATATAATTTTTAAAAATCGAACAGAAACGAAATTATTTTTGTTTTTCGATTCAGATTTTACCCCTGTAATTTTTAGTTAAAACCGAATCAAATTTCATTATTCGGTTCAGTCTTTTCAAAATTTGGTAATTTCAACTCCATTAACAGCCACCTATAAATCTTTTTTTCAGATTACACCCATTATCTCAAGTTTTTTTTATCAAATTGATCCATTGACACAAATAGTTTAAGGGAGGAAATCGAGTTATTTGGGCCCTAGAGGATTGACAGAGCGAACTACTAGTTTTCATATATGAGATTTCCGTCCTGGTTATTGTGGGGGTATTTGCCCAATTGATGCGTCTGAAGGAATCAATGTTGGACTTATTGGATCCTTGACAATTAAGATTGGTCATCGGGAGTTTTTTGAAAGACAGTTTTATGAAATCTCTGGGGATCATAGCATTCGAGATGGAAAATAAAAACTATTTATTTATTACTATTACAATGCTCAGTGCATATGATTTATATAATTATTTCTCTTATAATTATACTATCAATTTTTATCAATAACGTACGTAATGCTCCTGGGAAAGATTACATCACTCTTATTTTGGTACAGTTGAACCAATAGAGGCATGCTCTTTATTCATATTCTCCATCAACATCCCGAAAGTATCTTAAAAGGACAAAAATACTCTCATGGAGAAGCACAGCACTTGGAACACGGACCTGGTGGGGAAGGCCCAGAACAAACACAACCTGCACATATTAGCTTCGAATTCGTTGACGACCCACCAGCTGGTGGTCCAAACCCTATGACAATCAAAGTTACGTAAACCATTAAAACCAAGGTGTTGAAAACGAAAACAGAGAGATTTAGTTATCAAAAAAATTTGTAAAGAAGATGGGTTTATTACCTGGAGACGTTTTGTGGCCTGCTGCTTGACTTGGCAACAGGGGTGACAGTACCATGGCAAGTATAAGGAGGCTCACCAGAATAGACCTTGGAGAGTTAACTGCCATTGCTTACAGTACAACAGTAACTAATTAATTACGTGATGAGATGCTATGAATTACTAGATAAGATATAGATAATTAAGCATATACATACTCTGGACAAAAAAATATATTTATAGCTAGGTTTGATGAGGGTTGTTAAGAGTTAAAAAGTTAAAACCCTTAGGAAACGTTATTCCACAGGAGTTTCCGTGTGTGATGCGTTGTTTGAATTGGAGTTCCATGTGTAACTTGCAACCCCATGCATGCGTGTTCATATCTATTTACCAACCTCTAGTTTTAATATAGTAATATTTCTTCAAAATCTTAAACTTGGGAGCTACCCTTAATATGTTGCTTTTGTTACCTCAATCAATGAAATTCGAGTCAATAGGCTAGTGATCAATAAAGGTTTCATTTCCACTATCAGCTTCCAAAAGTAAATCACCAAGGGCAAACTCACGAGCGTTTAGAGAAAACGCCCTTGCCTTTTCTTATTATTAGAGAAGGTTATACATTGAACAAAGTCTAATTAGCTCTAGTTTTTCAAATTTAGATTGTTTGTTCTTTGAATCTAAGTAATGAGAATGGAGTCCAAAGCTAGATGGTTTATTCTTCATTTAACCTAATAATTTACATTAATTTTAAATGTTAACTATCTTTTTAATTCTTTGTCGACATGTTTGAAAACCTGAAGTGGCTCCAAATATTCAAGTAAGTTCTCTCAAGTACTCAAATAGTACTTAATTCATGATGATTTTGATTATGTTGTTTTTTTTAGTCTGTCTCGATTTGTTAGAAGGTCCATCTGTTTAGAACTTTGGATTATATAGCAGAAGCGTTCTTCTTAATCCCTTTCATCCCATTTGTCAAGAGATGCTATATTAACATTTCCCCCCATGCAGCAAATATGATCTTCACAGCAAGAGCAAGGTTCGTATCGATGTTAAGAAGGTCAAGCCATTCTATCTCTCTCTTATTGAGAAGGTGAGTGTTCATACCATTTAATCGATCCTATCAAGTCAATTGCGCTTTCCTGGATCATAATTTTGGCTCTTAACATAAAATAAAAATCAATGTTTTCCCACCGAAGCTAAATTGGTGAATGTGGAAGATTGAAGCTTCGATCAACAAGATCACATGCACCAGCAGGATCACCAGCTTATAAAGATGTAGATGGCCTTTTGGGATTTGTGGTTGCAGTTATTTTTGAGATATCAGGAGATCTTTTATGAATACTTTCATTATTTATTGTCTTGTAGAGCTAGTTCGTGTCTCGAGTGAATAATAAAGTTAACTAGTATTGCGGGAACTACAATAAAATTGTTATGGTTTGGGAACGTTGGGGAATGGGCCAGTAAAGTATGGCTGCTCCATCTGAATGAAGGAAAAATAGGCTGTAGAAGAAAGTCTAGCATGACAAGACTAAACTAGGATCAGAGTGCTTGAACCCCTACTTCTTCAAGAAAATAAAAGCATTGTCACAAGACATTGCTGTCCATTTCCATTAATTAGTATGCAGAATGAGCAATTTGACATGAATTAACCCAAAGTGGTCCCTGAAGGGTGCAGGGCATTAGTGTCTGGAATTGGGTCCACAATGCATGAATGCCAAAATGTGTTTTTAATTAGTGGTTTGTAAGTAAATTAAAAAGTTCGAGCCATGGAAAAGTTGAACGAATTACAGGGTGACATTTGGCCATTACCAAGTTCATTAATTCGAGTCAATAATTAATCACCTTTCAGAAATGTCAAATGCTACTTGTTTCAAAAAATAAACTCACAAGTTGAGATAACTGCTGAACCCAAAAATAATTAATCAGCTGAGAATCAAACGTTCAATTCAAAGAATCGCAATATTCAATATCTAACTATGAGAATCCATTACTTACTTACTTACTTTGATTATCATATAAATACACCTACATGTACTCTTTGGATGCTCATCTCACTAGTAATAAGTTGCCAGTATTATTGGTATGAGCAATGGCAGTTAACTTGCCAAGGTCCATTATGGTTTCTCGTCTAATCGTTGCTGTGGCTCTGGCCCCAATGATACCTTGTACTTTGTCTCTCTCAGAGGTAAACAACAATTCCCATCCTAAATTCTAAATAGTGATTTTGATCGTCTTGGATCCATGTACATATGTTGGTTTGTATTTTTGCAGTACTTAATGAAGTGAGTCTGGTGGAGAAACCCGTGTCCTGATTGGTCATGTTGCACGGTTCCACCACCGGGCTCCTGTGAGATTATCAATGGGGAAGGAATACCATACCTATGTCTAGAAATTTGCAGATTAGTACAAGATTTGACTAATTCTCAAGAGATCTTGGAAAATTGTATCACTAAGAGCATCTCCAATGCTCTCTTTATATTAAGATTTTTCTTTATAATAAAGAGGTTTGATCCAAATTTTATCTCCAATGCTCTCTTTATCACAATCTTTATCTTTAAAATTAGTATAAAGATTGTATTTGGCTCTCCAATACTAGAGAGTCCAAATGACTCTTTATCTTATATTTTATTAATGAAAATTACTATTTCCAATGCCACTCAACCGCTTCACCAATAGTCTCTATGAGTTTTATAGATTTTGTCAAAATAAAGAGTTAAATAGAGAATAACATTAGAGAGGATATTGATCTTCTATCTATATAATTAATGATACTCTCTATTTATATTAAAAATACTAGTTAAAAATAAAGAGCACCATTGGAGATGCTCTAATAGTAATAGCATTGGAGATGGAAAATAAAAACTATTCATTTATTACTATTACAATGCTCAGTGCACAAGTTTTATAATAATTATTTCTCTTATAATTATATTTTATCAATTTTTATCAATAACGTAATGCTCCTTGGAAAGATTACATTACTCTTATTTTGCTACTGTTGAACCGGTAGAGGCATGCTCTTTATTCATATTCTCCATCATTATCTCGAAAGTATCTAGAAAGGGCAAAATGCTCTCATGGAGAAGCACAGCACTTGGAACATGGGCCTGGTGGGGAAGGCCTAGAACAAACACATCCTGCACATATTAGCTTCGAATTCGTTGACAGCTTACCACCAAGTCCTTTAAAACCTATCAGAATCAAATTCATGTAAAATATTAAAACCAACGTGTTGAAAAAAGTAATTAAAAAACAGAGAGATGTACTTGTCAAAAAAATTAGTACAGAAGATGCGTTTACCTGGAGACGGTTTGTGGTCTACTGCATGACTTGGTAACAGGGGTGACAGTACCATGGCGAGGATAAGGAGGCTCACCAGAACAGACCTTGGAGAGTTAACTGCCATTGCTTACAGTACAACAGTAACTAATTAATTACGTGATGAGATGCTATGAATTACTAGATAAGATATAGATAATTAAGCATATACATACTCTAGACAAATCAATATATTTATAGCTAGGTTCGATGAGGGTTGTTAAGAGTTAAAAAGCTAAAACCCTCAGGAAACGTTATTCCACAGGGGTTTCCATGTGTGATGCGTTGTTTGAATTGGAGTTCCACGTGTAACTTGCAACCCCATGCGTGTTTCTTCATATATATTTACCAACCTCTAGTTTTAATATAGTAATATTTCTTCGTAATCTTAAACTTAATCAGGAGCTACCCTTATATTGCTTTTATTACCTGAGTCAATGAAATAATTCGAGTTAATAGGCTAGTGATCAATAAAGTTTTCATTTAACTAACAACAAATTATTAGGTCAACGGTAAGCGAAGTAATTCCAAATTAATGAATATCTTATCAACGTGTAATGAAAAATTAAACGTTGTCATTATCGCTTCAAATAGAATTAATCTTATATGTAATGTAAAATAAAAATACTTAAATAAAATAATAATAATAATAATAAAGTTTCCATTTCCCCTATAAGCTTCCAAAAGTACATCACCAAGGGCTAACTCATGAGTTTTGAGAAAATCTTGCCTTTTCTTATTATTAGAAAAGACTATAAATTGAACAAAGTCTAAATATCTCTTGTTTTTCAAATTTAGATTGTTTATTCTTTGAATCTGAGTAATGAGAATGGAGTGCAAAGCTAGATGGTTTATTCATTTAACCTAATAATTAATTTTGAATGCTAACTATGTTACCTAATTATGTAGCATTATTAGAAACCCTTCATTTAATTATGAGATGAATTTTTTTATTTAAGATTTATATCATCAAATAAATTATTTTAAAAAAATATACTAAAAATGTTTTTTTAATAAATTCTCAAAGAAATAAAAAACTCCATGATTAAACCATTACTCCTTTTTCTTTTTCTTTTTTAACAATTTGACTTAGTTTAGATTCAAGATTCATTCTGCCAATTTTCCTTAGAAAATTCTCTATCTCTAAAAACCTTCGAGGAAGTAATTTTTTTTTAATAAAATGTATTTGGTCTCAACCGATAATATTTTTAAATAAAGACATTCAACGACTTTAATTAGCCGATGGTTTTTCAAGATATACGTTAATTTAAAATTTTAGACTAATATATTATAGATCTATTTTATATATAATCATTTCAAACTTCTAATTATTTGGAATTGATATGAGATTTTTCATTTATACAACTTAACAAAATTGTAATGTCGCCTTACTTGCAAATAATTATAACCGTCAAAAAATCTCTGTTCGATATAGACTGCATTGATTATGGAAAAGGTGAAGTCTCTCTAGACTCTCATGAGTTTACTGTCGTCATTTATTTGGAAACAGATAGGGAAATGACCATTTTATTGATCACTAGATGACGATTGACTTGATTTTTATTTAATTTAAGTGTGGCAACAAATAAAACCAATTGGGCGGTCTCCAAATATAAGATTTTGAGAGTTATAGCATTTTCAATAGTGCTTCTATCTTAAGTTAGTATTTTTAATATAAATAGAGAATATCATTAATTATATAGATTGAAAATCAATATTCTTTCCAATGTTATTTTTTATTTTAACTCTTTATTTTGATAAAATTCATAAAACCCAAAGAGACTATTAGTGAAGAGGTTGAGTGATATAGAAAATAATAATTTTTATTAATAAAATATAAGTTAAAGAGTCATTTGGACTCTCTAAGTATTAGTGCTAAAGACACTCTGTATCTCAATTTTAAATATAGAGATTGTGATATAGAGAGCATTGAAGATGAAATTTTGATCAAAATCTCTTTATTATAAAGAAAAATCTTAATATAAAAAGAGCATTGGAGATGCTCTAACTATTTTATTAAAAGTATAAGTTAATTTGTAAAGATATATATGAACTCATGTTCGTGGGGTTGCAACTTGCAAGTTACACATGGAAATCCAATTCAAACAACGCATCATATGGAAAACATCCCTGTGGAATAACGTTTTCTCAGGGTTTTAACTCTTAACAACCATCGTCGGACCTATTTATGTTGGTAAATAAGTCAAACAAAAAAATAAAACAAAAAAATAAAAACAATCACACAAAATAAGGATTTTATGTGATTCGATAATGATGTCTACTACACGATTGCATTAGGATTTTTTATTAGTTTTTATCAAGTAATGGCTACAAATATAAGTGATGTTAAATTTATTTATAATATAAATAATTAGGATTATAATAAAAAAGGCTTAACGAGCTATACATCTAGTCTTATATCATATAACGAAATCGTCTTATTAGATCTGTATAACGTCTTATATTGCGAGCCTTCATCCATGTCAATCTCTATTGATTCGTGTAAAATATGTATATGCATAACTACATACATTCTAGTAATTGAAGTGAGCATCTGATACTCGCATAGTTAATTTCTATTGTACTGTAAGATATGGCAGTTAACTCTCCAAGGTCTATTCTGGTGAACCTTCTTATCCTAGCCATGCTTCTGTCACCCCTGTTACCAAGTCATGCAGCTCCACAACCAACACCAGACAACAGAAAGTATCCAGGTAAACCCTTCTTCTGTCAAAGAGAATTATCTTTTAAACACATGGCCGGTTTTAATATCTTTACATAACTTTGATTCTTGTAGGTTTCGGCCGTCGGTTGTTAAAGTATTCGAACCCAATATGTGCCGGTTGTGTATGTTCCGGGCCTTTCGCATCAGGTCCATGTTCCAAGTGTTGTGCTTCTCCATGAGAGTACTATTTTGCCCTTTTAGGTGGCTTGAGAATATGAATTAAGAGCCTGTTTCTACTGGTTCTACTGTTGCAAAACGAAAGAGTACGTAATAAAAGAGCATTAAATTGCTAATAAAAATATAATAAAAGAGTAATAATTATTCTAAAACAAGTCTCCAGAGCGTTGTAATAAGTAGTTTCTACTTTTACATCATGAATGCTGTCGCTATCTTTCATCCAAGTTTCATCATGAGATGTTATTTTATTGAGTAAAAATAATTTAGACCCTGTGTTTTGAGGTAATAACTTGATCAGTTTGGTTTCAAAACCATAATTTAGTACCTTATCGTTTATGACTATTAATTAATTAAAAGCTCCATTAGATATTTAGAAACTGATCAGACTACTAACCCCATAAATATTTTTCGATTAATATATATCCAAAAGAACGTTTTCAAAAGGAAAACAACTAAATTGGACAACTTATTAATAAATATTTAACAAACATTTAACAGAAAGATTAATTTATAAATAAATATAAAAGATGCTATGCATCCAAAAAAATTTAATATATTTTCATGACACCGGTTCCAAGATTTCAATAAAAGAAACAGATTTTATTAACCACTAGACCAGCCTTTTGTGGTTAACCATTTCTTAGCTAAAAGATGGGAAATTGTGAAGGGAATGAGAGTAAGATATCAAATGAAGTCCAAATCAGCGCCGGAAACTAACGCATAAATTAAAGAGATTATTTAGTTTTAGTCCATCTCATGGATGGCAATGTTCTCCGTTGAAATACTCCCGTTCCCACTGGTATGGGTGCGTGAGATTCCATAAAGCTCGATCATAGCAAATACAAATTGGTTTGATCGATTGGTTTCAATCTCTTATCTGATTGATTTCGAATTTCTAGTTGCCAAGATAGACTGAAAATGGTAAAAGTCAACTTTTAATTATGTACTCAATAATGTATCTGGCAGCAACTTCCACTAGGACCGACCATGTTCTACATCAATAATTCGGAAATCAAATTTTCAGTCCAAATAACCGGCCGGCACAAGTTTACAACCTGCATGTTGATCTATAAATATGCGTAACTGGATCAGCTCATACTCATCGAGGCATAGTATTCATTTATCTTACAAGCAATGGCAGGAAATTCTATGATGAAGTCTATTCTGGTGACCCTCCTTTTCACTGCAGTGCTATCTCCAGTGTTACCATCTGAAGCAGTTCGTTTGAGTAATCGAGGTAATAAGCTTATCACCAAAATTATTTATAATTGCCGATTAATTATTGGTAGGAGCTAGTTTAATTTGATTAAGTCTAAATTCCTGTCTTAATTACGTACAGGTCTACTCCAAGCATGCCCAGCCTGTCTTTGTTGCAGCCCAGCTCCACCAGGCGGCTGTTGCAAGTGCGGTGGTGGCTGCACTGGGCGTCCTCCGATTACGGAGTCTACAATTGGATAGCCATAAAAATGTTATTCCTATCTTTTGAATGTTCTTTTATGCCTAAGAATTTAGGTTCCCTCCTCTCTATGATGTAGAACACACAATCTTTCATTAAAGAGAGAGTGTTGTTTGGGTCTTAATCCATATAATTGTACGTAGCGGTGCTTTTAATAATTGGTTTTGTGGTGCTTTATTTTCATAATTGTGATTAATGTTTATACAATATCATAAAAAATTTCAGTTTCTAATTCTTGTTTAGTTCGTGAGACCAGTGAGATTAGGGTTCAGAAAAGCAATAAATGCAAAAATAAAAAGAAATGAAGCTGTAAAATTAGGAGTGTAAGCTAGGGTAGAGATCAAAAGAAATTATATTGAAAATTTCCAGAGAAATATAGATTTGATAACCAAATGAATTTAAGAAAGATAAATTTAACTGGAAAATTTTTTCCTCAACAATAGGAGAGAAGTAGAGAAAATAATATATTTGCGAATGTTAGCCACGTATTTGGTTTATTCTGGAGTCTTAGTTGGTCCATATTGTTTATTGTAAATAGAATTTGGTCCTAATTAATAAAGACTTAGCAATCTGGTTCAATAACTAATTGTCAATTGGAGGATGATTAATTTGGATGTAAAAAAAATGCATCTAAACTTCCAAATACCATTTAAACTGAATATGATGCGGATGTTTTTTCTTTTTTAGGCTACATAATTTTGTCGTAACCCAAATTTCTCCTTATTTTTTTTTATCCCTTTTACTTGTTTTATTTGTCTCTTATTTTATTTTCATTTCATTTTATTTTACTTTACTAAAAATCAAAACAAAAAATTAGGAAAAGAATAAAAAAATACAAAAAATCTAAAAAATTGTATGGCATAATTAATTAGAGGTATAATTGAATAAAATCAACACTGAATTTGGAACAATCGAGAATGTAATCGAAACAAATGAAAACCTTATAACCGAAATTAAAAGATACAAGGATACGATTAAATAAATTGAAAGAAGCAAAGACCAAAATTACATGTTAAAAGGGTATGATTGCGAACAATCACAATCCGCGAGGACTGAATTAAAACGGGAGAGCGAACAACAGGACCAAAGTCAAGCGAAAGACCTATCGTCCACTTCAACCCAGAATCAAATCCCCTTGGTTGTTACTGTCTTACTGACCATCGTCTTTTTCATTGAAGACAATTCCCAAAGCAACAAACGATCCTTGACTAGCAATTGTACCAGCCAAGAATCGTGCTGCACAATGCCCACATTGGTTTCTTGAGTTTTCGGGAGAAAATTTCTGGGTTTTGGGTTTGTGAAAAGGTATTTGCTGAGTTTTGAATGGCAACCGAAAGCTTAATCACGGGGGTTTTGAAACCCGGAAAGAAACGAAAGGAGAGCAGAGGGATTGAAATCGAAATTGGAGAAACAGATGGAGCTTAAGATAGGCAATTTCCCTCACTGCCACTTCCCCTTCGGTCCAAAGCATAACTCCATTCAATCTGCATATCTCAACTCATCAAGTAAGCATCATACTCATTCTCACTCATTGACTTCAATCCATTTTTGCTTTGGTATTTCAAAACTAACAGAGAGTCACTGTCACCCCCAAGCGATCAATAGTCATGGTATAATCCCCCTCCCCAGTCTTCTTTTGCTATCAAAGGAGAAGAAAGATGGATGGCAATGGTCCTTGAACCCAGTATAAACTTCGTTCGGCCTTGATAAGCGATTTTGGAAAAAAAAGAATGAAGCTGATATGTTAGAACAGGAGGAGGAAAGGGAGAAGAGATACTCGGGCCAGGGAGAAGGAAAAGAGAAATAAAGCCAGGCCTTTGGGTTGGTTTAACTGGGCTAGGGAATTTTAGTTCAGTTTCAGTTGTATGTGGGTTCGGCCTGGGTCTGGTATGGGCTTGTTGTGGTCTGGTCCAGGAGATGGATTTCAGGCTAGGCTTCACAGGATTAGTTTAGGTTTAGTCCAGTGGGCTCAACCCAACAGTCCAGCCAGCGGGCCTGCCCAATGGGCAAAAGGGCTCAATAGCCCTATTTTTTGCCATTTCCCAAGTCGATTGGTCCGGAATTTTTTTAAAAAAATACATGCCTTCTATTTCATGCCTAATTTAGGTTTAATGTTTGAAATTATGGTGTTTGCTTTTATTCATTTATGTCAAAATGTTTAATTTTTAAGTTTTATTTGGATAATTAGATTAAATAAATAATAGGTAAATAAATAGTTGAGTATTTTAATTTTTATGGACTAATAACGACTCCTTACTAACGAAAAATATAAGAAAAAAATGTATAGAAAAATGATATTAAATAAAGAAATGCTAGGAAAAAGATAAAAAGATAAAAAGAAACGTTAGGAAAAAGATTAAAAGAGAGAGAGAGAGGAAGAAAAAAAAAAACACTATGAAAAAATTAATAAAGTCTTATATTCATTAGGGAGCTGATGTTAGCTCAAATAAACTATTTTAACAATTAAGTTGTTCTTCAACATATAAATTATGTAGAGAATTAAATTAGATTGAATGTTAAATTGACGTGACATCCGACGAAGAGGTCCGACAATCTGTTCAATGTGATGCTATAAAAAAAAATTAATTTGATCTAGAAAATAAAGTTTGGAAGTTTGACTTAGGATTAATTTTGACAATAACATAATTTTTAAGAGATAAAATTTAGGATTAGATCAGACTGATTACTTTTCTTTGAAAATGACATTTTTGAGTGATTAATATTGTGTTAAATGTATAATCAACTTCTTATCTCGGGATCGATGAACCAATATCATTTTTAGATTCTCTAATTCTTTTAACGAGTAAGTGACGACTCCAAAAATAATAACTCATATCCCTAAATAAAACAACAAAAATTTTCAACAAAACAAATCTCAAATTAATTTTCACAAGATCTGTGAAAGTCGGATAGCGACATAATACTTAGCCTAAGTAGTTCACCTCTACTGTTCCTCTCCTTCTTTCCTGTTCTCTTTTACCTAAAATTCTTCTCCTTCGTAAGATCTTTCTTTCTTTATAGAATTTGTTGAATCTCTTCTTTCATTTTTTTCCCCTAAAATTTTATTTTTTAGTCCTTCTCTCCTTTTTCCCTCCACCCATTCTTTCTTTTTCCTTTTTTGATTCCCTTTTATCCTCCATCTTGTTATCATTTTTCTCTCGTTTCTTAAGATCGTAGCTTCATATCAAGACTTCACTAGGGCATCAATATGTTTTAGCAGTCAAATAAATTTTGGAAATTTGAAGCAATTCTGAGATTAAAACAGTTTTTCAGAACTGGGTTATTTTCCAAAATTTAAAACAGTTTCCAGAATTGCTGCAGTTTTTCAGAAATTGCAGCACTTACAGAAAATTGCTTCAATTTTCTAGAAATTGATACAATTTTCTACAGTTGCTTAATGCTCTTAAGGATGCTATCCATTTCCGCAGCATACTTCAACAACTAATTATGTTTATTAATCATTATTGCAATTAGAACCCATTATGTATATTAATTTCTTTACAAAGATGAAAACATTCATAATTAAACTAATTAGGATCATTAAATGGATGATTTTAGAGAGGCAGCTAGAATTAAGGTTATGTACATTTCGAATTGCTTGTTTGCAGTTCTGGATTTGGAGTTTTATGTGGTATTGGACTCTTTCATTTATTTTCTTTTTACACTACTTTGAAAGAAAAAATAGATTTAAAGGTCTTAAACTTAATTGTCTTTTTGGATGTTTAAAAAAATAATAATAGAGGATTAAGTGCCACGAGAACATTGTTTATTTAGCATCTAATGTTGTTTGGTGATTTGGTGCTAAGATGACAAAAATATACCTTATTTTGATAATTAAGTTTAAAATATTCATCTTAAAAACACGTTTTAAAACTATCCTTTTTCTGCAAAAACCTACGAACAAAAGTATCCCCTCAGATATTACCAAATCCTCTACCTTCTTCAAGTTACGACTGTGACATCTAGATGACTTTACTTTCTACTCTGGACTAAAATAATGGCAAGAAAAATCTTATATTTCCTTTATGACCGCATCATGTGCCAGTGCGCCCAACAAATTAATGTCTTTGTCCGGGAGCCACCGCTGTCATGACAACACACCTAACTGTGTTGTTAGTTCAAACACTCATCACTATGAATTAGTCTGAATAGCTACAGCGCACCCTTTTTTTTTTTTTCTTCTTCTTCTTCTTTTTTACTACATACAGGATTGCATTTGGTTGAGAAAATGCATATGGTTTGTTGACAAGCAAATGATGATTAGGTTGAGATGATGCCTTTCTAACGTAAATTATTGAATTCAAATCAATTTTAGATTTTATTTTAAAATTTAAGCAAAATATTATGCAATCACGTACTTGAACCAACAATATATTTACCATTTTTTTACGAATGAAATAGGTTCTGATATCTATTTTTAGGAAATTCTATGCTTAGGAAAAGCAAACGTATGTCGTGAGGCACTCGTTAAATATTTATTAGGGCTTTGCTAAATTCATCGTCAAATTTATTATTCCTAATATTTATTTTTTTGAAAATTACTAATACGCGCTCTTCACATGTGTTTGTTACTATATCATAGGTAAATATATTTTATATCAAATATTTAAAATATCCAAAATATAAATGCTTGTTACAAATACTCAATTGCTTTTCAGTTTTTTTTTTTCACATTTAAAATTTGAGTGTTTTAAGTATTTAACATATTTAACAATGATATAGTAACAAACATAAACATTGATAGAAGAGTGTGTTGGTAGTTTTTTTTTTAAAAAAAAAACTCGTGGTGAGAATGACAAATTTAATGGTAAATTTAACAACTTTCTATTTATTAAACGACATTTATTGTTGAATTGTGTTAGAAAATGATTAAAAATCAAATATTTAAATAAGAACAACCAGATTTATTAAAGATGTTAAATAAGTGTTATTTAATATGGTAATATTTTCAAGTATTTAGAATAAATTCTAAAAAAATATATTGAAATTAATTATAAACATTAAATGATTTTTAACAAGTACTTTAAGGAAGCGAGGAAAGGTCTTGCTTCCAATTAAATCAGACCACATATGCCCATACCTTGCTTGTTGAGTAGTTTATTTTCACATTCCATGTTACCTATACTAATAAATTTTGAGCAAAAAATTTAGTTTCCAAAACAGTAATTGGCTTAAAATATGTGATTAATGCAAGTAAGGTAATATGTGACAGAGTTCCAACAAATTGAAATATCTCTCCCTACTTTATGTAAACATTAAATTTTGAGGCCTGTAAGTGGGGACTGATCCAGGACTAGGCATACAAGTTGTTCCAGCTGGTATCTTTCTTTTGTGCAAATGCATGCTTTGATTTTATTTGGTAACTTAACAACACTAATTTTCTTTGGCCAATGACAAGATTCCTTGGAGTCCTTGCAGGGTCTTGACTTAAAGAAACTTATCTTCTGGCAAAACTTGTTTCAATTCCCTTGAGAGAAAATGGGTGTGAAATTAAGAGTGTCATGGGATTTCGGTTCCTTGATGTGGTTTTTCTTCACGGCACTTTCTACCATTTACATAGAATCAATTGTTTTAGCCTCCGAAGTTACAAACTTTAGCAATTTGGAGCACAAGAATGTCATTCAAAAGCAGGCAAGCAGGAAGCTAGACGATATAGGTGGTAAGTAGTTCTTAATTTTGGATAGTGAAGATACACTTAGTGGACTTCTCATGTCTAGAGGTATCAATTTGTGATCAAACGATTCATGAGGTCCTTTATTTTCTGCTCATTTAGCTCCGAGTGTCGGATTTATGGGATACCACAGAAGTTTGCTGGGATCTTGAATTTGTTATTAGTGAAATTGTAGGTCCAACTTTGGAAGCAACAACCCATTTGCTTGATGATAATTTCCAACTATTTCATTTTGCAGTGATTTTGTAAAACTTGCTTCATGTTTCGATACATGTACTTGAATGAATGCTTAGTTTTAGATGGAAATTAAGCCTATAAAGTACTCATAGACAAGAAATTTATTCCATTTTTCAGGAATTAAATTGTAGCCATAGTAGTAAAATCTGCAGCTATGATTAATTAGCCTTCTCAATGTTGTTCTAAGCTTTGTATGAGATTGAGTGAATTGTTGCAGGGGCCATAAATATTGATTGTGGAATACCAGAAGGTTACAGATACAATGATGCCAACACTGGGATAGAATACATTTCGGACGGAACATTCATTAACACAGGAGTGAATAGGAACATATATTCCAACTTCAGTTCTGACGTGCTGCCAATGTCTTTTATGAACGTTAGAAGTTTTCCTCAAGGTAGCAGAAACTGTTACACCTTGAGACCACCAGAAGGAAAAGACAGTATCTACTTGATCAGAGCCTCTTTCATGTATGGAAATTATGACAATCAAGAGATGTTGCCACAATTCACTTTATATGTTGGAGTTAATATGTGGGATTCGGTGAGGTTTGATAATGCATCTCATATTGTGATCAAGGAGATTATACATGTCTCCTTAATGGATAACATATACGTCTGTCTTGTAAACACTGGTTCAGGTACTCCTTTTATATCAACTCTAGAGTTAAGGCATTTCCATAATTCCTCTTACAGAACAGATTCTGGAGCCTTAGTTCTATATCAGCGACTTGATTTTGGGTCAACAAGCAATCAGACTGTAAGGTTAGTTGTTATCACAGTTAATGTTATGTAACTAATCATTCTTCACATTTCCTTCACTTGTGCACACATTTAAGGGTACCATAGCACATATCATTACTGTTGAGACGGATTGTAAGGATATGGCTTAACTACTGAATCAGACTATGCTATGCAGGTACCATGACGATGCCAATGATCGTATGTGGTTTCCTTATAACTGCCCTAATTGTGCAACATTCGGTACTTCCTTCCTTGTTGATTCCCTGAACAGAACTGCTTTCAATTTACCTTCCAAGGTGATGGGAACTGCTGCCCGGCCAATGAATGCTAATGACGCACTAGACTTTGTATTTGACATTGGCGATCCCACTTTGAAATTCAACATATACATGCACTTTGCAGAACTTGAGATTCTCCCAGAAAATCAATATAGAAAACTCAGCATTTCATTGAATGGCAACCTGTTGAAAGAAGGTGTTGTTCTTAGCTATCTACAATCAATGACTATAGCAAGTCCACAGCCAGTGAGGGGAAGCAAACTTAGCTTTTCTCTGTCCAAGTCACAGAGCTGCCCCCTTCCTCCCATGCTGAATGCAATTGAAATATATATAGTCCGAGATTTCTTACAGGCACCAACAGACCAAGAAGATGGTATGTTCCTGCTGATACTTCAGTGGTTTTAGTCCACATTTTTATATATTTTATTGAAGCTAAAGCGAACCCTTTTTCTTCTTTTTTTCCCTGCTGATCATAGTTAATGCTATTGAGGGCATCAAATCAAGCTACGGAGTGCAAAAGGACTGGCAAGGAGATCCATGCTCGCCAATGCACTACGCTTGGGATGGCCTGACTTGCAGTTACAATGGTTATAGCCCCCCAAGAATCATCTCCTTGTGGGTGCTTGTGCTTGAAAACTAACAAGAAAAAAGGATTAAAAAAGGCTTCCCCTTAATTCTGATGGACATGAATTATCAAAGGATTCTAAAACTAACCTATTTAATTACACATGCAGGAATCTGTCATCTAGTGGAATAGCAGGACAGATATCTCCTTCATTTTCCCATCTTAAACTATTACGGGACCTGTAAGTATTCTTAGAAACTACTTCTATTGATGAATGGTGAAATTTAAAATTATCTGCAACATTCCTAACCAAAACAATACTTTTTCAGTGATTTATCCAACAATGGCTTGACAGGGACGCTGCCTGAATTTTTATCACAACTCGTAAATTTGAGGACTCTGTATGTTATCAATCTTCTACTGTACAACTCTGTATTCATCACGAAGAATGTAAAATGTTTACCAAAACTGCAGGAATTTAGAAGGAAACAAGCTCTCTGGTCCGGTTCCTGGTATTCTAATTCAAAGACAGAACAAAGAGCTGCTGTCATTAAGGTTATTGAACTTATTGCTAGTTTGATTGATGTACATACACAGACACTAAACATTTTTCCTTCTGATATTGCCACTAGTAAATCAAGTTCCTATTTAAATTCTTTTGACTGATAGAGTCGCTGGAAATCCGGAGCTGTGTGTGTTGGTTGATCAGTGCAAAGAAAAGAAGAAAAGTATTGTTGCTCCAATCGCTGTAACCATTGTTCTATTGGCGGTCATTACGGGACTGGTTAGTCTGTGGATATACAGAAGGAGAATAGGTATACGCACACACAAACATACACATTTATGCTCACTTATAGCAGTTCAAGAAATGGTACTCGTGTATGATGCAAATCAAATTCAAGAGAAAAAATATTTCCAAGCATTCCCAAATAGCTATAGACTTTGGAACAATCCTAATGAAAACTCACAATGTTCAATGTAGCTTCTCAGCTGTTTGTCAAATCCCAAAAACAAGAAGTGTCATCCTTAAAGTCGGATAACCGACAATACACATACTTTGAGATTGTCAATATTACCAATAACTTCCGTACAACTATTGGGAAAGGAGGTTTTGGAACAGTTTACCATGGCTACTTGACTGACGGTGTGCAAGTTGCTGTCAAAATGATCTCTCCAACATCAGCTGAAGGGTCCAATCAATTTCGAGTTGAAGTATGTTACTTTCTCTAGATATCATGGGATTTTCATTTAAGTTTGTTAACTGTAAGCTTTCAGTTTGTTATGCTTGAATATCGATCTTGGCAGGCGCAGCTCCTGATGAGAGTTCATCATAAGAATTTAGCTTCGTTTATTGGTTATTGCAATGAAGGGACTAACATAGGCATCGTTTATGAGTACATGGCCTATGGAAATTTAGAGCAATATCTATCAGGTATTTACCATGACCATTCTTCAAGTCATTTTTAACTTCTTATTATGTTCCATTCCAATCTTAATGTTTTTGCTGCAGATAAAACAAAAGAGGTTTTGAGTTGGAAACAGAGGTTGCAGATTGCATTGGATGTAGCACAAGGTTCAATAGGCTAATGATGATTATTGTGTGTGTGCCTATATATATGTTTTTTTTTTTCATGTGTTTGTCTCACAAACTAAACTAAAATGTGCAGGACTAGAGTACTTGCATCATGGTTGCAAGCCTCCTATAATTCATAGAGACGTGAAGACTGCCAACATTTTGTTGAATGAAAAATTGCAAGCAAAAATAGCTGATTTTGGGTTCTCAAAACTTTTCCCAACTGGAAGCCGGAGTCATTTGTCAACTGCAGTTATTGGCACTTTTGGTTACCTTGATCCAGAGTAAGTCTTTGAATTCTAGCAAATTACTATATCCAATCTTAATATCTCCAGTTCGGTATAAATGTTTGCCATTGCCTTCCAAACTCAGGTTTCATTATTATTAAGTTCTGTTTAATACTTAATCTTCAGCTGAAATTAGCCTCAATTCCAAATTAGTTGGGAAATACAAAGTAAGCTTGTAGTATTCAGGGTGGTTGGTAATGGTATAACCTGGCGTGCTGAAATTTCCAGTACTGAGATTTAGTTGAATATTATTTTACTGGTTAATGCAGGTATTACATATCTAACAGGCTGACAGAAAAAAGCGACGTATATAGCTTTGGAATTGTTCTTTTAGAGCTAATCACAGGCCAGTATGCAATAATAAGAAACCATGATGAGAACATCCACCTTGTTCAGTGGATTAGTCCTTTTCTTGGAAGTGGGGATATAAGAAATGTTGTTGACCCAAGACTACAAGAAAATCTGGATACAAATTCCCTTTGGAAATTCATGGAGATAGCAATGTCATGTGTACCATCAATTTCCATTCAAAGGCCAACCATGAACAATATAGTGATAGAATTAAAAGAGTGTTTGGAAGCAGAAATTGCCTGTGAACGGACTCGGGGATCGGCAGAGGCCAAAAGAATGAGATTAAGCAATTCGTCTGATCAAATGATTTCTGTGGATATTGAAACAGAAATCGGTCCTGAAGCAAGGTAGAAATCAGTGTGGATTTAGAATAAAGTTTGTTACTGCATTCAATTATACATGTATGTTTTAAAATATTAAAATGATCTTGCAACTACAAGACTTTTTTTGGTCTTCTGTAACTGGTTCTGGCAACGTTGTATTCTCTTCAGAATCACAACCTACGAAGGTTGTTTCTTGATTCTTGTACTAAAATTTTAAAAATCCGGAGCTGAAGAGCAGCACCACTGAGTGCCTGCCTGCTTGCAGCTTGTGGGTTTTGGGGAAAATGCAATTTAGATCACTGGAAAGATCAACGAACAATATTCAATTCTTGGAAAGCAAATAGATCCAAGGACCCTTTCCTGGAAAAGGAAAAAAAAAAAAAAAAACGACGACTTCTTAGCCCAGGTCTATCAACTACTCATCCATCATTCCTACATATCTAGTATCCAACCTCCAAAAAGTAAATTTGGTAGTGGAGAGAAGCAGAAGGAATGACAGAAAAGGTGGATGATAGACTTGTGAGAGAGTAGATGATCTTGATGAGAAATGGAAAGCAACTGTGCTGAAATAAATTAAGGTGAGATTATCTAATTATTAATTAACACCCACACTGTCTCATACTCTCTTCAAGTTAATTAATAAGAGTAACATTATCCATCATGTTTGTGAAATTCAAACAATTGATTTTGAAATCTATTGATATAAGCCTCTGACTTGAACCCGGTCTTCCTGAAATCCCAATCACAAGACCAAATCGAGGGTTCGTTTCCGATCAGTCGCTCCGGACGATCAAATCAATCTTTCTCGTGTGTAAAATAATAATAATCCTTGATTTGTGTGTGTACTCGTGCATTATCATATTTTTCTTATAGCCATACCATTAGTCCCCTCGAAAGACAGATCGTTGCCTTCCGAAACGATTTATCGTCTGCTTTTTCTTTTTTGTTTTGTTTTGTTTTTTTTTTTTTCACCCATCGTCATCATTGTGTTTCCTAGCCGTCCTTTATATATGCACCCAACTTCTTCATTTTTCTTTCTTTTTACCTCCCTCGTTTTCCTTTTTTTTTTTTTTCAATAAATAAACGGATTCATAAATAATATATCCTTTTTTCTTATGAATAAGATATTTTAAAGCAAAGAAAAACAATCTTACTAACTTTAATACTATCACTTGAAAAAGTTAGTAAGAATCTGAAGAAAATAAAAAAATGATATTTTTACTTTGTCTATCCATAACGTAGAAATAGATTATCCAAACACAAATCTCTTTTTTTAAGGCAGAAGAACTCAGAAATGTTTTATTATTTATGGTAATTTTTGTTGTTGGAAGACATTACGATTTCCTATAATAAAACACAAGTATTAGCACGTAATATTTAACAATTTATGAAGTTTTTTTTTCTTGGTTTTTTTTCTACAGTTTTTAATTATAGATAGTTACTAAATGTCAGTAATTAAAATCAAATTTTTAAAAAATATATTTTTTTACTGATTATCATATTAATATTTTAATGTTTTGTTATATTTATTACCATTATATAAATATCAAAATAAAATTATTTTAAAAAAATAAAAGATACAGTTTTTCATTTTCTTTAATTAAAACAATTGTTCACATGCAATACAATACGAATGAAATTCACCTTGTGTCTTAATATATTATCTAGTATTATCTATTTTAGTATTATCGATTTTAATATTTTTAAGTGCAAATCAAATCCTAAACTATTTAAAATTAAAACAAATCAATATTTTCGTTTAACGTCCGATCAATCATATAATGACACGTGATTATTAAAATTATATAGAAGAGACAATTTATCTTAACTTTAAATAATATTGAGTTTGTTTTACATCATACTTAAATAAAAAAAATTAAAATGAACAATATTAAATAACACATAGACACATGATGAATTTCACTCAAACCAGTAGAAAATAAAACTTTCTTTATTTTTTTTCTTTTAAGAATTAAAGAGAAGAAAAACATGAATATTATTTTTAACGACATGTTATGAAGTATATTATTTCAGTTTCTAACCCTACTTGTGAAACAATTGTACAAAACTGTTATGGTTATTATTTTTAGGATTTCTAGTAGTAACAAGATCCAACCTTTTATCGAAGGGTTATGCATCGAAATGAGTATTTTACTCATGATGATATGGGAAGAATTCACAGTGTCTTGAAGGAGGTGTTGGGATGTTTTTCCTTTTCTGTGTGTTTATTTTTGGTGACTTCCCGGATTGAGGATTCGATGCATGATAAGTCCATATGCAACCCTAAGACCTCGAGTACGAAGATTTGATGATCTGGCAGTCCACTTGGTCCAGTAGACAGAAATATAATTTTTGGTTGTGTTTGGCGCTTGTGGGTTATATCTGCAATTAATCTTGTCTCCCCTCTCCTGTCAAATAAAAGGATTGCTAGTAGACATATAATGCTTACAGGGTTACCTCATTAATTATTTATTGCAACTTGCATTGGATAACCGTACGATTGACAATGTCAGTCAGCAATAAACATGGTTCTGACATGGGTAAGTTAAGCCGTAAATAGGTTTTAAGTCTACGTAAAGAACAATATTGACAATGTCAATCAGCAATAAACATAGTTCTGACATGGGTAAGTTTAAGCCATAAATAGGTTTTTAAGTCTATGTAAAGAACAATATAGTACTCCTAGTTACTATTTTCTGGCCGGAACTGAACTCGTCGTTCTTTTTTAGGGTTACCAATGAAATCTAGAAGAAATGGTACTGTTCATAGAACCAGCCAATATTTATATGCACTGAAATTATTGGAGGATTTGAAAAGGTTGAATGTCGGCAACCTGAAAGATGGCATGCACTCAAGTTGCTCTATCTCAATTTCTCAATCATCGAAGCATGGCTGTGAGAAATGTAAAGCAGTGGTTGGAATAACAGTGTGCTTGGCTATATGTGACCATTTAATAGACATTTACGTGTGCTTGGCTATGCTATGCTAGTAAAGTGAAGTAACTCTTTCAGCCGATTATAGGAGAAGCATGAGAAGATACATTTGCATGTCTAGTAATCAACTATTGCATGCTTTTTTGAGATAGCATGTCTGCTTTTTCCAAAATAAAGTTTTTTACCAAATCGTTTCTATTTTTAAAACTGGGATCAAAAGCTTAACTTGTCATAATTATGGCAGGGCTAAACAGAACTTAAAACAGCTTGATTTTATATTTTGTCTCTTTATAATGTGTTTGTTCTTTAAAAATATTTTTACTTTTTGTTTCAAATTTAGTCAATTTAATCTTATATTATTCAATTTGAATCAATTCAGATCGATTGATAATGTCCATGAAATTGCATGGTTATATTTATTCTCTTAAGCTTTATGCTTTCGTGATAAAATACTCTTCTAATTTTCAGAAAAAAACTAGTTAATTTACTAATGGAAATGAACCTCATAAAATTAAACAGAGTGCCACAGGCCCGCATCAGCAAGACGTAACACTTTAAAAACCCTTTGCTTCATTTTTATTTTTTTGCTTGGCCAACTGGCTTTGGCAGTATTGAAATTGAAAGCCACCAATAACCTATAAATCAGATCTGGCCAAGAAAAAAAAACATGCGAGGAAAAGCTTGCTGATCATGAGTCGTCTAAAGGACTGCTAGCACGTGACATGTCACTCACTCTGTTGACACCACCCTACCTAAATCCTAACAACAATGTCCTCGTACGACCTTGAAAGAAAATGAAAGGGAATAGGAATTTCATATTGTCCCCGTGATGGTATTATGCTTGATTGTTATTGATTTTTTGAATTTTCTTCTTGCCTGAGACTGTTGAAATTATTAGTATAGAGGTTGTTGAGTCTTTAAAGATGATATGAATGATAGTTGTGTTAGAAAAAATAATAGTAAAATAAGCTTTTTATTGAATAGAGTGTTTTTTATGATCAAATTAATATGAAAATGGAGAGATTAATTTGAGAAAATTGTTATGTAGGTTTGAGAAAGAAGATGAATAGTAGGGATGGTAGTGGGCTGGGTACAAAATAGATATCTAATCTGTTTATTAATTACCATTTAAAAATATCCTAATGGATAATAAGTTAAATATAGGTAAAATAGTATTATCAATTTATGTTAATAGACAATTAATTTATAAATATGAGTATTCTCCTTTCATCCTATTGATACTCATTACTTACCCATTAGCATAAAAAAAAATATTAAAACACGATTTTAAAATAAACAAGCAACACGGACTCGTGACACTACATTGATTGACATTGTAATTGTTATGAGTTTTTTTTTTTTTAAAAAAAAAAAGATGATAAGAAGGGTTCTTGCAACAAACTCGTGGCACCATATTATTTTTTCAAATAATTAAAAAAAAAAACATTTTCTACATTGAGCTGCTACAAGGATAGAAAATAAAAATTGTTGTTTCTAAACTAAACAAGATTGCTTGAGGGGCGGATCCTTATTTAAGCCTATTGGAATTTCACTTCAACAATACTATTAAATATGAAAAAAATACTTCTCAAGGGTAACACTTCAATGAAGCCATGCAAAAATCATCATTGTAATTATTTACTAGTTTTATTATTATTATTATAGGATCAAGAAACTTGCACGTTAAAAAGCTCAAACAGTTTAGCCACATAAAAAAATAGTCAAAATAAATCACAAAATACAAATATGACAATTATATAGAAAAATCTTACTATATATAAAGCATCGGAACAAAAAGAGTTAGTAACCAAAAATTATATTCAATAAAAAAAATTGAAAAAAAATATTTAATTTTAAAAAAATTAGCAAATAAACGGATATGAATATGATATTATAAAGTGGGTATGTACTTGGGTAAAGAAATAAGTTAGAGATTCTTAGTGGGTAATGAATAGGATAATGAGTATAATATTTTTTTTAATAGATAAGATATGTGATTGGCTTAATGGGTTAGGTACCCGGCCCATTGCCATCCCTAAATTGAATAATAACATTACAAGATGAGATATGCATAACTAATAAACTTAAATCTCTT